GTCACGAACCGCCCCCACGGGGCTACGTTTTCCTTTTCGATTCGGACCACTGCCTTGTACGTTCACCCCTTGTTCTCTATTCGGCGTGGTTTCCCCTTGTTTGCACACGGACAACAGCTCCCCTTGTTTCTCTCTTCGCTATTGTCCTACGGCCTTGTACTCGGTGCCCATGGCAACGCCATTGTCCCCTTAGCGCCCATTGTTCGTTCCTCGTATATAGCTGGATCCCTTGCTACCTGGAGACTCTAGTTTCGACCTCTTGTCTCCAGGTAAGCCATCGTGTATTTCGCTCTGTAGATACTTCACTCAATACACATCTTGTCTCCAGTCCTGCCTGTTGAGCTCCGCTCCAGTCTCACTGCGATCAGAGCTCGTCGGCGCTCCTGCCTGCCTCGCTCGTCTCCACTTACTCGCTCGACAGTCAGTCGTAACAGACGCGAAGTTTCGAGGGGTTGCGTGGGCGAGAGACGACTCCTAGCGGGGAGGATCGGAAGGGCGTAAAGGGCGGGGCCGGAAAGGGCCCATGCATGCGTTGGCGCGAGGTGAGGGCGGCGATGTCTGCGGCGACAGTGTCAGGGTGTTCGAGGGCGGTGGACAGGTTGCGGCAGTCCTGAGACAATGGTGGGCCAGAGAATCCGAGGGCAGCACCAAAATCTATTATATGACGTAGCGAGCGTACAAATTCGGGATCAGGGTAATCGGCTAAGTAACGGGACCAAGCATCGCAGCGCAGAGTCGAGGGGACGGGCATGGTCTCGTGTGAACGGAGAGATATGGCATTGCACCGTGGATCTGTGTTAGGGCGGGCGGGTGGGGCGGGGCCTGCTGGGAAGGAATACAGCGGGAGAGGAGCGGCGGGAGACGGGACTGCAATGGGGGAAATTACAAGTGGGGGCCGGGGACGAGATGGTTGAGGCGAAGGGTTGTCCGTCAGGTGAGGTGTGGGCTGAGGACGAGCGATGACGGGGCGCTCGCCGCTCGTCCCGCCGGCGCCTCAAGCCTGAGCTGGCGGGTTGGCGCGCCGACAGGCTGATTGCCCGTGGTCGGTCGCGCCGCACCCCAGGCACTTGTGGGGGCGATTCCAGTGGCAAGGGGAAGCACATGTCCCCTTGTTGAAGTTGCGGCATGGCTCCGTGTCGCGCGGACGACTGGAGCCACCGGCAGATCCTTTCGGGGTGCCCGAGGGGCGCGCTCGTTCCCGGCCGATGAGGTGCTCCGCTTGGAGGCTTGTATCGATGGTCGCCCAGCCGGAATAGTCGCCACGGAGCATCTCCCGGCGACGCTTGTAGTGGAAGTCGAAGTGGTAGGCCAGAACGGCCGACCACTGGTAATCCTGACTAAACTGAACCATCCGAGCGAGGTACTCGGAGCTGCTCGAAGTAAGCTGGTAAAGCGCAATGGCGTCGCCGCCCGTGCTCGCGAACCCTCCGAGCACGTTAAAAAATGTAATAAGGGGAAGGTAGAGCGAATGGAAATTGGGGTAGTCCCGGGGCGCCTGATCGCGCACCGAAACAACGCCACTGCTCACGTCAAGGACCTGCCGGGTGGCACGGTCCTTGTGGCGCGGGTCGAGCTTATAGAGGTCGCCCGGCCGGAACTCATGTCGCGCGATCTCGAGGAGGACGGAGCCCTCAATGGAGGGGAAAAGGTCGAGCAAAGACTTACCAGCAGGGGCCGGGTTTGCCGGCGCAAAAACGAATTGCGGGAAGGCTGCCGCCGTAACCACTGCTGGGGTCGCTGTCGGCGGCGCGGGCGCGGCTGCCCCTTGTTGCCCTTGGTACAGGGTGGCCAGGGTCTGCACGATGGCTTGGAGCTGGTCCGGGGAGAAGCTGACCTGCGGGGCCGTCGCGTTGAGGGCGGCCGCCACCGGGTCCGGGGGCTGCGAGGTTGACGTGGGTTGAGTGGACGGGCCACTGGTGTTGCCCGTGGTCGAGCTGTTACCGGTGGGGTTAGTCGACGAGGAGCCGCCCGGGGGATCGCCAGAACCAGCCATATTGTCTGAATCTGGTGTGGGTGATGTCGGTACGGGTTCTGTAGATGCAGGCACGCGCTTCAGGAAGCGGCCGTCGGGGCCTCGTTGCAGTGTGCTGCGGTGGCGCGGGGCCGTGATCTAAGAAAATGCGAAGCCCGAAGTCGGGGACTTTCGAGCACGCCGGTGAGGAAGGAGGTGCGGGAACTACGGTACGTGTATCGTACCTTTCGAGCACGCCGGTGAGGAAGGAGGTAAGGAGGGAGAAGCATCAGAGACCTGTACATATAAGTAATCATAGAAAACAAAGACCTTGCCCCGCGCTGCAAAAACGCGTTGAGCGCGACAAAGGCTTTGTGCGACGGGGAAGAGAAAAGCACGTTGTCGGCGCACGTGCTCCCCACGCGACTTAGACCCCAGTCAATACCCATTGACTGAAACAGTAATCGACCAGAAACGCTACAAATCGACAGATAAAGGTGAGTGATGGCAAATGGCTTTTTGTGGCCATATCTGCCTATCTCCTGCTATATCTACCGATATCCACCGATATTGGTCTTTATGCCAGCTAGAAAAAGCTACAAATCGTAGGAAATAGGGAAGGTTCTCACTGGGCTTGATCCTCCGGGCCTACTATGCATATACATGCACCGCTCAACGGTGGGCCAGGTAATCCGCCACCAACGTCCACGACAAATTTTTGCACTACTACTTACTGTTATGCAGGCTCAGGTAAAGTTACCACGTGCAAAATTGCGAACGGTCGCGAGATCTACGACTCAGTCGTCCCTTCCCCAAATGTATACGCGTTGCTCTATCTTCTGTTATGGGCTTAGCGTGTTTCAGTGGGTGTCCCGCTATAGGTGGAAATGACGCGAATGAAACACTGCAGGTCTACATTGTCCGTACGCCGATCCCCTCGTACACCTCCAGCCCGAAGCGACAGGGCGAAAGCTCTCCACGGCCGTGGCAGCGGGGTCTCTCCATCGATACACGGATCTACAACCTTTCCGGGTGGTGTCTAAAACCCACCTTTCCTCCCTCATCGTCCTGGATTGACAGATACTGACAGATATCAATGCACCGGCGTTGGTGACTCCGGGGTGGCTTCCCAGGGTCGATTGACAGCAAATATGGACACTATCCAGCCCGTTGGGAAATTCAGGAGCGCGTAGTGCTACAGCACAGAACTCTCTGTGTGAGTTCTAGCTAACATATGGCCTATCGACCTTCAGTCCACACAGATCGACCGCGGCGCATCCTTCACCGACTTGAGTACGCGATCCTCAACGACAAACCTACAGTGACCTCGTTCTGTTGTGTACAATAAGCATCGGAATCAATCGTATAGGCATTTGTCACCGGTGCTGTCACGACGGCGAACGCTGAACAAGTGGGACCGGGCATCGCAACCGTGGTCAAACGAGTTTAGTGATGCCAGTGTACGTCACTTGCGTGCCTTCTTCGTGTCACTTGTCGTCCAATTCTAACTACGGGTCTTTCTCAACCGACATCCAGTGCGCAGATAATCCGTAGTCCTCGGAGCGTGTCTTCTAGCTTCGACATACTCACGAAAATCGGCATACCCAGCCCCGGATCCGTAATAATCATTAGGCAGGGTCGCTTCTCTCATGTCCCCGTCAGGGATCGCGGACCCAGACTTGTTGGACCAACGATTCCCTAGCGTTCAGCCGCTGGCTTAGGGCCCAATATCCGTATTGGGCGCATTTTGGCTACTTTGTCGCAGGATGTCTGCGCCCAAGCCGTCAGAAATGTAAAGTTGGCTCTCAAGGTCCGTCTATTTAGCTCGGACCGGTATTACACACAAGGTATGTCTTTATGTGGTTTGGCACATACCCTAGTTGAGGGACGTGGCCCTGCCACCAGTAGACTAAATGGCCTAGTGCACTGCAAGCATTCACCGAAGACGCGATGACACGCAAAGTCCGGACGTGAATACCTTCATCAAACACTCCCTGGCTTTACCGGTCCGCCCATATGTCAAACTCAGATTTACGACATCCTTAGGGGTCCCACTGTGTAGGTTCATTGCGCACCCGCCCGTGTATTTTTCTTGCGCCTCTATCTTACGGTGAATGTGAGCCAAATCCGTGCGTGGAGCCAACTTATTGATGTCGTATCAGTATTACTCATGGCGCATAACCACAGAGGTTCACTGCTGATCCCAGCATTGTGTGCAGGTTCACAACAGCGGTGTGTTGTTATTCAAGGAACTAGGTACTCATGTGAAGCGGGACCCTGACTATATCAAACCTGGCTGCTACGTCTCCTGACCGGAGGTGCAAAGCAGCGGTGCGGCAGTAGGGTCCTGTCGATGAACCCATGTCCTCATTGCCTGGATTCGCAGAGATGGCCAAATTTCTGCCGTGAAGATGACATATGCCGCATCGGCACATCTCGTTAGGTTGTGGCCGCACCTACTCGTAGGCCGCCGGGTCCAGCATATATAAACTGGCCAACGGCGCACAACCATCTGCAGAATCCACAACAAGGATCTTTCCAGAGACCAGCCAGCCCATCGCATTCCTTCGCTTTAACTTTTACTCCTCCACCTCCACTCTCATTCAGAACATCACAATGGCCTGCATTTTGAAGCCCACTATGCCCACCTCTTGCTCTCCCGAGCTTTACGGTATGGAAGTTTGCTTAGTGTCCGTTAAAGGTATGCTAATGGATGACGCTTTCTCTAGTGGCCTGCCCCACGATGATCAGTGCGTCTCTCCACTCGGTGCATTCGCCGCCTCCGCTCAGATGCTGACGGCGACCTGCTAGATGTGCACGAGTGGCTCATGATCCACCACACCATCATCAGCTCTACCGGGTGCCCCGGGGGCAAATACGACGTCTTCGCCGTCGCCGAATTCCCGATATTTGCCTCCAAGGCGGAGTACATCAGCATGAGCATCGGCATCCCGCTCGGACCCGTCACCGTCGAGGTGCGCTCCTCCGACTTTTCCTTCGTCTCACGGCATTGATGACAGCGCGCCCCGTGTACGCACAAACAGTTCGCCACCACGCTCGACATCCGCCAGGGCTGCTCCTCCCACCTCGACAAGGTCACCGCGAACATCAAATACCCGCTCCTCGCATCCGTCAAGGGCGGCGCGTTCAAGGGCAACCTCCACAACAGCTGCGGCATCACCATGTCCATCGGCGTCCCCGAGATCTACGGCAGCGTCCGCCTGTGGATCGACTGCGACTCGCTCTGGATCGACTTCGACTTGACGGTCTTCGGCGTGCCATACAAGGGCAAGTTCGCCGTGCTCCCCATCCCGTGAGTCGTCCCTTTCCCGGCGTTGGACGTGGAGCGACGATGCTGAATCTTCTTCTGCCCAGCCGCTGGTTCATCGCCGTCGCCAATAGCGACAAGCTCCTCGACGCCCCCACCGGCAAGATCTCCCCCCTCCCGTCTCCCGGCGCCATCAACGTCAACAACGAGACGAACAACATCACCAACATCGTGACGGCCCCCGCTTCCGGGGCCGCCGTTGCCGTCGCCTAAAGGAGGTCGGGCGACGTCCGCTCTTCGGGGAGCCTCCCATCTCTGGTCCCGTATCTCGTATGATCTTTCTAATATCGCTCGTTCGTACTTCGGAATGTGTTTGTAAAATCGAAAAAAACTATACATTGTTTGGGAATGCTCCTTCATGTGCAGGCGTGCAAGCTATCCTGACAAGGTCCCTCGTGTTGTTCAGGACTACCGTTCTTCGAAATGGTGGCGAGGACCCGAAGACATTGGCTACAGACCGGAAGAGGCAGCGCGGAATGCGTGTGTTGACGTTGGGCTCTAACGCCGTGCAGGAGCCACCAGTATTCTGATCGAGCAAGGCTGATAGCCAGCTTCGTCGGACGTCGGACCACGCGCATCGCAGAGAACAACAACAAGACATCATTCGTTCAGGTGCGGGACAGGGACGCAATGGTAAAGTTAACTACACTGCTTAGCAAACTGGACGATTCATCTTGTCATCCGCACCGCCACAATACGGTATCTGTTATTCTTTTCCAAAAGTCCAAGAGTAAAGCCAGAGCCAATCAGACACCTAGCCCTAGAACTTCGCGACGCCATTGCTCAGCTGGACGTTGGTGACGGTCCACATCGCGCGACCGCCGGAAGCGTCCTTGCCGTTGATATCCGAGTGGAACGCGATGTTGACGTACTGGTCGAGGACGTTGATCGCGGTCGCGCCGCCAGGGCCCGCCGTGCCGTCGGTGCCGCTGGTCAGGAAGGGCGCGTTCGGCGCCTGCACCTTGGTGAAGGGCCCGGTCACGCTCTGGGAGACGGCGTACGAGATGTCGTAGGCGAGGGTGTTGTAGCTGTTCGACGAGAAGAAGAGGTAGTACCCTGCGGGCCATGCGGTTACAGTCAGCAACTTGTACCAAGGAAGGATTGGGAGACGAGCGCGACTTACAGCCATCCCAGTAGACCAAGGAGGGAGCCTCGACGAGGCCGCCGTCGACGGGGTCATTGGTGATGAGGGTCACGGGCGAGCCGAGGAGGTCGTAGCCGTTCGCGCCGACGTGCTGGATTTTGATGGGGGTGGACGCGCCGATCGAGTTGCCGTCGACCTTCCAGAGGATGTAGAGACCTCCTCCGGGTGCCTCGAAGCCGGAGGCGTCGATGACACCGCCGTTGGCGAGGTCGCAGATGAGGGGCGAGCTGTTAGGCGTGAAGGGGCCTGCAGGGCTCGTCGCGGTCGCCACGCCGATACAGTGGTCGTTGGTCGGGCCGCCGCTGCGGTGTGCGGTGTCTGCATATGCGAGGAGCGCCAGGTGAGCGTTTCGAGTGTACTTGCAGCATGCAGTGTTACACTCACAGTACATGACGTAATGGCCTGTAGTGATCTCGCGGACATCGGGAGCCCAGACGGCACTGCATGATAATCGCCACAAACACATGCGAACAATTGGAGAGGAGAATGGTGGAGACAGTCAATGCCAGCCGCGACACAGGTCCGAACTCTGACTGCGAGACTTACCCATCGGCCCAAGGACCAACGCTGGAGAGGACGTTGGTGGGGGTGCTCCAGCTCACGAAGTCGCTCGACCTCGACATGGGGACGAGGCCGGAGCTGGAGGACGTCGAGTACGCGTACCAGGTGCCATCTGAGTTGCGTAAGATGCCGGGATCGGCGAAGTCCTGGTTAATGACAGGGCCATTGCTGACAGTACGTCTAAACGGGGTGGCGAGTGAGAGGGTCGAGATGACACCGACAAGGGTAAGGAAGAGAGTGGTGGGGAACATCATGTTGAGCGTCGTGACAGGGTATGCGAACGAATGTGGCGGCGACGGAAAGACGAGGCCAAAGACAGATGTAGAGAGGACGGGAAGGATAGAGAAGCTTGCCAATGGGGTCAGAAACAGATGCTCAAGTACCCTCGCGCTTGTGCGTAAGGCTCCAAGCGACGAGCATGTGTTCGATGATGGACGCGAAGCATTGAGGAAGGCTAAGCTGATCTCGATGCTGCGTGCACCGGACCATATGCATGCATGATCGCTATAGCAGCTGTGGCACCGTGGGACAGTGCGCCGAGGCGCCTCCGTCCGTTCTTATGTCGGAAGATGTTGATGAGGACTTTCTCCTCGCCACTCACGGTCGCAGTGACAGTGGCTCCATGCTGTCCCGTGGTACAACGTGATGACCACCAGAGCGCAGTGATGATCTCATGGTGTAGCGTTCGAAGGGTGAAAGAGCAGTCATCCTGGCTTTTCCATATGGCGTCGAGGTCATCAGATATCACACTAGAACCGTGAACGCAACGTACCTGACCTACGTGTCACAGGAAAACGTCACATTTCGCCCCAGAGCGACAACATGCAACCTGATGACTAGAAACATGGTCATCTGAATGCTAGAAAATCGGCTGCAGAAGACTGACAACAACCAACTGTGGTCACAAGCGTGATCGAAGACGGACCGGCCAACGATTGATCCGGTTGTACTTAGTTGCCTGCTGCAGTAGCCAGGTGCTCCCGGTGCCAACAGTCGTCTAGGACAAGTCCAGATTCAGGAACGGTTATGAAGCAAGCTTATCTAGCGGATCGACACACCGCAAGGACGAACCTTTTCACGTGGCCACCTTCTTCGATGTGGAGAGTCGAGACCTGCCAGGCAACAGCCAGACAATTGTGGTTGCTCCGTTGAGAGCAAGTTGCGGTGCTTACATCCGAGAAGTGTCCAAAATTCTCACTGAAATATAGTGCATCAGCTCGGTCCCATAGTGCTCCCTGCTTCAAGCGCGATCCCCGATCCCGGGTTCTAAAGTTCTGGTTTTCAAAGTACATACCCCCTCGCTGTGCATCTCGAGTGAGAGGGGGAGGGGTCGCTGACAAGAACGCCAGGGAGGTGCAGTCGCGTCGACGCCGACGGAAGCGCGTCGATCCACGACGCGCTCTGCCCGCTGGCATATACTGTATCGTGCGCCTGTGAGCAGATCTAGACTCCTATACGCAGCACGGACTGGGATCTGGAAGCCTGAGAACCCTAGAGGGCACACGGCTAGTGCACGAGGGGATAAAGATGGTAGACGTAGTAGTGGATAGAGGTGCAGTATGTAGACTGTAGTACGAATCTGGACGTCAGCGCCTAAAGCATATGACTGCATAGCACCGCCGATGCCGTCCTGGTATCAACGTTATTCCATAAAATGCACACAACCTTTTCGTGGCAACGTAGCATTCACCCCAGTGAGCATGCTATACCAGGGGGAGGGAGAGTGTAGACCGTCTCAGTGCCCGGTGAATGGGTGCGCTCAACATGACCGAGGCGGCGACTTATTGACGACTACTTGCTAACAGGACGCGTACGGGCTCCACCAAACTGGCCCGTATTGTATGTACATGTTCTCCTGCTGGGCGGCCATCTGACGACTCAGGCTTGCGGTATAACTTAGGCCTGTATCATGCTCTGTGAAACCGGCAGACCAGAGTATTGAAAAATGGTGAGCCATTGGTTGTATCTATACCCCTACAACAAGTACAAATGCGCAAACCCGTGAACATTACCATCGCCCCTCAGACGTCTCGTGGGTATCGTCAAGCGACCCTCCAACAGTGTAGCGCATCATCCGCATTTCCCCGAAACAAGCCTAGTTCGTGGTCGCGGTCGTGAACGGCGTGTTGGCAATGCCGATGCGGCTGTTGGCGGTGTCGAAGACGGCGTAGAAGCGCTCCAGGAAGGTCTGGCCGTTGATGAAGTCGAGGCCCTCGCCGGAGGGCGTGCCAATCGAGCCGACAATGAGGTACACGCTGTTCGCGTTGCCACCGATGGCGGTGTTGAGAGCGCGCTGAGGACGAACGGGAGCATTAGCTCAGTATGTAATGGGTGCACAGCAGACAAGAGATTGAGAAGATGAGAAGAAGCAGTTGAAATCTTTCAGCGGAGTTAGATGAAGTAGATGGGGTGTAATTAGAAGACAAGGGAACATATCGAGTGTAAAAGGGAGATGAGGGCGCAAGAGCAGTCGAAGGGAAAACACGACCAGATATGGAAGAGAACGTACCGGCCAGATCTGAGCGTTGGGCGTAAGCTCGAAGGTTACCTGGGAAGACACGTCCATCACGTCAAGTCAGAACTTGTCTCCGAGAACGATCGGAGATCTCAAATATAGCACACATACCCCGCCAATGGTGAAGAACAAACTCTGCAGCTTCGCGAACTGAGCCTGGGTGAGCCGGAGCAGGCCCGTTGCGTTGTCTGGCACAGCACCAGTAGCACGCTGGTACTTCGAGAGGGCATCTGCACAAAGCGCCGACGTCAGCCGGCGGCTTGAATAAGCCTTGTACGATGAACGTACCAGTAGCGATGAGAATAAGCGTGGTGCCGGTGTCAACGATGCCAGCGGTAGTGGAGAGGATGCTGGTGGATGTGCCGTATCTGATTGACTGGTTGATGCCGAAGAACAGCGAGGCGGGAGATGTGGTCGTAATCGGCCTGCAAACGAATAGTCAGTCTTCAACGGAACGCTTCGAGCCACTGACAATTCGTGCAGTTCCCTGTAGAGACATCATGCTGCCAAGGCAGGAAGCACCGAACGTGACGGATGAGACGCGAACGTACACGAAGTTGATGGCACCGGTGAACTTGCTCGAATCCGTGCCGCCGAACGTAAGTTCGCCGTTGACAACCGAGGCCGACGTCGTGGGTTCAAACGAAACAGAGACGAGGTCCTCCGTGATGACACCTTGAGAAAAGAGGTTGTCCGTGACTAGGAGGTGGGAGCAAAGTCAGTGAGGCTCCCATGACGCGCTGCGGAGAAGCGCAGAGAGCACAAGCGGGAGCAGCCTTACCGGTCGGGATAGTCGTGGTCGTGTCGGGAGAGAGTGTTCCGACAGTGAGGTCCACTGGCCCAATGCTATAGATGGCGAAGTGGACAGTGAGAACCAGCTGCGGTGCGGAGAAGGCGATGAAAGTGCGTACCCAACGATTCCGTCCACGCCGTCGAAGCCCTCGGAGTCGGTGGCAACACCAATGGACTGGCCGTTGATAGTCAAGCCACTACCCAAAGAGACGGTGTCGATGAACTCAGTTCCTGCCCCAGAGCGTGAGTAGGTTGGAGGAGCATTACTACAGACTAGTCGAGGGGATTCTTACCCTCGAAGAAGCCCGAGCCGTAGGTAACGGACTACGACATAAATTATGCGTAAGACATGGAGACGCAAAGAAGCCTGCACTCACGACCGCGTCACGCGTTTGACGCGTGGTGGAACTCTGCACGAAGCTCTTCCCAGCGCCGACCCAGGTATTCGAGCTACCAGTGTCAACAAGGAGGGAGTCTGGAGGCCGGTGCATGAGAGATATGTACCGGACAGTCACGCAAGGACTTACACGTCGTGGGCGGTGTGCCGACTTCGACCTAAGGATTTGATATTTCAGAAGGGTATGCTACGCCCATCAAGGCTTGCTACTCACGTTGATCACATAGTCCACGGCTTGATTGTCAGCGGGAACGCTGATGACAGCATCCGAGGAGAGGGGCGTGCCCGCGAGGCGCGCGTTCGCGCGCGCTCGAAGGTTCTTTACGCGCGCTTGGTCGCGAGCGAGCAGAGTGCCCGAGCCGGTGAGGTTGAAGCGCTTCGCCATCGGGACACGGACGAGGTTGTCGCGCACTTGCACGACGGGCGTCGCGTTCGCCGCGACCACGACGGTCAGGGCGACGAGCAGGAGCGAGAAGCCGCGAGACATGACTGTTGAGAAGAAGGGAAGGGAAGCGGATGGGGAGAGGATGTCTGAGCGGGACCTCCACAACGGCTACCGTCCGGTATGCGTTCCACTTATATAGCGAGAGGTCCGGTGCACTTTGAACATTTCATACAGAACATGCGAGCACTTCGGTCTCAGCTTCTGCGGACCATGCCGACAGGCACGCTGGGGACGGGAAGATGATCTTGAAGAAGCGCATAGGACCCCTGGAAAACGTCGATGCAACGTGGTCCGGGCTTGACAACAAGAGTCGTTGATATCGCACAGACTTTTCTGCCTACCCTGAGTGAATATAGAAGCCTTCTCAGTACTGTTTTCCGAGGCTTTGTTTTGGGTGGGTACTGACTTGAAGATTCATGGCAGCGGGTATATTTTCCCTCGTTTCGAACCATACCAGGGGCCGGGCGGCCTACCACACAAACCCAATCCCAAAAGCTCTTTCTCGGGTCTTGGAGAGTCGGGGGTCCGTGCGTCAGTACCTCGAAGAAGCCAGAGAAGCATGTGCTCGTGCCCCAGAGAGTGGACGCTGGCGAATAAAATTACTACCTGTGGGAGAAAAGCCAACTCACGTCAGTGGGATCTCTAACGTTAGTGGGAACCCCGACGGCCAGTACGCACAGAACAGTGTAAGGTGCTTCTGAGGTAGGCTGAAATTCCTAGGGATACAGTGGACACGTGAGCGGCATTCGTTATGGTGATGTGTACACATTTGTCGTAAGTACCTGTCAGATGCCGGGATGGACATGATCATCTTCGCGCCTAGTGTTGGGACGGTCAACACTGACATTATAGCTTTGTGGCGGCATGAGAAACGCCGATGCTGACGATTGATGGCCTTCTCGTAGTGCCATCCAACGTCATGCTCCACCTGGCTGTGAGACAGCAAGACGACATGAATATGCCATCCACGCCTCCATAGGCCAGGGAATCCGGCGAACAAATACAGCACTTGCGCAGCAGGCAATCCGTCGTCTTGATGATGAAATGACGCGAGCAAGCAAGTATTCCATGCATATCCAAGGAAGTCGTTCGCATCGCAGGACAGGAAGGGCTCTGAACCTATCAGCTGACGCGTCTATGTTGACCAGACAGAAGGATCTGCGTCAAGCTTCGGTAGTCTGATCGCCTGTCACCGTTGCAAGATGTACGGAGAGAGCGCGGACTGTGCGAAGCAAGCCAATAGGAAGTTATCTCGATGAGACCAGCCGGGAAGTCGTCGACTCAGAGGATGGAAGGCCGACCTCATGAGCTATGTGGCGTCATCATACTGCCAGCGAAATGATATAGCTGTTAGGCAAGTAACCGTTTGAGGCGCAGTCACCACCGGGCATCGGAGACGAAGACAACGAAGTCGAACAAGCTGAGCGTTATAGGAAATGCTGCGAGACAGCCTCGGTATAAACATCAGCGTTGCGCAGTTATGGACGTTCGCATTGAAGCTATTTAGCGCCGGAGAGCTCGGCAGGGAAACCGCCCATCCCCAAGCCTTGAGTTGGCGCTACGACTTCGGACCTGCATGTTACCCAACCATTTCACTCCGTATCACCGGTACGCTGCTCATCACCTGGGCGATACAGTTGCCGAGGAAGACCACGACAGCAGACTGGCATACCGAAGGCCTTGCTCGGCGAATTTCAACGCGAGCTGACAGCGATTGATGTTACAGGAGAGGTGTCACATATCCGGAACGAAGAACGTGCGGATTCGACGTGGACTGCGACGCCTTTGTGCTCATCAGACGATGTGTGGAACCATATCCATGGCACAAAACGCTGTCAACTGCGCGAAGCCTCTGCAGAATATGTCGACTCTGGACAATCCTCATCAGCGGTGAGCACAAATCAATCACTCCCATGTCGCACGTCGCGCCGGACTATGGCCGTGGTGACTCTTGCTGTCTACGCAGCCCCTACATCACGACGGCGAGCGGTGCTGCGGACTCTTGCCCTACTTCCCGCGAATGGACTTCGCGACCCGTATCGGTCTCTGTTCTCCGATACGTTGGATATAAGTCTCGCTGGTTGTGCTTGCCCTTCTTTCTGTTTACAACGCAATCCGGGCGCGAGTTTTGCCGTCCCCTAGATAGCCTGCTATCGGAAGCATTCATCGAAAGCATTCAACATTGTTCCCGCGGCTCACCGCGATTGCCGTTGCACGTTACAACGACCTCTTTTCCGGTTTATCTCCGCTCGAGAGCCTTCCAGATGTTGCTCGAAGCCACGATGTGACTCTATTTGCGTCGCGAGATATCCAACAATACCGTTTGGCCAATTCTCGAAACACAGTTACCAACCTACCTAATCAGATGCGCCGTCTCCATTATGCTAGATAGCTGGCATCGGCGCATGCCTCCTTTCAAGCTCTGACCTTTGTTATCATCTGCGGCATGAGGATTAGGGTGACTGAGTGGGCTCGAGCAGCTGGGCACGTCAAGACGACAGGGAAAGAAAAAGGCTACACTGTATGGGATTCTGACGCACGATCGAGGGGGGATCGGCAATGGCGAGAGGTCGCGCGATTTCGAGCTGATACCTGCTATCCAAGTCCCGAGCTTCACCATCAAGTTGAGTACTACCGCGCGTGCTTCCTTCTTCCCACCGCTTGCTATTGCATTGATCAACTCAACGTGAGGTACAGATATGGGCATCCTCAGAAGAGCATCTCCGGAGATCCTGGAGATCCTGCAGGCGTTACTATCCTTAGTTCTACCCATTGCCATGGTCCAAAGTTTGTGGTGCCGACGGAGGACAAGTTCTAGACGCTATCAGCGAACTCAGTCGGTTCAAATCCCCATTCCCATTTGTGTATGTCTCAGCTGTATTAATCGAGGTATCCACTTTGAGACAGACAACCTCGACCTGAGTTTGTTGTAGGCGTGAGAGGTCGGTTGATCCTCCGTCTTGCTCGTTATGCTTCCTTTTAACCCGCAGTCCGCCAATCTCTGAAGGTTTGACAAAGTCCTGTAATATCTCTATTTGAGCGAGTCGGTTCCTAAACGTCTCGATGCCAGTGGCCCACAACGACTACCTTACTTAAGCAGGGATGGGACTTGGTGGAGGGTGCCCCGAAACGTATGAACACGGCGAATGATTGTGCGCAGAGTGCCTCAGTAGCTATGTATGGACATTGCGCGTCGTAGAGGCTATCCAAGTATGAGTCCCTATACAAACTGCTTAATCTTCTCCTCCATTGGGAGGCTCAGACATCTGCTGCTTCCCTACTATACAGACGTGCTGTCTAGTTGTTTCAGCTATGGATGCAGTACACCGACCATAATGAGCACCATGTACCGACCACTCCTAATGCGCTCACGAGACTTCTACGATGCCGCGAGCATACAGTTTTGGTAGCTTCTGCTTGACGTCCTCACCAAAAAGGACAACGAGTTCCGAAGAAAGGTCGCTACCACGGATGTCGAAGTGCATTCGGTCAAGGTCGGTGAAGCTTGGGCCTTCCAAGACGGGATCCATCTTCTCCAGATTCTGTGTATCGATGGAAGTTTCCGCCTGTATGGTGATGCGCAACCGGCGAAGGCGCGAGCGCGCCCCGCTAACTATGTGAGCCATGACATCCCAAGGTGAAGGTCCTTCCTTGTTCTGGAAAAATTGGAGCCATAGGTCTTCGAGGTGCTTCAGATGGGATAAAGGCAGTGTGTTCACTGTACACAAACATGTCAGACAGCTAATCGTGTTATATTTGGGAACGCGATGTACCTGTACTGTCTGGGTATACGGTGGCAACCAACGCGGTGAGCGAAGGCAACTGTCCCACCAGCGCTGTACATGCGCTTCGACCATCCGAGAACGGCCATAAGACATATTCATATGTGAGATGGCGGATTGTCAAGCGTGAAGGGGTGTGGAGAAGCCAGTGGATGAAAGGCTCCAGGCCCGAACGAATGCTCATGCCCGTGAAATCAAATACTTCGAGAGACACGAGTGAGGGACGCTGATGACCCTGGTCGGCAATCGTCATTGTCGGCGATGTCAAAAACGTTGGATTGTCCAGGGATAGATGAGAAAGAGATGAGAGGCTATCTAGCATACGCCTGAGGGTGTAGAATGACTGGAAAGTGCAGAAGGACAGGGCAAGACGACTGATGTGGCGGAAACCAGAGAGCATGAGGTGAAAACGAGGATGAAAACAAGAGATATCCATGCTCATTGAAAGCGTGTGCAGCCCAGGTAGCTTGCCGGAGAATTCGTATAAGAAGGAGCACCCATGGCGGCTAGATTGAGGTGTAGGCAGGGCGTGACCCTCTTTACAATGTCCGTCGAGAGTGATCTCCTGGATCGAGTTCAAACACGAGCGCGTGAGTTGATGGGGCGAATGTAAGACATCCTGAACAAGCTTGTCGTATGCTACCCCTCGAAGGGTGATGGCGCGGAAGAGATGATGCCTGCTGGCAGGGAGCCACTCCCGAGAGACGAGGCAACAGGCACAGAGTGTCTCTTTGTCGGGCCATACGAACGCGATGATCTCGTCGTTGAGCTCTCCGGGAAGACGCGCGGAGCTGGCCATCGGTTATGAGGAGAGCACCTAATGCTTCATCAGACCAGCGGCCAATGATCACTGAAGTTGACTTTACAATTAAATTGCATCCTTACCCGTCTCTCCCGAAGGCAATGATAGTCGACTTTGCCTTGCGAGCTACGCAGCCGTTGAATGTAACGCAGACTCCAGACGAAATGACTGTTTGGTAAAACAGCTTGTAGTGTGCAGGTGAGAGATCGTGATGTGTGGGAAGGCGATGGCTCGGGTCAACCAGGGTCCAGGGACCAGGGTCACCGCTATGTATGTATATACCACAGGCACGTGAACGTCTGATCCTGACATTGACTTCGCCCACGCATTCTCGGTGGACGTTATGACATTGGGGCCAAATGCCACAATAATATGACGATCACCACCCATCAGATGTCTAATGGTTCCAACAAAACCCGTAATTCCCTGATAGGGGAGGTTCAACATCATTGGTCCGTAGGCAAACTTGAATGACATCGAGAGATAGCCAAGTCCCCACAAAACATAGCTTATGTAGTCCTGAACTATCCAAGGACACTGTTCAACAAATTCTGAGTCCTGAATTAGGGATCTGTGGACTCGTGGACCTAGATTGCAATCGTGTATGATGCGTGACGCTTTAGCCTCCGGACGGTACCGGTGCATTAAGATGTGGAACGATGCAGGATCCGGAGCACATGTGGCGGGACGTTGCCTTCATGAGCTATGCGCAAGACGTTTGACAGTGAGGACGTTGATTTCCTACAAATCAGTCATCAGAAGTGCGAAGGTTCGATGACTGCTCAAAACCCAACGGCGGATCGTCTGGGTGTATAGCAGATATTACCTGTTGCACATCCTCCTCGAGTTCAAGTCCCTAAGAAGTATGCATCATATGGAGAATGGTGTCTGAGACACCGATGCGATAACGCAGGAATGCCTAGTGAATTAGAGCGGGGGTGCCGATGCTGATGTGACAACTACAAGAGGTCTGTATGATAGATGCAAAGCTGCAGATAGCGTTGGCGACAAGAGGCTCATGAACGGCATCACTGCCTTAACGAAAGCCCATGCCCATGGAGATAGAACGCAGTAGGGAGGTCCCACAGCCGTATCGAAAACCAGATCTCCGCGCCGTACTTGTACCAGAACGCGCCGAACAGTGCGCCGCCTAGGTGAGCGAAGTGATCCAAGAATCTGCGAGGGGCACGGGATCAGCTACGGCCTATCGCACCCCCATAGACATCAAACAGCTCACCTCCATCCACGCAGTACGCCAAGAGTGTCGATCGCAACCAGAGCGAAGAATCCTGTCTGGATATTGATCGGAAAGTATGGCGGAATGACCAGAGTAATCTCAGCATCGGGGTAGCCGAGTGCTGTTATGGCGAATAACGCATATATTGCTCCGGATGAGCCAAGGGATGACGTCCCCTCTGTAGCCGCCTTACCGGCCGCGGCGACAGCAGTATCGGCTTTTGTAAGCGCCGTGGATGCAGATGACTTGAGACTGAAGCTGGAAGAGGTGGACGGAGTTGTGGTCGCGTTCCTCAAGCGAGCAATGAGTCGCGGATATTGCCATCTGGTGTGACCAATATGGGAGACGAGACCAGAAAAGAGGCCAGCTGGAACAGAATGGATGATCAGCGAGGTTGATAGCTGGATAAGAAAGGTACACACCGGAGATGAAAAGTGCGAGTAAATGCCACTTGGGTGAGGGTTCCGAAAGCGCTCCGTGCTCTTGCTCGACCTTCTTGAACTGTGCTATCAGCTGTTGACTTGCAGCTGCGCCTGGGATGCAGACGAGAATGAGCAAGCCAAGAGTGTAGAGACGTACAAGGCACTAACCGAAGCTCGCAAGAGCCATACAGTTGAACAAAAGGTGAAAGAAGTTCTCGTGGCTGACAGGACATCGTCAGCATTCACGCATGCTCAGCACATCGAAGTCAAAGTGGACGCACCTGAACATGCTCGTGAAGAGCGTGTACGAACGCCCAGATAGGGGATTATGCGCGAAGCTCCGCAACATGACTGGTCCCCATCGAGGAATACGCCATGCGACCCATACAGCGACATTCACTGCACCAATCGCCCAGCACATGCGCTTGCCTTCCGTCGCGTTCAGAATTGGCTGGAACACTTGAACGTATGACCAGCTGATCACCGCCTTCATAGTCTCGGGAAGCTGATCGACCGACGACTTTAGGTTGGCAAGTCCGGTTTGCAGATGCTTGAGGGCGCGTATAGTCAACACACATGTGCAAGAAAGATAGCCAGAGACCCACTCGTCCAAATGTGAAGTACTTAATCCGCGCCAGCTCCTCAGAAGTTGGTGGTCTGCTCTTGTCGTACCCTCCCTGGGGGGATGCCCTCAAGTACGCCCACCACTTGAACAACTCGTAGTTCGTCAAGTGTGCCCCCACCACTAATGCACCGACAGTGCCCGCAACCACGAACTGAGCCGTTGGTCAGTGAAGGCATAATTGAGACGTGGGAGGAGGCTCTTACCAATACCTGGTTCCGTATGGGTGGCTTGCGCACGGCTTCAGTGAAGGATGGAAAGGGCTTCGCCTTCGCGACCTCCTCCCTGAACAGCGGCGCTTTTGGGAGAGTGCCATCTGCGAAGCGCGGTAGTCGAGGATTAGGGGTGAATGAAAAGGAGCGTCGTGTCGAGCGACATGGTAGCGACCAGGTGCGGGATGAGCGTAGAGTCCAAAGCATTCGGGCGGCTGCGGCGACGCCAGGCGCGCATCTTGCTTTTCGCTCTCGCCGTCGTCGACTGTCCGCGTACACGTTCCCACTCGCCGAGCAGCCACGCACTCTCCCTGCCGGGGCTTCCTTCGACGCGGATGCATTCAAGGAACGAAGGCAAGGAGGCATGTTCAACTACGTATTCTTCTTGCGACCCCCGCCCACCCAGGTATCTCCAGCCGGCCCTGTGACCTTCACGCCACAGCTTGCAAACGATCTCCGAACAGAAGAGTTCACCGGAGAGGAGGACATATACTACTCGTGGTCGCTCGTAAACTCATACTTTTTCGAACCGTATCCGAGCATCACATCGCCCCAAAAGTTGACCGTATGGCGGTCAAGCAACTTCAAAGAGTTCTCCGTCCCACTGCCTCCTCGCGCACGAGATGGGCAGTCGTATAGACTAGTCCTGACCACAAGGCAGCACGCGCGGTCGCATATCATCAATCTTGCAGCGCGCGACGTGGGGGAGAAGCCGTTTCCGGTCATATCTATGCCCATCGTCTTAAGCTCGCGCGCCCGCGCGGGACCACATACGGAGAAGCAGCAGTCCATTGAGCGTGTATACCGCGTCCCTTTGCAACCTGAGAAGGACGGCTTCCTCACGATCCGTGAGCAGACGTCATTTGACCTGGACAAGGTATGCATGCCATCGCTTCGTGCTTTCCGTCCTCACACAGCTAATTTCGTAGACGCTTCGCGCAGAAAGTGTGGGATAGCGGTATAGGACTGAGCTCTTGGCTAGTCGAGATGGCCCACCAGATTGCTTCTACAAACGGGGAGCATCTCCTCGTCGCTCGCGCACGGGACGCACTTTTTTCTTCTGCGAGATGCAGAGTCGTGGAACTTGGTCAGCGCAGACTACACTACGTTGATGGCAAGCATCGCTTAAACAGCGGATCGTAAAGGTGCAGGGACAGGCATCGTCTCTCTGACGCTTAGCGCATTGCGATCGGCCCAGTCCACCGACGGCGATGGATGCATACTCATGACAGATCTCGGTAAGGCGACAGCACTCAACGATCTACGCACACTGAGCATGCTTTGACAGACTCAGCTCTTCCCCTGCTTGCGCACAACGTCTCCACCAATGGCACGCTCTTCAAAGGTGCCTTCCGACCACAATCGCTAGCGCTGGACTGGGACGAGGAAGCACTCCCGAGCGAAGTCCTCGCCATCGAGGGCGGGTTCGACATCATTGTCATGGCCGACGTCACGTACAACACCGCGTCCTTCCCCGCGCTCGTGCGCACGCTCTCTTCCCTGCTCCGTTTGAGCCCACCAGACCATCCGCCGATCTTCCTGCTTGGATATAAGGAACGTGATCCAGAGGAGAGGACGTTGTGGGACATGACCAAAACTATCGGTGTCTCGTTCGAGAAGGTCGGAGAAAGGATTGGCGCTGGGCGAGAGCCGGTAGAAGTTTGGATTGGGACATACGAATAGAAGCCCCTGACATGATCTGTGCCATGCAATTGTATCGACGGCGCCTATGGAACTTAGCTCGGGAGTTGCCAACCAGGATGTTTTGCAAGTGCCGTGGATGCTAGTCTTCCACCGTATGTTCCAGGCATAAGTGGAAGGGCCGAGTTCACCACGAATACTCGGGGACCTAATATAACATTTCCAGGTCAAGGTGCGTACAGACAAGTTGCCAATTTCGCGAAAATATTAGATTGCTACTGAGGTAAGCGGAATACACAATAAACGACCGGTCAAAAGGAATGTATGGGTTTTCTCGAACCTCACAGACACATTGCAAAATATGAGCGAGCCATAGCTGCGAGACCATTCGAAAGACGAGACAGGAGCTGAGCTCCTGGCCATTCGAGCCTAGCTCGAGGTCGATTCGGCCACAACGGGAAAATCAACAGCGGGGGGCGTCACGATGTTGGTGACATTGTTCGTCTTGTTGTTTACGCTGATTGAGGGGGATGGTGAGGTAGATATCTTCCCAGCGGGCGCCTCGAGGAGCTGGTTACTGTTCGCCACCGAGATGAACCAGGGACTGATCAGGAGGCACGCCTTGTATGTAGGCGTGCAAGGTAGGCAGAACGGAGAACTCACGGGATGGGGAGGACAGCGAACTTGCCCATATACGCGACATCGAAGACCGTAAGGTCAAAGTCGATCCAGAGCGACGCGTCGGGGTGGCAGTGGTCGCCGCCGTCGATCCACAGGCGAACACTACCGTGAATCTTGGGGACCCCAATCGACATTTCAATGCCGCAGTCGCAGTGGAGGTCTCCCTTGAATGTGCCGCCCTTGACGGAGGCCAGGAGCGGGTACTTGATGTTGGCGGTGACCAAGTCGAGGTGGGTTGTGCAGTTCTGGCGGATGTCGAGCTTAGTCGAGAACTACTTGAATTGTGAGCAATCCGCCCCATAAGATGGCCAAAAGATGGCAAGTTGGAGTGAGCGCACTTCAACGGTAACGGGCCCGAGAGGGATGCCAATGCTGATGCTAATGTACCCCGCCTTGGCGGCGAAGATCGGGAACTCGGCGACGGCGAAGACGTCATACTTGCCACCGGGGCAGTCCTTGGAGGTGATGATGGTGTGGTGGATCATGAGCCATTCATGCACATCTTGAGGACCGTCAGCTGCTGGCTGGCTCAACGGCATTCAATCATGAGACGCACTGATCAACGTGGGGCAAGTCACTGGATAGGACATTCGTTAGCATGCCCTGAGTAAGCTTCGAGGAGATGACTATACCATAAAGCTCAGGAGAGCAGGAGGTAGGCATAGTGGGCTTCAAGATGCAGGCCATTGTGATGTAACGAGTGAGTGTGGAGACGGGAGAATACAGCTGTAAGGAGTGTGCTATGCTCGAGATACTCTCAGTTGTTTCTGTAGATGAAGTGCGTCGTCGGCCAGCTCTTATACGTTCATTCGGCGTTTAGAACTATCCTCTGCATGCTGTAGCAGCTGACATCACGAGGTGGTGATGATGCGGCAACGCGGCGAGTAATGTTCTGATAGCAGGACGTGGTCATTCCCGCGAAGCCGTGCGTCAACAATCCCGTGAAGGATGTACCGCACCTTCAGACTGCCGGCAAAGAGACGCGCTAATGACGGAAGCGTTTTGGCCGCATTCAGCGTTGTTCAGGGGGTCAAGTATGTTCACCTCACTTTACGCGAAGGCCGGGAAGCGCTCTTTGCGCGGACTGGTGACCTCCTGTGCGCAGATATTAGTATAACTGCTCTCAGGTCACCAAACGCCCGAACAGACGTATGCCAGTGGGTCAGGTAGGTGGCCCCCAGACAGAGTACAAGTACCAAAGGTTCTACGCAACTGAAGCCAAGAGCATGGACGTGGACCCAGAGAAACACAGCACACAAGCGGAACCTGAAGGCGCTGAAGATTGGAGATAGACAAGTAGGAAGGCAGGACTAGACTTCGGATGGAATCTCACGTCAGGATCAGGGGTCGTCCGGATTTCTTGTGCCCCCGACATCTCCGGGAACTGTATGTACATGCTGGCCAAATTCGCAGAGAGGGTCTCACGGTCGCGTCATGTAACAGGGATACACCGAATTGGGGAGCCACGCACGCACCGATGACTCTTTCCACGACCTAACACTGGCAGACGCTTGGTGAGTGCACCACACACAGTTGCAAAGCGGCTTCAAACGTCGTCGTGTTGCGTATCAATACTGACGAAGATATAACGCACGAGTGGTTGGCTGCACATATAGCCAGGCCAGGATTGAGGATTTCAGGACTTGATATTTCAGTTTGCACATCGATCCTGGGATCTGAGTCAATGATGTGGCCTCCTAGTTTCAATTTTTTTCTGGTGATATTCCAATGTGAACGACCGGAAGAACGAACAGGACGAACTCGATTAGCCCTGTACCTCGGATGTCGTTAGCATTTGGAACGTAATGACAAGTGACGTGAAACAGGCATGGAATGGACATACCTCATCATTATACGACTTGGACCCACAGTTGTGGTTCCCGGTCTTGTTACTGGGCGGCGAAGGTTGTCGTAGGCGCGATAGCTTGTGTGCGCCGGTGCCATGTCGTACGTAGGCTACAGTCTGTCACAGAGGGAGAGCGGTGGGGGATATAAGCGAACTTCCCTAGAGGATGCGACGTGGCTACCCGCCAAGTGGAGCGAATTGGTAGATCGTGCATCTTCATATGAGACTACGATGCCAATGGGCAGGGATCTAGAATACCACCGAGTCGAGGCCTCTCGCCTCCGATATACTGTCCGTTATCGGAATTTGCTGTCGAATTGACTAGAACGACAGATCCGGGATTGTGAGCACCGAACGGAGAGCAGCTGACCCCGAACCTTGAGTGAAATGAAAGGGAATTTGAAACGTACCTATCTGTCAGTCTCGACGGCGATACGTACATCTGGCCGAATACAGGCCCTTGCAGCAGCGAATGGTAGAGGGCTACAACGATATTGACTCTGTAGTAGTATGTCTCACTGCGCCTGCTAGTAGGGAGTTTTGCAGATGGAGGACCATGTCGCCAATGACAATGGCTTGTGTCAGCCCTCGCCTCTTGCGCCGGCACATTCGTTGCTCGGTAGACGACCCAACTGTAGTACGTCTAGTCCCGCAGTGCCGCAGCATCACGCTTTTCATAATCTGGAACGACTTCGTGTAATACATGTCCATGTTCAGCTGTTCCGCATACTGCAAGGAGAACATACGCACAAAGTCGATTCTACAAGCCCACGAGAGTTTCAGTTAAGGTCATGGGTCGATTCTAACCCGAGGACGTCGTCCCTGGGCCTGAACTCTCCGGTAGGAGTCGAACCGGATCGGATGAGGCGCCCAGGGCCAATCGGTTCCTCCAGAAGCGCCGCCCGCCTGCGCGCCTGTGAAACTGCCAGAATCCAACATCCTTGTTCTGCCCCGCACATGATGCAACCGTTACTGACCGTATCTTGTCCTATGCGGATTCTACATAGTCCTGAGGCTTGTGGTCCCGTCGAGGGTGTTGAAAATCTCCCCCCAGATTACCTCGCGACATCCGACCTCGGATGAGACGGGATGGATGGCTTTGGTGTAGAAGTTCATTTGACGTAGGTTCGAGTACCTGCACGTCAACCTCTGTGCTCAATTTTGCACAGGAAAGCGCCAACGGCTCCATGCGTACCTTTTCCCGCATCACTCGGGCATACCGCTGTGAATATGGGTGCGCCGTTTGTATCCTTGCTTTAGGAAACGACTTTCTGATTGTGAGCGTCGAACCCGGCTGTGAATTGCGGGAGAACTGGTTATGGACTAGCGGAACCATAGAGCCTGCCAGACAGCATGGCCCTTGGACACACGGTTCCTGTCTATCGAGGTATAAGTCCCGCTCCGCTAGTATGCGAGTCCCTTAGCCACACCAAAAAGAGCCACTTCGCCCTCCTGCCCAGCGCGTCTCGCAGCCGGAGGTCTCAAAGTGCGGTACGTCCGACGTGATCCTGTCGATGAGTTATCGGTCTCAATTCACTCGTACACAGAACGGACATTAGTCTGCTGTCAACGCGGCGTCCGCTGCCTCCGGAGCCCTTGCCTGTACTAGCAGCTAACACTTGCCGAGAATTGTTTCAGTGGTCGAGCTGGGACTATAAAGGCTGGCAGACGACGGACCTCGTCTGCAGAACCCACAACCAGGACAATCTCCCGCTACTAGCCAGCTCACCGCACTCCTTCGCTTTTACTCCCACTACTCCTCAACCCCCACTCTCATTCAGCACCACACAATGTCCTGCATCTCGAAGCCCACGTTTCCCACTTCCTGCTCTCCCGAGCTATACAGTATGAAGTGCTCCCTTGGATTCCGCCGGATGTATGCTAACGAACGATGGTCTCTTCCAGCGGCTTGCCCCACGATGATCAGTGCGTCTCGTCACTTTGGAAACTCCCCACGGTCGAATGGATGCTGATGCCGAACGCCTGCCAGATGTGCACGAGTGGCTCATGATCCACCACACTTCTGTCATCACGGGCCTCCCCGAGCGCACTTACGACGTCTTCGCCGTGGCCGAGTTCCCGATGTTTGCCACCAAGGCCGAGTACATCAACACCAGCATCGGCATCCCTCTCGGGCCCGTCACCATCGAGGTCAGTGCCAGCCAGATCCTGCTGCTATCACTCGCAGCCGCGCACGCTAACAACGCACGCGCCGCACCCCGTCTAGTTCTCCACCAAGCTCGACATCCGCAGGGTCAACGCCTCGCTCCCCGACCTGGTCTCCGCCAGCATCAAGTACCCGCTCCTTGCCTCCGTCAAGGGCGGCGCGTTCAGGGGCGACCTCCACAGCAGCCGCGGCATCAGCATGTCGATTGGCGTCCCCGAGGTCTACGGGAGCGTCCGCCTCTGGATCGAAGGCGGCACCCACCGCCACCCCGACGCGGCACTCTGGATCGACTTCAAGCTGAGCGTGTTCGGGGAAGAACACCACGGCAGGTTCGCCGTCCTCCCCATTCCGTGAGTGCCTCCTTCTCTGTCAGGCGGCGGCCACGGTGCTGAGGCGTGTTCTACTTCTGTTCAGCCGCTGGTTCATGCTGGCGGCCCCTGGCAACAGCGAGAAGCTCCTCCAGGCCCCCGCCAGCAAGTTCTCCGCTTTCTCGGTTTCTGCACTCAACGGCGTCGACGAGGAGACCAACAACGGCGCCGATGATGTGACGCTCCCCGTCGATGAGGAGGCCAGCAGCGGCGACAACGTCGAGGACGCCCCCGCTGACGAGGAGGCCGTTGCCGCCTAATCGAGGTCAAGCACCTCCCGCTGAATGCGGGATCGACACACAGACAGTGTAGTATGGTATCGCTGAACAGGCTCGTAATATTTAACCCAAGTATGGATTGGATCTGTCTTTATGTAGTAGAAAACCCATATACAGAATCTCTTGTTTCGTGTTGCTACCAGCCTTGGTGTGAGGAGTCTTTACGGGCCGTGGGGTGATGTTGCGCCAGGAGCTGTTGGGAGCACGTTCGGACCGGATCGATTCGCGTGACAGAAAGAGGTAAGTTACGTTGTGTGACGGACGCGTCGACGTGTAGACGCCTGTGCGCGTTCGGTTTGTGTGCGCTTCCGCTTCCGCTTCTGGCAGTGGAGCCTCTCCTCTGAGTCTCAGGCCGAGTGTGCGCAGGCAATTGAAGCCTTCCTTACGACTGCCATAATCCTCGCAATGACCCGCACGCCTCTCTCCAGTCGCCCACGCGACCTCGTCTACTTCCTCTTCTTCGCTGTGAGCGTCCCATCATTGGTTTGCAACGTCGGCGCGCCCGTTGCTGACCTTCCCCCTAGATCCATCTCCCTGCCACTTTCCTCATCGACATTCAAGCCATATACCCCAAGGCATGGGTGCCAGCACTTATCTCTAGTCTTCCCAAGTTCTACGTAGAGATGTCAAATGACCCTTTGATTGGGAGCGCGATGGGCTACTTCGGAGAGAGCCAACTCAAGGCGTTTACCTGGTTCCGGAGTTTTCTCCTACTCGAAGCGTGCGTAGCGTCGGTCTTGCTGCTACTGCGCCTCCTTGCTTATTGCCCTCGCTATCACCAGTTTCTTTCAAGTTCCTGTTTTCCTCATCGGGCTCCGTGGACTTTGGCGCGGTACGTCGCAGCCAGCTATGCTCTGAATCCAGCCGTCCTCACTTGCCCCTCGCCCTTGTATGCCATGTAGGGAGCACATCCATCTATGTCCTTCTGCTCATATATGCTGCATCTACCGCGACGACGACGATCCCATGCCTTGCTGTCATCCTCTCCACGCCCGTATCCCCCACCCCACTAAGCGGTATCTCGATCACTGCTGAGCAGCGCCTCCTGCTCCTATCAAGCTATATCCCATTCTGCCTCGTCCCCCTCGTCATGACGTTCGACATGGCCTTCCGCGTACAAAAGCTCACCGGCTCTGGCAGCGGAGCACAAAAGGAGAAGCGGGAGTAGACGGTACCTCGTTCTTGCATACCCATGATCACGACATACTATATACCTGCATATGCTCTGCCGCACTTACGGCGGGACCGACCGGGCGGCCACGGCCACCGCTGAGACTGCCGATCACACAGGCGAGTCTCACCCCCGCTCGCGCGTACCGCCGGGTGGTCTTCCTTCGACACATCTAGTCAGTCCAATCAAAGGGTGCATACGTAGCGAGCGCAAGACGTTAATTCAAAGGCTTGAGGCCTACGACCGCCGTTGTCCCGTCCGAACAGGTGATGGCCATACACCGATGCATACGTGAACGAGGCGCGGGTTCAAAACATGTAAGAGGTGGTGGTCTGTTGCTTGGCCTGCGTCAAGCATGCGCACGAGATGATGGCCGTGCGGACGGCCTCACATGCCCAAGTACGCCGCCGTCGGCTGCTCAGGTATATCTACCTTGAGCAGGGTTGAGTCGGTTTCATCGTCCCGTTTTTGCTTTGTTTTTTGGTGCTCTACTTCTTTCGGACCCATCTACTGAACATTCGATTAGAATGCGCGTCTCTGTCCTCTCCCTTGCCGCCACTGTATTCGCAGGCGCCGGCCTTGCCACCGCGACGCGTGAGTTCGCCCCCTCGTTGCTCAGTGCATACCCGTCTGACGTACCCGGTGCTCTTGTTCCACAGCTCTGCAGGCGCGCGGGGACCAGACGATCATCCTCCCGCTCTCCGGCGACCCCATCGGCACCTCCTTCGAGTTCCAGTTCGCCGACGAGGTACAGTCGAGTCTCCCCCCTCCTCTAGTCGCTCCGAGTCGCTCGAGTGAGCTCTTCTGTTCTGAAATGTCCTGCTGCAGTCCCGCACGGCCTCGAGCACGTCCTTCGTCCGCGCCACGCTCAAGAACTCGACCTTCTCCGCCGTCATCGCGGACGACGTCCCCTTCGAGGACGCGCACCCGGACCGCATCAGCACGAGCTTGAGCGTCCCGCCCGAGTTTAGCAAGGGCTTCTATGGTATGCGTGTTCTACGTTTCTGTACCTTTACCGTTTGCGAGGGAGGGGCTGATGCGTGCGTCTGCCATGCGCGGTCGTAGATCTGGTCGTGGAGGAGATCGAAGGGGATGGGAGCGTGGTCTTCACTGGGGAGTCGACTGATCTCGCGTATCTGGTGTTCTGATACATGTCCAAGGGGGAACAAAGGACTGGGCCGAGAGGAGAACGCCCGTGGAGGGTGGTTGCGCTGGAGTTAGCTAGAGACGGCCTTGGAGGCCACCGCTTGGCCTTCTCGTTTCAAGTCTTATGAAACTGCTGAAGATCCGTCGTGAATAAATGCCCAGTGATTTCTCGGATTCCACCACAGTTCTGGGAGTCGCCCTCACAACTTCGTCTACTCCACCATGCATCATGTGCCGTATCCTGGCTCTGGTTTATGTATATGATGACATTGCTTTTCAGAACTTCGGTGTTGTACCCGATCGCGAGCTCATTGTCGCCGCATGCTTGCCGTGTATGCGCTCGCGGCGAACGAGTCCGTACTTGGTGTCATCTGGGTACGACATGCCGCGAAACGGACCGCGTTTCGTGCTGTCCGACACAGCTTTTCTCGGTCCGTTGGGGGTATGACCAGGTATGGAGAGCGCTTCTTGCACGGACACGGTGGCGGTGAGAGAGCTCTTGCGCATCCAATCATCGACCGGGGGTCCCCGAAGATGGTTGCGGGCGGTTACTCAACTGCTAGCGGTCATCACTGTCCGGCTCTGCGCGAGTTTCGTACTTACGGCGATGCCATACATTCTAAGACGTGATGTTTACGCTGGTAGGAAGAAGAAGGTCGGGCCGCCCACGTTCGCCGTGGCCAAGCTATGATCGCAGTGCGCCGCCCGCACATGCAGGCCTCCATCCCCGGCGAACATGGCATATATACAGCCAGCATAACCTCGCCGTATTCTCCATTCCTCTGTCTGAAGTCTTTTCCTCTTCTGTTCCTCTTTCGCTTTCAGTCGTCCAGTGAACAGCAGCCGAGATGCGCTTCTCCGCCCTCTCCTTTGCTGCCGCCGCCATTGCCACTGCTAGCCTCGCCACGGCGACTCGTACGTCCATTCGCTCGATCGCTGTATGACCTCTGCCTAACATACATATTACGCCGCCCTTCAGCCTTGTAGACGCGCGCCGACCAGACGATCGTCTCCCCCCTCTCCGACGACCCCATCGGACCCTCGATCGAGTTCCAGTTCGCTGACGAGGTCAGACCCTCCTTCAATAATTTAGTCACTTCACGCCGCTGACGGGTCGTTTTCTCCGCTACAGTCCCACACGGCCGGGAGCACGTCCTTCGTGCGCACGACGCTCAGGAACTCCACCTTTTCCACGCTCATCGGGGACAATATCCCGTTCGAGAGCGCGCGCCCGGACTTTATTAGCACGTCGTTGCCTGTCCCGGCCGAGTTCGTCAAGGGTTTCTACGGTATGCGTTCTCCGCGCTTGTAGCGAGAAGAGGATTGACGTTGGTGTTCGTGTGTGCGTGTGCCCATAGACCTCGTCGTGGAGGAGGTCGACGGAGATGGGAGCGTCATCTTTACCGGGGAGTCGACTGACCTCGCCTACCTGATCTTCTGAGCCACAGCCGCTCTCGAGGGAGTATTTATGAGCTGGGGGGAGGGATCTCCGTAATTCAAGGTTTAGTACCGACTTCGCTGGGTTGAAGATGACCTCGGGGACCGCTGCTTGGCTTGGCCCGTCGCTCGTTCAAGTTCTCTATGCTCATCATATCTTGTAACCTTTTATCAGTACAGGAACTATCGCCACGTCTGGCTTCGGTAGCGTTCGCGATTCGGGACTGCCGTCAGTTTGGTAGAGCGACGAAGTCCGCCGCAGGAACGCACGGAGTGGCGCCGAGTCCCAGGTCGCTCGGGTCTCAGCATGACTTGCTGACAGGTACATAAATAGTGATGAGTCATATCATATGTTGAGGAGAGAGTACATATGTGCAGGTTTCTCGCAAGCTACTAGCCGATATGATCGCAAATAGTGGTAAGGTTCGTAAGCGACTCGGAGGCGTCTCGTAAAAAGAAGCCCAATAAGCGCCTCAGGAAAATCCTGAATCGTATCACTCTCCGTCGTCAGTTCAAACGTTCATCCCTTGTGTGCGCCGCTCAGCCGTCGATCTTCGCTTCCCTCACCATAAACAAATGTCCTCTAGCAAGGCCGGAGTGCTCTAGAGTATACGAGGCGTACAGTCATCGTCCAGGCTGACATATACGGTCGCTCCCAGATGGCCAATTTGTGGCCTGAGCCGGATGGAGCATCACGGTGCTCTTGCAGCACGTCGCCCCATATTTCCGGATTTTGGTGGAAGGACGCTTCGGAGGCTGCGCTGCCGGCGCGCCCACGAATTCACTCACGCCTCAAGCACTTGCGGCGATCTCAGCACTGATCACCATGAAGGACATTGGAGGCGAAACCTCTCTGTCGACATGGATGTCCCCACAGCGATCCGAGAAGGTTCATGGTTCACGTTGAAGAATTGGAGCGATATCATGGGAGGTGCCAGCCTCAACGACAAGACAGGAGTACACCGTTACGCAGTCGTCCACGTCCGTGCTGCAACGCGTCTGCCGTCCAGATAGACTCAGCCGCTAGCGCGCGGTTCTGGCAGGCGGTGGGGTGAATGCCCGACTTACGCCCGCTTTCCATCCCTGGATGATTCATGCGAAACGAAAGCGGTATTAGGCGGCGTCGATTGCCCTCATATATCCCCGGGCAGACACTACAACATATCTCACGTCCACCCCCCATTCCACGATGGAGATCCCTTCGTTGAACGCTATCTTAGCTTTTCTGGCTGTCGGTGGGGGCTTCCTATTCATTCGCTGGCGCCTGAATCCAGTACGTTGCCCGTGTCCTATGTGCGTCCGATGCGACAACTGCTGACCACCTCAAAGCTGAGTCGCATTCCGACCGTGGGGGGTCCTTCCATTCCTGGTCTTTCAATCCTCTCAACTGTCAACTTCCTGCGCAACAGTAAGGATCTGCTTGTTCAGGGGTACGAGAAGGTGACTAGCATGGACCTTACGTGTGCTGTATACGGTCTGACTTTTGAACATTCTAGTACCGGGGCAGTACGTTCAAGGTTGCGCTGCTAGATCAGTGGCTGGTCATTGTCAGTGGCTCGGAATTGGTAGACGAGGTCAGGAAACGCCCAGAGTTGTCTCTTGCCACATTCCTCGAAGATGTATGTGTCCCTCGTTGTTCCATAGACGTGTTCAGCGCTCATCGGCGTCGACTAGATCTTTCAAATGAAGCATACTCTTGGGCCCGACGCTTTGGGGGACAACTTCCACGTTCCCATCATCAGAGATCAACTGACGCGGTCTCTGGGTTCGGCTCTTCCTGAGGTCATTGAGGAACTATCCATCGCGCTCCCCCAATGTATCCCCGGTACTAGCAGTGGTGCGTGTGACCGCGCTGAATGATTGTCCGCCTATGGGAATGTGACTGTCGTTCCCAGACTGGGTCAGCGTGAACGTATCACACGTCTCGCAGAAGCTAATAACGCGCGCCAGCAGTCGAATCTTCGTCGGACAGCCCCTTTGTGAGCATAGTTTACCGCTGACCTCGATACCCGGTAATAACGCTTCTGTGCAGGCCGCAACGAGGACTATCTCAAAATCGCACTTGACTTTACCATGGATGTCGTGAACGATAGGCTGACCATGAGCAAGATGCCGGACTTCTTAAGAACGTGGGCACACATGTTCCCTGTTACTTTGGCCATCTGCATTGCTCACATACCACTATTAGACCTGTAATGTCTTGGACGAGTTCGACACGGCGGAGCGTGGCTCGTTCGATCCCGCTTTTAAAACCCATCATCGACCAGCGCAAAGCACTGATGGAGGAGTACGGAGCTGATTGGACTGACAAGCCCGTAAGCGACTTTACTGTGAGCAACTACCGCGGCCCCAGCTGAGTCCTTCGTACCCAACAGAAAGATGTCTTGCAATGGGTTCTGGATGAAGCGGTACCTCGGAATCTATCAGATGAGAGGGTAGCAATGCGATTACACTTGGTCAACTTTGCGGCCATTCACACATCATCTAACGTACGTTCCGAAGTCTGTTTCCAGAGTCTTTGTCTGATCGACAACTCTGCTCTAGAGCTTGGTCCATGCGCTGTACGACCTCGGAGCTTTCCCGGAATATATCCAACCTATTCGCGATGAGATTGAATCAATAGTCGCGGTCGATGGCTGGACGAAGGAGGGTATCAGCAAGATGTCGAAGCTAGACAGTCTCCTCAGAGAGTCACAACGCATCCACGGTATCAGCCTCAGTACGCCCCCATGACTCTGCTACACTACTACGTCCTCAACTCATGCTGATTTTCTTGTATCGCTTACGCGCAGTTTCCGTAACACGCAAGGCTATGGCAGACGTCACCCTCCGCGATGGTACGTTCCTCCCGAAGGGCACCTGTGTCGCTGCAGCGACGTGGGCCACACACTATGATGAGGGCAACTTCGAGAAGGCGGCGGCTTTCGACGCTTTCCGTTTCTCCCGCATGCGCGAAGCACCCGGGCAAGGCACAAAACATCAGTTTGTCCATACCTCGGTGGAGTACATACCTTTCGGTCATGGTGCCCACGCCTGGTACGTGACCGGGTCATTCAGCTCGAGTACGTTTGTCTTGAATTACGGCTTTGCTGACGTTGTTTTGCCCGCACACTAGCCCGGGCCGATTCTTCGCATCAAACGAGATCAAGGCCGTCCTCGCGTTCCTGCTAGTCAACTACGACATCCAGTTTGAACCCGGGCAGTCCCGACCTGATAACATTTTCATCGCAGAGAATATACTCCCGAACCACGACGCGAAGATGTTGTTCAGGCGACGCGGGACTTTGGAGTTGCATTAGGCATCCTCCCTTGATGAGTACTGTCTCAATCCTTTGTATACTACATAGCTGCAGTATAAGTTATCGATGTAGAGGTTTAGCGCCAAATCGGAGGCTGCCGTGGGCGCTCAGCGCTCATTGCTAATGGCGCGCTATGCCCGAGGCCCTGTCATCATCCTTGTACACACTGCGTATTGGCATCACGTACAGAGTACTACTGGAATCTGGTCGCCCCGCCATTGAGATCTTGAACGTGCTTTGCTTCCTATCTGGTACTCTTGCTTGACATTTCGGGCCATGACCATAGCTAGCGTGTCTCTGTCCTCGATAAGATTCGCGAATCGCTAAGAGCATCCCGTGAGCCTATCTCTGGGGAGGACGAAGCCCTTAGTGGTAAGCCACTCACTTATAACAGTCAAGTTGACATCATGCTGACCCAGTACTTCCGAACATCACGCCTGCAGGCATCGGATCGTTCACGTTGTATAGTGGGGGCGACTCGAGGCCTCCTGACCAGCCCTTAAGAGAAGATGTGTTGCCGTCTTCGCCTGGTTTTGTCCAGATGGTTCATTCATAGCCAAAGTAAGCAGCCAACGGCGGCTATTCCTCCACATCCGTGTCGTGCTAGTGCTGCTCAGGAAGGCTTATTCCCGCATCTGGTGTTTCTGGCACTGTAATGCCAATTATGTCATCAGGCATCGTGTACTGGATGTTTACCTTATATACGCGACTTGGACAGTCGCCAAGATGCCCCCACCACTGTCTTCGCGGCTGAGCCCTACTCTCCTGTACATTGCAATGGACGATCTACGAAGCATCTTCTGGACCTTGGCAGTATCATTTACAGCTTACATACTAATGCGTCGGCGCTTTGACCCGGTACGTATATGCCGTTCGTTCCGGCGACGCCTTCCGCAATCCACTGACATATACGTCCTCAGCTTCGTTCTATCCCGACTGTTGGAGGCCCCTCTGTGCCAGGAATATTCTATCCTAATCTGGCGGCATTCAACTTCGTTCGAAATGCCAAAGAACTGCTCACTATTGGCCATGAGAAGGTACGTCCAGTAGTTTCGGCAATGATCGTGAAGGTCTCAAATAATGTGACAGTACCGAGGTGCAGCTTTCAAAGTCGCTTTCATGGGTCGATGGATAGTAGTTGTGAGCGACTCTAAACACCTTGACGAGATCAAAAGTCACCCGGAGCTGTCGATTGCCGAAGGCCTTGACGAAGTGAGCTTGCGAGCTCTTGTGTACTGCCTGGTTTCTCACTACTCGATAGTTCCTTCAACTTAAACACACCATTGGCGCCACTGCCCAGAGTGACCGGTTCCATGTCAACGCTATCCGCGACCAGCTAACGCGGTCATTGAACGTCGTTATGCCTGCTGTTGCGGAAGAATTGGCGTTAGCGATCCCTGAGTATATTCCATGCACTGGTGATGGTACGTTGTACAATTCGACATCATCTGGTGACGCAATGACAAATGCACTATTTGACAGAATGGGTCAGCGTCGACGTCCTAAGTGTGATGTGCAAGATCGTCGCGCGCGTCAGCAGCCGTGCTTTTGTTGGACTTCCGTTGTGCGAGGCGTGCATAACGGGATTCTGGCTCCTCCGAAATTAAAGTTCAATGAAATCTGTAGGTCGTGACCAGGTGTACCTTGAAACCGCAATCCAGTTTACGTCAAACGTTATGCAAGACAGAAGTCACCTGCTCCAATGTCCGAACTTCATGAAGCCGTATGTATTGCTGCCAGTTGTGCCATCCGAACACGATTCCCATGGTCCCGCACCGTTCTGACATATGATCAGTCTCGTAGGCCCATGGATTAGCGGAGCACGTCGGAGCATCCAACAGACGGTTGGAATCCTCAAGCCCATCTTTGACGAGCGGAAGACAAAGTTACAGGAGTACGGAGCGGACTGGACAGACAGGCCAGTAAGTTGTATCGAAGTCGAACGCCTGCATCGATCCTGGCTCTGAGGCCACATCTGACCTTCGGCCTTGAATCAGGTAGATTTTCTCTAATGGGCCTTGGAGGACGCCGTTTTCAGGTGTCTCCCCGAAGAAAGAATTGTGACAAGGCTACATCTCACCAACTTCGGTGCAATCCATACGACTTCGAACGTCAGTACTGTCCGACAGCATACAGTTACGCAAGCCTAATGAACATTACATCAGAGCCTTACACATGCCTTGTACGACCTGGCAACGCACCCAGGGTTTATTCAGCCCCTTCGGGATGAGATCGAGTCTGTAATCGCAGCTGACGGGTGGACAAAACGGGGAATGAATAATTTGTGGAAGCTTGACAGCTTCCTCAGGGAGTCTCAGCGCGTGAACGGGCTTTTCCTTAGTACGTCTCATAGTTCTTTCTGCACGTCACGGTGACAGCCGACAGACCGACCTGCTTATATGGTGCCTAGTTTCGCTGGCGCGCAAGGCCATGAAGGATGTCACTTTGCACGATGGGACCTTCCTCTCCAAGGGGACTTTCATCGTCGCGGACAAATGTACCGTGCACAATGACGACAACAACTATGAGCAAGCGGACCAGTTTGACCCCTTCCTATTTGCGCGCATGCGTGAGGTTCCCGGGGAGGACTTGAAGCATCAGTTGGCGACCACATCCCGGGAATACTTACCGTTTGGCCATGGAAAGCATGCTTGGTACGTTCTCTAGGGGTTGCACAGCATCTATATGCATTGATATCTGTGATTAGTCCCGGAAGGTTCTTTGCCTCAATGGAGCTGAAGGCAGTCATGAGTTACCTATTGGTCAACTACGACATCGCATTGGACGGGAGCCTGCGACCGGAAAACCAGTACTTCGGGATTGATATCAGTCCTGATCCCAGCGGGAGGGTTCTGTTCAGACGCCGAGAGCCTCGGGGTCCTTGATAGCACTAAGTGTTGCTCCCCTTGATTCAGCCTTGGTGTATATGAAGCGTGTCATAACATGTACCGATGATACTACATGACCTCAGATTGCTGCCACTAATCACAGGGCGGGCTATTTACTGACATTGTCGGCTGAACATGCTACCAGTAGGTGTCCACTACAAAGACCTCAGCCCCGTATCGTCGAAACTGTATAATTATGTCTGAGAAACAAGGGAACTGAGAAGATCCTACTCATCTCAGAAGCTGATCAGATACACAATGCTGAAGAATAGAAGGGACAGCAAGGCTAACGCCTGCCCCCCTCCCCCCTTTCCCCCGAGCCGAGGGCGCGCTGTTCATCATGAGCGTTTATGCAAGTACACCTCGTCGTCCTGTCCGCTTGTCACTCACAATGTTGACGTCCGTCGTACCACACCCGATAGCAGAAGAACGACGTGTCCACCATTCATCCAGTACTTGAGCTCCCTGCGCTCGTAACTCGAGCATGATGTTTGATTCTTGGAAGAAGACAGAGTAGCCTCGCATACATACCTACACCACGTGAGTGATGATGCGGAAATGCCTCTCATCCATAGGTTCCAGGGTAGAGACTGGGGCGACGCTTGTGTTCGGGGAAGGGAACACCGATAGGTCGTACGGTGACCTTCATAGTGCCCGAGTCTAAGATTGTCACCACATAGAGCCCTGAGGCAACTTAGCCTAAGAAACACAGCCGAGGAGCTACCCCGGCTTGTCGGAGTGTTCACTTGCCAGGAGCGTGCGGGGAGCAAGAGGCTGATTTCAATTGCAGAACAGACAAAATGCTGGAGTGGTAAGAGGGGAAGATGGATGCAGACGCCGTATGGCGTGAGGGCGTAACCCTCGACTGGTCCAACTGCGACGGACGGATGTACTAGAGGGTGTACTGAACAACGAGGACGACTGAAAGGCTGTTTCAGTATGAGATCATAACGTTTGCAGCGCTCAATCTGCACTTGGTGTACAAGGATGCACATTAATTGACTAAACCCGAACAAAGGCGCATGAAGACTGGGACTGACTGACTAAGACTATTCAGTCGAATGCCGCTTGAATCCGGCACAGCAAACACCCATAAGGCTCACCTTCACATTTGAGAAATCAATCGCTCAGAAGGCGGCGGGTCATCTTGCCACCCGAGCTCCATAGCAACAGGTCCAGTGTCTTCGGCACAACAGAGTAGGCTGGACGATGCATGATATTTGACCATCCTCCAAATGGCGGGTAAAGCAGCCCGAACACTAACTCCTCTGTACACCATGTCATCTTCAAAGTTATGACCTACTTAGGTTTGGAAGGATATCGGAGATATCATCCTTCTCGCTACCGAACATCAGAATGGCAGTGGCTGCTCGAGGCTAAGCTTCATAACGAGATTGAGGGCCTCCTCGCGGTACGTGTCCGAGGTGAGCCGAAGCGAATCGTTCCCATAGAAGTCGAGCAGGACCGGGTCGCCCGTCCGGTACTTTTCCCAGTGGATCAGCGATGTGACATTCTTGTTCGGATCGAATCTGTTCACGAAGTTGACGAGGAAGTCCGTCATGTCACCTGGCCCATACATGTTCGCGAGCTCGGACCCATGCGTCTATGAGGATGGATCAGTGTGTCGACATCGGGAAGACGCGTATGTAAAACGAACCGAACCAAGCCCTGGGATAGAGTTGCGCTTGTAGTCTGTAGAAGATATGTGCATGAGTGCAACAGGCAAATCATTGTCATGGTGGTCAACGACGACGCACAGTACGCCCACACGGGACTGTTGAGCGCAGCTAGGTGCTTGGTGAAGAATTTCCGGACACTAACGACTCCCACATCCCCGAGGAAAGATGCCGCTCGCTTCCACTGAGGAGTGACTTGGAAATCCTTGCCAGTGTTATATGGTGCCCCTTGGGAAGGGTCGTCGGGGTATAGGCGTAAAAGGTGGTCCATGTCCTCGTCGGTGATATTCGGGTAGTAGCCCGTCCTGATCATCGCCTCCACGTCCGCCGTCGTGCTGTCGTCACGCATCTTGAAGCTCTCAGCATAGTCAAAATACAACAGTCGATAAACGTACCTCAGGTCCGGAAAGCCAAGCGTGAAGGAGGTGCCTTCATCTTCCGCATTTCCTGGAGAGTATGAGTAAGGATAACATTTTCACGTATTGGACGGATCATATATGCTCACCTGCAACGATAGGAATCCTAGAGACGTTGCCACTGACCAATGCTTGCTGAGGTAGGCTTCTGATAAATACTCCATCCGTGTGGGGCTGCCAATGTGGATACGCCATGCCATGCTTCGTCACCGCATCAGTCGGCGCCTTTTTTATGCAGGCGAACGTGTCCGCAGCGCTTGAGCAATTTAAGCCCGTAACAAAGTCGTCGTACGCCTTCTGCGCTGGAGGCTGATCCAACCACCCCGCGGACTGGATTGCACCGGATTCCGCCCACACCCCGTGAAAGAGACCCTCCGTGTCGCCACCGTTTGCGACCATCTGAAGCCCTGCGGAGACTGCCCCGGAACTGAACCCGAGACTGCATTGTGGTTCGCGTGTCAGCGACAGTGATTTACATAGATATCGTAGTGACTCACAGCGTCACCCTCTTAGGATCGCCGCCAAAAGCCGGTATGTACTTCTGAATCCAGCGGAGGGCCTCACGTTCTAGTAGGGCTGGTGAGAGATGTATGGGTACAGTTTCTGTTGTGAAACTCACGATCCTGCAGCCCAACATTGCCTGCCTTTGCATCCATAACTTCCTTTCCCGAAAGGAAGCCGTACGCTACTTTCATAGTGAGCACCAATATACTAAGCGAAGGCGAAATAGCACTTGCGTCCTAGTCTGTGAGATTCCTTCAGTGATTAGTGAGATCATTGTAGACATTGCATAGGTTTCTTACCTGTGGTTCATCGACACGAAGATGACTGGTTGTCCCATGTCTATCGACCGCTTTACGATGGTGCTCCCGTCGACACTACTCAAAGCTTAGCAACATCCTTGTGAGGAGAACAAGCAACATAACTCACTCGGCACTGTCGCCAAACAGGAAGGCGCCTGCAGGCGAACCGTTGAAGGAAACAGGAGTAGCGTATCGTATGACACATACCAAAGAAAATATACTGTGACAGAATAGGTCGGTACAAAGTAAGGCAAGATTACTCGTTTCACGCTCACAGCAACGACGGGAAGCATAGCTCCTTCCGTTACACTGGCGGGGAGGATGACATTGAGGTTGAGACCTAGATAAATGGGTGAGACCTGGTCGAGATATTGATTTGAGCTGACCACAGAGTGCATACAGTCCTCGTCGTAAGGAGCATTAGCTAGATGCGTGAGAGTGGTGAAGTAGTCTTCCATGGCCGGAGTGATCCACGAGGGGGTGTTGACCTCAAGCGTGTTGATGCACTGGTTACCCCAGTAGGTCGCATTGAGTATCCCTTGGTACGGACTGTTAGCCTGGGGAGGTTCGAAGCGGAGATCGTCGACCCTGATCCAACATTGCACCAAGTCAGCGCGTGTCATGATTCCGCAAAATATTCGTCATACGGGGGTTGAGCGAAGGGTAACCCCAGGAACCAGTTGGCCGTCCCGTCTGTCACTCCCACGACCGTGGCATTGTCCAAGTCGACGGTGACCGTAGCCGTAGGAAGAGATGCGCCGACTATAGACGAGGGGATCCCGCTCGAAGCCGGCGCGTTAACGGTCTCTGTTAGGGCAACTGAAGGCCTAGAGGCCGAGCTGGATACCGGGATGCTGATGGTGGCTGTCGGAGTATGGGCCACAGCCGTAGAGAGGGCTGGGGCAGCAAAGGAGTGGCGCGCTTGGACAGCGAGAATCAAAAGAACGAGTGGACGCATGCAGACGAATGCGAGAGAGCAGGTCTGAGGTGTTGGCTCTTCCTGCGGACGACTCTTATAGGGTGACCTGAATATTGGCCATGTGCCAAAGGACTTGGGAGCCGACTCAAACCGAACAAATGCGACAGAGGTCACGCAATGCCATCGCCAATGACCCCAAACGATGGATGGCGCACTTGTCTAACGTGAGTCACGCCAGGAGCCGAGTTGTACATACTCGTCGAACTTCAAGAAGGTGGTGAAGCGAGGATGTGAGATACTTCGGCTAAGTAAATGAACGCCATTCGAACCTTTGAAAACTGACGACAGACCTTTGATGGTCATAAGCCATATTGTGCAAATGACTTCCGTTACGACATTCGCCGAGCGTTTTGGCGCATTCCCCAACGCCACTTGTTCTGGTCATCAGCCAACTTCTCTTGACATCAATACGGCTGGTGGGGAGTTGGGTGATGTGTTGCTGAGCACGGATTGAGTACTCAAGTACCCTGAGCGGTGGAGGTTCAGTTGTCGCTTCTGACGTCTTGCCATGCAAACATTCAAGACCTAGCCGATCAGAGACGAACCATTGAGCGCCGGATGGCCGAAAGAAGACGATGAACGCACGGTCGTTCCCAAGACCTACGATGTACCTCCTTAGTTCCCACGAGCATCAAAACCATAGACTGAACTGAAATCGATAGCAGATCGCACGAGCGAGAACGCACTATACTGTACACAGAGCCGGATAGCGTAAGGCGGGCGGGCATCATCGCATGCTGGCTGGTTCTACTCCTCGCCGAACACGTCGATGGCCTCCTGTCGAATCGCGTCCACGGTCTCGGCTGATGCGCCATTGAGACCAAAAGCCGCGTCGTCCACCTCCCCATCGGCATCCGTGTCCACATCAGCACGTGCAAGAGGGAAGAGCGGATCAATGACCTCGGCGAGGGCCTCCTCCCGCTCCTGCTCTTCCTCCTTGCTCATCGGCACGTGGGTGAGCTTCACGACGTCCCACTTGTCCCCGTAAGACTCGTACGTCTGCACGCAAACCCAGGTCAGCATGACAACCTCGCTGGGCCTCGGAAAACGACGAGAAGAAGCGAACAGAGGGCAGCACGCACGTTCACACGCTTCTTCTTGAGCAGCATCTTGCGCTCGATATTTTTATAGTACGCGCCCTTCGGCCGGGGCACGCCACCCTTCGTGTCCGTGTCGAACTCGTCTGTGCCCTCGTCGAGCACGAGCAGGAACTCATTCGGTACCTCCTGCTCCACCTTGACCGTCTCGTAGTCGCGCACAAAGTGGAAATACGTTGGCTCATCCTCGGGGGGCGCGTCTGGCTCACGCGCGAGCCGGTTTTCTTTGAACTGGACGGCCGCTTCGTCCTCCTTAGTGAGGTAATATGCAAGGAAGTGGTCGCCGTCGGCCTCCATGGGCCGGAGGATTGCACAGTCCAAGCGGGGGTCTTCCATCTGCATAAGAGTGGGATTTGTGAGTTCGTATGCGGAGAACGTTACCAGGAGTTGCTGGGGAACTTACATCTGGCGGCCTGTCGCCCGGCCGCTCAGAGAATCTGAACAAGTCGTACGCATTTGCCCAGATATCCGCGTCCGGGAAGACCTCGAACGCTTCCACAGCGGTGAGCTCCGGTCTTAGAGGATGCCGCAAAGCGGAGAGCTCCGAGGTCTCGACGGCAGCAAACGAGGCTTCAATGTCCCTCAGCTGGGCCTCGCGTGAGACGTCGATAGAAACGTCGATATGTTGTTTTCTGTCGTGAGTGAGGTTACGTCAGGGATGTTGAAGGAGGCATGGAGGGCAGAACGACGACTTACATCTCTTGAGAGATATTAGGCCGCATAAGCCCATCTCGACTGAGATATTCCGTTTTCCGTAACCATGGTACGTGTGGGACAGACGATAGCGGTGTTGACGTCCCTGACGTAGAGCCAGTCCCGAGAACGGGTCCGGTAGATGCGGGGTCTCCAAGGAGGAATTGGTCTTTGGGATCGAGTTTCGGGAGATTATTAGGGTCAGGGTTAAGTTCTACCAAACAAAGAATCGAATGCGAGAGATGTGAATCTCTGAAACCTGACGCGCATCGAAGAACCACGCACCTGAATCGTCCCCGTTCTCCTCCCACAAGCAGTCCCAGCGCGACAGGTCAAGCGGCATTCCAAGATCTCCGTCAACAACCATAGGCAACGGTGTTGCAGCGGCGATCTCGTCGAGGAACTCGGGGCGCGCATAGCGCATAGGGTCGGTAGGTATGTCAAGTAGTTTAGGCGGACATGGTGGTGGAGGTAGTGGGTTAGAGTAACGAACACGGATCAACAGATCCAATTTGCTGTTACACCACATCATTAGCATACCTCAGTATGCACAGAGTGTGTTTCCGGGCTCACCTCTTCTTGAAACTCATGGTGGCAAGCAATCGACAGCGGGTGCGTAGCCGCGCGCGCCGCGGTCCAAGTTGACAAGAGCGCGCTCTTGAAGCGCCCGTTGATGAGATGTTCAGTAGACTCTAGTTGGGGTTAGGGTCGACCCCTCTTTCTCGTACTACCAACGCCCTTTACGTTCCGACCTCCCTCTGCCAATACTCCAGCCGCACCTGGAACCCGTCGCGATATTCATTTCACTGAGCGAAGTTTGAAACGCGTTTATGGCGGAGGAGCAACTGCAGGAGCCCATCATTGCATCGAGCTCGCGAGAGTCGGAGTCTGTGTCTAGTACCCCGTGTGTGATGTGAGTCGCTCCTCCACGCCCTACCGTTCCGTACGGGCCTCTCCTGAACTACTCACAGTTGCCGACGACAGTTTGCGCGATACACATGCCCGAGATGCAATATCCCGTACTGCTCGCTTGTTTGCTTCCGGTCCGAGGTGCGTTTACTGTTCTCTATCCAAGGTCTCTCCTCCCACCTGACCTCACGATCCCGATGGAGTGTAGAAACATGGTGACTGTTCCGAGTCATTCTATCGCAAGGAAGTCGAGCTAGACGTGAAGAGCGCCCCTTCTGCGAGCGCAGAAGAGAAACGGAGGATGATGGAGCTGCTGAAACGCTTCGAAGAGGACTCGCTCGACAACAGCCCGCTCCTCGACGATACGGACAATGAGGACGAAGACGGAGCGGACGACTTGCAGAGGCGGCTGCAGAGCATTGACCTTGGTGCGCCTCACCTTACACTGCTACGCGCTCGCGCACGCAGAACTGAGGGATCGTCTGCAGACACCGCGTCGTACGACGAGCTCTGGAACGCGCTCACCCCATCAGAGCGAGAGAAGTTTTTACGTGCAGTGGACAATCCCAATAGTGAGTTCGCGCAACAGCTGCTCGCGAGTGAGGAGTTAGAGAAAGTCCAAGTCGAGCCGTGGTGGGAACCCCAGCCACCGAGCAATGAAATCTCTGCCCCTTCAGACGCTGCCGTTCCGAACCGAAATCGCGGCGCGAGACCGTCTATCGTTCAAATCCCTGAGTCGTTAGTCAAGCAGGTCTCCAACAACGCAGCGAGCGGGCCGCTACTGCTGTATAACATCTGCGCGCTGTGGTGAGTGTGCACCGCCGGCCTGCGCGAGCCGTGCTCACAAGCTTCCGCACAGTATCGCGTACGCATACACAGTCCGCTGCTTCGCCGTGTCCCCACTTTCCGCCATCTCGCGCACAGACCCCGACTACGCCGAGGTGCGCGAGTCGATATCCCGACTCGCACCCTTCCTTGTAGATCGACGGTCCACGACAGTACACTTGTCGCTCTCGGCCGTCGTAACAGATCTATGGTCTCGCTTTCCTGCTGTGAGTATGAATGGTCACTCCTATTGAGGCTATCGCTGACTTCGTTCTTCAGAGCCATGTGGACTCGCGCTCATTCTCCCTTCTGCTGAAAGATACAGCCACCATCTTGCGGCCCGCGACCGTAACAGTCGTCGCCTCCCAAGCCGTAACCACGCGCGACCTAGAAGAGCATCCCAGCGCGAACGTCCTCCGCGTCCTCTCCGACCTATCGTCGCTATTCACCTTGTCGCAAAGCGACATCGGAGAGCCTTCAGCGTCTCCGGCAGCGCAGCAGAGAAAAGCGAAGCCAAACCATGTCGTGCACAAGCTGACGTTCTACGCAGCGTACATACTTAGCACTCCGGCGCCGACGTTACGCGTGCTGGTGGACGAGGCGACGATGCGCGCGAAGATGCTCGAGAACGAGGCGAGACAGGCGCGGCAGAACAGGGAGGTGAAGCGGGTGCGTAGTGAAAGGGGGAATGCTCCGAGGATTGAAGAGTTGTAATTACATACGCAGACGTTCTGATGTAGCCTTGGGATCTGTTTAGAGAACGCCTAACGATGGGCAAATTGTCTGGCAGAACGGGACTGCATTGAGAACTGAGTGTGTGATTGAGTGCTCTGTCGAGTGCACAGTCTCTAGGGTGTCTTCCTAGGCTCCGGGAGGTATAGCAGCGCAGCAGAGAGAAACGACTTTATGTTGTGTACAAGTTGACGTTCTACGCGGCATATGTTCTGGGCTTCCTCGCGTTGACGCTGCGCTTGCTGACGCGACCATGTACGCGAAGACGCTCTGGAGCAGAGCGAGGCGGGCGGGACGCGGCAGGTATGTGCGTGAAGGTAAGTGAGTGGGATTATCAGGATTGAGGGATTGTAGCAATTTGAGGGGCGTCTTTCTGTAGCAGTAGCAGTTTTTGTAGTGTAACACTCCGGGCAATATTGCCTGACAGAGAATGCCAAGAGTAGTGTGTGATTGAGTGGGCTGATTGAATAGACGATGTCTTTCGAGAATGCATGATGTGCATATATCTACCAGAAGTCGATGATTGTCAATGCAATCTAGGACATACAGGAATCCGGGTCAAGCACTCACAGTATGGCACTTGTATGCAGAGCGGGGGGTAATGCAGTGTATGAAAGCATGCGAAATGAACCCTTCCAAAACAGTCTGCAACGTTAGGCGTATCCGTAACAGCATGAAAACTCACCTCCGTCCTTCCCCGCGCCATCCCGCATCCTCTCTCCTCACCTCGACAACGTCCCGAACGCACGACGCTCAGTCGCAGCTCCCATCGCTCGGCCCATCCTTCCACCTCTCGTCCAGCTTCTCGACCGTGCACTCAAACGTCTCCTTCCCCAGCCGCCCGTTCACCTCGTTGTGCTGCTCGCACAACCACCTGCTCAGCCCCGCGCGCGTGCTCACGTCCGGCGGGCGCGTCTTCATGTTCTCGCCGAGGTGCTGCGCGCACACCGAGCACGGGTAGAGCACGGGCAGCGCGCGGAGGAGCGAGAGCATGTTCACGCGCTGCGTTTGAGTCGGCTTCTCGGGGTAGTACGCGGCCGTCGTGTGCAGGAACGTCCAGGTCGCGCGCCCGAGCTCCTCGACGTCTGGCGGGCAGTTCGCGGGGCGGACGGGTTCTGGGGCCAGGGCTTGGGCCGCGGGCTGGGACTGGGACTGAGGTTGTACGAAGCCGGTCCCGGAGGCGAAGGCGGCCATCATGGCGGCGGTCTTCTGCTGGGACGGTGACGGGCCGTCGGTGCCATTGGCGGAGGGAGGCTGCTTGGCGTTGTCCGTTGGGGGTTTCCAGTGCCGGAACGCGGTACAGATCTTGCAGGGCTTGCCATCTGGGCCGAGGACCATGCCCGGAGGAAGTGGGGGCTTCTTGGAGGGCGAGCCAGATGTGTCTCTCGACATTCAGCTTGCACTACGAGGAGGGGGATAGAAGGAAGCAGGAGGGGTAAGCTGAGTGAGCGTATGAGCTCGAAGTATGTCCGAGGTCGGCATCATCTTACGCTGAGAGAACGGGCGCTCCTGACAGGAGAGCGGTGATGCTGACGCACGGACGAACCGGAACGGTTTTCCTGGGAGCAAGCGAACCACGGTTCCGCAGCCATTGCGCAGGCCGGTTTCATGGGAGCGAAAATGGCTGCTACTTGCCAGCAACATGGAAATTCTTGTCATGACCGCAGGTGCGTCTTCAAAGCTTCATCCCCTGCATGAAGTAAATGAGAGTGTCGTGCTGAACCACTCATTCATGGATACAGAAGGATCCGGATCGCTTACGCTCGAGTTGAACGTCGCCGAGACAGGCGCCTCGCCACAACGGCTACTAAGTAGTGTAATACAATCCAACATGCGCCAGCTGCAGGCGTACATTACGGCCCCTCTATTCATTCTCACCCGGCACTAGAAAATGGTCATCAGGGCACGCATCCATCCCCGCGCGATGAGAGCGATGCATACGGTTTCGGCGGGCGTTCTTTGGCGCCCCAAGTGAATAACCCTTCATTGACGTGTCCTTCAATCTCTATCGGCTATCGTCCTCGTGAACGTCACTTATACTGCTCGAATGGGACGTATTTTTCCGTTGCAGCTGACCTCGGAAAAGCTCTCACAGGCGTTTCGTGGGAGCGGTCGGTGCATGGACGATCTCGATCTTCCTCCGTCGGTCTTCGGCGCGGTGGCTGTTGCCCTTGACGGGAATCATTCTCTTGGCACTCGGCTGGTCTTGCCAGCATGGGGACACACTGGATGACTTTCCATAAGCTACTAGTGTGACCCCAGAAGCGACGGCCCAGAATGTATTTCGTGCATATCTCCATCGCATCTTCCCCCATAAATCTCAAATTTGGCACACTTGATCTGTATCGTAGACAGTATATACCCGTAAAATATGAAGGCAATCGGTGGAATTTTGCTTCGAGCATCGTGGCATTACACGTCTGACCCCAGAAACGACGGAAAGGCGCCCACAGATTGTCACCAATGGTCACGGTGCCGAAGACTGCCGATTTAAACACCGCCATTATCAGTCGTTTGATAACGACGTTGGCGGAGGGAACACTAGTCGAGGCGCTCATAATCAAAGTCAGCCTTATCTCGGTCAGTGGCTGAATGTCACGCTCGAGAGACCCCCTTCCCATTCCTCAGGTACCGCAATCCGTAATCCTTCGAAAACTGAATAATCATACTCAGTGCACATGTTAGAAATAATTCCTGGAGTTACAAGAAGATCGGCCATGCCGATCTCTTTGTGGCAATTCAACAAGGTTAGTAAACCCCTGGAACCCTACTCAGATTGACTTGTATCGGGAGCGAATTTCTCCCGATTTCCTTCGTTCTTTGTGGAAGTAATAGTTCAGAAGCACATAGTCTCATGTGTAACATTTGTACATTTATTGACAGGGAAATGCGAGACCTGGAGGCGTGTCAGTCGCTTCTGGGGTCAGGCGCTTAATGCGTCGCTTCTGGGGTCGCACTAGTATCTACGGCTCTACGGACGTCCGTAAATCTCTAAACAGACCGATTTGGGCAAGGGGCAGTGTTGCCGACACCAGATCTGAACTCCGCTGATGAAATTTAGGATACGGACGTCAAAATCTAGGAGGGGGGTCCGACCCCCCTTTCTAAATCTCTAACAGGCCGTAGACAGTCCGTAGACCTCGGCATACGGTGCCGTGACCACGAGAAAGGAAGGAGCCATCATGACAAAGCGAACTGCATGCCAAATACAGACATGACATAAGCCACTCCAGTCACGTGCTGATGATGAGCAGAACATGCCGCCTGTTTAGCGCCCAAGATCCACAGACTGTTTCAAACCCCGCCTAGAAATCTACGGACGTCCGTAGAGCCGTAAATCCTTATGGAAAGTCGTCCACTGGCAATATCCCGGAGGGACTTCTGCAGCTTGCTCCCAGTCTTGTTTCTCTTCCCCCTCCCCGCCTCGTCGTCGACTGGACGTCGACCGACCATCTCCCCCGCCATTCACTCTCTTCCACGTCCAAGACTTCGAGCATCTCCATTCAAGACGAAAAACGGCCTCCCTCACATGTCTTGAGACTCCCGCATCCCTCCCGATACCCTCTCTCGCTCGTACTCCTTCGGCCATACACGGACACTCAGTGCCCTCGAGCAGGCGACATACCTCGCCATGCCAACCCCCATGGACTACCTCAGGACAAGGCGTGCGTACCGCCTCATACCCTTCGGCCTGCTCGCCTCATGTCTTCTCTGGGCCTTCGTCCACTTCGGCGTCGCCGACCACGACCTCTACCCCTCTGGCCCGGACTTTGGCCATCCATTCCTTCGCGGGCCGCCGCATCCTCCACACGCACACGGAGGGCCACCGCATCCTCCCCCGTTCCAACCGCCCCCCGCTCCGCAAGAGCACACGAAGTGGTCGAAGCGCGCCGATGCCGTAAGGGACGCGTTCCGGCATGCATACAAGGGCTATCTGGAGTACGCGGGGTCGAGCGACGAGCTGAAGCCTGTGAGCAACGAAGCGGTGAACAAGTGAGGCGACCACATGCGAGTCGCGCGCTCCGGATTATTGACGTACGCTCGGACAGCTTCAATGGGTGGCGGCTCACCATGGTGGACAGCCTGGACACTATGCTCATCATGGGGCTACACGAGGAGTTCTACGACACCGTTCCTATTCTTGCTAACATGACCTTCGCATTGGACAAGGTGAGCGACGCGTGCCGCGCTCAATCCCGCGCCATGCGATAACTATGTGCGTGCGCCCTTTACGCACTAGGGTAAATATGCACCGTTCTTCGAGACGGTCATCCGGTACCTCGGCGGCCTTCTCTCTGCGTATGCCTTGTCGGGAGAGCCGATCCTGCTCGCGCGGGCCGACGACCTGGGCGCGATGCTGCTGCCTGCTTTCAATACTGCATACGGTCTCCCGATGTACGCGGTCAATACCGTATCGTGAGTACTGTCTTTGCTCTTGTTCGTGGTATGCCTGATGCTTCATAGTGGCGAGACACGTCTGGGGTGGACGGGATCTGATATCCTGTGGGCGGAAGCCCTCAGTTGCCAAGTAGAGTACAAGTATCTTGCGCATTTGACAGGCCGCAAGGAATACTTTGATACGGTGAAGAAACTCGTACCGCCGGGTGTTCTCCATGCTTACACGGGTTCGGTCTGACAGGTTGAGCGCGTGATGGACCTGATGGCCAACGCTGAGCTCGAAGACGAGATGTTCCCGACAAAGTGGTCGGTGAAGACCGGGAAGCCTTCGAATAGTCAGTCCTTGGAACAGGTAGCGATGGGAAGCTAGGAGCACCACTGACCCATGCTACCCCAGCCCAATTCTCGGTTGGCGCATTCGCCGACAGCGCGCACGAGTACCTTCTCAAGCAATACCTCCTCACCGGCCAGTCCGAGTCCAAAGCCCTCGACCTCTGTACGTCCCACCCCCACCAGCGGCAACCCCCGCGCCCGCCCCCTTCTCCCCTCTTCCCCCTCCCCACTCGCGACTGACACCCACACGCCGCCCCCACAGACCTCCGCGACGCCTCTGCGATCCTCCGCAACCTCCTGTACGTCTCGCCCACCCGCGGCCTGCTATACGTGACCGACGCGCACCAGGGCGCGCCCACGCACACGTTCGAGCACCTCTCGTGCTTCCTCCCCGGGCTCCTCGCGCTCGGCGCGCACGCGCTGCCCCCAGGCAGCCTGTCCCCGCGCGAGCGCGAGCTGCACGCGTGGGCCGCGCACGGGCTCGCGCACACGTGCTGGCTCACGTACGCGGACAGCGAGGCGGGGCTCGGGCCGGACGAGGTCGTCGTCGCGGGCGGGGGGCGGCGCTGGCTGGAGGCGGTGGAGGAGTGGGAGGAGGGGGGCAGGGAGGGGGGGCGGCCGCCCGGGGTAAGGGACGCGGCGGTCGCGACGGGGGGGATGGAGAAGGATTATAGGGCGACGAAGATGGGGTATCTGCTCAGACCGGAGGTGTGTGCGCTTCGTCGTGGTGAAACCTGCATGTGAGTCGGTGCTGAACGGGGTGCTTGGGTCAGACGGTGGAGAGCTTTTGCTATCTGTGGCGGACGACGGGGGACGAGGTGTGGCGGGAGCGCGGGTGGGCGGTGTTCAGGGCGATTGAGAGGGAGGCGAAGACGGATAGCGGGTACGCGAGCTTGTGGTCCGTGTTCGAGTCGCCTGCGCGGCATAAGGACGAGATGCCGAGGTGAGTACAGCGATGTCCCTCCTGTACGCGACCCTTGCTGATCCTTTGTGACGTCCGCGCCCAGCTTCTTCACTGCGGAAACGTAACTGACATTCTGTTCATCGTATGAGTGCTCTTTCGCTCACGACTTGCACCGACAGGCTGAAATACTTGTACCTCCTCTTCACGGACGAGGATCTCATCCCTCTCGACCGCTGGGTGTTCAACACCGAAGCTCACCCGCTCCCGATCTTCCACTGGGCGGACTGGGAGAAAGAGCGCTACGGCATCGTCAGCAAGGACCATGGGCACGCTGCGCGGCACAATTGGCCACATTCAGGACTGGACTAACCTAATAGGTGTATCATAGCGTAACAGTGCCAACTAGTTCCGTGGTCATCTTGATTGACTTGCCCTCCTCTCCCAGGGGAGCAGAGAAAGACTTGACATGGATCAGAGTTGCCGCTGATGTCCTGGGGAACCCCAGGCGGGATGCGCGGCCCTGCGTAAAGGATCCGGCCCGTCCGCGCAGGTGAAGAAGCCTGATGCGCATGGACGAAGTTGGGGACCCTCCGAGAAGCAGTATCATGCTACCACTCTTATCGCGTCCGTCGCTCCTCCGCGACGTCACGCACGCTTCTTCCTTGGCCGTCATTCACAAGCGTGCGCTGGGTGTACTGGTATATAGGGGGCCGCATTATCCTGAGCGATACAACCTGTTTTGTCATGATCGGTTTAGGAATCGTCTTGTCGTGTTGGTTTTCGCTTATCGTGGTCGTTCGAGCTGTGAAGGCTCCGAGTCTGCGCTTCCAGGAACATCTCGCCCCTGTGCGTCGGGGAGAAACTGTCCCAAACGAGGCGTTATTCTTTGACGTAAGTCCTTCATCGTACAGCGAAGCTGTCAGTGCTCACGCCGGGGCTGTTAGATGCCTCTAGACCACTTTGGCAACGCAACAGGCACGTTCAAGAACCGTTACTGGGTCAACGACACTTACTACAAACCCGGAGGGCCCGTCTTCCGTACGTTCTTTCTTGGCACTCTGTTGCACAGAAGCTTGATGCAGTGTATTCGTATAGTATTTGATTCAGGAGAGCAAAACGCGGAGCCTCTGCTCCCGTACTACCTGCAGGTACGGTTCAGCGGGTCTCCTTCGTACCCGGACAATGGTTTACTGTGTGCTACAGGAATACCATGGCTTGTCTGCTACGATGCGACTCGCAAAGCGGTATAGCGGAGTGGCAGTCCTCTGGGAGCATCGTTACTACGGCGATTCCCTTCCCTTTCCAATCAACGTACGCCCCGTTTCAGTCTCTGCACTGTAGCGTATATATCTGACGTAGATTGATAATAGGAGAACACGACAGCCGAGCAGTGGCAGTTTCTGACCACAGATCAAGCATTGGAAGATGTCGTCCACTTCGCAAACAGGTTTTCTCTCCATGCAGCGAGCACTGAGGCTTCCGCGGATACCAGCAGCGCATTGAACGAACTAACTCATAACCCTCTGCATCCATCAAACACGCCGTGGATCTGGCTCGGAGGCTCCTATCCCGGGTGTCGCGGAGCACTACTCCGCGTCCGTAACCCAGAGACCATCTTTGCTGTCTGGGCATCCTCTGCGCCAGTACATGCCCAGATCGACATGGCATCGTACTACAAGGCCGCTGAGCGTAGTCTTACGCGAAACTGCTCAGCGGACTGGGTTGCTGTGACGCGTTTCGTGGACGATACTCTCGCAAATGGGACGGCAGCTGAGGCAACGAACCTCAAGTTCAAGCTGCTTCGCGCGAGGGAAGATGGGATCACGAAGGAGCAGGCTGCGAATGCCAGCGATGAGAGCGCTGCTGGGGTGCTCATGGACCCACTAAACTTCTATCAGGTGTGTGTCTGAGCTATTCTCTGTAACGCGTCAGTCACATGCGAATCTGTAGTATTACGGCTTCAAGGACTCTGTCCTTCCGTTTTGCAACGTCGCTCAGACCCAAAACTTTACAGCGACGCCCTTTGAGACCGGGCTCGCGGCTTCTCTCGGGATCGACGTCGCACTGAACGCTTTCCTCACCGGAATCAAACAAGTGAACTATGCAGCGATTCCTGGGAATGCAGATGACCCTGTACAGGATCGTTCCTGGATGTGGCAATACTGCTCCGAGTGGGGTATGGCTCTTCCCAGCTTCCAATCGATCCTGAACAGTATCCTGATTGATCGACGCAGGCTTTTACCAACGTGGCGACCCAGATAATCCTCTGTCAATCGAGACGTCTTTTCGTTCTCTGGAACGCTTCCAGGAAGAATGTAATACGGCATTCCCAGAGGGCCTCCCGTCCGCCCCTGCAGTGGCGCATATCAACAAGTATGGTGGATGGAACATGACACCGTCTAACGTCCTTTTCACGAATGGAGAGTGTGAGTGGAAGGGTGGTGCGACCTTGATGCGCTTGCTGATTCCAGCTGTAGTCGACCCATGGCGAACCATGGGTTTGGCTTCCATCGAGTCCAACTCACCTCAACGGACGCCCAGCGTGGCAGTCCCCGCGTATGTGATCTCGATTTGTCTATGTCATCCTAAGTAACGGGATTGCTGCCACGGTCCAGCTGCAATGTTGCACCTACGTTCCCGTCCTTTTTCGGCCAGACGCATGACAATATGGTGCACGTGTCCGACCTTCGCGTGCTCTTAACTCCCGACGCCAACTATACGGAATTCAGAACTGTCGGATTCTACAGTCCCGTCTCCCAGGAGCCCTTCTACGCTGGATTGGGTTTGTTCCAGTTGGCTCTAGATGAATGGCTACCTTGTTTTGATAACATGGGGAATCTGGGATGAATTGGTCGCCCGGTGAGGAATCGGTTGTCATATACGGTGCTCACCAAGCCTCAGTGGTACGTCACGAGTCATGACTTGGAAAGGCGACTGTTCCGGCTGAGAACAATCGGCTTCTATCTTCAGCATCCATAGCTTCACGGCCTGGCAAAACAACGTGATGGTGATAGTACACTCGAGACATGATCATCCTTCACACAAATGACGACTCGACGTGACCAGTTGTTCTGACTCTTCGTAAGATGTCTTGGTTGACGACTGAGTCGCCCTGTCATGAGTGCAGCAGTTTCCGTGGTGCACCTTTGTAACTTTCATGCGAGCATTCCATTGATACCCTAGCGTGGGGCTGGATACCAGGGAGGCTTGTCCAACGCGCCTTTCACACTCGCCTCCCCTTGAGGCCAGAATCTTCTGTTCAATATGGAGACGCTTTCTCGCCGACAACGTACGTCCGCAGTCTTCGCTATTCCTGCCTATTTTTTGTTGAAAATGGGTTCAGCTAATCACCGTGTGTTCATAGCCAAGATACGTCTGCTTTTGAGTAAGTTTCCACTGGACAGACAAGGAGAAATTAGTACGCGTCAGCAAAGGCTGTCGGCACGTGGCACTGCGTAACCTAACACCCACCGAGCTATATCCGCCTAGCTGATCAGCGCACAACCATCCAAGCTGCCTTGTAATCAGAAATCTTCAGGTACCAGTCCATCGAGAGCACGGCAGGCTGTTAACCATGATCCTGGGAAAGCATATGCGGGATATACGGACCCGAACTCTTGGCCGGACCGTTCACCCTCGGAGAGAAGCTCGATACGCATGGAAGACATGGTGCAACCCCGAGAAGCAAGATCATGATACCTCTGTTATCGTGTCCCTTACTCCGCCGCGACGTCACGTACGCCCCTTCTGTGGCCGATGCCCGCGGGGGTATGGCTGGTATATAAGATGATCCACCATCTCTAGCAATACAAACTGTGCAATCATGAGCAATCTAGGTAGTCTCTTGTTGTGTTCTTTCTCGCTCTTCGTCGCCGCTGGAGCCTTCAAGGCTCCGAGTCTGCCTTTAAGGGAGCCTCTCGTCCCTGTGCGTCGGGGAGAGACTGCCCCAAATCAGGCGTTGTTCTTCGATGTAAGTCGTCCACTATCAGTGCAAAATTCAATGCTGATTCGGGAACGCCTTAGATGCCTCTGGATCATTTCGGGAATGCGACTGGAATGTACAAGAACCGATACTGGATCAACGATACTTACTACAAGCCTGGCGGGCCTATCTTTCGTATGTTGCTAGAACCGTTCCAATGACCTTCTGAGGTGACCTATAGTCTTGCAGTCTTTGACTCAGGAGAGCAAGATGCAGAACCACTGCTGCCGTATTACTTGCAGGTAGCGTAATGATCTTCTTGTCCGAATGTACGGAGCTCATCCATACTGTGATCAGGAGTATCATGGTCTGTCCGCGACTATGCGACTCGCAAAGCGATACAACGGAGTGGCTATCCTTTGGGAACATCGATACTACGGAGATTCCCTGCCGTTCCCCGCAAATGTATGCTGCGTTTGTTTGAGCCCCTTCCAAGGCACATACGATTGATGCTACTGTTGAACAGGAGAATACAACTGCTGAGCAGTGGCAGTTCCTGACCACGGATCAGGCATTGGAAGACGTTGTCTATTTCGCCAAGAGGTTCTCTCTCCCTTCCGCTGGCCCTGGGCCATTCGATAATGCTAGCGGTCCCTCGAGTGAAGTTCGTAATAACCCTCTTCATCCGTCAAATACCCCATGGATATGGCTTGGCGGGTCCTATCCTGGGGTCCGTGGAGCTCTACTTCGCGTCCGCAATCCGGAGACGATCTTTGCCGTTTGGGCCTCCTCCGCACCCGTGCATGCCCAGATTGACATGGCCGCGTACTACAAGGCTGCTGAGCGTAGCCTTACGCGGAACTGTTCTGCGGACTGGGTTGCGGTGACACGTTTCGTAGACGCTACGCTTGCAAACGGGACTGCCACGCAGGCGGTGGACTTGAAGGTCAAACTGCTCAGAGCGAGAGAAGATGGGGTTACGAGGGAACAGGCTGCCAATACCAGCGACGTGGACGCTGCTGAGATTCTCATGGACCCCCTTGACTTCTATCAAGTATGCGATCGAATCATTTTCTCCTCGACGTTTGACTAACATGGCGCCGTGTACCTGTAGTACTACGGCTTCAAGGACTCTGTCCTTCCATTTTGCAACGTCGTAGAGACTCAAAACTTCACGGCACTGCCAACTGAGACAGGGCTTGCGGCCTCTTTTGGAATCGACGTCGCGCTCAACGCGTTTCTGGCCGGAATCAAGCAAGTCAATTACGCAGCCATACCTGGGACCGAACCTGCGCGCGGCCGTGCCTTTTCTTGGATGTGGCAGTACTGCTCCGAGTACGGTATGACGCTACCCTGACTTCTGACCTTCGTTTGCTGAGTATCCTGATCATTCGGCACAGGATTCTATGAACGTGGAGACCCTAATGACCCACTATCCATCGAGACATCGTTCCGCTCGCTAGAACTCTACCAAGAACAATGCAACATGGCATTCCCCCAAGGACTTCCATCTGCCCCTGCCGTCGAACATGTCAACAAATACGGCGGGTGGAACATGACGCCATCGAATGTCCTGTTCACGAACGGAGAATGTGAGTGAATGGACAATGTCACATACCGCGGTTACGGAGGTATTCCCACAGTCGACCCTTGGCGAACAATGGGACTTGCTTCCATCGAGTCAAATTCTCCCCAACGAACGCCCAGCGTGGCGATACCTGCGTATGTGGTCCCGAGTTCCTATGTGATCCTTAGTAACGGGATTGCGGCCACGGTCCAGCTGCAATGTTGCACCTACGTTCCCGTCCTTCTTCGGTCTGACGCATGACAATATGGTGCACGTGTCCGACCTTCGCGTGCTCTTGACTCCCGACGCCAACCACACGGAATTCAAGACGGTGGGATTCTACAGTCCCATCTCCCAGGAGCCTTTCTATGCTGGTTTAGGCCTGTTCCAGTTGGCTCTAGATGACTGGTTACCTTGCTTCAGTGCTGCAAAATTGGGAGTAAGTACAAGCCATCGTGTAGAAGGAACATCGTTCAAGGAACTCACCATGGCATTATAAACACCGGTGTGTGGGGTGACACCAAGTGGCCAGAGTCCACCGAACTTGGCCTCCGCTGATCGGATTGCCGTGAGAAGAGTAGAGAAGGCGGGATTAGGGAGGGGCTGCTCATTCGTAGATGTGACTTTCATGTACGCAACCGACTGAAATTTGAATGGCAGACTGCTGGCTTGACGCCCATCATATACACAAGGATAAAAGGGTATAGTGAGGTGTGCGCAAACTCTCTGTCGGGGAGTCGAACCCCGCTTTCGCGCGACCACACAGCATGACAGGCGCGTGTACTAACCGATATACTAACAGAGAGATAGACATCGAAACGCAAACCAATACATATCTTATTTGCTCACTCGCTAATAGATCCCCTGCGTGTAGGGTCTGTGAAGGAGACCGACATCCTCAAATGTCGTTGTTTCCTTATACACGTCTCGCCCTGGCATCTGGGAAGGCCCTCATAGTTTCTGGGCACCACTACCATGTTTTGAATGCGCAGTACGCTATTGAATCAGATGTCTCATGCATTCACGGACTAAGGATGCCCGAGTCAGGGACGGCGAACTCGCCCAATCCACAACACGGCTAGGAGATGATTTACAAACTGCTCTTGTGCAATCAGGGCCTATCCGATGCACCGCTGTGGACTCTACGTTGACACATGTAGCGACCACAGCAGACGACAAAAAGTTGAAAATCTGGAGGGTGGAGACGCTAGAACTCCTGAATGAGAGGTAAGCGTGCGTCCCGCCTGTCCTTTCTGCACCTGCGCTGACTTTTGTTGGTATGTCAGGGAGCTTCCGAAGAAGCCCACCGAAGTTGCATTCACTCGCGACGGTCAGACGATCGTCATTAGCGATAAGTTCGGCGACGTCTTCAGGTCAGTTCCAGCCGTCCGCCCCGTCTCCTGTCCCCTCCATCCGACGCGACTATAGCTACCCCCTCTACCCCGAACATACCCCCGAAGTACCCGCATCGGATATAGGCGCTTCGAAGCGCGGCTCTCTCAACGCGCACGAAAACCCCTCCAACGGCACCCTCGTCCTCGGGCACGCATCCCTCCTGACGACTTTTCTGCTCACACCTGATGAGCGGTACATTGTCACTGCCGATCGCGACGAGCACATCCGTGTGAGCTGGTATCCCCAGGGGTACAATATCGAGCGGTACTGCCTTGGCCACGAAACGTACGTTCCTCCATCCCCTTAAATGCGCACACGAGTCGTTCATGTTGAGTAGATATGTATCTGCCCTCCACATCCCGTCATTCAAGGAGTCAGCCCTTGTATCCGGTGGTGGCGATCCAATGCTCAAGGTCTGGGACTGGATGTCGGGGAGGCTGTTAGCGAACATCTCCATCTTCAACGTCGCGGAGCCGTACATCAGAGTGCGGGCGCCGAAGAGGAAGCGCGGCTGGAGCGAGGGGGACGAAGATGGAGAAACCGGCGAAGGCGCTCAACCGCAGAAGGGTAAGGGTAAGGGACGGAGGGGTCGTGGCAAGGGCAAAGGGAAGGTGAACCAGAACGCAGACGCTGGGGGGAAGGAGCGGGAGGCATCTGGGACTCCCGCTGAGGAGCGGGGAGACCAGCCTATGGCCGACGCAGACACGGGCGAGCCTGCAGACGAGAGCAACCGGCCGGCTGCTTCAGCTTCTGAGGAAACGGTGCTCGCCTTCGTTGTGTACAAGATACAGTCCGTCGACCGCGGAGAACACGGACGATTCATTGTTTTCAGTGTCGTCGGGTGAGCTTCCTCTACCTACACTCGCTGCGTTCGGATTACTGATGGCACACAGGGCATCGGCTCTGTTTTACACCCCGTTTCCCGAGGAGGGTGTATTGGACCCGCCACCCGTACACGTGGTCGAGTTCCCCGTTCCTGTAGTAGACTTCACTGTCGGTCCTGACGGCGCTATATGGACATTGCTTGACGCGGAGTGGGCGGGGGCGCAGTCGCTCTCGGAAAAGCCACAGTTCGTCCGACTGCTCACCTGGAACGAAAACACAGTACGTCTTCTCCTTGGCTCCAGAGCGGACTGCCGCTCAGACCGCACAGCTTTCTGAGTCGTCCGCCGATTCTCCTCTACTCGACGCGTTGAACTCAAGATGCCTCGTATCGGGTACGTTTCGTCCTCATGTCCACCTCTATTCCCCTCTCTCACGTCATATCTCTCCAGCAACCCCCGAAGAGCTGAAGAAGCTCGACCTCTACTCCGACCTCTCCTCCTTGCCCAAAAACGTCGACCCTGACCACGATGCGCTCATCCGCGACACGCTGTCTGAAGCTGCGGCCTTCGACCCCGACGCGGCGGACGGGAGGAAGCTCACGCTGCGCGAGCTCGGGCGGCTGAAGAAGAAGAAGGCCCTGCTTGCGAAGATCCAGGAGCGCGAGGAGGGCGCAAAGCGCGCGAGTCGTGAGGGCTCGGAGGCGGTGAGCGAGAGGGAGGTCAAGAGGGCGAGGTCCGAGAGCGAGAGTGGGACCGCAGTCGATGAGAAGGCTGGTGATGTTCACGGTGGTGACGGTAACGAATTTACGGAGGGACGAGATGATGTACGGGACGTCGAAATAGCTGCGTCGTGAGTGCGCTGCTCGCATATCGTTTGCCTGTGTTCGCTTCGCGTGCGCCGTATGCCTTGTGCACCAATAGTATCCAAGGCGGCAATCGTGCTGGACTGCTTGCATGCCTAGTGTGTGCCACATCCCTTAGGAGCGTCTGTTGTTGAGCGGAGGTTATATTTCTTTGTGGCGAAATGACTGGATGCCTATGTTTTTCTGTGCAAGTCGACGGACGACGTTATTCCTGGTTCTATATGGCCTGACCAGGCTGGCTTGTCGTGACTAGGGCCTGATGGCGCAAAAATAGGGGTAGTCAAAGATGGCGGTTCGGTGGACGATTCGAGGGAACGATTCGGGAGACGATTCGAGTGGGGGGGAATCCGCGATTCTGGCAGAATCGCGTCGAATCGCCGGTGCGAGTCTGGAGGAGCACCGCCCACCCGAATCGCGATTCTCTCCACTCGATTCTCTCAGCCCGACCTCGGATAAGCCCTCTTAAAATAGGTTATATGTCGAAATTTTATTGGGGTTTGTCTTGGCACGTCTTACGAGCGACCATGGCCCTACTGCAAGCTTGCCGCTTCTCTACTTTTATCAGAATTGCTGGTCTACAGATTCCCTCCACCTTCAAATGTCCAATCAGATCGAAAACCCTACTTTCAGATAGTCTGGCCGTCTCACTTGGCAACCTTCTGCTGGCTCTAGCACGAAGACCGGGAATCAAGTGCGCCGTGTATCTTGTTGATGAGATGGATAGATCTTCTCTGAGGTCCCAAGAGCTGTAACGAAGCATAGTAGGGGGAAGAGCAACGCGGCACACAGAGAGAAACCATCGCGCGAGGATGCATGGATTACCTGATTTTAATATCACAGACGCCCGAAGGCCTGACCGACTCAAGAATCTACCCTGGAATCGACCCGTAGAAACGTGGGGTGATCAAAGTGCCCACACGAATCCAGGACGATTCCCTTCGACAGAATCGCTGTAGAATCGCTCAACGAACCGTCCACCGAACCGCCATCTTTGACTACCCCTAATGAATCTCCACAAGTACGCGAAGCGCTCGCGCAAAACGAGCACCCCATTGTCAGGGCACTCGACTGACTGCGTATCCTATATCATCGGGGCATATGACGAGAGAAGACGATACGGCTGACAATTGCTCCGATAAGCTCCCACTGCGAACTGCTTCCATCGCTTCCTGTCAAGGCATTACTCTTGCAACCGTACCGAGTACGTCTTACCCAGCCTGGCGCAACGAAGGACAAGTGCGCAAATATCATGAGAGATGGTGGCATGCCTAGGGCGCGAAGGTGCGGGAGCGGTTCATATGCCCACTAGCTGTCACAGAACCCAAGTCTACGGGAAAGGAGCAAATGACCATTACCCAAAGCAATGGAATCAAAATGAACTGTTATCGTGCAGTGCACATAAATGAAACATGAAGTATTAGGGTGATGCTTGATCGGGATTCGTAGAAGTGTTCAAATTATTCCAGACGGATGCTCGCAATCTCGCAATGCCTAGTAGCCAGAACGGACGTAGGTAGCCATGCCCTGGAGGCTCCCCGGAGCTGCGCGTGATCGTCAGCACCATCCGAGGGAAGGGCGTAATGTCCATTACTCACACAGGGAGAGACCCGCGGCACGAGCAGGGCCAGCCACGTCGACGGTGGCGATCTGCTTGGCCTTCGCGGGACCGCTGAGAGCGAACACGTCGACGACTTCAGATGCGGCGCCGAGGACGTACAGGTAACTGGTAGCGAATCGTGAGCCGTAGCCAAGTTTCGTACGACTTTCCGACTTACTCCTTGCCGCCGACAGTAGCAACCTCGGGGTCGATTGGGGAGGTACCGTTCGCGACCGTGTAGGACTGGATCAGCCGCCAGAAGTCAGTAATATGCGCGCGCCATCATGACGAGCAGCCCATGCACGTACCGCAACCGCACTGGGCTTCAAGTTGCTGTCGAGCTGGACCTCGCGGATCGTGTTAGCCGCGACGTCCACAGTGTAGTAGTTGCCCGTTTTCGTGCTGTACGTCGACCAGCACGTTGCGCCGTTCCCAGGGACGGTGTTGGCAGAGCCACGTCCCTTGCCACTGAAGTCGACGACGTCGAAGCCGATACCGGGGTCGGTCAGGAGGAATGCATTCTCGCCCGTAATAGGCGTCAGTGAGAATGGCACCATGGCTCCAGGTACGTTGACCTGGGTGTAGTTCGCCGCGAGGGAGCCGTCCTTGGCCACGTCCCAGGTCGCAAGGAAGCCGGGGCCAGTGGCGCCCTTGTAGGACACGACGAGCTTGCTGTCATCCTCGGAGAAGTGGATCTGCGACAAGGTGCCTGGAGGACCGTTCGGCGGGTTCGTCTGATTCAAGCCGAGGTAGCGGAGGGTGTTCGGCAGCGTGACGAGGCCGAGCTTCGAGTCCACAGAGAAGCAGCTGTAGACAGAGAGGTTAGCACCCTATGTGCACGCATCCAGTCAGTGGAGTATCGCACTTCACGCCATTGATGGCACCACCGTTAAGGGCGCAAAGGCGGCTACCATCGCTCGAGAACGCCACGGACTGGGGGAACTCTCCCTCTGATGAGATCGGATCGCCGAGAGGAGTGAGGATCGTGGGCCTGCGAGGGTCAATAGAGAAGAGGGAAATCGTATTTGAGCCAGCCTGGAACAAGTCATGGTCAAAACAGAAGCGTGTCGCAGTGTGAACATATACTCACATTGACCGTTGCGAGCAGGTTCTTCTTGGACGAGACCTGCACAGAGCCCTGAGAGAAGAGGCCGTCCGCGCCTGTGTTGCCATTCGCAGTGTGGCCATGTAGACCTCGTCCGCCGCTTGCAACCGCCCTATCGAGCCGCTGCAATCAAAGATGAGTTTCCGTAAGCGACAGCACAGAGCTGCGAACACGTACCAAGGTACCGTCGGCGTTGATAGCAGCGCTCACGACCATGTTCTCATCCGGACCGTTCGTGATGACTGCAGCAAAGTTGAGCGACCGTAGATCTAACAAGCCCGCAAGTAGACTCACAATAGATCGCTCCATTGGGAGAGCGCGGTGACGCCTTCGTAAGCATCTTGACATAGGGACGGCTGACAGCGGTTGCAGACGCGAGCGCTGCAGCGGAGCAGACGTAGGTAAGGAATGCGGTGGAGACCTTCATCTTAGCAGAAATTAAAAAGATGCTGCTACTGTGATAGAAGACAAAGTGATCAGCGATAAAGGACCAGGTGGTGTGAGAGACCCCACTTGAAGCTTGATGAATGAGCTTACCGCGAATGTATAAGTGGATAGTGAAGAGTAAGAAAGGAAGAAGGAAGAGGAAGCCGCGGGGTGAGACTCCTCGAAGTTCGCAGGCGGTCTTAAATGTGCCCTACAAGCGGAGTGTACGGCTAGCATGCTCGGCAAGCGCGTCGGAAGAACAGAGTGTCGTGATACCTCCGGAGGCGGAGATGTCCTGCCCATAATCTGAGGCATGTCAGCGCTCAGGAACACGCAATCCACTGGACTTGTCGAAGGAACAAGCCACGAGAGTCCCATCAGGCGAACCCTAATTGGCACAGTCAGCACGCTTCATATTGAGAACAAGGAAATTGATTACAGTGCCACATTTTACAGAATGCAAGCGTCTGCGCATTGATGAGCTTGCTAAGCTCCTGAACTGGTCTCCAATCTCTTCCAATCGGCTCGAGAAACAGTATCGCCCGACCTGTGGCAGAGCAACGCGACGTGAGGCAAAGTGCGGAGATATCTCTCCCGAAACACGGCCGAGGTCAAAAGGGGTTCGATGGATCGACCGTTGCAGTGCATTGGGGTGGAAGCGCCAACCGTGCAGCCCTTTTCGTGAGGACAGCCACTGCCCAGTGCCCACAACGCGCCCGTCGGTTGTCGAAGGGGTCTATGCCATAAGGAGTAATCGACGATGAACATGACGCGTGCACGTACTTAGACTTCTCATGGTCGCCGAACACTCGCCGAACAACGAGCGGAACTCAGCTCATGCACCATGCTCGCTCAGCACTCGTGCCGAAGGCAATGGTCGCTATTGAGTATACCCTTCGCTTCTGACGAAACCGAGACTTTGGCGTTGGTGAGCAGGGCGATTGGCAGAGTGGGGCTAAAACATAATCATACTTGAGGAAGTGGATGGAGGACTCACCTATTACTCTATGATTGTCGCTGGCTGCGTTTCTGTTGTGCCAGACAAGCAGCTCTCATGAGGATAGAGCGCTAGGACGATGTGATGATGAGTGACTCGTTTTGCCTTGTATACGGCGGGCTGTTGTGCCATAACATACCATTTGTGCATAAGGACAAGAAGGTTGCTGATGAAACATGGTTACACCAAGTGCGGTAAGTCTTCAGTACAACCTCATCCAAGGATCAAGGTTCTTGAGAGCCAAACCTATGCTGAAGCGAGAACCAAAACACACCGACGTCTAGCCGTAGCAGGAGTCGTCCTCTATTGGCGAGGTACTATTGGATAGCACGACTTGCCACTCATACGGATTTCCGGATCTATTGCGATACTCACAGTGATAGTACTTGAGCTTTCGTGTACACACTATCCTCATATTTGAACGCCACATCCGCGCCGGTAAAGCATGATCGTCTTCGTACATTGAAAAGAAAGACTTTGAACGATACTATGGAAGTCGTGCGATGGGCGTCGACGGCCCAAGGCATGTCGAGGGTGACTGAAGCAAGGTCGTGAACGGAAAGTCCGCAATGCGAAAAGGCGCCAGCTGCAGACCACAACAAAGAACCACGTGACGGCGCCTCGCAAGCCTGCGATCGTAAGCTTGTTCCTCTTGCTATCACTGATCTCGTCTTGCTGAGAACCTCCTCATGCATACTACTGATCGATAACAACCAATTCCACCTCGCAATGCATCAACGTAGTCATAATCAAGCCGGCCACGACATCTCCGCATTCAGCTTCATAGCGAGCTGAATACCCGCCTCCCTGTAATTGTCCACGATGACCCCAGTAAGGTTGGTTATGTTCCCATAGAACTCGAGGGAAGCGCGTCCAAGGAGGTCGTACTTGGGCCAGGATGATGAGGGGTTGAGTGTGTTGGCAAAGTGGATGAGCTGAGCTCCCATGTCACCGCCGCCGTAGATGTTCGAAAGCTCCGAACCGTGAGTCTGCGTAAGTGAGACATCGCGATGGATGATCGCGTCAGCCAAATGGCTAGTGAAGAAGAGTGCCGAATGTGCACTCACCGAGCCGAATCCGGGCACATAATTGCGGCGATACACTACGTGAACGTCTCAGCGACTTGTCCGAGCTATGAGACGCCCGCATCGGCGGCGGAGGAGCAAAGCACGTACCATATGCCCAGGCGTCCACGCCCCTTTTCGCAAAGTTCTGGACGAACGCGCGACGGACGGCGTCCACACCGACGTCACCGATCAGCGAAGCGACTCGCTTCCACATCGCCTGGAACTGGTACTTGTCCCCAGTTCCATACGGTGCGCCGAGCGCCGGGACATCAGGATATAGCTCAAGCAGGGACTTCATGTCGGCGTCGCTGATGTCCGGGTAGTACGACGCCTTGATGATCTGCTCAAACTCGGTATCGTTCCTGCACCAGCTCCTATCACATCATCAATTGTCGTTGGAAAAAAGACTGGACGTACGCGATAGGCGGAATGCCGACCGACAGCAGCGTTCCTTCGTCTTCCGCATTTCCTGATCACCAGATGAGTGCATACGGCATGACAGGTGAGAGCATATACGCGTACCTGCGACCACGGGCACTTTCGTAAACTGTCCGTTGGCGAGTAGCTTCTGCGGAGCGTCCGTGATGAACGATCCATCGGCGTGCGGAGTCCAGCTTCCCTGCGAGCCCGCCCGAGTGACGACGTCCACTGGCGCCGTTCTGGCACATGCGAGGGTATCTGCAGAGCCTGAGCAGCCGATGGCCTTGACGAAGTTGTCATACGTGGCTTGTGGGACGGTGTCGTTAATCCATCCCGCCGGCTGAATAGCGCCAGACTCCGCCCAAACGCCGTGGAAGAGGCCCTCAGAGTTCCCTCCATTGATGACCGTGTGTAACGCGGCGGAGACACCCCCGGAGCTCAGGCCGACTCTGCGAAAAGACGTAATGAGCGAAAACTCTGTGTAAAATATTCATAGGCATCCTACAGGGTCACGCGCTCCGGATCGCCGCCGAATTGGGAGATGTACTTCTGGATCCAGCGTAATGACTCGCGTTCTAGTGGAAGAAGATGTCAGTGCCCACGCTGGACAGAACGCTGGACAGACTGAAAATGACTCACGGTCCTGAAGACCAAGGTTCCCAACACCGGCATCCTTCACTTCTTGTCCGGGAAGGAAGCCGAACGCTGTGCGACAGGATAAGGAAGCCATTCCAATAATCCCGATCGAAGAGTCTACGTACGGCCGAGCCTGTTCGCCCGCAAAGATGAGTGGCTGAGCCGCTGGAGGACACGGTAGGCTCACCTATGATTCATCGAAACGAAGATGACAGGCTCTCCGATCTCAACCGATTGCTTGACCAGAACCCGACCGTCTATGCTGCAGGTACAATCAAGGTCAGTTCTCGATTTAATTCTCGTAGCGACTAGGGTCAAAGCATACTCGGAGCTCCCGCCGAAGATGAAGGCGCCTATCTGTCGCGATGGTAAAATTGTCCGCTTTCTCGAAGCCTCAGGCACTCACCGAAGAAGAAGTACTGGCAAAGATCGTGAGCGTGCAATGCCATCCCCTAGTGTGAAGGAGACGTACCGCGACAACAGGCAGCTTCTGATCGGGTTTGACATCTGCGGGGGCGATGACGTTCAGGTTGAGACCTGTTGTATTGTCAGCGGTCCCCTCAGCAGCCAGGGAACCAAGGGAGTGCCGACATACAATCTTCGGCGTACGGCCGTGCAACCAGTTGGGAAAATATACCCAGGTAGGCCACCATCTCGGGAGTGAGCCAGCTGGCTGTCTGAGAGAACGGATTGAGGAAGTTGTAGCACAAGTTCCCGAAGACAGTCGCATTGACAGTCCCGGAGTACGGGATAACGGGCTTCGGTAGGTTGAAACGAAGGTCTCCAACCCTACGAGCCAGTGATTTTCAGCAGCCTCAGACGTCCGAGTGAGTACAACACTTACGGAGGTTGGGCATAAGGAATTCCAAGGAATGAGTTGGTGAATCCGTCCGCCACCCCGACAACAGTGGCATTGTCGAGTTCTACAGTGGGGCTTGCAGATTCAGAGGCATCAAGTGAGGTAGTAGGGGCAGCAAGGGAGTGGATTGCGGTATAGGCAAACAGCAGAAGAAAGTGGAAACGCATGGCCGGCAAACGAAGGTGCTGGCGGTCCACAGTTGAAGCGGCTCAACATACCTCCGAAATTTATATTGCTCGAATGGCCCGAAGTACGTACCAAGGGAAATTAGCGCGGCTCGATGAACAATACTATACCGCCGTAGCCACATTTATGACAGTGGCCGCACCGTATCTGTCTGCTAACGAACAGAGGGGAACCTAATCACGAGGAGACAGCCATTAGAGCAGTTCTTACGATAGATTGGAATGCCGTATTCTGAATAAAGGAGCATAGAGGCGCTCCTATGCTGCTGCATGAAGAGGAAGCAACCTCTTGTGCTTATGGAGTAACAACTGTCAGATGAGTGCATCTGCCAAGGCCCAAGGTATCAGATTGGAACGAAAACCAGGGTGACGTACTTACTACAGTGCGCTGAACGGTGTTTCCCTGTAGCTGTGACCGGATATCTAAGAACGCAAGGACGATTCTCATTGCGGGATAAGACTGAGCGCTCGCCTGAACCTTCGAAGCCCGTCGGCACTGCGGCGAAGTTCTTTTGCAACCAGTAACGCCATTAAGTCGTTGTTATTCTGGGCGTCCCGATGCATTACTAGCGCCTTCCCGGATTCTGGCCCGATCTGTAACCTATATCCTGGAAGACCTGATCATATCAGCGCAGCAGGGAGGGCCCTGCTTGCCGTGACACCATCTGCTGTGCACGTGGCTGACAGCACACAGAACAACATCATGGCTCGTGACGGTTGCAGACGGGCATTAGGCTCAGTACTGAACGCAGCCTACATATCCCAGGTCGACCCACATCGCCCACATCGTTGAAGCTCTACGACCTCACAACGTGCCGCCAGTTCGGCCACGACTCGCGACCGTGAAATAACTGGTGTGACACCAAAACGGTAGTGTGGACGCAAAAGTAGACCTTCTGGACAGAGCTCATTAGCTGAGGTCAAGCACGATAAGACGCCGCGCGGTGAGGGATATGAGATGCGTCGGAACTAGGGTCCAATAGAGCTACTTACGAGGAATTGCAGAAAGAGGTTGCGGTTCGAGACTAGGCCGGACTATGACGCGGCCCGTATGAGGACTCGGCCCACATGACAGATGTATGTGGGCCTTTCTTTGCTTCGTGTGTTACGGAGGTATTCGGTATTCGAGGGCTGAGCGCCAGAATGGTCAAACCTATAACCGTGTTCCTGAGGACGTCCTGCAACTCCACTTGGGAGCCACTACTGATACTAGGTCAGAGCGAGATGATGGGATGGCAGTCCGAGTTCTACGAAGTCCTCGCCTGGTGATGACAAAACGGGTAGACCCTAACCCTGAGATGGTGGTATCTTTGTCGAAGGGCGCCTGACAGCGGGCATGTGCGCTTATGGTGGCCTCTCAAAACTCATACTCGTCCCATCAAAAGCTCTACACAGTACAATAGGAAGTTGAGCTGTGGGTCACCTTTCTCCACTTTGACCATTCTTTGGTTTTCCACTATGTGAAGTACTCCTGCTCCACAGATTGGTCCCGTGACAGACGGGCAATTCCTTGCGTCTCTTTCAAGTCAAGTTCGGGGGCCAACGGCAACCACATGGCCTCACCCCAGAAGACGCGGCCATGATCAGAGCTGGCTTGTGTATGCGCTTATGCAATATGCGTGGACCTTACGCGACATGTGTGGCGTCGACTAGGGGATCGAGCAAGCGAAGCCGAACGAGTTTTGGCTCGCGCCCAAGCGGCCCGGGCAGGATTACGGGTGCATTCGAGACGGATAGTAACAGTTGCATCCTGCGGTCAACTGGCACTTCCTACAAGAACATCGTGCGCATGGGTTTGCAACAAGAAGTATGTGGATGATCATCACGTCTCAGTCCGGGTCTACCAATTCAAATGACGCTGTACTGTCGGTGGTGCACGCAATCATACAAGAATTTCACTCACATCGGGGCCCCGTTCACATTGAAGCGTGGAGGGAGGTTGGCGAAGAGGAGGTGCTGATATCGCCGCGCGTATCGATGGAGACCCTCGTGCCGACCGGCGAACTTGACAGGTCCTGCTGTGAAACAAGGGGACAGATGCGATACAGCATAACCTTGACCTACTCGTATGCATGCATGGTACGCTCTTCTATGTGTAATACACTGTCCAGTCATTGTTCTGATTTGCTCCTTCTGGGTCGTATAATCCGTCTCGGCACTGCATGTTAGCGAAATACATAATCGCCGTCTCTTCTGGTCAATTGCAGGTACGCTTCCGTGCATCAGTTACTGGTTACACTCCGGCCTTCGTCTCCGTACCTTGGTTCCTTCCTTCAATCAGTGCGTCTTGGAAGATTATCTTCCGAGCACAATCCATGCTTATTAGGCAAATCTCCAGCTCGAGTCCTAGGAGGCAAACCTTCGAACGGTTTTGCCATAGGTTGATGGTCGCTAGACCTCTCAATACAGCACGTTCATGAATACTTCGTGTGTCAGAATTCGAGGCGCCAGCGACCGGCACCAGGTCACGGAAGATCCCGCGATGGAAGCAAGCGGTTTCCGTCATCGGCGATGTTGGAGTTGTCAGCATCTGTAGGCTATTCACACAGACGATAGCTGAGCTCCTGTTCGTTCCATTGTACGTCGCCCTATCCTCAACAACAATGAGTAGCGGGGGTACTGAAGTTTATCGTCCTGTATACCACCAGCGCCAATCGATTCCCGCTGTCAAGTCGGTGCGTCTTCTATCCAGAGAGCCGTACTCATCGCTGCAGGCGCACGGCTCGGAGCCGCTCCAAGCTGGCGAATATTTGGGCTAGGCGATATGACTGATCTCATAATTGACTTCATGCACAGCTTCGACCTGAACGGTGACACGTCGCCGTCTACTGGGAGAGGTACGACTTCTATGCACGGGAACAACCCCCTCCGGTGATTTTCTCATGAAGCTCGACCTTGAAGACCCGCCGCTGTTCTGATACTCCGTTGCGTACGGCACGCGCATGATCATGTTCAATGCGTTGAATTCGACTAAGCAACCGTTGTCGGTTCGTGCACCGGAGGCTACCACGCAACACAAAACGTCAAAGTCCGAATTACAGCGCTAATTCGAGAATGAGAGGATTGTCCTGTACAGGGAAATGACTGAGTATGTGTAGGTGTAGTTAGTGTACTGCGAGATTGAGATGGTTGAGATAGTCGATCTGGTCGCTCCGATACGTGTCGTCCTTGTAGCTGAGCGTGTCGTTCCCTGAGAACAAAAGCATGATGGGCGCGGCGAGCCTGTACTTCGGCCAGTAGGTCTTGGGCTTCGGACCATTCGGGTCAAATGTATTCGCGAAGTGGATTAGCAGGTCCGCCATATCACCCCCGCCATACATGTTCGGGATTTCGCCTCCGTGGGTCTGCGGCGATACATGCCCAAGTCAGTATTGGGAATCGACAACGCTTTGGCACTATGACTCACCGAGCCGAATCCATAGACGAAGTTTCGCGTATAGTCTGTGAGTAAGCTCACTGTGAGCTCGTGAAATCGTAGTGAAAGGGCGAGAACATACAGTATGACCAGAAGTCCTGTCTGTTAGCCACAAAACTTCCTAGGAGCCGGTGATTGGAGTCGAAGTCAATATCGCCAGCGATGGACGCTATTCGCTTGAACATCGGGGCGAGCTCGTACTGAGACCCTGTACCGTAAGGCGCCCCCTCGCTCGGATCGTCGGGGTAAAGGTCGAGTACTACTTGTGCTTGAGAATCAGTGATGTTCGGGAATGCCTGTTTGATAAAGTTCAACAGGAGGGTATCATTACTGGCCAGGACATCAGTGGGTCTACACCAGATATAGGGTCACAAAAGTTTGGGACGTACGCTCCATCGGGGAAGGTCAATGTCGCGATTGTGCCTTCATCCTCAGCGATACCTGCGCGAATGTCGTCGAGTTATTCAATAGCAGATGATGCAGTACGAGATGGCACACGTACCATTGACGATCGCCACAGGAGCGAGCTTCCCTTTAACGAGGGCTTGCTGGGGTGGCTCCTGGATGAAGTCTCCATCGGCTGTTATCAACCAAAATTGATCCGCGCTGCTAGCTGATACGTTCTTGATATTCTCCACGGGGACTTGACGGAGACATGCGAGTGTGTCTGTGGCATCGCTGCAGTTGAGCTTCTCAGTAAACTCGTCATATATCCCTTGCGCCAATGGACTGTCGATCCACCCGAGGTGCTGCAGGGCACCGGATTCGCCCCAACTGCCTTTAAACAGGCCTTCGCTGTCACCGCCGTTAGCCACTGTGTGTAGCGTAGCTGACGCGGCTCCAGAGCTGAGGCCAAGCCTGGAAGAGGGACACCCGGGTCAGCAATCAACGGACCCTGAACCGGGCCGATACATATATCCGGGCCAATACATACAGGGTGACACGACTGGGATCCCCGCCAAATGCTGGTATGTACTTCTGAATCCAACGAAGGGCTTCGCGTTCTGCAGATGAAGGGAGCAGAGCGTGTTCCATCTCAAGGTCGTCAAAGAGGAAACAGTTTCGTCGACTTACGATCTCGGAGTCCCATGTTCCCCGAGCCCGCTTCCCTAATTTGTCGGCCGGGGAGGAAACCGTAGGATCCCAGGCTATAATGTAGCATTGTGAGATTTCCGTTGGGCTGAAGGCTGGCTCGCCACGGACCGGTAGTTCATGGAAACCCAAATCACTGGCTCTCCGATCTCGATAGAGCGGTTCACCATGATCCTCCCATCCACGCTTCAGGAATCGAGGTCAGGCGATGTACCCTCCAAAAGGAGATCGTACTTACTTCGAGCTCCCACTAAAATCGAATCCGCCTACGACAACGATTGGTTAGGTTTAACCTACGACTTAGCTTTGGAAGCAAAGCACTCACTGAAGAAGATGTACTACAGATATGTCAGTGGTGTGCAACCAAATATCTGAAGGGAGGACCTACCGCTACAATGGGAAGCTTCTGCCCTGCCTTAATGTTCGCCGGCGCAATCACGTTGAGGTTCAGACCTGAATCACGTATCAGTACTTGCCATGCCGGACGCATACGAGGTTCTCACAGTCTTCACCGAACGTTGACGGCGCTAGAGTGCTGAAGATTGCGAAGTACCTCTTCATTTCATCAGTTGCCCAGCTCGGGAGCACAGTGCCGGTGATACTGATTGTGTTGAGGCACTGAGTTCCCCAGTACGTAGCGTTATGGACGCCTTTGTAAGGAGAATTAGGCTGGGGAGGGGCGAATCGAAGGTCTCCGACACTACATGCCTTTGGCGTCAACGATACGATCGCATGAGCCGACGAAGACAGCTTACGGCGGTTGGGCGAAAGGGATGCCCAAAAAGGAGTTGGTAACGCCGTTAGAGACGCCAAAGAAGGTGCCTTCGTCGAGCTGGATGGTAGGGGCACCTGAAGGGATGGCAGGGGCCGTTGGGGACGTTGAATCTGGTAAAACTGAGGCGGCAGCGGGCGCGATGGAGGGAATGCTCGAAAGCGTGGATGACCCGGTGGTGGGCGATGCACCCAGGGAACAGATAGCCTGAAAGGCAAACAGGTATACAGCGTGGGTGCGCATTGCGTGCTCACAAGAGAAACATATAGTCATCCCCGTCTTATATACGTCGCTGGCTCAGATCTCGGCAATGGTAGCCAACACCCTGGTGCCGATGTTCTTGCAGATGAGGAAAGTGGTCTACTCCGGTGGTTCAGTCGGCTGCATGACCAGCAGAGAGCCGCAGCTATAACACAGACGCGAACGTGAGCATGAGCACATGGCATGACACCGCCCCGAATAGGACAAGTCCTTCCGGCATGATAATGCTTCAGCCATATGCATGTACGCAGATTGCAGTAGTATGCATCAATTATCTTGACAAAGACGCTGTCGAAGTTCTAGGAAGAATGGAGAGAAGTGATGACAGTAGAACGCTGTCAAGTGCCAGTGCTTAATAATGACTTTGAGTGCCAATACACACAACGGCATATGAGCGGTTGGCTCAAAGTAATATGCCGGGATTCTGATCGCGATGAGGTTGGGTTTGGCTATTGCTGTCACTGAATTGGGGTAAGGCGGAGGTTCCTGGGACTTCGCCGACGTACCCGTACCTCACATGGGCTTGTCACCTGTCCGGGCACACATAGGGTTAGGCGGTAATTGTTGTCGATCTTGAGCAAGGGCTCACATCAGCTCGTGGGGTCTGATCAATCGGAGAATCAACTTATAAGATTCGTTGCTTTGTTTCCTGATGCTTCAACCGGCATACAGTCGACACCCTCTTAACCCATGGCCCACGGGACAGGCCCAAATATATGGCTTTTGAGGGGTTATGGGCTACCAGAACTTTAGCGCCTTCTAAGCGCCCTGATAAGTCCCAGTCAAGTAGCGAGCGCTGAACAGGCGTCTACTGACCCTTCGAGGGAGCGCTATGGTTGAAGCATGGATGGATGCTGGGAGGACACTAGGAAGCATGTATCGAGTACTTTGTGGGTTATTGATGAACGAAATCTCAATGTGACCACTATTACCGTATGGGTTTTGAGCCCTAGAAGGCTATGGGTTGATACTGGGGACCTATGGGTTATGGGGTCGAATTCCCCCTATCCCGACTTGGGAAAGCCAAAATCCTATGGGTTTTTAGAGTTTATGGGTTACCAGGGGTATGGGTTAGGAGGGTGTCGACTGTATCTGACTCGCGTGTGTTTGTTTTTTCAGCTTTGCTTGCTGGTGGCAATTTTGCACTCGGAGGGCTACGAAGGCGACAAACAACGAATTCGTCAAATTTGCCATTGACGGGGCTAGCAAAAAAGATCAACGCACTGCGCGCTAGGGTTCAGATGAGCCATATATAAGACGTACCGAAGAGCAAGAATCACCCAATCGCATTGAATTCGACGGAGTCTGTGAAAAGGGCTTTGAAGACAGCTCTGCCGCCAAGCATCTGACCATGTTGCGGGCCAGCAATGTGCGCCACTTCCAAGCTGATGCATTCCGATAAAGCATAAAGAAATCTACTAGACATAAGGGCTAGTCCAAGGCACGCGACCTCTGGTCTAATTTACGTTCAGATTCAAGTAGTTGATGAAGTCGATCTCCGCCGCGCGATACGTGTCATCCTTGTGCCCAAAAGTGCCTTCCCTCCCCTGCGACTTGTTCCCGGTGAACGTCAGCATCGTTGGTTGCCATAGGGTGTACTTTGGCCAAAAGAGCTGAGAGGGCGACCCGTTGGGATCAAGCCTATTCACGAAATGGATGAACATGTCAGCCATGTCTCCCGCCTGGTACATGTTGGGAAGTTCTGAGCCATGCGTCTGTAAGGCCCAAGATAACCAGCTTGTCAGTTCATGACTCGCCATCGCCTTTGGACCGAAGTTACTCACCACTCCGAATCCGGAAACGAAGAAGCGCTCGTAGTCTGTCCAACGGAACACCCGTTAGCAACGTATTGGCTACATGTTAGGTGCAAATTGTGACGCACAATAGGAATACACGTCAATCCCTTGTTGTACGAGGCTGCGGGCATAGAGCCTGTGGTTGGAGTCGAAACTGATGTCACCGCTGAGGGAGGCAATACGCTTGTATTGAGGGGCCAGCTCATATTGATGGCCAGTACCATACGGTGCACCCAACGACGGATCATTGGGATAGAGACCAAGTAAAGTACTCATATCCTTATCTGTGATGTTCGGGAAGGAACCCTTGACGAATTCTTGCAAAAGTGTGTCGTTCCTGTGAGGCGCAAGACATTAAGAAAATCCAGTGCCTGCGCAGACAAGCCAAGAGGCGGCGACCGACGTACGCGCCGTTCGGGAAGGCTAAAGTAGGAAGTGTTCCCTCATCCTCGGCGATACCTAAGCGTACGCAACGCACATACGTCATTGCTTGGACACTGTCACACAAGCTTGAGTGCCTACCGGTAACAACAGTGGCGCGAGATACCTGTCCACGAGCTAGAGCCAGTTGAGGGAGCTCTCGGATGAAAGTCCCGTCCGCAGTCAGTAACCAAAATGTCCCACTTTGGGCCACCGTGGTGAAATTTTCGACTGGCACTTGACGCATACAATCGAGGGAGTCGGGGGCGCCCGAGCAGCCAAGAGCGTCTGCGAAGGCATCGTAGGTCGCTTGAGCGGCAGGGCTATCGATCCAAGGAGAGTGCTGAATAGCACCAGATTCGGCCCAGAGAGCGCGGAAGAGACTCTCACTATCGCCACCGTTTGCAATTGTATGGAGGGTGGCGGATGTCGCACCTGAACTCAGCCCAAGCCTGGACATGATGCCATTGAATCAGGCGGAATCAAAGCAAGGCACGATTGGAATACGTACAGCGTCACCTTATCAGGATCTCCCCCAAACGCAGAGATATATTTCTGGATCCAGCGAAGCGCTTGGCGCTCTGGGAAACTCGTCAGCATGTGAAGATGTCGTATCGTGTTCATTGGTGTACTGACGGTCTTGGAGTCCCAAATTGCCCACGCCTGCTTCTCCTACCTCTCTTCCCGGGAGGAAGCCGAAAGCTGTGGCGACCTATAAGCATCGGCTTAGATATGTATGATACGTACGTACGTCCCAACCTGAGGAAGGGACTGTCACTTGTAGCAAAGACAATGGAGGCCGGAATAGACTCACCGATAATTCATAGACACCCAAATCACCGGTTCTTTCAGTTCGTGGGAGCGGTTCACCATGATTCTCCCATCTACGCTGCAATCATTCATTCAGTTCGAAGTTGTGGTACATGGACGAGACTTCCGCTTACTTGTAACTTCCACCGAAGTCAAAGTCACCTGTATGACACTATAAATATAGCCCAGCGCTCTCAATATCTTACTCAAACTGACTGAAAAAGATATACTGTACTGCATGTTAGATTAACTATGCCCGCTAGAGGTAGATGGGGCTTACCGCTATGACGGGTAGCTTGTCGCCTGGCTCCGTGTTCGCAGGAGCGATGACGTTCAGGTTCAAACCTTATTCAAATCTGATCGATCTCGACGTTCCGCTGGGCAGCAAGTGGAGAGGACATACAATTTTCATCAAAAGGGGCGGGTGGAGACACCGTGAATATTCCCAAGTAATCGACCATTTCAGGGGTATAATATGATGGAACCGTTTGCGCTCCGAGGAACAAGGTATTGATGCACTGGTTCCCCCAGTATGACGCGTTGATAACTCCAGAGTAGGGCAAAACGGGCTTTGGCAGGCTCAAACGAAGTTCGCCGACGCTGAGGAAGGATGGGTAAGCCTTACGGTTGACACGGATTGAGTGCAACACGAACGGCGGTTGTGCGAAGGGAATGCCTAGGAAAGAGTTTGTCCAGCCATCCGAGGTGCCAAAGACGGTTGCATTGTCGAGCGTCACTATGGGAGCACCCGGAGGTACGGCGAGATCTGAGCTAGAGGCGGTAGAATGCGGAGAGGCCAAGACTGAGAGCAGAGCCAAGGGACAGACTGTCAGCAAGACGAACAGGTAGCAAGTATAGACAGGCATGAGATTCTGATGCACAAGGAAGCCTCACTTACCTTATAACGCGAGCTGGAGGCGCTTTGGAACATGGCAAGAATTGTTCTTGTTCGGTGCGTTCAAGGCTAGAAGCTCAACATGAAGTCTGGCCAGGGAAGAGCAGATCAAATACTGGAAGCAGGAGCCCTTTCATCGGGGAATGTCCCAAACTGGCATCCAATTGGGCCCTTCTAAGTCAGGAATCGAAGTGCATGCGATAGTTGAGGCCTCTGGGAGTCCCATCTACGGTTGTGGAGTGTGCATTGCCAAAGCGAGTCAGAATCTTGCGTATCGGGCTCCTCAGCTAGAGGAAAAGGCTTACTTTTGCTTAGATATCTCTTCATGCGGTTGCTTCAGCCGAGACGTCGAGCGCAAATGCATGACGTGAGACATCTAGATTTTCGGGAGGTAGTGCCTATGTAATGGACGTGGCCGTCGTCGGAAAAATGTCGTCGCTCCTGCATATGCTGCAACTCAGGGGCTCTTGCCATACAATGGGATAATCACAGTCCTGACTATACAGTCTGAAGTCGCGAAAAGTTTAGACATCCTGAAGTAGGATAGCAAGCACCACGGACAGAATATAACGACGAGTTCTCGACACTTGAGCTTGTGGCGTCCACGGGAGGAACCGTGGGAAACCATTGATGTCGGCAGGATAGGTCCAGACTCATCTTAGTCCAAGTTCTCTTCTTGGTCGCTCGCGAGTCGCCATACTTAGATCCCTCAAGCTTGAGCTTGAACGCTCGAAGTTGCACTTTGTGGCGGTAGTCACCTAAACATAAATACCCAGCTTCCCCTCGTCATGCCACCCTTCCATCCATGAACGGTATCTCTTTGTGGCGTTTAAGGCATCATCCCAGGAGGAACACCGAACGGCGACTACGCACAGCTTGGTCGAGGCAGCTCAAAGCTTGTACGAATGTACGACGGTTGGCAACAAATGTATTGGGTATGTCTCAGGTCCATATTCGGTTCCATGAGGAAACGGAACGCGATTCCTGACGTTTAGAATCAGAGCACCGAGTACCCAGTTCCGAGATGATGGACTCTAGTACGTTATACCTAAGTCACGATCTAGTCCCCGCGTCGAGTGTTCATACGATGCCAGCACGAACGCCGCCCTTCAGATTCCTGCCTAGCCGATGCGTGTAGGACGGTGTCTGGCGCCTGCAAACATGTCCTCTTCTCTCCCAAATTCGCTTTCTATTCTCGCCTCCCTCCGTAAAGCCCAGAAATGCCTAGACCTATGACCAATTCTCGTCAAGTAGTGTCGCCTAGAAGGCCTCTGCCTACCTGAAGAGGCCATTCGTCAACCCTAATCTGCACACCCAGTTTGCACATGATCCCTTCGCTCGTCCGCGGCCGTGGTCTCCGCCCAAGCGTCTGAGCGCTCAGAAGCCGTGTAGCTCTTCTCCACCCGACACGGCAAGTTGACCGCTACTTAGGTTGTCTCAGGGCACATCTCAATGGAGAACGACCTTTGTGTTCTCATCGGCATCGGTGAGCCGCAACACTACATGTTCTCTCCGCTGATGGGCATCCCGCGCACAATCGCCTCGGGTCAAAGTCCTGCCCGGCATCCGCGTATGACGCGCGCGAATATGAGACGCTCCGAGAAAGACAGTCACTGTCCTCGAAACGATCAGGTCCCAGCACTCTTGCGGCCGAGAAGCTACCAGTGGAATCCGTCACCGTCGCCGGACGTTCTGATCTTCAAATCCGACCACACGTTTTGGTAAGCGACTGCTTTCAGTGACATGCATATAGTAAACAGTTGGACTAATGAACTGCATGTCCGGGACAGGCGGGATGCCGCAGCGAAGCTCCCAACCGACATCCGAGACGGCGCGCGCGGGCTCCCAGTCGTCAACGTCTGGTAGTCATCCGGCGTTCCTTTACCCTCCCGGTCCCAATGGCGATGTTGGTTGGCCTGGATCATGCCCCCCAAATGGAACGCCTAACGCGTTCCAGCTGACCACTCTACATATGAACTTGGCATCGCACATGTATATCACGTCTAGCGCCACCTCCCCGACGATGCCGACCCCCTTCCCGGCGTGTCTCGTCAGAGTCAATGCATCGAACCTCTTGCGGCCCATCGAAATGCCAGTCGGCTGCAAGCCGGTTGTGGCGGCAGATTGGCGCACGCTCGGCATAAAGACCTCGTCGCAGCGGATCGAGTACGTTGAGCGCAGGCGTACCAGACGTGGCTTCACATGCCTGTCCGAGTCGGATCGGACGCCTGAGGAGCCTGAGTGGCAACCTTGACTCGAAGGAGGCTGAGCGGGCACGGCTGACGTGTTGCGGTGAGTTGTCCTGAAACCAATAGTTATTGGTGGAGAAATGACATTTGTCAGCGCTCCCAGTGTAGATCTTATAACAGATACTTTAACTCACCCGAACAGGTCATACGCGCTCACCCTGAGGTCAGCATCGTGATTTCCCCTCGCTCCCTCGCTCGTACGGTTCTTTCAGGGGGCCCAGAGGCACACCTCTACCTGATAGTGCGACGGAAGTGGCCTCAGAGAGGTATTTCCGTGCAGGGCTGACCTTGCCTGTCGCTGGTGGACAGGGTAGGTGTGGAGCAGATGAACTAGATCCAATACCGTGAAATATTGCGTTCAGAGCAACTCTATTGCCGCAACGGTCCATTGGAGTTCTCAAATTGACTCGGAAAGCGTCAAGCTGATGAGTACGACTGGCTGAACATCCTGGGTACACCGAGCCTCTCACCCGGTGCCTGCTCGCTCGAGACGAAGAAAAGCACTGTTGTCTCGTCACCAGTACGAGCCTGTATCATGGCTTAGGCTATGGCAGCTACAAGGACTTTATAACGGAGTGGACTTGATGGGGCGGTGCTTGGGTAGATATCTGCCGCACTGAGGTTCGCAAAGCTCTGTCTTATTGTATCGGAAACTACATGCGCCCGTCAATGATGGACCGCGTGGAAGGGGGTTCGGTTCCCAATCAAAGCGTACGCTCACCGTAGTCATTTTGCCATCCACCTATCGACAGCAGAACATCCACCCGCTGTGATTAGGCCCCGCCGCCGCCCCAGTTGCCAAACGGGGCCCTACGTCACAATCTTGCGATAGCGTATGTGCATCAACGCACGCATCAAAACATGGATTGCGCCAGGATGCAGTAATCAAGAATAGATGTATTACGATGTATAATGCGCGCGCAATCCAAGAACGTATGCTAAGCTACTGGTACAGCGTCCATACCGCCGTGTACGTCCTCACATGGCCCATAACAACACCGAGCCAAGTCAGGCTAGACATCAAGGGCAGCGCGGCGGCCTATCAGAACAGCAGCCCGCCCGCACTCACGAGCCCCGAGACGAGCACGGCGGCCCACATCGCGACGGACGCGAGCTCCACCGGCAGCGCCCCGTTCCCGGCGGCCTTGTCCGTGCTCGCGGCCGCCGTCCCGCTGACCGTCGCGGCGGCCTTGCCGACGGTGGGGGACGGGGCGCTGCCGCTGGCGCCGTTCATCGCGGTCGCGGTGGACGAGAGCGTGGCGAAGCCGACGGACGCGGGGTCCGCGCGGAAGACGGAGTACACGTTCTTGAGGAAGGTGTCGCCGACGATCCAGGGCGGCGCGGAGGTGCCCGAGGTGTCGAGCGCGAAGAAGCCGCCGACGCAGGTGGACTCGGAGACCTGCATGAGCAGGAAGTCCGCGTTGGAGACGGGCCAGGAGATCGAGGACGAGCCGAAGCGCAGCGCCACGGTGACATCGGTGCTGCATGCTGTTTATTGGTTGTGCGAAGTCAGTGACCGAGCGGGGCTTTCTGGTGGGGTGGAACGTACGATAAGTATAATAGCCGGCGTTGTCGCCTGTGAGGGCCTGGCTGCCGGGTATCTGGGCGTAGAGCGCGGCGATGGCGTCATTTGGGCCTCCGACGAGCGTGGTGCCGGTATCAATGGCAGCGTAGGATGCGGAGCCCGAGGTGAAGTTCACGGAGTTGCCGTTCACAGTCAATCCTACAACGCATGGCTCAGCATATGCAGAGGGGGGCCGATGGTTTGTGACTTACCAGTAAGCTCTTGTATCCAGTAACCCTCTTGACCGCTTGGGATATCTTGGTAGTCGATGTCCCCAGTGTATAGGGAGGAATTGGTCGAACCAATATTAAAGGTTCCACCAGGCTCGAGCTGTTGCGCGTTCGTGTCATTGACGAAACGCGTGAGCTGAAATGCCATGAGAGGCTCGTCTAGAGTGCCACCGCTGTTCACGAGCGCTTCCCAGAAGGGAGTCGCTCCTGACGACGCGATGCTCTGGAAGCCGAGGCCCATGAGCCCAGAGACAGGCGAGCTCAAGAGGTTCGAGGATATCTGGGTAACGACACCTACGGGTATGCGGTTAAGGACATATGAATTGATTCAGATTGAAATGTGACATACCGAATGTCTGTGCGCTGACTTCGAAGCCGGCCATCTGGACGACATCCTGTCCTAGCGTCCCACGAGCCGCACCTGAGCCATAGCTGATAGAGAATGCGGTATTCAAGTTGTTGAATGTTGTCGACGCTAAGAATAGAGATTAGCAGACGCTTTCAGCTAAGGGGATGCCTGTGCGTTTTGGCGTTTTGGACTCATGATGTTAGGAGGCGGCGTCGATGCGGTGAAAATTTGCGGCACGTCATTCCGCACGCGCATGAAGTGCCTGCAGCGGGTCGGACCTTGCGATACGCCAATGACGCAGGGCAGAAGCCGTGGCAAGGACTAGGCACTCACCATTGGGATTGAAAGTAGGAATTCCATTGCTTGATGATGACACGCCGTCTGCCGCGGCTAACCACAAGTCGCTGCGGGGACGTCAGTCGAGGCGGTGGAGTGGGAGAAGGACTGCACGCACGATGACCCCGTATCAAGAATGACGTCGTAGGAGACGGCGGGAGTGCCGACCGCTATTGAGCCATAGAAGCTCGAATCTGCACCCTGGTTCGTGAGGCTGAAAATGCATGGTGAATAGAGCGATCGCAACACAAGACAAATGGCGACGTACAGGTTAAAACCGCTTGCACGCTTCTCCAGGCCGGACTTGGTACCATACTTGATTTCCAACAAGTCCTTCTGAGCCTTGAGCCATTCTGAGCCATTGCGCACGGGTTTTCGTCGAAGTAGGGGTATTGAGCGGGATAATGATGTGGGTGCTGGTTGGGGAGCAGCAAGAGACTCGGGTGCGAGTGCGAGGACAGAGAGGGCTAATGAGTAGGGCAGGAGATGCATGGCGGGAGTCGTAAACGGGATAAGGATAATACTGGAGGTAAAGAGAGATTGTCGTGAGAGGGAGAGTGGCCGGAGGAAGCGAGTGGAGGGAGTATAAGTAGCAGGTGGAATCCGACGCAGCTGCGCACAGCGCGGCGGGCCAAGGATATGATGCCGCTCCGCTGAGTAATTGTCCCGCGTATGATCTTCCGCGGGCGGAGTCCCCGGCGCGCTGGCAGCCGATAGCAGGTGCACCGAGGTGGTCGCACGTTGCAGAGAGCCGACAGGAGAGGGAGCAGGAGTCGGAAGAGGACGAGGATGAGGACGAGGCAGCTGCAGTCAGGAAATAACAACGACGCCCGCCTCGGCCCCAAGCCGCCGGCGATCCCCACTCAATAGGCGCCCTCCCGATGCCAAGCCGCAGATCCGATTCGATTCGCCCGCCGCTGAGGCCCTTCTTGTGAGCACCTTGCGCCGTCCAACGCCATCCACTCGCTCAGCTTTGCACGCACCCATATCCCTGCATATTTCTTCTGTGCAGCCATGTGTAGGCTTCGCCTCTGCTAGGTAATGCCCTACGCTGTGTTCAGATATCCATAACGTTCATCGTCAGATTCCTGCCCAGCCGATCGTCCTGCCTTGGCGGCCGCTCGTCGGCTTTCATCCGGTCAAGGTTGCAAACGGCATGTATATTTACCCCAATCATTCTCAAGACGACGATGATCTCATCCTAGACTTCATCTACTGGCTCACCAGATCCTGTCCAAAGTCCCTCAACTTCGGCGTCGCGCCAGGTTACCTCGCATCCTGGGTGCTGCAGGACGACTCCACAAGCCTGTCGTCTGCGGATGACACGAACTCCGCTCGCAGCCTTGTCATGATTCATGCAAGCAGAGCCCTCGCTGCCCGCAGCATGTCGCGGCTCATTTCTGACGCGAGCTCGGATCTCCAGGTACTTATGAATCTCTCAGTCAGTCTACCCATAACGTTCTTTCTAAACTCGTTCCGTACCCCTCTTGTACTCATATTTTTGACCGTCGCACACACGACTGCCGGACTCTTGAACTCTCCGCAGAAGCCCTTCCGCAGCTCTTTTCGCCAAAGGACAGCCACTTGCTGCGGTGCCGACGGCCGGCTCCAACATTCCTCCTATCGTGCCTTCATCTCCTGTCGGCTGACCTCGAGGCCACGAGTACAATGCGTAGCTCATTATATTCGCGCATACACGCCGCCTTTCGTATGTGGACTTGTCTCCCGCATCATCGCACTAGCTTAAGACGTAAGCCTTTCTACACTTTATCCATCTATAACTTCTCCGCCCTCGCGGCCCTTGGGAAGTGCGTACCGGGAGGGTGCGCGAGGGCTTTACTCGAAAGTTCCGCTCTCCAGGCGCGCCTGCCAGTGCATACAGCCTCCCGACCCCGTTGGAAACGACTTTGGAGGATATAGAATTCAGGCACGTCGGGGCTCGTTCGCCTGGGTCGTCCCGCATACATGGTGGTCCCTGCAGGACTGGTGAATCCAGACTTCGTGCCCGGTCCGTTGCAGAGGTGGTCGGCACGTTGAAGCCTCCCAAGCCTAAGTAGATCTTGGCGCTCTTGGCTTGGTTCCTGCTCTGTCTCGCGCCCAACTTCGTGTGAGGTTCCAGTGTGAGGTTCAAGAGGATGAGAACGAGACGACAGTTGGAACATTCTCAATCTGGACCTTGGTGTCGTAGTCGACCGACGTGGTGGCGCTCTGGCCCCACAACCATCCGAGCACGGGCCCAAGGCCTTAAACGTAGGGAAGCCTCCGACGTTCTCGACGGCTTGCACCTGCACCTGCCCCCGTGGGATCTCCGTACCCGTGCAGAGAGGTTCGCTGGTCTTGTGCGAGATCCGGCTCGTCCTGTCAGACACCTGTCGCCGCGGCAGTGGCCAGGTCAGGGTTCAGACGAGTACGGATGAAAGCGTACGTCGTCGTCGCACGCCCTGTGCGTAGCCGCCAAGTGGTGTGCTCGTTTTCTCTTCTCACATTGTCGGGGAACGTCAAGTTCTGCGCCTCGTTGCCTGCGCTGTCCGACCGCGGCCATGAGCGTAAAGTGGCTTCGGTCGCTGGCAGTGTATCGGGGGAGCCGGAGTGCTTGTGTACAGCTCGGTCGCGCTTGTGGTGGTCTGTACTCACCTGGAGGCTTATGCGGAGTAGAGGGCAGGACAGATGGAATCGAAAGACTTGCCTAGCATGGAGTCTATAGTGGAGTCGCAGGGGTGGCCGTTCCCTCGAATTACAAGCATCCTGGGAGAACTCGGTAAGTCATAGATGATGAACGCAAGGTTGTGATCTCATGCATGGGAAACAGTTTCGGTTGTGGGCAGCTTCGATGGATCACCGCCGATGTCGCCCGTGCCAGCGCAGGGGAGAACCCGACACGCCGCAGCGGTTGTGCTGGGCACCTGGATAGAAGAATCAATATGTTACCCAACGTGCAGCCGGATCTTGACAACGCTGAACGAACATTTCTGTGGCTGGTGTCTCCGCTTACGACGCCGAGTAGAGCGTTGCTATATCGCCAATCGGTGTGTCGCTCAGTATTGCGGCTCATTCGCAGAAGTACTATGGGACAGGCGATGTGCTTGATTCCATGCAGAGCTGCGTCGTGGATCAGACTAACACGGACAGCAGTGCGACTCGATCTTCCCTGCCATAGGGGCCCCAGCGCGACGGCGGCCGTCGTGTTAGCATGGTTGTCTATTGACGTCGTGGGGAGTCCAACCAAGAAGGTATAATGTCCAGTTCGCCTTGTCACCATGTCTTACGATCGATTTCGAAATCTGATCCCCTTACCAGGTGATCCTTGGTATTTGACAGATGGATAGTGGGCAGTGGTGAAGCCGAGACACGGGCGGACTTCACGCTTGTCTCCGACTCGAACCTCTTACCATTGTCTCGTACTTCTTCGCTAAGTCGCGGTATCTCTGATATACCCCTCGAAGCGTGTGATGGAAGACTGGTATCCTGGGGTTTCAGAATCGAACACGTAAGTTGGGACTCTTCATCAAGCTTTGTCAGGAGCACATACTGCTGTTCTAATAGCTACTGATATCCCATGTTTGACACCTGACACAGGCCTTCTGATAAAGTATAGTGGCGAACAGAACAAGCTATGGGCTACTCATCGAACCCTATCATCAGTCCTCGTACCTCCGGCTCGGAACTCCTAGTGGTGTTTCAGACACTGGGACGGCTGTTGCCCGTCAAAGAAGGCACGCTGAAACCTCCGAACAAGTCAGGTAACTTTTGTCATGTCCAGACGTTCCGTATCCCAGTTCGTTTCGTCCATGGGCCATCCCTTGGGGAGTGATGTCCATCGTTGATATTGGGGCGCAAGTCTGTACGAGACAGCAGACATATCAGTGAATGTTACGATCTTCAGACTTCTTCGATGGCACCGTATCCCCACTGGATCAGGTGGTGGATCGGGCGAGTGTGATGTCCATGGGTAGCTGTGCATGCAGGGCAGTGACCTCCAACCGGACTCGGTCTCCCCGATCAATCGGCGGGAATCTGATTTCGATGTGACTTCCTTCACCACAATGCTACCTCCGAGGCATCTGCGTATGACCACTTTCTGCTGGACTCCGTTCTCGAGCTCTGTCAGTCTTTTCTCTGCCTCTATGGTACGGAATTCTCGATGTTCACATCACACGTTAGCACTCTGTCGATGGGATCGCGCACGATTCGAGAGCAGATGCAGAATGACATTGCTGTAATGAAGGGCATCTTCGTATTGGTATATGTCTGGGAATATTGTCAATAAGCTATGCGATATTTCTTCGGTGGAAGAATGCACCACTCTGACTACCTGACAATCCTTGTCGGCTCATCTGCCATGGAGCCCTGTCCTTACCTCGTACCCATTCCAAGTACCATTTCACTTGCGGCAGTGAGGCTCGAGTCAAGGCTGGTGAACAGGAGACAGGCGTACCCACTGTCGTCATCCCGTACTTATACCTGTCATGAGGCTATGTACCGTTATTCTCCGGCCCGATGAAGCGATGGAAGAACTACTTCGGAAGAGAACACCCCCTTCGTACGTTCTTTCAGTCTATGTTAATCTTGCAATCAAACGTCTGCTCTCCATAAGGGTACTTACGCAGATTCAGGTGAGCTTTGACCGGCCCAGGAAGATGCAGTAGAGGAACTCGATCACTGTGTTACACTGCAATTTACGTGGCCTGTGCGAAACACCCCCAACCACCCGGGATCCATACAGACCAACTCCGCGGCGATGCTTCCCAGTCTGCGCAGTTTGGCTGCATCAAAATGAAATTGTGGCATTATGTCGAATTTGATGACGTGTGCATGCGCAGCTCGCCCGATAGACGAACCTCCGGTGTTCCCGGGCCAGAGCCTTTGCACGTTCACGTGTCCGTCCGCCCTCGACGCTCACACTAATCAGGTGGTCATATTCAGGGCACAAGCATCAAGAAAGTACAATGCTCCAGACACTCCAATTCTGCAGTTATGGGTGGCGGTCACAGCCGAGTCTTACCATAGGCTGCGGCTTCTCGCTGAACACCGCTTCGTTACAGCCAACCCGAGCTTCTAGACTGAGTCACTTGCTACGAATAAATGAGAGCTATGTTATACCACTGACTGCGAATCTTTGGTAGACATCCAGTATGCGCCTATCAGTACACAGATAACTCAGACGAGAACACCATGAATGCATTGCTTCCCTAGAGTTGCTCTATACTATAGAGGCGGCTAGTAGTAGTTTCACACTCGAAGTGAATGATCTCCGTCCGGGCGGTACAGAGAGCCCAACCACCCTGCATCTTTTGCCTCCAAACAACCAAACAGCCAAAGGTACGCCAGTTGACGAATCCAAAGTCTCTATGCTAGCTGCACGAACTCATGCTAGGTTAGTCAGACGCCACAAAGCTTACGGATGCAATACACCGCCACAACTTGTGAAAGACTGACTGTTACCGAGGCCTACGTGATGCTTCGGATTGACTCATGGTAGATCTGCACAACATGTTCACTCTGACCTGAAACCCTGTGGAAATTGATCAATGCAAGTGTGCAAGAAAAGGATACTACTTTGTAGGATACACTAGGGCAGCGGAGTAAATTATACAGCCACTATATTCAAGCGCAAGAAATCAAGAAAACAGCTACGTCCAAGAACGTCAAGACACCGCCCTATCACAACCAATCCAAGATCACATCGCCAAGAGAACAGTAACAACAGAAACAACAACCTTCAAGATGCGACCAACTGAGGCTTTACCGCCATTGGACAGTCCGGATGTCGATCCTGAAACACGGTGTTCAGCGTAACATCACAAAGATCTCGAAAATACAATGTCTAACCAATGCTGCAAATGAAAGCACCTATCAGGTTTGTCCCGAAGGCCGAGCACCTGTGCCATCGTGCTCGTAGTCGGGATCATCGCGCCCATCCTTGCGAGACCCGGTCCGACGAGGCCTCTGCACACCAGCAGGAGAGCGGATGCGTGGCTCTTTGTCCGGTCCCCGTCGCGTCGGCAATGAATCGTATACGCATTCCTCTCCGTGGCGCTGGCAGGTTGTGCAAGGACGAGCACCGTCACATTTGAACTTGCGGCGACGACTGTGGAACAAATGAGCTTCCCGAGACAGAAAGATGAGCATATGTGTTGATACATACCAATAGCCGCATGCAATAAATACTCGCTCGCGTGGCTTACCGTCAACGGTGAGGGCTTGGGTACTGTGGTCAAAGGGGGTGGACGAAAGCCGTCCGGAGCTGCCGCCTTCGGCGGCGGGTCCCGGAGGTGGGAATGGCGCATATACTCCTCGTAGGGCAGAATAGCTCTGTGGAAGATAGTTGGAAGAATGAGGAGGATATTGCGGATGGGACGTGGTCGAGCTTCCTCCGGGGACGGGCGTGCCCCTCCCTGACCTTGAGTAACTACTTGGAAGGCCATAGGGGTCCATCTGGGCGAGGCCGACGTTCTGCGGATAGACAGGTATAGATCCAGGAGGGTACGCCGCGGCATGACTTGCTGGAGATCCTAGCTGGCTGCCCGGATGATATGCCGGTGACAACCCTTGTTGTGATCCCAAAGACCCCGGAGCAGTTAAGCTTTGACTGGAGACAGTGAGAGGATGAGGAGGATACCGAGCATACGTGTTCCGGTCGGAGTACACGTCAGGGTCCAATGCTCTGGTGGCATTTTCCACGGTGTCCCGCCAAGAAGTGTCCCCACTAGCGGAGGTCCGTTGAGGTTGATCAGACGAGTTGCTATATGGTAAATTGCCAGCCATGACAAGAGGAGCGGGGTGAGCGACAAGTAGTGGAGCCTTCGATGGGTAACGGTATAGTGAACTTGAAGAATGGCGTTCTTCACTGAAACGGGCAAAGCTTATGTACCTACGCTCGTGGCTGGACACAGTATTGTCCTCAACAACACTGCGGTCTTGACTCAAAGCCAGTTTGCCGCGGTTTGAGTCAATACAGAGCACACGCAAAAGGCCTACAAGGGCGCAGTTTGCGGATATCTCGGACGGTATTGCACGGATGTCACATTCAACTTGCATTGTTGCGACGTATATGTTCAGTTCCAAAGCCGTGGAATTAATATGAATCCCGTCGTGCACAGTCCTGAAAACACGCGGTTGGTGTACTGATCATAGACGTTCCATCGCTAAGGCTGGAGAGCCGTGATCGTGCTGCACACTCGCCATGGGTGCGAAGACAAATTCCTTGGCTCTGCATACTGTCTTGCCGCCAGGTAAATGTCATCGTAGCTATTTATTAAACCTATGCGTACCTGTATGGGAGTCAACCGGATCAACGCCTATGAAGGCGGGAGAAGCTGTGCACAACTTGTAGCTGCGCTGCTGTGTGACCTCAGCCCTCGGATCGCAGTCGCCTCGCATGCTGAAACAAGGTAGATGACGGCCGTCAATGCTGAAGAGTACGTGGTGAGTAATCACCTTCGAGGACGTCGCATCTCGATGTCAGACGTCTACCACGGCCCCAAGTCCGGGCCGTCGTACACGGGAAAGTTTTGGCTGTGGGGCCGAGAATACATAGACAAATCACCTAATTAGAGCGTCAGATTTCCGAAAGATAAGGTCTCATCTCAGGACACACACAATCGCATGAGGTCCATGCAGCCATCTGCATTTCGTCCTAGGGAACGGACGTTTGCTCAATCCGATGTCCGCCATGTTTCACTCACCTTGAACCCATATTTCTCATAGCATTCTCTTAATCTCGTCCAGCTGGTGATGTTCGTTGGCGTCCCGGTTTGACTAGCTCTTGAATTCACGCGGACTGTATTCACGAATGAAAAGACGCCTCACTCCTTGATACACAATGCTAAGTCCCAAAGGCGATATCCGCCAGGCCGGCACAACGACATCAGTCGGAAGGTCTGGGTGAAGGGTTACACCTACTTACTGATACAACTTACTCTATTTCCTTGACTCTTCACATTGCGAGACAACAACCGCAGCTGGAGTTGAGCTAGCTATGCTCGGACGCGTTGCCACGCCTACTGGGAGACACCAACGGCAGTCGTAAGTAGCGGATATCATCTTGGGAACCACAGACGTTGTCTCAGCAGTGTAAGAGGACAATCGCCGAGAAAGCTACTGTGTGGTAGACTGAGGCCAAAGGCATGAGGGCATTCGGAGAGCGCATCGGTGGTGGTTGGAACCTAAAATCACGAGATGACACGTTCGGGCGTTCCGCATCCGGTATTGCACCCATAGACGCCCGTAAACCTGAGCGGTCGCAAATCGTCAAGCACCTCAGGCTTGCACGCTGCTGGCACAAGGATTTGCTATGGTTCGATTCACCACTCACGTGGGATGTTACTTCAGAGTTTTTGACACCCCATCTTATTCACGCCCAAGGGAGGGTCTACGTCGCAGAGCACCCTTAACTAGGCTGCGGCTGTGCGTAGACCAGTATTTTGCCAGGCTGTGTTATTCTCTACCCTCAGACTACGCAGATAATCCTTGTACATTCGAGCTTCGGTTGTTCAAGCTTACTACTATTACAAATTACCGTAACAGATAAGCACGGATACTCCGTCAGGAGCCGCAGAAACGAAGACGCGATGTTCGGCCGCTGGACTAAGAACATCTATTCGATGCATACAATTGATCATAACATCTGAGCATGGGAGAAGCTGGTCGAGAATAAGAGCTAGCAGCGTCATAATGCAGTGGTAATTCATTACGACACAAACCATGTTCACACCGAGTGCATTTACCGAAGCCATAAACCTTGGCTAAGCTGCTCATCATGGAACATGACCACTGCGCTCCTTGCGTACCGCAGGCCGCCTCGGCTTCCTCTGTCCCACAGGCGAGCGTATGCGGGGCGCCTTGTCTTGTCCTCGTCGCCGGGGTGCAGACTCATAGGAGCAGAACACCCCTTGATCCGCGACCCGCTGACAATTGCAGCAATTGGGGTGGGCGCCGTCACAGCGGAGCTTTCGCAATCGACTGTAGACGCCATACAATGGACAATGAGAACTCCCGAACATCGAGAACAAAACAGACAGATGGAGATCTCACCAGCGATCGCATGCCACGAAGACACGTTTGCGGGGATTTCCGTCGACGGTCAAGGGCTGATCAGGCGCCAGCTCTATCTTAGTCTTCTGACGACCGCTCGTGCTGGTGGAGACACTATCCGTGTCTGTTGCAGCCGGTGACGAGGACATGGACGGCATCGAGTCTGCATCCACGAAGTCGAAGGATGGGAACGCCTGATATATGGGGAGCTCCGGTGATTGCCCTTCGTAGAATGTGGGAAGGGGATTGTGCTGAGGGATAACGGGGGGATAAGTGTTATGATGACACAATGGCAATGTATGCGAATTTGAATGCGCGCCGTCCGTGCCGGGATGATTGCGATAATGATACGAGTCGGATGAGCCCTGGTGGAAATTGGAAGAGAAGCCGGCCACAGGAGAGGTGACGATCGTGCGCGCGTCGAACCAGTGCTGGGAGGATCGAGGGTGGTCTGGGTAGAGCGCAGGATACCAGGCGGTCCCCTGAGCGGAAAGTGCATCGAGCCAAGAAACGAGATAATCCCCAGACTCTGCATGAGGCTCGCCATTTGGGCAGCACCCGTATGGATGTTGATGATGCTGATGCTGCATGTTAGACGATGGTGTATCAGAGCCTCGAGTATAGGGTAACAAGGAGGTCGGGGGCGACGGGTCGAAAAACGGAGTAGTGGTCGGTGATACAGCAAGCGGGACGATGTCCGGCTAGTTATGTATCTTCCTAGGACCCAGCACAACAGCTTCTCAGGATCTGAAGCAGTGTCATCATCTCGTGAACTCAGTGGAGAAGATCAATGCCGAGATCAGAGCCTAATGCGATGTCTCGAGCTCCGGAATGTCCTCTGGACCGTATGCTGCGAATGAGATCCTGCGAACAACAAGAACTTTGACGGCTGTGAAGTCCAGGACCCCTTTTCAATGATGGAACGTCAATTCAATGGGGACTGTGAGAAGATGCAGCTCCTCAGGCAAAGCCTTTATCTGGCTTCCTCCCACTGCGGTTCCTTCCTTCCGACGTGCTGGAGCTAGCAAAACCTCCTACGACTAGAAAGAAATACATGGTCTGCACGCCAGGAACATACAAGACCTTGTAATGAAGACCCTGTTGATGTTAGGCGAAACGCAAATTTGAGGCTGTGTGCGGAATCCTGGGAGCCCTGTAAGTCCACGGTCAGCCGATCGCAGCTCTCGGTTGCATCCGAAACCAGGAAGTCATTTGTCTCCCTTCTCTCTGATGCCTGATTGGCCTCGAAGTGCGGAAAATGGATAGCTATATGCCCCGAGAATTCGGCATTTGGGAATCACGTCATCGTTCAGTAGAATTGGATGCGGCCAGATAGGTCCTCGAGTGCGGGGTGTCATTCAGCAGATGATGGTATGTGTACAAGCCACGCCTCGGGACCGACCGATGAAAATCTGTATGTGTAAACCAGTGGTGCTGGCCCGGAACGCTTGTCCGAGTGTCGTTCGTTGAGGTAGTTACGAGGCATGTGAGGGCATCGGCAACGTGCATCTGCTAGCCTGAGATGCCGAATTCGCAGACAAGTGCTTACCGTGGAAGTTGGATATGGACGAAGCTGATGCCTCGTGCGACTAGGGCGGTATCTAAGGGTCTCCTATCCAGTTCCTTGTACTTGACATTGCGGTCCACCTGAGAAGTAAGTCGACAGGGTCAGTTGCTAAGGGAAAGAGTGAGTGTCCATAACTGACTGGACTCTAAAGGAACAGCCGGATTTGCGATGTCAGGGGAAATCGATGCCGGAGTCCAAGGGGGTGATCGTCGTCATCACTTGCTACTGGCAACTTCGCAACAGAGAATTGCCGGATGCCAGGTTCATAGTCAGCATCTTCAGCGACAGCGAGGATTGCCGACGCAGCCAAGGGGATGTTAGAGAGTAAAGAATTGATGGTCCGAACGGTGGATGGCATTGCCCCGAGGGGCCGGCAAGCATCTTCCCGCAGTAGCGCTTGTAAGCGCTTGCCATTGTCTATACCCTAATTAGTGTCAGCCACGCGAACCCCTCTGCCTGTGCCCAGCGAAGCCGCCCACTCCTTCTACCATTCACGACTGTGTCGCCTCTGCTCCCCGGTCGATCAAACTGTAATGCAGAGCGCAAAGTACTTGTTCTTGGGACAACTGCCTCTCCTTACCCTTAGTCTCTGAACGCGATCATATCCAAGCGCCTCATACACATCAAGACCCATGTGAACGGACCTGTGCTCTCCCACATTGTCCGGCTGACTTTATCTTACGAGTTACCTAATGCAGACCATTAACAATATGGCCTCATATGCACCCCCTCCCGATTGGTGGAAGCAGTACCACATCGCCGGTGTTGGTTGCCATTTTGATTTTGCTCCCCCACGTGCTCAGCTTGTCGTTATTTATACCTCCGGAGCAGGAGCTTCTTGAAGTTCTTCATAACGTAAGTTTGCATCCGCGGTTTGTATCTCGACTCGGAAATTGAGCACCATTTTCTGTGTGCAACCGGCCAGTTACACACCTGGTTTTCAGCCGACGCATGTAGGTGGCAACTTGAAGGATTCATACACGAGGGCTGGGAGAAGAACATCCCGAAAGCCGTCGTGGAGTTCAAGATGAACCCGGTTGGTCCATCAAGAAGCGTTGCAGATTCAAGAGCTTGGCCGAAACTCCCTCCGCCAGAAGGACTCAGGTACCGCATCACCCTTGGCCCTCTCAAACTTCTAAAGACGACGAGACAAAGACGGTCGCCGTTCATCGGAAGTGCTGAGGTCATGATGGGAGCTATTGGATCATCAGGCAAAGTCTTCTAGGAGAGCCAGCCGCAAGGTATGTGGCGCGTTCATCTGCCGTGGTCGTCATCTCATCCCCGTGATCCATCCGCAGGTTGGTCCTGAGAAACTGTGACGATCATTCTCTTCCGCTACACGGTGCACATATGTATGCCCTTCGTCACCTATAGCTTCACGGACTTGGGTGTATAGCAAACCATTCTGCGGGCCGATATTGGTGTTTGAGGTCCTGATTTTTCCGAAGTCTCCTCCCTCGTCTCGTGTAGTCCGCCGTATTGATACCTGTGGCAAATCCAATTTCTACCACCCTTCGTCCGGGATCCTATCTGCTCGGAGCAGGAGGCCCTATTTCTGCCCATTAGCCCACAGGGCTTACGATGCTTATCCGCCTCTTCTCAGACCCCAACACATCACCGAAGCATGTTTATCTGTTAGTGTCGTGGGATAAGCAGTCAGCAAGTTTCTTTCCAAGACAACCCGAATAGTCCCACTACCTGCCCGCTCCATGTTTGACCCGCTGCCAGTGCTACCGTCAACATCGAACCATTTACCAAAAGTCAACCGCACAAGACCACCACATCCTCAAGCCGATGCGTCAGACAGTCTTCTTTAGGTCATGAAGCCGCAAGAGATCACGTGAACGCTGGAAATGTACATGAATATACGTCAGCACAATGACGACTCCTTCAGCCTACATCATTACTGTGTTGCTCTCTGTCATCGGGCGTCTGTACTAGACTAGTTTAGACGTCGCTTCTCGATGGTTCCGATCGTCTTTCGGCAAAAGAAGAAGCTGGATTGTATGGTACTGCAGCCTTGATCGGTGTCTTCAACTACTTCCTCCGTTCCGTCTTCAAGCTGATTACCCATCAAGAGCAGAACAGGAAGCTACGGTTCGCGTCACGTAAGATATTTCTACGGAACCGTTTGTACTGGAACTCGAAGGAGAAGTTGCACCGCTTACTGTGTTCAGAAACACTTGGTGCCACGCATGCCGTCAAACGTGAGGGGATGAATGCTGGGTTACCGGGAGGGGTGACACTCGGCAGCATGAGTAGCGTCTAAACGCTGAGTCAGCCGTTGCAACTTAGTCTTCGTTGCGTCCGGTCGGACAGAAGCCAGGGCCCTGAGGGGACCCATGTGGACGGTCCTGCGTGCATGGCAATGAACGTAGGGTGGAGAGGCATCAAGTGTGGTTTGATGGACAGTACCGTATCACCGACTATCCAAAGTGGTCAAAATATGAAGTTTGGCCTAGTGTAGAGTTGCACGCTTCAGCGTCTTTATCACTTCACTGTACAGCACAGAGATGGACGTGAGCTATGGAACAGCCCAGCCGTGGTTGTGGCCAGGCCTTCGCAACGGCGGAAGGCGGACTCACGCACTGCTGCACTCGGATTCCCATACGAGCAACATCATCTGGAATCTTGGTCCGCAACTAAAATGTCAAATTTTTTTCAAGTAACATATGGTGACTGGTGACGGCAATGACTGACCGCAAACCCCACACGGGGCAAGGCGCGAAGGTCCAGGAGCGGGAACTTCTGCGCTGCGCAACGCGTCAATAACGATGACAGGAAAACAAAGAAATGTATAAAGACCAATGGGAGTTGCCATGGACATGTTACTTAGCTTAACGATTCTGGGTAGATTTCCCTGCTTGAGCCATAGCTCTTTGCCCGTCGTGTCAGCTGCGAGGTCAATAGCACATTGCACTGGCTCAACATAGATCGGAGACCGTCCAAGCGAGGAATCCGCGAAAACGTGCGCTAGAAAGCGCATCCTGACGAGCGACTGTTCAGTCTGCCTTGATAGGGACCATTGTTCAGTGATATAGCACTGCGAGTCTTCAATGCTCAGTACCGCCGCATGGATCGGGGAAGCTTCAATGTGCGGAGGAACCTTCAACTACAGCCGGGACGGATGACTTGTATCGCTTTATTGAGACCGTCGGGTAGCATCAAGAGAGGATACCGAAGGTGATTCGCATCGCCAGTGGACGCCAATGTGCATCATCACGAGTAGGTGCTAATTGAGGCGACCACTGAGCACTGCGAACACGTTCCACTGTAGAGACAACAACAATGTCAGCGCAGGCCAAATCTCATGAAGTCACCAATGAGACAGTATGTGCGAAAAATTGACCTGTTCTGGAGATTGAAGGTGTCTGTGCATCTAAAGATGCCAGTGACTCGCTGCGAATCCACGATTCCTAGTCAGAGTAGATCACACGCACCGCCGAGCACGACCACCGAGCTGTTGCTTTGACGTATACTCCGGACGTTTGGTTCAAATGGATATCAGCCGAACGTCTTGGTGTCGCCACTGTCGTGCTACGTTGCCGCGATCACGGAGCAATGGCTCGAGCTCAGCAAATCGATGTAAGTTACTTTATAATGAAGCATGAGGCTTTAGTAGATAATATCGACGCCCGTTTGACCGAGAGCGGAACGTCTCTGTTAGTATATCGGTTAGTACACGCGCCTGTCATTGAGGTGGCCGCGCGAAAGCGGGGTTCGACTCCCCGACAGAGAGTTACTTTTGCCTTGGGTCTGGGCAACACCGCGGGCGGCGGGCGGTATGGACTAGAGAGACGTCGCTGTCGTGGACAGCGTGGACAGAACCTTCATGACTGCCAGGCTCGGTCTCGCATCGACTCGAGCTATCGCTCGCACATCGCACCCTCCCAGCGTAGTCGTCTCGCGGCGCGCGGCCTCGACGTCATCCCAACAGCCTGCACGGTCGTTCGGTCGGACTGCGGCATACGCTTCCCTATTCATCGTTTCAACGGGTGTCTTCGCTGCTTATTATTTCGATTGCCGAGCCGCTGTCCACAAGTATGTGGTGACCCCTGTCATACGCTATACGCTCGACCCAGAAGCGGGTCACAAGCTCGCTGTTCGTGTCTTGAGTTCCGGATTTGCACCCCGTGACATGGTGCCAGACGATGAAGTTCTGAAAGTGGAGGTATGTACGTGTACTTTCACTTCTAGGTTGATCTGTCGGACCTTATGCGTGCTGCAGTTGTGGGATGAGGAGCTGGCGAACCCTGTCGGACTGGCAGCTGGGTTTGACAAGCATGGGGAAGCCATAGACGGTGACTAGTCAACAGTTTGCTTCGCTCCTCAGCATACTGACGAACCCTAGGACTTTTTGACCTTGGATTCGGCTGGGTCGAGATTGGCAGCGTTACTCCAAAACCGCAGGTGCGTGGTCTTCCTGTGGAGGAATACTACAAACATCCGAGCCCTATAAACTACAGCCCGGGAATCCCAAACCCCGTATCTTCCACCTGCCGGACGACTCTGCCCTCATCAACCGCTACGGGTTCCCTTCGGAAGGACATGCTGCTGTCCTTGCCCGTCTCCGCTCTCGTCTTCCTGCTCTTTTCTCTTACGCGTCCGACCCCGCCAATGAGTCTCCATTACATGGGCAGGAACACGCGTCACTGCGGTCAAACGCTCTCCTCGCGGTGAATCTGGGCAAGAACAAATCCTCACCACCAGACTCCATCGCTGACTTCGTCGCCGGCGTCCGTACGTTTGGTCCATACGCGGACGCACTAGTGGTGAACGTTTCCAGTCCTAACACCCCTGGTCTAAGGTATGTTTCGTTAGATTGGAAGGTTTCTGCCCGCTCCTCATGTGTCATCCGTTCAGAGGGATGCAGAGTCGGGCCTTGCTGCAGGAGCTGCTGTCCGGCGTGGTCGCGACCAGAGACGAAGTCACTGCCACGTCCTCTCACTCACATCGACCAAGGCTCCTCGTCAAGATCGCTCCCGACCTGACCGAGCCCGAGATTACGGACGTAGCGGCTGCTGTGCTCGCTACCGGCGGTATCGACGGTGTGATAGTAAGCAACACTACGATCCAACGCCCTCCGTCTCTATCAGATCGTGCGTCATTCTCGCCTGATTTCCGCCTCTCTGGGAGTTCACCCTCACGCCGCTCTCACACATTGCTTCCATTAGCGAACAAAGTGGAGGTCGGCGGCCTTTCAGGCCCCCCGCTCAAACCACTCTCCCTCACAACCCTCCGCACTCTGCGCGGCCTCCTCCCTGCCTCAGTTCCTCTCATCGGTTGCGGCGGAATCTCCTCAGGCGTGGACGCGCTCGAGTTCGCGCGAGCGGGTGCTGCCGCCGTTCAGCTCTACACCGCGTTCGGTTACCAAGGCCCTGGGACGGCTAGACAAATCAAAGACGAGCTGACTGAGCTCCTTCGCAAGGAGGGCAAGACGTGGCGCGAGGTCGTGCGCGAGGCCGTCGCTGAGCACAGCCTGCGCGAGCAGCAGCCCGCTGAGTCCCACGCACCCTCTGGCGGCGAGTCTAGTGTGCATGTCCTCACGCAGGAGGCGCAGAAGCTGAAGCAGCTGCTCGATGAACTTGGACAGCGGATGGAGAAGACCTTGGAGGAGACGGGTGTGGGTGGAGAGGCGCAATTCGTGGTGGTCACTCCGCCACCTACGGCGTAGGGCGAAGTCCTACAGGGATCTGTAGTGTTCGTCTGGACTCGATGGATCTGTCGCGAGCTCTTTCTTGTCGGTGTGTGTCCATCAAGCTGTAGTTGAAGCGAAGTATAGATCGAGCTATCGTTTCCCGGTATGCTCGCCCTCTATCTCGTTCAGGTGTATAGCTGGGGTCATCTCTATTGGAGTTCATCCTACTCGTGTTTGGAAAGGAGGTATCACTCGTGCACTCATCATGTGGGCTTCCGCTACTACCTATTCGCAACCCCAGGCGGGACAATCCGTTGAACAACTCACTATCCCGGTCCTCCCCTCTGTATAGGTTCCGTCGCCCGACGCAGGATCCTGGAGGGTCGGCTCCGTGCCTCGGTTGTGACGTCAACAGTTCGCTGGAACAAGTGCACTCCGCATCACGCACCCACGACAAGATGGTATGTCCTGAGCCTGCTCCGCGATGACAGATACTTTGCTGTATAGTGCTGACAATTCGGGAGTATGCAGCTGAGACAGTCGGACAGCAAACAACACTAAGCAGCACATCGACCACCCCAGCCAAGCGAAATTTCGGGTGTTCCATAGCATAGCAAGAAATGGACACTTTCATGAAGGTTGTTTTTCGTTTGACTTCACGGCGTTCTTGACAATTCACCTCTACGTTCATTCAAGCGCAGGCCTCCTGTTGACCTCTGCCAACGTACGTACGACGCGACATCGAAGCAATGTAGATGGACGCATGCCTGTCTTCGGCCCTGTCACCACCCGCGACGCTTGGAAAACTGTTTACGAGACAGGGCCTATCATAAAGGCCTGTCGAATGTGGAATACGTGCGTGAGTTACCTGTTTAGATGACAACACGAGAATAAGGCAGGTTCCGCTGTCATGCCGATCCCGTAGGTGCACACGTGCATTTCTCAACCAGCTCACGTTGGCTGTACTGGCATCTTGCTGTAGCCCCCGGTTCTACGCGGTCTCCGGCAACAAGCCTACTGGGGCTTCCGACGGCGAGCCTACGGACACCCCTCTGCCGACTTCACGAAGTCCTTGCATTGTCCTCCACGGGCACTTGAATGCACATTTTCGCACTTCTCATCTCGCCATCAGTCGCCATCCTCAAGCTCCAACCTTCAACGACGCCAAGTTCATTGAAACTTAGAAGTGGACCTCGCAATTTTCGGCACCAACGGGGTTCTCGTGAGTACGTCACGTACTCAGATCTTCTCGCTCTTGTCACCAATCTAGAGCATAGCTGTAGAGTCGGTTACCGTCTGTACGTTTCGCCGGACTATCTAAGGGATCTCCTGCAAGTCGGGGGCCGTTTCAAGGTCAGCGTACGTGCCTCTCGAAGGATACCTGCCGTGTTGATCAGATCTCCCATGCTTTCCAGATGAAGGCCGCTCAACGGCAACGAAACGCGAAAGCTGCAGCGAGATGACACCCTCCGTGACGTTCGCAGTCCGTACCCACACAGTACTGTAACATTCGTTGTCTGAGCAAGGCCCCGGGAGCGACGCCCGAAAGCATAGAGATCTTTCGAAACCGTGCACAGGCAGTAGGACTGCGCGGCGAATAAGATTTTTCCACTGTCTGTTGAAACGCGCCAATTCAACGGACTCTATTACGTTACTGGCGGTGGTTCAGAACGAAATAGAACCCCATGGTCGGACATCATGTGGACGCGAACTGTTATCATTGGAAATTGAGTACATGAATTCACCCTTCGTCTCAGCATTTCAGACGGCTGAGCTAGCATTGCACCAGGAACCATCCGTACTAATGATAGGTCAACAGCCTTGTCGTTCGTTTGGACGTCAACGAAGCAAGTACCCGTACCACCTCTATTGCCTTTGGGAGGATGGACGTGTAAGCGCACGATCAGGATCCTCGTCGGTGGCAAGTGCTGGCCGCTATGGAGTCAAACACGCTTGAAAGGACCTAGCGACGTTACACTGCTGTTTACGACAGGGTTTCGTGAGGACGAGACTCGGGGGACATTGCCATGGGTGAAGTCACCGAAGTGAGTACGGGCTCAACTTTCTGCCGGAAGCGCTGACGCCCTCGGACCGAGAGAAAGACGCTCGGAAGGTCACGGACTCCGAAATTCTCGGAAGCGCAGCAACAATATTCCGGCTTCACCTACTGAACTCCAACGCACACCCTATACAATCATCCACCCTTGTGGCTACAGGAATTGCGTTTCAGTATGTCATCGGTTGCATGAGGTAGTGAGGACAAGCGACTAAATTGCATCAGGGCATCGGCCGTTCATGTAATCAGAGCGTTTACTGCTGCGAAGGATGCCGTGGACCCTGGATGCTGCGATTGCAGACCATCGCGGCGAAGATTTTCCGGACAGCTGGCAGTAAGACCGTGCATTTGGACGTCTCTTCGTCGTCAGCGAAGTCGACTGATGCGTCGACAACAGAAGCAGCCGCCTGTGACAAGATCATCCTGGCGTGCTATAGTATCAAGGGTCTTTCCTGGTCCTTAGCCGCTTGTCTTTCAAGCCGCGTAATGCAACCTTATGCATACGGCTTTAGTCCCCGGTCGCTCTGTAGAGGTATGCCCGTAAAAGTCCGTAAAGCATTGGTACTGAAATGGCTGTAGTTTGACATGCGTTGAATAGAATTGTCGATCGGGATTTCGTGAAGCTCCTGAATCGCACACAGCCGTCCTACAGCACTATTGGTGCGTGTTCACACCCGTGGAGACCTCCTCGAGGGCGCTCAGCTAGCCCTTAAGCGGCGGTTTTTCGTTCCCCGTCTATGTCGGCACGCCTGACTGCGCGTCTCGCGACGATTCCTGCGATGAACGGGTGCGTAATCAACGGAGGGTTTTTATTTAACCTCGCCTGATTCCCATGCACAAAGGTAAGACCGGAAGGTACGGCTTAGTTTTGCACCGTGGGCGCACTCCTGTCGTACTGTACAGCCAAGCTCCACTCCTGGATAGCGGTTGTGATGTGTGTATGAATCAGTTTGATCTTCAAGCTGAGCGCTGGGTCACAATGATGATGGTCATGCTTGGTGTCATTATTCACAAGGCGTCAATTCGGCGACCAGTGTTCAAAGGCCTTTCGCAGCGAATCGGCGGCGCAGCAGACGCCGCGATAAGCGTGGAGCACGAGACTTCGAAACCGGTCAAAACATGCGAAATAGGTATATTCAAATGATAGGGACCTTGAGACAGCGCAGATAGGGACAAGGGTGGCTGTACGAGCACTAATGGGCGAGCCGATGGCCGTTGTCGGTAGCTTGGAGCCATCTCTAGCCGGAGGAGCCTCTGCTTCCAAGTTGCCTTTCGCCGTCTTGACTTTGCGTTTTGCCCCAGTCTAGACTAATTGTTCGACGGGCAGCGCGTATAGGTACGTTTGACCACGTGGCACTGGTACTGACACTGACACAGCAGTGCTTGACAGCGCCACCTCTAAATCGGCCAGACTCTTGGTGAACCAGCACTGCCATAAGGTAGGCTTCCGAGCTGTGCAGCTACTGGATGTCCGGATGTTCAAAACCGAGGCTGAACCTTTGATTCATCATGCCGTTAGATATTCACACTACTCTCCCTCGAACATGTCCTCCCCAGACCGCGAAGACGACACGGGGCCCTCTGCCAAGAAGCGCAAGGTCCAACGCGCTTGCGATTACTGCAGGCGTAAGAAGAGTACGTCAGCGCCCTTTGTCGTCGTCTCATCCTTGTCTAATACATGATTGCAGTCAAGTGTAGGCTCTCCTCTTGGGGTCATTAAGAGACGGCACTAATCCACTTGAGCATCGCAGGCGATGGCTATCAACGAGCTGACAATCGTTGTTCCAAATGTACCTCTCGACGCACCGACTGTACTTATGTGGAGCCTCTATACGTGCGTCGTTCAGCTCCCGAATTTGACATATTTCTCATATTGTTGTAGAAAAACTTCTATCCTGTGAGGTTAGTGTCTTCGCAGTCATCAGTATAGTAGGGCGACGGTTCCGAAGCGGTGCGCCAATGCGATTTGGACGATGGACACGTGTGGGAGACCGCGTGCTCTGGGGACTTCACCTCCTTTCGACTTCTGGTTGCGTGTCCGCTTGGCAAATTTTCTCTTTACATCCCATCATGCTCGCTCTCATTCATCCAACTAACACGTCATTATGCAGCTATGTTGACAAGGTCGAAGGCCGTATGCAACGACTGGAACAGTTGCTAAAAAAGGTGAATTCGAGATATAACGAATAGCAAATGACAGTAATGACCGCAGGTGTTCTCGTTTCAGCTCAGTCCAGGCATCGACATAACAAAAGAGCTCGATAGCACACTTTCCGACAACGAAGGTGGCTCTTCCGCATCTGTTGGCGCTTCAACACGGTCAGATACCAGCACTCTACGCACAGGAAAGCCGTCGACATCGACTACGCTCAGCCCGCCCATAGCTGCAAGCCCAAGTATCCCCGCTGTCTCTGATGATCTCGACCCCAGCGATGACGAGAGCGAGCTGCAGAAGAATATCGTTGACGGTTTCAATAGGCTATCGATTGACCCAGTCACCTATCGATACCACGGGAAGTCGAGTGGGTTGGTCTTCGTCCGTGCTGCAAAGCACCTAAAGGATCAGATCGAAGCGGACATGACTACGACGACGAAAGCGCAGTCCACTGAAGAGCCACCTCGATCCGTCAACAAGCAATATGCTCCTATTCCGGTCAGTGCTCTCTGTCAGGCTATCGTCAGACAGTACTGAGCAAGGTCACAGTGGTTGCGAAGCATTCTAGAGGATGCTCCACCTCCATTCACTGAATTTCCGCCAGAAGACCTCCTGGGAGACCTTATGAATCTCTACTTCCGAGAGATGAATGATTATATGCCTCTTCTCCACGAGCCTACGTTCAAGCAATGCATCAAGAACGGACTCCAACACCACCACGGGGCTTTCGGGGGAACCTTGCTTCTTGTTTGTGCCTGTGGCGCTCGCTTTAGTGACGATTCACGAGTCCTTCTCGAAGGGACTCATAATACGGAATCAGCTGGGTGGAAGTGGTTCGAGACGGTCGAACGGGTATACAAGTCATACATGGCGCCTGCTACCGTATATGACCTTCAGGTCCGCGTGGTATGTTCTTCGAGGATTCCACTCCCGGAGTCTGCTAATAGTGCTTTTGGGCAGTTGCTAGTCCTGTACCTGCAAGGGACCACAGTGCCGCACACTTCCTGGACACACATTGGCATTGGCGTGCGTATGGGCGTCGATATTGGCGCACATAGGAAGAAGATGTACGGGGCGATCCCTACAATCGAGGAAGAAATGATCAGACGCGCTTTCTGGTGCGAATTTCTACTTGTAGTCCTCGATTTCCTGTATGTTGAACCCGCTTCATCTGGTGCAGGATTTTGGCCGTCCTAGACTGGGGCTCCGCCTACAGTATGGGTCGCCCAGCATCTATCCATGACGAAGAGTTAGTGTTGTGGCTGTCAGACTTTCGTTATTTCTTGACACTTTCATAGCATGGACCTTGGGTTACCTCTTGAGTGCGATGACGAATATTGGATCTCTTCCGGCGGAGAAAGAGCCTTTCAGCAACCGCACGGGAGGCCATCGAAGAATTGCTTCTTTACGAGCTACATAAGGCTGTGTCAGATCTTGGCGTTCGCGGTGCGCACAGTAGTATGTGGCCCATATCTATTTGCACGATCGGCATCATGACATACTAACATTCCCGTAGTACTCAATCAACAAGTCTAAATCAGCATTGGGTCATGGAGACCAACAATGGGAGCAACGTATAGTGGCCGACCTCGACTCTGCATTGAACAGATGGGTGGACACAGTGCCCGGTCATCGTGGGTCATTCTGCCAACCAAAGCCATATGACAACTGACGACTGCGTTCCCTCAGTGCGATGGGATCCAGACCGGGAGGACACTTTGTTCCTGAAACAGTCTGCCGTTCTCCTCTCGCATTATTACCAATTCCAGATCGCCGTGCATAGACCATTCATTTCCACGCGTAGGGGATCACCCTTATCGTTCCCGTCACTCATTATCTGCACGAACGCCGCAAGGTCAGGGGTTCGCGTAGTGAGCCATCTCTATCAACGTACGGGGGATCCGTCATACAAGAATCTGGTACGTGCGCTGTCGCTGCGGACCATCAGCAAGCCAACCCTCAACTGATATTGCTCAACAGTCTTCTTTGTTTATGTACGCAGTGGTATTGTTGCTGAGCGTTTGGGGCGAAAAGAAGTCTGGCCGTACGGTCAATGCCGCCCAGGACGTTGCATATGTCAAGAAGTGCTTGGAGATGATAAGGGCTTGTCATAGAAAGTGCGTGACAGCTGCTAGCTTCCCTTCACGTTTGATTTTTAATGCCCCAATCGTTCAGGATGGCGACGGCCGATAGATTGGGGTGCCTGATCATTTCACGAATCGATCATAGGAGCCAGCTAATCGCAATTGATTTGCTCATACAGCGACATTTTGCATGAACTTGTCACGTCGGGGACGCCTCTCGAATCTGGCGCAGAATCTAACGCAATACCACCCAATGTCGACGGAGTCCCTGGTTCTGATTATATTCGACCATTCTCCCTTCAGTCTTTCCCCCCATCATCGATTCCGGCTCCCGATGACTCTTCACAGGTTCGCTTCCGGCCGGGGCAAGATCCAAACGTCGATGACTCGCGAGCAAGAGACGGGCCAGTTGGTCTTCCTTCCTCCTCCAGCTTAGCTTGTGCTTTTCAATCCCAGGGGACTGCCGCTATGTTTGGTACTTCTGTGCTAGGACTGAGCAGTGACGATGACATGAGTCCATTGTTTTCGCTCCCTCTTCGTACGGAAGAACTTGCGCATGAATATGCTCCGGCGTCGATTCACCCCGTCTGGCAGCAGCCCCCTCATCAGACCCTGTCTCACCTTTACCGGCAGGAGTCTGCCCAGCAGTTCGGCGCGGTTCAGCATGGAAACGATCGCACTCAGAGTGGCCAACTTGTGCAAGGCATGGCACGCAGTCAGTTCGACACGACGAGCAGCAGAAATATGTTTGGCCTTGAGCCTATGGGGTACCACCAGTCCACCACGCTGCAACCCTTTTCCGCCTCATCCGCTACAACGGGCTACCGTCCCCAAATCGCGCCTGTTGGAGCGGGTTCCGGAGTTGTGGGGTCGCAGGGAAGCGATTCGGAAGGGACTCCGGAGTATGCGTTTGCAGATGATTCTTTGACAGTCTGGGAAAATGCGCCAACATTCTACGGGTGAGTCAGCTGTACTCAACTGCCCATATATTTGATTGTCCTTCGACGGTATACTGACAGAACTCTTCGCTTCGTTTGCGCAGCTGGGATGACTGGGGAGGCTTCCTGGGCAATATGAACGGAACGAATCCGTCTAGCATCTGATGATGCCTGATCACGCTTTGGACAATGGACACCTCATGATGATTTGCACTCATAATGTAACACATCCATCCGAGAATAATCCCTCCTGACCGCACATGTGAGCAACCACTAAGTACGCTTGTCATTGGATGGCCGCATAGTTGCGCAGGCCATTGTATCACCGGCCCGCGTCGGTGTGATCATCGATTGTTCCTTCCACCAAGCCGTTTATCAGCCACGAGGCTTTTGAGTGTTCTCCGGAGCTCGGTATAGCCTGTTGCTGGTGAAGCGTTGACTCGTTTGATCTCGGCGCATGATGGTACAACTCACAATCGCGAGGTAAGTGGATAGTCATTCCTACGACAGTCCACAGTGCAGAAAGACAGGGTGAAGTTTACGGTGATCGAGCGTGTAGCACTATTAGTTACTGTTTCAGCATGGGTGGGAAGAGGTCTCGATTGCCTTCATGACTTGAGAAGAGCTTCATTGACACCACAAACAAAGCTCGGGCGTGCTGGATGCCTGGCTTGCGTCTCGCGATCCAAGCATCGCCTGTACCCATGCACGGCCAGTTCGTGGCACTAGCGTATGCAGTGATTACTGCGACAGGCAAGCGAAAGGCGTCGATGATCGAATTTCGACGATCTTGCGCTGCTTTACGCACACAGGAGTTGAATGTCGGATCTACTACGGGAGGACTGCCGCGGCCCGAGCTTCTCGTCCTCACCTAAGTCTGGTTTCTAGTATCAATGCCGGGTATCGCAACCGTATCCGGTATCCCGAAACAACTCTCCCTAGGTTCCCTTGCATGACTGGTACCTTTCATTGTGACTAGCAACTTTGGTCGCCCACGAAGCAGACTTATCTGACACATTGCGCATCGGTTCGATCTGCGTGTGGTCCGAACTCGTGTTATGCAAAGCCAGCTTGCAATGCGCTCCAGGAGCAACTCTGCACATCATGCCTCATACTCCGTCTAATTGTCGCAGGATCCAACTAGCTTGGCGAATGTGACGACGACGACGCATCGCCTAGGGCCGCGTAGCAGGGAATGCAGATCCTAAGCGCCAATGACATCGGACGCCTGGTAGTTCTTGGCACACACGATAGCCACGCTTCGTATCTGTCACAACATGTTGCAACCGGCTCGACAAGAACCATGAACTAACGCGGTTTAATGGAACAAGCTTCTTCCATGGATCCGTCCACAACACTAGGCCAATAATGGCGTGTGCGAGACTAATCTAAGTTGGCGCAGGCTGGATACGCAGACTAAAAGAAGGCGGAACGATCGGTATGAAATCTCGGTATGAACAACATGTCGGCTAACTCACCAAACACGGGCCGTGCTGCGCTTCATGAGTCTCTTGTCAAGGAAGCGACGTACACCGCCAGCCCTAGATCGGATGTGGGTTGAGCGTATCTTGTGCGTCATTGTCTGCAGGAACCTCTTGATATAACTTCGCCGGCAGAGGAGCAACGCCCATTGAGGTGCACATGAACACAAAGGGGGAGAAACAGCGCCGGAAGCCGAGGTCCCGAATGCGCATGACACGCGTGTAGAAGCACTACAAGCCATGCAAACAGCATACAGACCCTGAGCTCCTATGCCGTAAGACACATTTCGAAGAAGCAACGGGACCGGGACATGTAAGTCGGCACTGGTGAGGATGCGAAGAATAGAGATACAAATAAAGGCGTCCATCACAGGCTGCGTCAAGTTTGGCGAAGATCAGACCTACTCGGGGTTGTTGACGCGACACTGTAAGCAATGCTTCAAGGACGTACATGAATGATATCATGAAACGCCGCTAGACCTCGCTAGCAAGCACTCCGCCTGCTGCGGAGATACCAGAGTTCGAAAGGACGCCTAGTCTCGAGCTGCCGCCAGCGCCTTTCAGCCAGTGTGCTATGGCCACCGATTGACCTTGTCGTACTAGGTCGACTTGGTGTTGAGACAGCATCACGATGACGACATGTGACGTGGGGAAACAAAGCAGCGTTATGCGGAAGTTGAGCACAACACATTATGACTGATAGCGGAAAATGTAATGTACTGCAGGACCCAAGGTCAGCGATTTATGATTCGACAGAGATGTAGCGATACGCACCGGTACAAAACTCTATGCGGCCTCCGCAACGTCCTTCTGCCGATCCTCTTGGATACGAGCCTTGACGTCCACGATAGCCCGCTCCCGCTCTGCGCGACGCTCAGCGATGAGGCGCAAGATGTTCCCTCTCGAGGCCGTGATACCCGTACGCCACTTCCATCCCTTCCCATCCGAAGAGCGAGTATGGCGCAAGAAGTATGACTGCATATCCTCCTCCCGCTTGCCGACCAAAAGCCTCTCCTGCATCCACTTTCGCCTGTCCGCGCGCTCCTGCGCAGACATGTCTTCCTCCGCGAGGGGGTAGTAGAACGGATCGACGAGACCGACCACAGCGCGCTTGTATGTCCGATCAGCAATGGTCTCCACTGGCCTGCCAAACCGCTTGCGAAGCGGAGACTGGTAATTATCGGTACGGATATAGGTGGTCTTCACGCCGTAGACGGCAAGCAGATAGGATCGGATGTCGGTTTTGGTCACAGACTGGGGAACACGGAAGGTGGCCTCGTACGGATTGTAGGGCTGTCCGGCAGGAGTGTGGTTGCGGACCATCTTGAAGATGATGTTCGGGAGAAAAACCTTTTGGCCAACTACCTCTGACATTGCCTGTCCGCCCTTCACCACTTCTCGCACACCGCGAATCCTGCTCCGCTTCGTATCCAGTCGTGCCAACCACTCCTCTTCCGTCAAGTTCGTCCCATCGTTTTTGAGGAGCTCGCCCTTGGCAAGAGCCCGCTGATACCGTGCAAATTCGGAGGGAGTGAGTCCTTCGGGAGTCGCGTCGGATTGGAGAAGTGATGCGTCGAGTCCCTTTTTCGCACGACGTAGACGAACTGCCCGCGGCGTAGAGGCCGTACGCGCAGCAGCCGCTGCCTCAGGGATAGTCGCGTAAAGGCGACGGAGAGTGGGGAACATGGAGAGTGCTGGCACGGTACGCTGCTCTCTAGCGAACCCGAGAACAGCAGAAAGTTTGATCGGAGACTTTTCCAGCACTTAGCCTCTGTGTTTAATCGAATCGGAATGTGATTTATTGAATCTCCGACGAAACGGAGCTGATACATCTCTAACCTGTTCACCGTCGACCGTAGTCTCGTGACCAGACGTTCGGAGCTCCAAGCGGAAACGAAAAATCGGAGGTTCGAGTGTCCGGATACCCCCGATTTTTCGTTCCCGCTTGGAGCTCCGAACGTCTGGTCACGAGACTACGTCGACCGATCTGTTCTCTTGTAATCCATCTCCTTCCAGATGTGGTGCGCCGAAGAATTTGGTAGTCGGAGGAAGATTTTAGCAGCTGTATTTCCGTTAATATCCGCAGGAGGTCGGAGGAAATCGAAGCAGTTGAGATAAGAGCGGATGACCCCGAGTAATATCGCACATTCGACTTCTTTGGCGTTTCAACTCTGGCCAGGCGACGGATTTGTATTGAACGCATGTAGGGTTTGCGCATGACTCATGAGCAAGAATGTGTCTTCGATGAACAATCTGGGACATCTTCTAGTCGTCTTGCGGCCGCATGAACTCTGTTTCTGAATCTTGCGAGTAGGCCCTAGCGTCTGAGTTGGGGGAGCGATATTGTGGAATAGCTTCGAGTCGAATAATCTACATACGACCTAAGGAGTTCTTCGACATCTGTTACAGTAGCGCTGTAGTCAACAGTCGTTGGGGCGGCGGCAAGATAGTATAGTCTACACTAGGGTGTGCTTAGACCCGCCAGAAGTCGGTCCGATTTCGAGTCAATATGCGATGGGTTTCACGGTTGTTTGTTGGAGCGATAGGTCCCTGATCAGCACGTACGCGTTCCTGCAGGGCCCTGGCTGTGGGTTCTCCGCGGCTACCTGAGTCTCTCAGGCCCTTAGCTCTCGTGTGATCTAGACAACACGACTGGCTGTCCCAGCATCGTGACCTCCAGCTTAGCCGCATTGTCTGGATCTATGCATGCTTCCATGATCAGTTCCCCTGTACTGCCCCCTTCGAGAGCGACTGCAACCTGCCATATTTGTCTGAGGGGTTTCTGGGGTTTCATACACGGTATGTATGATCTCGGCACCTTTGTCACGCCATGGAGCAGTCGCAAGGGCAAAAGAGCTATAATGCAGGCGATAGGGAGGAAGAAATCATAGTTTGTAGCTAAAGAGCACATGGCCCTGTAAGTGATTGCTATCAGCGGCAGACAGATGGAAACCTGGCGATCGTTGCGATTCGTTGAAGACATTACGGATAGCACAGAATTCGGGAGGCATCTGTATTAGCAGTGCTCGTCTGTCTAGTGTGTCAACTTCGCTATGCCAAGTATCATATCATGTGTTCCGTTGTAGAATACGGGGGGCCAATAAGGCCCCGTCCAGAAAACGGGTTGGGAATAGGTTTGCCCACCAAACAGCTGATCAAAGCTGATTCAAGTTAGCGGACGCCGATGGGGTTAAGACGGAGATGGGCGGCTGCGGGGACCCAACTCGGTCCGCTCGCTCAACGGGGCCTAAGTGGACTAGTAGGGTATTGATGTCACAAGGAAAGCTGGAGGTGAAATGGACATCCAGGCCAGTGCGTACGGGAAGGAGCTGATGATGGACGCCCTCGGAGCGTTCGTGGTCTTCATTTCCGTCGCTCTTGTACCTCGTTAGACGAACTTTCCACCTGGCCGCTGGAGCTAATGTTGCCTGCAGGCACACTCGCTAGTCAATATACGTCAATCCGTATATCGTCGATGGCAACAGTACAACGCCGACTTGAGCGATAGAATTGCGAAGGGCTTACAAATGCAGTTGCCACATGTGCGCTATGGTGGGGAGCCAGTGAGGGCTACGTCCAGGATGACAAGGCACAACAGGAATGTAGCGTGCAGACCACACCGGAGACAGCATTGAGAGCAGCAGACGTGAATAACCTCCTCCCGGATGCCGCGAATCTTCAGTAATGGATGCCGCGAATCGTCCACGGATGCCGCGTGTCGTTTCACGTAGATGATGCATGAGGTCTTACGGATTCACCGAGGTTCATTCCTCCGCTAGAGCAGGATGCCTGTGTTTCCATTCCTTTGCGGCTTCGGCATGCGTGTCACGTCGTCTGCACAACATTAAATGAATCTTACAGAGGAGTTCCTTTCAAGGGAGAGAGAACGCACCTGGATGTGTGCGCTCTGTGCGCTCATTGGAAGTGGGACATTGGCTCCAATTGGACGGCGTCAACCTTAACCTTCCCGCCTTCAAGCAATTACTGGATCTGCCCATTTCTAATTCGGGTCACGCGCGTAACCACGAGACACCAGCGCGGCATGCCCTATGCCGGAATTTCGAACATACCAGCGCAACCTAGCCCTATCTGCCCGTGCGTCAAGCGAGTCGCGTTTTACATCTAGCAACCACTTTGTCGCGAAGGATTGATTGCGGGTCAGCGCAGTAAGTCTATTCCGTATAAGATAGGCGATTGAACTCTAATCAATCGGTGCATACGTGGGGCAGGGACTTCGTTGCGATGGGACGCAATGCATGAGATGAGTAATATGCAGTTGAACGGCTGCCGACCCTGTATGACCTATGCGAATATGCGTCTCAGGATATGGTATTATGACACATACCTCCTAGAATGCTCAGGAATCTTGGGAATCTCCGGTTCCCATATAAAGCGTAACTGCGGGAAACGCAAGGAAGACATGCCCCGTCCTCTCAAGGGTAGCCATGCCGGATCTCATCGACATCGCCCATCCGCAGGCATCGCTGCCGACTCCCCCCTCGACCCTTCACGTAAAGATTCGACTTGTCTCTCGATGACCGCGGACATGGACATGCCAGTCATAGCCCCGCAAGACGGCGGGCGTGGTTCGCGCGCGCGCATCACGATGGGATATACCTGCACTGTTTCCCCAACCATCCTGATGGCCCAAGCATGAGCTCAAGGAGACAGGGCCTGTTTGAAGCTGGACAATGTGGTAGTAAACCCGGTGCCCACCGCTGCATGATAAACAATTGCGCTCTTGAGAAATTTCTAGAGATGAAAAAAACGCCTTGCCTTCGGTCACATGCAGGCGGAAAGACCTCGACGATTGCTGAGAAGTTCGATCATACTCTGCCCACGGCGTGCAGTGAGAATACGATCCTTATCTGGACGGGATTCCCATGGGACCGTATTGCATTTGACCGAGGCAACATCTGACTTTCCTGCTTCGGTTCATAGTCACAGACAAGAGATCCTCAAACCGGGAAGCAGATATAGTGACGACAACGATCGATGTCATTAATTTATGGTCAACGTCGGGAGAGCAGGATGCCGGAGTCTTCTGAAGCAGCGGACGTTGATCATTGAATCCCTCCGCCAACCTTCGCCGTGTCAAGCCTTGCTCTTCGCCCCCTTGAGCAAGAGCAACAGAGATGGTCTTGTCACTCGAATACGCCTTCTGCGTCTAGTGTTGCCTGTTCTGTCAGAGCATCGATGTGATTGGCAGCACGGTATCCACAAATATATAGACTTCGCCACGTTTGGATCGAGGAAGCCTCAACCCGGACTCCGAAGCAGAAGAAATGAAGTTTGTAGCATGCCTAGCGCCAGGGTGTATGGTACGGGCTGTGCGGCTAAGCAGCCGGAATGCTATACAAGCAGACTGGGAAGCTATACCGAGGCGTCCGCACCACTTCAGCGCGGTGTTCACTGAATGGCGGCGCCTGTCCAATAGTCGTTCGGCATTGACAACTCGGGATACTCGAGCGTACTTGCTCAACGTGCTAGATAGCGCCAGACCGCACTTCTGACTGCCGCTCCGCTTTGGGATTCGGTGGTGGGGTAATCTGATACTCGCCGCTCGTTTCTACGAGGCCCAAGGTTCATGCTACCTGCGTGCATGGAATATAAAACCAGGGCTCGCTATTGCTGAAGAAACAGGATACATCCTCCCCTCCGTTTCTCCAAACACCACACAACTATCTCTCAGTATGTGCTACTCTCTCGTGCAGTACACCGAGTGGGCATGCGGTTGGCGACAGAGTAGGGGGAGACAAGAGGCACTTTCGATCCCATCCATATCCATCGTCTAGAGAGGTGCTGACGACTTCACAGGTCGACTGTCATCGTACAGTCTGTCGCCTCAGCACAAATCACACGGCGGCCCCACACGACTGCCAACAGCGATGCGAGGGAGTGTGAGTGACTGAATGCGGCATGTACTGGGAAAAGAACTGATAGTACGCATGTTGCACAGGCAGAGAGAGGAGCACCACCTCATTATGACTCAGTCCAGCGACGTATGCGAGTTCTGCGAAGAGGCAGGGCGAGGGCCTCACGAGCATCCCGGACTCAATTACCGGAATGGACCCGCTTTTCAATACGTGGTCGCAAACTACAGAACCTAGATGATATGGCGGCTCACCGGTGAGCGCCATATGGACGGATAAGGCAGGGAGCGTCCTTCAAGTCCAGTAATGTTTGGAGCGTGAATGAGTCGATCGACTGTACTTCTCGTGATCACAGACCGATGTTCTTGTTTATTGGACCTTCATATCTTTCAGTGCATTCATCAGAGAGTATTGAGACGGCAAAGGGCGCAATATGGATGCTTCGGACTGGACGACATTTGGGTGCTATCCCGAAGGTGGACCCTGCCTATGTTATGAGTGCATGGATCGCAGACTTGAGACTCAGCTAAGGTTCTCGGCAACTAACAGGCTTCATGTAGCGTGAGCAACGAGTGTGCTGGACCCAGGAAGTGGTGGTCAGAAAGGATGGATTGCGGCTCCCGGGCCTGCAGCCGCTGCCGCAGACGCCTGGTCACATACAGAGACGCGTCTCGCGCGCGGGCCCCACGCGCGTTGTGCTTTTCTCAGCCGGTGCCACTGCTTTCGACGTTCTGCCGTCCCTGCTCATGCATCTCTGAGACTGGATCATACCTCGCACAATCTCCAAGAGTCACTGAGCGGTCCGAAGATGGTTACAGCAAAGCAAACAGCACACCTTGTTCCACCGCTGTTCAAACAAGGTGCCGCAGACGATTTTAGACAGTCAGGGAGGACATTATCGTTCACCCTTTCCCCGAGGGACCTACAGATATCTGTGTTTGCATCCCCAAATGTACGGTTAGCGGCGGATCGCATGCTCTGCTTGGTTAGGCGTGTTAATAGAGGCGTACAGGTTCTCCGTTCTCAAGGCATTGTGTCACCCGGCAGCCAGCAAATATTTTTAGCGAGTCTGCAACAGGCACCTCTATCTGAACGAAGAGTCGTACGTTTTCTTGCTCTCTTTCTTGTGGATGGCCGCGGACGAGTACCCAGTTCGTCACAGATATGTCAGTCATTTTCGCTGCAGTCCAAAACCTGCTCAAGGCCTCCCGTGCGAGGGATACTCAATTGTAAGCGTTGGGTCCTTTCTAAACCCCATTATCCGTTTGTCGACACTTCATGCAGGCTGCAGAGCGAGGACGTCATGCAAGCCCTTAACAAGCTGGCCAATGACTACGTGAACTTCTGCAAGGAGTGTTGCATGTATGCCTCGGTATGTTCATATTACCCTTGCGATTTTAGCTGTGCTTAGACATCCGCTCGGCTCAGCGCGATATCTCTCGTCCGGAACCCCTTCAATTTGATGCCGAACACTACCGCAAGCTGTACACCTGCTTCTCCCTCTTCTCCGTCTTATATCTCCCGGAGCCTGGTTTTGAAGACGTGCCTATCGGAGACGAGCTAATGGAGTGGCTGAATACACATTTCATCGAACCCTCCACGCAAGAGGGTGACGACCTCAGTAGCCAGGAGCGTCCGTGGGAGGACCCCGGCTTCTGGTCATACCTCACGAGGCGCGTCCCAAGCTGGCGAACATAGTGGGTTCGATAGACTGACACGTTCGCCGGAATAGGACGTCGTTGCGAGGCTTGTCGAAGGCATCCGCCTTTTTCTTGGATGTGCTCGGCAAACACCCATCGACATACCTGCAGGGCCTCGCCCAGCAACTCTCCCCGCTCCTGACCAACCATCCCCGCCTTCACCACTTCGATGCCGAACGTGACTTCGCTGTCGCCTCGCGTCGATGGAAAGATAAGGTGAAAACTCTGCGTATAGAGTTGGACCGCGTCCCTGACAGTGAAAGGGAGGACGATTTCGAGAACTGGTGGGACCGGTTCAGCGATATCGTTGGCATTCTTGAGGGTCGCAGTGAAGTGATCAAGAAGGTGTGCACAGAGCTTGGCGCTGACTGGAAGGAGGTGTGCGCGGCTTGGGGTATCTTCGTCGACACTCGACTACGGAGACAGGACCTTCCGTGAGTCTCTTTGTTGCCAGTTCGCCCGCCTCCCTGCTTACTGGCTGCGACCGTAGCGATATCGTGGCTCAGATTTTGGATGAAATGCCTCCAGATCCGACGGACAGGGAAGACACGATTCACTCCTTACTCTTCCTCGGCAGACCCACGCAGGCATTGTCGGAGGCTGCACAGTTGGACGTTTGGCTCGCGGCGCACCTTGCAGATCTCATGGAACCCATCGAGCTCATTGACGCCGATCCCGACGAGTACGCCGTTCGCCGACATTCCCCGAGCCAGTCACTAATTCGTTGCAGCTCTGAACTTACCCTCCGCCAACATTATATCCTTGCCTACGCCGAATCCCTTCGTGCAGACCCAGCTTTATGGCGCATCACTGTTGACTATATGTACTCATGCGGCGAGATTGGGAGGGAAATGGGAGACCAGGTTCTCATGCGGGTCCCTCTTCGCTTGGAGCTGCCGGAAGACGCTGCCGCCGCCGGGGAGGAGGCGACCCGCATCCGAAGCGGGCAGCTTGTGGGCGTCTTGAAGGACGTCAACGAAGCATGCTTTGAGTATCAGAGAGAGGAGATTCGTCGCTCAGTGTGCAAGGTCAGCTATCACTGGTTGCGAATCACGGCGTTCCCAGGGACTTCTATTGATCAAACTATCCAGATTGCGGCTCAGACGTTCATCCGAGAAAAAGAGTACGGCCTCGCCATCTCCTACATCACATCGGCCGAGGATTGGCCTGGACTAGGGCGCATTGTGGACTTGGTACTAGAGGAATACATTGCACAAGGTAAGCTAGTTCTTCATTCTTGGGTCCGTCCAACCCAGCCCAACTCTCCTCCGTCTTCGGTCCGACGTCTCAATTTGGTCCGCCGAATCCTCATGGTCGTTATAATAGGTGCCGCAAAATTTGCTCACCTTGTTGCCAACATCGCCCCCTCCCTCCACAACTTCGGCGCGGATTCTGTGGCCCGACTTCACGCCCCTGCCGTCTTCCAACACCGGCTGATGTTTGCTGTGCGATTCGCCGAGTTCCACCAAAGGCGAGGGAACGGCGACTGGCCCGGCGCTGCGGCCGATGTGGTGTCGATGTTCCGCGAAGAAACGGCGCCGAAATCGTGGTGGGCAGTTCTGCTGTGCGACGCCGTTGAACTTCTCCAGTACAGTAAGTCTGCTACTCAGATCCTTTCCCTCCCCTCCTGCCGACGTTGACCATCCCGGGTGGGATGTTAACCTTGATCGATTCTGAGGCTTCTCACCCCAATAGACGACCGTATGCTCTTCGCGTCGAATGACGCATGCCTCCTTATCCAAAAGCTGGAAGAGATCCAGATCCGCGTTGGACAGGGATGTGGGGACGACTACCTTTCGGTACTTTCGAGGATCGCGCATGGTGGCGAAAAGCATGCCCTTCAGAGGCTGCAGACCGTCAGGTTGGCGCTTGCACGGTACTACGCCCGGTGTGGGGCGATCGGAGTGGGAGGCAGGCCCAGTGGTTGGAACTACTGAACGTGCGTATCGCATTGCTAAGTAGGCCTGACGTGTCGTTCCTCGTACTACTCTCCCGGCGCCTCGTTCGCCTGACTGCTTGGTAACTATGACCGGCCGCTAATGCCAACAGGCCGTCGATGCCTTGTACCAGACTCTTTGCCATTCAGAAACGGTGGGACAATGACCATCTATAGCGTCGGTCGGCAACGATCGGTGATAGTGCGGAATCCCCCGACTCGAAGCTGGACAGGATCGAAACTTCCACGCGGCTCAGCAGGTGTTGGTCTGGCAACTTTCAGCAGAATTGCGGCTGCTGCCGGTGTCTCGTGTCCAGGATTCGACCCTGCACACCGGGGTTCTCATGAATGGAAGTCAGACTCGTAGTCTAGGTTCAGAGTGCTCGAATGCCTCCGTGGCCACTTAGCGGGTCTCCCGTACCGAAGACAACGTCGCTCCAGCAATGAGGAAAAGACACGAGGTATGTCAGGCGAGCTGGAAGTCGTTCATTTCATCTAATGCCGGTCCAGGTCGGCTTCCAGGCTGCGCGCGATAATGACGGGGTCGCATGGGCTCACGGCAGCTGGAAGTTGAACAGGGACCATCACTGCCCGCCGCTTCGAGCTTCCGACAGGACACCGCAGCTTCAGACCGAACAGTGGCGAGTACGTCAACGAGTCTGGCGTGGACATGCCGCAGCGAGCTCTAATCAGTGGGGCAGGAGTTAGGTGCGGTACTGCACATGCCTGCCAGCTTCTTCGTGGGACTCCCAGAACGAGCACTTTGCTACCCGCATGCAGCATTCGAGCATTGAGCACTAAGTGCTGTACCGTTTCGACCTGGTTGGCATGTTCACGCGGGCAGTCGTGTGACGCGTGAACCTCCTGAACCTCCGTGGGTCGAAACGGTACAGGATGTGATGTGGGATCTCTCGTCCGGAGTGCTGACAGTTTTGACTCGGACGCATCAGACGGCGCGGGCTGATGTCACCAGTCCGTTTCCACCTTGTCTCCTCCGCTTCTTCCCGTTGACGTCGTCGGTAGTTCCACATGAATTGCTCAATGCATAAGGGAGCAGTATAATGGCTTGGCTGACTGCCATGGCTTCGGAGCCCGCGCTGCACAAGTCCCACCGCGTGCCTGCAAGCAATGTCACGGCGGGATCTTGCTGTTCCGATGTTTTGTACTGTATTTGCACATCCAGAAGTAGTTTCATGGCTATCGTCCTTCGATTTTCATCAGGGGATAGCGCTAGACTAATACGTATTTGCGCAGGAACATGTCGGAGTGGAAGCGAGCAGCACCGCCATACATGGACGTACACATGCCCCAACCACTGGACGTTACATTGCCAGGGGCCGACAGGCCTACATCTGAAAATTGATTCTTTGACACACTCGTAGCTCGAAATTGTCGCCCTAGTACGAGGATAGATTACAGTATACAGTACAACAGAACGGATACATGGTATAACCGAGAGCAAAAGTCTATGCGCCGAAACCGTACAGCGTGCGTCCTGACCGCTTCAGGGCGTAGACGACGTCGAGGGCGGTGACAGTCTTGCGCTTGGCATGCTCAGTGTACGTTACTGAGTCGCGGATAACCTGGGATTCGTGACGTTGGACAAGTCCGACATAGAACCGATAAGCAGTACTCACGTTCTCCAGGAAGATCTTGAGGACACCACGGGTCTCTTCGTAGATGAGACCAGAGATACGCTTGACACCACCACGACGGGCTAGACGACGAATGGCGGGCTTCGTAATACCCTGAATGTTGTCGCGAAGAATCTTGCGGTGACGTTTAGCACCACCCTTGCCAAGACCCTGAGAGAGAAATCATAAACGTAAGTCCGGGTCCAGAAGTGTAACTTGCATCCAATGATTACCTTGCCACCCTTTCCACGGCCAGACATTGTGTAATGAGGTGTTGTTAGGTGTGATGAGTGGGATAACGCAGTGATGGGCCTGAATGAAGCGGGAGGGGCGGGAGTGCTTGAGGGCGAGTTGTAGTGAGGAAGGCGGCGGCGGCGGGTACTTAACAGGCGCAGGCGCGGACCACACGTGAATCAAACCTTATTTTGTTGACCGCGCTCAACGCGCCTGTCACGTGAGCTGCAGACGCGTTGGCTTAGCGCGCTTTGTGCTCAAGCGCGTCTGTATAAGAACCGCTTGCTTGCTGCCGTCATGTTCTACACTTCGCACCGCCCATCCGCCTTCTCCGCGACCACATCTTCATCTCGTACATCCCATCTCACTTTCATATCCTAACGATGGCCCGTACCAAGCAGACCGCTCGCAAGTCCACCGGTGGTGAGTTTCTCTTTTGCGTCTCATTCTCTACCTTCGCTCACAAGCATGTGCTTGCCAGGTAAGGCACCGCGTAAGCAGCTTGCTGCAAAGTCCGCCGCTCGTAAGACTGCTGCTGTAAGTGTTTCATCTCGGCTTCCAAGCCTCGCACTGACTTGGCTTCAGGCGGCAACTGGTGGCGTCAAGAAGCCCCATCGTTTCCGGCCTGGTACCGTCGCTCTTCGTGAAATTCGCCGTTACCAGAAGTCGACGGAGCTCCTCATCCGCAAGCTTCCCTTCCAACGTCTTGTGCGCGAGATCGCGCAGGACTTCAAGGTTCGTCTTGTGCACGCCTTTGGCGAGACCATCGTCTGATTATCTCGCAGACGGACCTCCGTTTCCAGTCGTCAGCGGTGATGGCGCTCCAGGAAGCTTCAGAAGCATATCTGGTCTCGCTCTTTGAGGACACCAACCTTGCCGCCATCCACGCTAAGCGTGTCACCATCCAACCAAAAGATCTCGCGTTGGCTCGCCGTCTCCGGGGCGAGAGGACGTGATCTATTTATTGGCTTAGATATTCTTGTCTCGTCGCATTTGTATGATATTGTAGCAGTATATCGTTCTTAGCTCATGGTCATCGTTTCGCGCAGTGGGTCAGTGGTGTATCTGAAAAGCGAGTTGTTCCGTTGTGTGCGGCAGAGCCGGGCGTGCCGTGGAGGCAAGCGCCCCGACATCTGTGGCACATCCTGTCCTCCTTCCTCATCAGAGTCAATGCAAGATCATCGCCTGCCTCGGCGTCCCATCGCGATCTCCTTTGTAAGTTTGAATAAATCTGTCGTATATGCTAAGGACATTCATTGTGCAGGCGGCAAATGTAGGAACAAGGAGGAACGCGGAGAGACATTTTGTTGCTTCAACGTAGCTGAGGTCATGATGCCTCTACAATGGGACACGTTATGTGGTTCGATGCCCCCTCTTTGCATCTACATCTGTCTCTTGAGGCTGCTGGAGATTCTTGTCACTGCCAAGGTTTTTGCTGGCCTTGAATGCGAAATCTGGAACATGTCGCTCGCAGGGTGTTCTAGCCATAGCGACTCGTCTATGCAGGGCAGGGTCGTCGCCGTCTTCGTGGAGCTGGCTCGTATGGCTACTCCCTGGCCCTCCAAACGTAAGGCGTCCTCAAGGACCATCGAGATGTGATGGATTGGCCTGGGGAGCTCCCTAGGATTCGAGCGCTTAGGCCACGGGCCATGTGTTTGGTGGCCGAATATCGGAGGCTGGATGGACAGGAAGGTCGGCTTGATCACGTCGTGGCGTCGTGCGTCTACTTGCCTTGTAAAATCTTGTCTTAGGGGTCACGTTAACACCCTGGGCTTCCAGTGCGCTTTCAGCTCGTGCCCACGATACCGCGGAAGGTGGGGAAGCTGGTCACGTCCCGTCCTCTTTCCGCGTCCAAGCCGCGCCTTCGCGGGCTTTCCCGGTCGAGAAAGGCACATGGGGGCTTGGAGGACTCCCAGTGACTACCCCTTTGTACGGCATCGGTCGCAGGTGGCGTGCTGCGTATGCGGATCAGCTCACGAAGCCTGCCCAGATAGTCTCACTCCGGATGAGCGTGAGCACTTATAGATGGATCTCGATGCCTACATACGTGATCATGGAGAATGAAATGAACGTAAGTCGCCCAGGCCACCTTGTACCTGCGTCGCGTAAGCTCATCGTCATGAGCATCATAGGCGCTCACTCTTGCACGCGTCCTTCTCTGCGTGAGCGATTTGCAACGACGAGCAGAAGTGCTGTCTAAAGGCAACATGAGGTCCAGGCTAGCGAAGAAGCCCTGGATTGAGGACAGCTGTACGTAAATTGCATCCGATGGCGTGTCTCTTGCTAGAGGACAGCATCTTTCTAGTGTTCTCACAATGAACTCAACTCCCCGTTGCATGTAGGAGAGCAGCCTGAGGCGGGGATCCGCTCGGGTACACGCGGAAGCTTAGTTACAGGGTCAGGCTGAGTTTGTCAGCTGTCCCCTCGGACTCATCACCTCGAAAGGATGGAAGACCGGAGCCGGCAAACTTTGATACCATACTCTGCGCGACACCTTCTTCCAGCTCGCACTCACGATCACGCTGGCGAATGACGTGAAGCTGGTTCATACGGTAACTTGGCTTTACCATTAGCATAGACGACCTGTCAGACATCCACGCGATTTTGGATTTTGGGACGTACTCTGACATCGGCAACGGGTCGGCGCTGATCACGGTTGAACTCCTGAAAGTCATGTTCGCGCTATACTACCCCAAGGTGAGCCACTGGCATTAGTGGTAATGGCGGGTCATCTGACCGTTGCATGCAGAGACTATCTACTACGAGAGTGCCATTCTTGGTGCAAGATGGGCCGCGGGGAATGCAAGGTTAGGGGGGTGCAACCTGTTTCGCCTTCCTACGTCCATGGAATGAGTATTAGCGGTCCGCGATTGGGTCCGCGTTAGCCGCTGACAAGGCCGCGCTTGAGGAACTTCAACCTTGAGCTTGCGTGCACTATCGGCATTCCCTCACACTGGTTTGATGTGCAAACATATAACGGGAAGAGTTTGACCGGGTTCAATACGTTATTCTTGCGCATACCTCACAATTACATCATGAGGTTCAGCGTGTCTTTCTCCAGAGCTTGAAGTCTCATGAAAGGGGGTCTCGACAAACCGCTTGGTACGTGCAATAGGCAACCATGCTGCCGTTGACAGACCTCGCTGACGAGTCGCGGGCATAGATCCAGCTCCGTCCGAGTGCCCCGACGCGGGCCGTGCGGAAGCGTCGGCAGACGTGAGTGATATGAATCTGGCGCCAGGTCGACCTCTGTTATCGTCATGGGAAGCGAACAGAAGCACACGTTCTCACTTTGCCTTGACAAGTTATGCCATGCTCGCTTCCGCTGGGGACTTCCAGGTGGCAATGGTCTTATCACCCGCGTCCGGCCATCGACATTGTTCAGCCACGGGGCATCACAGTTCCCGGTCGTGTGCGCGGCACAAAAATACCAGCTGACAAGAGCGGCAAGACTGCATCCACATTCAGCAGAATGTGGTCGACGTAGCCGCTCAAACCTCCTCTCATCCTATGCTGTCTTTGCCACGAGCCTGCAGACAGTCGGAAGAATGTTCGACACGTTACCTCAGATGACGTTACCTGCAGGCATCACGAGCGCGACGAGGAACATGCTTCGGTTCAGCGCCTTAGGCGATGACAGTTAGCTGAATTTGAACTATATCCAGAGGTGCTTGGCGATTCGACAAGAGGGGCACTATGTAGGCATCTGGACCAGATGGACGATGCCGCTGTCGAATGATCAAACGAGATATGCCATAGCGTGATTACCGAGGCAGCCTGGTATTTGCTATTATACGAATGGGGGCGTCAGCGAGACAATGGCGTCTCCGCACAATCTGTGGCAAGGGTCAGTGGGTCTCCGTCTATCCTACGCGTGGACGTTGCCGCGTACAGCAACTTAATCTCGTGAGAGATCTGTCAGGGTGCAGGAGGACTCGAAGGCCCATATAACCTCCACCCCCACCTTGAGCATGGCAGCTGTCCTCATCCCGTCTTTCCGTTCGCCCCTCTGTACTCTGCTTGGAGTGCCCTTCGATCCCAAGCAGCTCAATTTGCAGAGTACGTTTATCATAGCGTCAAAGGCGCAGCACCGGGCACTGCGAACAGCGAAAGCTCACCCTTCGCTTACCGCCACAGATCCCGATCTCGCCGATTGAATGCAAACAGACACCGCTGTAAGCATGTTTCTCTGTCTCCCTCGCCGACTTATGGGGCCTGATTTCCTGCTCGACCACCCTCCCCTAGCGTCGGGCGACTGCCCCAACAGTCGGCGGGTGGAACGATTTCCGATCTGGCCCTTTGGCCGGGCGAGTCCTGCGCTTTTCTCTTCAGGAACTTCAGAAGGCAGACCATGGACGCAAGTGCGGTGGCTTTCCCTCCTGACCTCAGATCCCATACTGATTCCGTATCGTGCGGGCGGCTTAGGTATGGTCGCAAAGACAAGCGGCCGCTCGATCCTCCTCCAGTCGTTCAGGTGAAATTCTTTCAGCTTGTTCGCCAAGGATCGATGGACCAAGTCGAGCAGGAGTTCGATACATATGAGTAAGAGTTGAACCTCCAACGTTCGTGGAACATCCCTTGACCTTCCGTAGTGAATACGATACTTTTGGTCTCCTATGCCATGTCGACCTTTTCCCTGAGAACAGCGCCAGTATCGCTTCCGGTAGTCCAACTGCCAGGGCAGCGTATCCATTCCAGCCCAGCATTCCGACGCCTCTGGGTCGCATGCAATGGCCTCCGCCGTTCCCTCGTGACACGTTTACCAACTCGGACGCAGCCGGATCGATGTCTTACGGCGCTCAGTCTGCTTCCGAGGAGCCCGCGATACCGTTTGACGTCCGTGCGATATCTCGGCCGGACTACGGCCGCAGCACTGAACTCTCAGGAGAACGTGTCCCTGAGCCCTGGAATACGCGTGCGAAGCCCTACATAGCCCCAGCCAGCGCTGGCCAAGTTGGGCAAGGCAATCACCCAGATGAGAGCAAGTGCACGTCTCTCCTGTCTGGTGAGACTGTCGTCTCGTGTTCACTGGTGGAGTATGACGGAAAGAAGGCGGCCATGTTCGCGTTTCCGGTGCGTGCTTCTCATGCTCTCAAGGTTTGCGCTCACGGCTGAGTCCCTGTACTCTTCTCCAAACGATTCGCAGGACATCGCCGTCAAACGAGAGGGAAGGTTCATCCTGAGATACCGCATCTTCAACCTCCACAGCAGGACTCGCGAAGACGACGTGCACATCCTCGCGGAGTGCTTCGGAGGACCCTTCGAGGTGTACTCTACGAAGTCATTTCCAGGACTCCAGGCCTCTACGGAATTGACTAGAGTAAGCTTCAGTTTCGTTCATCCCTTCAACCCACCTTTCTATGTCAAGCTAACTCTCGATCGAACTATAGAGACTTTCTCTGTCAGGGGTACGCGTTAATTCCCGCCACAAAGAACGTCGTGGCTGGAAGCGTGACTCCCACCAAGCTCGCCGCAACGACGCCGATGGATCCCCCACGCAAGGTCCGCCGCAATCGGCGCAGACGGCCGGGCCATTCTCGCCCCTGCGCAAGCACACAGTTCTGCCCAACGGGGCAGGCGTGGCGCCCTATGCCCAGGGCTTCTCTGGCGACTATTCGCCATTCTCGCACTCTGCGCCCCCATCGGCGGGCATGCTGCCTAGCCTTGGGGAGGGCCTGCCCCGAGCGAGGTCCCCTGGAGGTTTCCTCGCCTGGACACGGATCGGGGGCGATGCAGCTGACATGCGCGGCGGCGACTCGTGCTCTACCGGCACTGAGGAGGAGGGCAGCACGCACTCCGTGTGGTGAAGGCGCGGTTCGCGCGAGTACACCTGAGCTGGTCCCCAGATTGAGGCGACTCGTTCGAAGAGAATCATCATGAATGGCTGGCTGTGAATGTCCTCGCGACCTTGTCCCACCTTACTCGTAGATAGTAGCCCGCTCTCTATACTCTTGCGCTCTCAAGGTTCTCGGTATCCTGCTTTCTTGGCTTGCGTATGTCTTGACAGGTGCCTCATCTTATTTAGTAGTTCTCATCCATATTGCGGTATTCCTGTCTTCAAACCCGTATGTCCCGTTTCTTGGCTCACCGTTGTCTCCCACCCTATTTTTGCTGGGGTCTGCTATGTTCTGTAATCGCTGCTCTCCACATGCCCTGCTCTGCTCACATACCGCTTCCTGTACTGATATCGTCTGATTTCCTCATCTTCATGTATGGAACGCTATGCCGCCCGCTGCATTTCGATAACTGATGCCGTCGAATCCACTGTGTTTGCCTACGGTTTGAGTGCCACATGTCGAACCACGACCTAGCTTGTTGAGGTTACAACGTAGATAATGGACTAGACTCCATATTGAGTACACACATGACAATTTAGAATGTACGCAGACAGTAGATTCAAACATAGATGCGCACGGATCCAGACATAGCAGCAAGATAGGGATAACGTAACGTGTACGGACGAGATCGAACAGATCCGAGTATCAAAAAACCACTCTGCGACATGACCTTAAGAAGCCCTGCGAGGCCACAACATCGCTCGGGGACGTACAGTACCTTTACGCCCACAACGCCGGCCTCGCACTTCGGCAACCATCGGGTTCGCCGATGCCCGACACTGAGCAATAGCGACACCGTCTCACTTCAGCGAGCGAGCTCAATGCGATCGCGGCGAACCTGATACGGGCTTGCGCACCATCAGCGCCCACAAAGGGCGGTACCAGACAGGCGCCAGGCGCGGTGCCAGCTGCTCGCGTCCGCGCGCGCCCTCCCCGTCCAACGCGCCCCCGTGCGCAGGCGTGCAGGGGCAGCACTGAGACTGTGCCTTGGCGAGCCGCTGCGCGAGTCCGAACGCAAATAGCGTCGTGACGTCCGCGATCCTGCGAACCACATGCGCGGCGCGCATGCTGAACTCGCCATGATGCGAAGTCAAAGGGACATGTCCAGGGCACGAGCCCGAGTACGAAGCCGAGTCAGACGAGTCTCCACTCGGATCTCCATGGACGTGCCACGCGCCGCCTGGTCGCCCCTCCGGCTGCGTCACGTGCAGATGAACGTGCGCGAGCGCCGAGAACGACTGCAGGACGTGGCGGAGGTCTGCGGCGGAGGGGCGGACGTTGTACAGCGCGAGCGAAACTGTGCGGACACGAGCGAGTGAGCGGGTGGCGAGGCTGATGTGGCCAAGGTATGGGGTCGCGCCGCGCTCCTCGGACCAGTGCCAGTGCAGCTGGACGCGCCCCATGTCGTCGGAGAAGCTGAAGAGGTAATCGGTGTAGCTCTTGCTACCTCCCGCACCTTGGGTTTGATCGGGCTGGAAGAGGGCATGGGAGTATGTGTCGTTGTCCCGGTCTCCTAGTGCGACGTAGGACAAGTGCGCGTGGCGGACGGGGACGAGAAGCGTGTGCAGAACGGAATCGGCTTTGAACGCCGGGAAGCTGGGCGTTTGGAAGTGCACTTGGACGGTGGTCCTAAGATTGATGGATGGGCTGAGCTTGTTCAAAAGCTGCTCCACGGTGTGGGTGAGCAGGCCGTTGATGCTGACGTGTTCGAGATAGGGCAGATTAGGCTCCTTGATTTTGGCCACATCATCAGGAAGGATGGCTTGATGATGACCGCCGTTTGTGACCGTGAGCGTCTTCAGAAGCGGGGTGTACTGAAGGAACTTCAGGAGCGTTCGGATGGACAGCGCACGACTCGTAGTGACGGATAGATGCTCGAGGGCGGGAAGGATGGGGAGAGAGTGGCCGGAGATGTGGGAGCATGTCTGTTCCTCCTCCGAGGCTACAGCGTCAGGGGTGAACGGGAGAACGACAGCGCACGCCATAGTCTTCGGGTTCGACGGGTTGGGCAGCCCAGTGGCGTCAACGTCGATTGACGCGATCTGGGGGCTGTAGCGACGGAGTATCTGGCCCATCGTCATCCGGACCTGGCGGCCATCGAGGTTCTGGAGGAGGAAGAGCTGCGAAGCCTCGCAGAACGTGATGTCCATGCGCAGGGCTGGACGGATGACATGATCGAAGATGGGTATGAGACGCACCACATTCTCGGCCACTCCGGGCTTGTACGCGGTCATTGTGGGACTGTGGCATGTCGTGTCTGACGCGCCGCTCGTCGTCGCGAGGTCTGCGTACGGAAATGAGGGCCCAGGGGAAGAGCAACGAGAGCCTGATATGGGCAAAGGCTGTAAGAACGGGGATGGAGGGAGCTTCTGCAGCTGGCTCTGCTCAGGTGGCGCACTGGCCTGACCAGGCTCGCTGTGCGAAGCCACATTCATGAAGACTACGCCACTTGGGTGAGGTTCCGGGATAGTGAGAGGCATTGTTCTATGATATGGCGAGTTTGCGAGATGTCAGATAGGGGTAGCTGTTATTGCTCGCTGGACTAGCAATTTATACGACACAATCGAGGGAGATACTGGGTGGGAGGATGAGCGAGAGCTTGATTTGTGGCACAGAAATGCAGGGAAGACAACTCACGTTTATATAGGGAGGTACATGTCAGATAACTGGGCATTGTGGCGCCAGACGTGAGGCACTAAGTAGATGGCTGTGGGTCACCGCTGCACCTAGGTGGCAGGAGATGGACGTTGTACGCCTGAACATGGCGATTGGCTCCTTCCCTAAACGGACAGCTAGGGCAAGCAGCGTGCTAGTAGTTGATACGAGCCGCATATAAATTCCTGCAACAGTACGAAGCTGTTTGAGATAAAGCAGCCTGACGCACAGGACCTGCGGGAGGGGAGGCAAGTGAGCGGAGACCGAGACACACGGAGGTAGTTAAACGGTGACGACAGATGGGAAGAGTTCCTTTGATTGGTAGGTGAGCGGAAGTTGAATCGTGTCCTCACATGGACGGCGGGAGTAACGGCGAACCCATATCATGGCGGGCTTGGAAAAGCTGCCGCTCTCGAGCACATGAGGCTAAGACATGGGCAGCTGGGAGCCGCAACTGGAAGAGTCCCGGATTACGCACAATACGCTAATGCGTGCTAGACTGAGACACTGATAGAAAGGAACACTTTACCGACGTTGGCAACAGTTAATACGATGGCTATGTCGACGGGAGAAGTGAGACACACCTGATGGTACGAAGCCGAACCAGAACAAGAACGGGGCCGGCGAAACGGCTGTGCGAGTCGTTTCCCGCTTGGTTTCCATACAAAAGAATATGACCTGCCAAATCGTGCCAGTGCCAGGCAGCAGGCCTCCGGGGACTTCCCGTGGTGGACCCACCGACATCTACATAGGGTCAGAGTGGGAAACGAGGTGATCTACGCACCGGTTGCGAGACGTGGGCTCAGTCGGAGGATTAATTGCAGAGCGATGTGCTCGTCTTATGGTCGCCCTAGTTCCATGTGCGTTTCTTGACGACCGTCGGTGTATACAGCCAGTGGTTCGCGCTCGGTCGCTAGCCGCAACGACTGCCAGTGGCAGTACAAAAGCATCAATAGCAATAGACGCTCGCCCGCCACAACCGCGACTGGGGCTCCAGCGCGGTTTGAACTCCGCCAACGCGCCTTGAACATGGCTTCCAGTGCGTCGACCCAGCCAGGCAGCAAGAGGTGGTCCTACTTTCATTCCGCCCTCCAGCTTGCCATACAGCGGTCTGCGCACAAATGGACGTAAGTCCTGTGAAATATGGGCGCAAATGAATCCATCTGACATGCAGTCCGTCTGTCAGTTACGAGGACTTCGCGGAGTGTTTTTCTCTCTGGTGTGATGAGCAGCCGGAGAACGCGGCCACCATCTTCAATCTCGTCTCTAGCCGTCTCGAGTCGTCTATAACGGTGCGCTCGTTGCCAATGGCGCGTCGTTCGAGTGCTGTGGCTGAGCTTTGGATAGGAGAATTGCGAGGAGCTGTTCAAGAAGTATAATGTAAAGGACAACCTGGACAACCTCCACGCCGTCGTCACAGCAGCACGCGCAAGGAAGCAGGCAGAATATGATGGCAAGGACGTGTGGCGCGAGGATCTGCAGCCCCGTGCTGCCGTCAGGGCACGAACGATCCCTCTCCTCGAGCAAGAGCGCGATCGTCTGCGCGCAGAGTTAGCACAGGTATTACCCCAAACAGCCATGCGTGGTGTGCTAGTGCTCACTTGGTCGAGTCCGTAGCTCACAGACGAGAACTCAGAATTGCAATCTCAAATGCAGCAGAACGTGCGCGCGACAGAGGAGGCGGATCGAGATGCTGCAAGACTTCTCGACGTCATTGACAAGGTGTGGTTGATGAGGGCCATCCACTTACGTCCGCATGTACTTACATTCTTACAAGGTTCTCGCGAAATGGGATCAGATACCCTTGGATGATATACAGTCTTGGACGCTGCAGACGGCAGAATCTGCTGGAAGTAGGGCATGATGAGGACACGAAATGTAGCTTATCTCTATGTATCAGTGACCATAGCCATATGTACTATTTCTCCATGAACAGCGTACGTCGTACAGTAGACTGGAATGACACCCTAAAAATTGACTGGTGACCGAAAGAAAAAATTGAAGATCATCTCTCTGTCGGGGAGTCGAACCCCGCTTTCGCGCGGCCTACATAATGACAGGCGCGTGTACTAACCGATATACTAACAAAGACAAATTTTTTGGCTTTACAACGCGTATATCTATCACGCGAGATCTGGCAAAACGAGCTTGTAAGTGCTGAATACTGACGGTCTTCTCCAGGTCTTGCAGCGACGAGAGTCCCATGGCACACCCTCATGATGTCCTGCTACAAGGAAAGCATCTGCACACGTCCCTCGGTCTGTGGGGCCATCTCTCTCGCAACGGTCTCTCACAAGCTCCGCCATCGTCCAGCACTGCAAGCAGCGGGACCGCGTACGCGCCTCCAATAGCACCCCTCGACAAAGCCGGTGCATCGACCCGTATTCTCTTACATGACACCCAAGCGCACCTGGAGAAGTTCATCGAACGAGTCACGCAGCTCGCGAGTGGGGTTGCGGACGCGAAGCGGGAGCTGGTTGTGGTGCAGAAGCTCTACCAGGAGGATCATGAGCAGCTAATCGAGCGGATGATTGGGCTCGGTATGTATGCGACACACTTTCACTGAGATCTGATACTTTGAACAGATTCAGCCAACCGCTGTCAGACGGAGCTCCAGAAGACAATAGGGAGTCCTGCGCAATGCTTAGAGGTCCTTGATGTCTCGAGAGACGTCGGGAGACTGACGAGCCGCTTGGAAGCATTGGACAAGAAAATGGATATACTCAACATGGTTTGTGCTTTCGCGCATGGGTGTCGTCGTGCTCACCACTTGTATGCGCGTGCTTTCAGTCGAATCAAACCCAGTCGCAAGCGCTCCAGACTATCCAGGACCAGCAGGGACAGATCCTTACTGCCCTCCTGCCCATCTTGCCTCTACTTCAATCTGTACCCTTACACATCGAGAGCGCGCGCAAGCATGTCGAGGGGGCTGTCTCTGGATCAGGAAGCAGCGCCTTTCACTCAATCTCAGGGCTGGAGTCCCACGTCAAGGAATCGCAAGAAAGACTACGTAGCACCATCAACGATGCTGTCTCCGGATTACGCGATGACATCAAGAAGGACGTGTTGGAGCTGCGTGATCAACTGGAAAAGCCAATCTCTGAGCTCAGGCAACAAATCTCCACCAGCACTTGTTCTTCTCTCGCCTGCGGCTCGGCTGCCAGAATGTCTCGCTCTCGTTCTCGTTCTCGCACTCGATCTCGATCACAGAAGCGGCCCCGGCCAACATACCCTGATGATCCTGACTCTAGCGATCTCACGACGTCGCCGTCAGACAGCAAGAAACGCCGCTTGGGTGGCCATCCTCTGGTGGCTGCTGCTTTGTCCGTGCTTACGACAGATCCTGCAACTCCTGTCATATCTGGCCAACGTTCGCGCGCTGGATCCAATGTCCCTGGGACCCGCATACATTCACTTCGGGTGGCCGGCGCCACGTCTCACTCGAGTTCAGCCTCACCGAAAGTGCCGCTTTCGACTGTCGTCGCTCGTGCGTCAAAGAAAACTCCGCTCAGGACTCCTCTAGCCGACTTGACCCCTCAAGTCCCTAAGGTGACGCCGAACGCGAGCACTCCCCGCTCTACTTCGGTATCCTCCGTTGTTAAGCAAACTCGCGGCTCTCGATCTGTACCACACTCTCTGATTGCTGCGTCGGCCGGCCTCCCTAGTCAAGGTTTCTCTTCATCGCAGTTTAATAACCAAGACCCAGCCCCTGTCCTCCCTAGACGATCAATGCGGTCCTCACCACCCACCGCTACATTTGCCGCACCTATCACGCCTGGTAGCTTCAAATTGCCACTTCCGGCCCTCAGACCTAGCCGGGCCTCCACCTTCACGACCCACACGCCGCCGCAGCTGCACCCGAGTTCCTCGTTGTTACGGCATCCTGCCCTCGGCGCCCACAAGGACCACAGGGACAACGAGAACAAAAACAGCAACAACAACTCACCCTTAGCTCGTTCTTCTGCTACTGCTGGTGCCACCCTGCAACCACGGACTCCGGCGCAGGCAACGCGTGGTACTGCTCTTCACCTTTCCCGGCCCTCTTCTCGTGCTGTGGCGGTGCAAGTCCGCGCTAGTCCTAGCCGGCTACCCGTAGAGTTAGCGCTTCGAACTGGGATCGGGGCAGATCTGTCTGCCAACGTGAACACTTCTGGCACGCCGAGGACGCCGCGTCTGCCAGTGTCTATCTCGGTGACTGCGAGCGATGGGCCTACGGGCTCGAACGTTTTGCCTGGAAGTGCGGGCCTGGAGAAAGGGAAGCCGATGAGCCTGAAGGATCGGCGGGCCTTGCTTGCTGCTGAACGCCTGGTGAAATCTTCAATGAATCCATCTCAGCGATAGGCTGGTTTGCTGACGCTAGTGTGTTTGTGCTAGCGGGATGAGGGCAAGAGGTTCATTCCCCTTGACGATGAGGATGACGAGGATGTGTATTTGGGAGGATAGGCTGAACGAAGGGTGTATGCGCAGCGTCGTGTTGTTTCTGGCAAATGTGAGTAGTCGGATGGTCGAGCGGCCTTACGTGGCAATCAAAATGATACAAATCGATCACTTCACCTTCTACCATGTGCCACGAGGCGTTCTGCGGACCGCGCACATGCATTGCATTGCAGCCAAGGTGGGGCTTCCAGTCTTCTCGAATATGTAAACAGAGCTGATTTTTCTGTTCTTGAGCAATAGAGACAGAATGTAGTCAGCCATGTGGCGTATGTTGCTAGCACCGGTGACTTTCACTGCGAAGGTGCTGAACCTGTCGGGAAGCTTGGCGCCTTTTGGTGAAACTTGCAAGATGATCTTAGCGCGCAACCTCTGGCGCTGGGGATTGGTTGTGGATGCGAACTGTTGTAGCAATACGTCGACGGCTTTTGCGGGAGATGCCGGCTCTGTTGCTCCCGTACATGCGGACGCCGATATGCACCGCAACAGCTGGTCTGCCTGAGCCGATACTACAACGATGGAAGCACCGTACAGTTCGTATTCGCTCTCTACTGCATGTGCTACCTCTGCTTCATGTGAAGGCCCTCCCGGCCATCAAAACCTATGTCGGATGGGGATGCGATACTGGCATGGGCTTTGTCTCGTCGTCGCTGTCAGCCTGGTATCCTGCTGATTGGTATGGCCACGTGCACGGCGGAAGGGGAGTTTGATACTGTCATCCTTCTCAATAGCCTCCGAGCACGCGCCTTCAGGAGACCCTGCATAGCACCTGCAGAGCCCCCGGAAAGCACTGCAGGTGATACACTCTACCACAGATAGCAAGCCATAGCTGTCTGCAGTACAGCAGAGAAGTCCGTCTCGGCGTCGTCAGCAACGCCTCCAGCTCCCATGCGCCTACAAACGGGAGCAAAAGCCGTGACCCAGGGCAGTCAGGCATACCCTCATCTGTTCAAGAGGATCGTTGTTCGTGGCAATTAGCACTCGTACAGCTCAAGAAGGTCATAATGAAAAGAGTGCGACGGAACATGATGTTCCTACACGTAGAGCGAGGGTTTTCTACAGTATATCGGTGTATAGGCAATAGGCGTCGCTGGGCCATGTTTTTCGCTGCATGCCGCGTCCGGAAATGCGTTCTGGAGGTTAGAAACGATAGTCTGTAGAACGAGACGTATTTGATGGGTGACATACTTTCACTGAGGCCCACTGCACCACGAGTTGGTGGACGTCAAGTGGTTTGCAAGCGGACAAAGTTTGGTCTGTATCGCGCCCGGCGTCGTCACGCGTCAAGCCGGTGAGTAGCGGATTGTTGGCGTGAGTGTTTTGGTTGACGGATAGCACCGCTGCTAGTCAGTAGTTCAACCAGAGCGTCGTCGGCGAGTAGCCCCGCCTTCGCACATGGCGAGCGGAATCTGGCGCTCATCCGCGGAGCAACTCTATCCCCCCACTTACACGTCTTGCAGCTAGTCTTGTTTATCCCCTCACCACCGTGCCACATGCGTCGTCGACAGGCATATTTGTATGTTATGAGTGAAACGAGAACTTTCGCGTGCGGGGCGACGATGCACAACACATCACCATGATACTCATAGGACAAGACATTGTGTGAACCGCTGTGTATTTCTGTGCGTGGGCAGAACCAACGAATGGGCCACAGAACGATCGATACCTGTAGACAAAATCGCAGAGCAGTGTTTGCTCATCGTGGAGCCTATCGCGCCAGTCTTCCAGAGCCGCTATATGGTTCGCTGTGGAGAATGATCGTAGATCAGTCAGCCGGTCAGAGAAAATATGACGTCCCTCCAATTTGTCGCTCGCGGTTCGTGGAGCTGTTCATGCATACCTTGACCATCGACCACTGCACGACGAGCTCCCTGATTCGAGCCGAAAGTGCTTCCTTGCAGCTTGCGCATCCAAGATAATGCTCCATTGGGCAAAGCACGCGCTCTAAAGCACTCGTTGTGATACCTGGTTGCCAAGAGAAGACATCAATTCAAGGAAGATGCTTCGGCACCTTGAACTTAGGGAGGTGGGCCCGCAGAAGGCGTAAAAAATGGAGCGACGTACCTGCACGAGCATCCCACGCGATGCTTGCCGCGGCGAGGTCCCATGCGCGGGACAGATACTTTTGATTCTCAAAGGTGCAAGCATCCGTAACTGGATGCAACCGTGGTGCGGGACGGAGGATCCTCTTCAGTTCCCGAAGTCGATCAACTTGTAGGATGTATAGACGTGTGAAGTACATGGGACCCATCCGCACTACGAGAACGTCAGGCAGTGATTCCAGTGGGTAAGACAAGAGGTAGCTCGATACCGCCACGGCAAGGTCATGAAGAGAGTGCGCGGCTGCAGTGGCATAGACAAGGATGGGCTTTATGGGCGCTTGCGCGAGGATGAGGGTATACAACACGCTCGAGGGTCTGACGAAACGAGTGGGGGGTAGGCCGTAGAGCTTCATCGTGTTTACGGCGGCCAGTAGCGTCTCCAGATTCGGTCTGTAGTGAGCGCAAGAGAGACTGTACGCGACATGGAGGATGATATTGACTACATCTGCCGAGTGTGGAAGACGGATGGCCGGCGTTCGAGTAGGTGGGGCGACAAGTTTAGCTTCGGTACTAGCCGCGAGCTGGGTAGCGGCGTCAAGGATTGGAAGACAACCATTAAAGCGGTTGGTAGACATCGAAAGGAGCTGGATTCTATGTGCATAGAACAGCACACCATCAGACGAGATGAATGTGGTATCTGGTGGAATGGGAAGGAGAGCCGATTGTTGATGAAATGTTGTCGAGAGCGAGATTACGGCTTCTGGAGAGGGTGGTTCGGTGACCTCTTCATGGCTTCGAGGCGATACTATAGTAGATTCCTGCATATGATCTGAGCTGTCCAGCTAGCGTAGATTTGGAGTTGTACTGACTGGAGGTGTCGGGATTTGTGCTATCGGGCTATCCTCGATGCGAAGATACTAGTGTGACCCCAGAAGCGACGGCCCAGAATGTATTTCGTGCATATCTCCATCGCATCTTCCCCCATAAATCTCAAATTTGGCACACTTGATCTGTATCGCAGACAGTATATACCCGTAAAATATGAAGGCAATCGGTGGAATTTTGCTTCGAGCATCGTGGCATTACACGTCTGACCCCAGAAACGACGGAAAGGCGCCCACAGATTGTCACCAATGGTCACGGTGCCGAAGACTGCCGATTTAAACACCGCCATTATCAGTCGTTTGATAACGACGTTGGCGGAGGGAACACTAGTCGAGGCGCTCATAATCAAAGTCAGCCTTATCTCGGTCAGTGGCTGAATGTCACGCTCGAGAGACCCCCTTCCCATTCCTCAGGTACCGCAATCCGTAATCCTTCGAAAACTGAATAATCATACTCAGTGCACATGTTAGAAATAATTCCTGGAGTTACAAGAAGATCGGCCATGCCGATCTCTTTGTGGCAATTCAACAAGGTTAGTAAACCCCTGGAACCCTACTCAGATTGACTTGTATCGGGAGCGAATTTCTCCCGATTTCCTTCGTTCTTTGTGGGAGTAATAGTTCAGAAGCACATAGTCTCATGTGTAACATTTGTACATTTATTGACAGGGAAATGCGAGACCTGGAGGCGTGTCAGTCGCTTCTGGGGTCAGGCGCTTAATGCGTCGCTTCTGGGGTCGCACTAGTAGGAGTCGGCTGATTCGCAGTACGCCTGTTCGGAGATATCCGGAGACGATTGTAGATCGTCTGGCCAGGGGACGTCGTGCCAATAAAACGGACGTTCCGGGGAGTCCATCGTCTGAGAGGAATTGACTGGCAAAGGTTAGGGACGTACTATCATGGTGCAAGGCAAGAGACAATACTCTTGGAGGGACCGCTTCTATACTTCTTAAATGCCTCTGATAAGAAGCTGGATTGATGATGCTTATTCGGAGAATGAAACCATATCTTGCCACTACATGGTAACTACGTGATCTACACTCATAGTGCGCCTTCGGCCCCACTGAGCCGAAGGCGTTCTCTGATGTCGCCGATGAGGGACGTACAACGAGGGTTATAACCCACAGGGCTAATTGCCCATGAGGGTATCAAACCTCCCTTCGCCCGCGGGAGAGGGTGGGGGCCTCGGTAAGGTAAGTTCTGGTTTTGAGATGCAGACATCAGGGGACACTGCGGCGGAGGCTCCATGGCATGTTGTCAGCGGGTACCGGAACTCGCCGCCGCACTTGAACATGCCTTGCATACAAGCCGTGGACGACGTTGACAACCCTCGAGCTCCAGAGCTCCAAGACACCTGCAACAACTTCGCGCCACTGACGCGTCCTACTTCCCCTTCCAAGTAGCATCGGATCTCATTCGTGCTGCAAGCTACACTACATGATGTCGCGACCCGCCAGCTTACACTTACATGTCGAGAAAGTATTATACATTGCACTAGGCTACAGAAGCATTCGCAAGTCCGTTCAAAGGTCTACTAGTAGTCACTGGGTATGATAGGGGGTCGGTTCAAAAAATCACGGACGGTTGGGTAGAGTAGGTATCGTGTATCATCCGTTCCAGAACGTTACGAGTCGCTGATCGTCATGAGTGGTATCTGTAGTGTCCTTCAATACGTCCCCCAAGGGTAACCGGACGAGTCCCCGAAAGAACCATCCTGCTCACGCAGCGCCGCCGCCGACCGTGGTTTCCGCTGACCAGGGGGACCCCGTGTCCGCTGTCCCTGGTCCGGGCCCCGTCGCCCTGGCTCAGGCTGGTACTGGCATACCACACCCTGGTGCGCCGCCCGCTGGCAATTACTGCACGAGGGCTGAGCCCCGTCGCATTTCATCTTGCGAGAACGGCAGCGGTCGCACGCGACTGCGATGCGCTCTCTAGGTGCACCCGTTAGGGTCATATGCTGGGACCACTCCCTGCGGCGGCTGGAGCCCTCCCCTGACAAGGCATCTGGGTCGTCGGAGTACGTCGGTAGGGATGATGGATATGCCGAAGGCGATCCAGAGTACGGGGCTGGCGGACCGGCGTGCGAAGGCGGGTACAGGAAGACCGGCGCAGAGCCGGGGTGTGCGTTCAGCGACGCGTGCTGTACAGAGTAGGGGTCATGTGTCGCAGGCCGGTACGGCGCCTGATGCGAATGTGACGAGTACGACTCGGTCGGGTACGAAGCGGGAGCCTCGACATAGGAGCCGGGGGTAGCTGTCGGGTACGATGCTGAAGGGTATGCCGCTGACGGGTGCGAGGGTGTCGACGAAGTTACACCGTGATATGGAGATGCGGGGTACTGTCCCACCGCGCGCGGGTCGGCGTAGACTCGGGGGTCGATACCGTACTGCTGAGACGCGAGACCGTCTAACCATGTAACCACCTGGTGGGAGGGTGGCTGGGAGTTTGGCGGATTTGAAGTCCGATCGTCGTGATAGTTATACTGCATGCTGGCTAGGGAGTATATGCGCTTCTAGTACTAGGGCAGTTGTTCGTCTCGATGAGAGAGGAAAGAGTTGTTTTGAAAATGAAAATGACTATGAGAGGCGTGCGGTCACCTAGCTCTTATACCTTCGTCTCTTCACCGCTTAGGCCATGTCCTCAATACTCTGTTCTTGCTCTCGGTGCCTGCATGCGCAACCGATTACTCGTCTTGGTAGGAATCGGATGCATTCGAAGTGTGCTACATGCCTTCTTGGGTCTCAACTCTCGGTGGGCAACACAGCATGGGCCCTACAAAGTTAACTTTGACAGCACATCACCGAGATGCAGTGCCAATCTTTGAGGGAGTAACCAACGAGATAAAAAATGACTCGACAAAGCGGATGACTCACTAAATGTGTATGAGCTTGGCTTGTTGGTAGGAGAAAAACTGTGAGCGGCGATATAGGCAAGAGGCGGATCTCGACACGATTGTTGAGAAAGACAGTAGCATCCAGACAGACAAGTATAGCACTATATGACTCCTAGTGCGCGAGTATCTCACCTGAGAGCACAGCAGAAGAGAAAAGTTTGCTGCCGAGGATGAGCGAGTCAAGATAGGGAGGTGCCTCAAGGCTTACCTAGATTTACCTACGCGCTACCAGGGTTCGTGAGCACAGCCTGTCTCGGCCTCGACGTATGCAGAGCGACCCGTGAGCAAAAATGCATGCGCTAAGCCGACGCTCATCGCCAAGCTTATTCCCCATCGCGGTAGGGCGGGGACCGGTGAACGATGCACGTCGGTGTGGCTGTGCAGCAGCGTCGGTGCTTCGTGGGGCGCCGACTGGATATTCTGCTGAATGCTTGGTGATCTTGTGGACGGCCTCGACAGCATAGCGACATGTTGCCATGAGCAGCGGTCGAGTGTACACGTCTGTATTGCCTTTGCATTGAGGGGACCGCTCGGGAGACAAGCACAGGCGAGTGGTCTGGTGGCTCCAATTCCCGTAATGAAAAGCGGTCCGGTCTGCAACTAAGCATTTGGTGAATGAAGCGGATGTAATTGCATTCCAAGAGGAACGGAAAGGATGAGAGGAAACGGCAAGTGAGTAGCTCATGCTGTGTCACGAAGCCGAGTCGCCTCATGTGGGCCAGAGCGGAGGCACATTGCGGCGCATCATTTGACGCGTACCCTGAGTGTAACGTCCTCGGCTGTTGTCCTGTAGTACACGCGGTGAGGATACCCGTCTACTGCCGCGGTCGATTACGTTGCAGGTGGCGTACCGGCGAAGCTAACCGTGAGTATTTGGATGGTGTACCACAGAGCAATCATGGGATAATGCCGCATCTCACGGCCGATCGCCGATGGTCGAGCCACCAGGAGAGTGGAGTCGCCGATTCTACATATCTGCGTGATTAATCACTGCGTATAGAAAATGCTCGAACAACTCAGCCCTTGAGCGCTGACCCTGACGATACCAACTGTGGCCTGCTGCGCTCTGTCTGCCTGTGGCTTCTGTCGCTCCAGTGGTGATAGAAACAGGCCAAGACTAGAATGATTAAAGAGGCACGTAGGCACGTCGCTCATCAACATCCCGGCACCATATGTTGATAGTGCAGCTGCGAAATAGATATCCAAGGTAAGCAAGAGTATAACGGACGGAAATGATAGCAACACGTGTCAGCACACACATGAAGTTCACGACGAGTGGTTTTAGGATTGACGGCATCACCATCGGAACGTTACAACGCTCTTGAGGTCAGCCCAGCTGCGCCCTTGGCTACTACACAAGGTCACGGCATGCTTGGGCCGGGCTCTTGTGATTAGAAGGCAACATCCGCCAGACAGATAGACCCGAAGAAGCTGATATGTAGAGTCGCGACAGTCATGCCGATTCGAAGAATTCCAGATTGAGATGAGCCAGCACAGTTGACAAGTCCTAGGCCTGCTCGGAGTACAAGACGCAGCGGATCAAGGCGCCTCGAATGACGACCGGCCGTCATGAGTACTCTGGGCATAGTCAAGAAGCAGAACCGATAGCTCTCATGGCGATCTGGAGAGTGCATTGATTAAAGATGGGTGAAGTCATGCACAATAGTGGCGACTGTACATGTTCAATCATGCATGCGGTGTGCCAGTTGTACGCGCGCCCTTTAGGGTGTTTGCGTCGTGGGGTTAGGGTTTAGGTATGATTTCGCTGCTATGCGGGACATTCTCGGCAAAGTCTTCCTCAACTCCCTCCGTCAGCACTATTCATGCTCGCCCTGCGCAGCTAAGTCTCTTCAGGACGAACGACCACCTTGAAGATGGCTTTCTCCCTGTTTCGATTCGCTCGCTTCCTTCGTTCCATCTTCGTGCCTACGGCGTCGATCATCGCATTCTCTTGCTTGCTCACATTCATCTTCGTGCTCTACCAACCCACGCCCGGTCCCGGAAGCCTGCAGAAGCTCGGATGGCAGTCATGGGATACTGTAAACGATCTCACGGGACAGGTATCGGGCTCTTCGAGGCCTGCAGATGACCTGGAGTCGCCAAGCAGTGGAAGCAGTGTACCCGAAGGGGTGGATTGGTGGAACGTCACGACCAGCTCGGACGACTTGGACGTTGCTAGCCTTCCTCTAGACGTGTGGGATCCTCTCATGCAGCATGACACCGGATGTGAGTACTTCGTTCGTTCGATTAGCTTGCGGGGCTTGGTTGAAGACTTACCTTTCAGTGTCCGAGATTCACATCACGGAGTGCTTGGTCGACCCGTGGCTCATACCCTCAATGGCGTCGGAGTTCTGCACCCCGCCTTCGACCAAGGAAGACGACGCTAAGAAGGGCAAATGGGTCCGGGTGGAGCGTAACTTGAAGCTACAAGTCAGCATGAAGAGCCTAGTGAGTTTCGCTCTCTTTTCTCAACATTGTTGCATTCCAAACTTCCTTGTCCCAGAATGTCTACTACCGTAGGACGCGGAGACACGATATTCCCCTCGTCACCGAAATCCGTGTTCTTCCCGAGAAGGAGACTCCGTCCCCGTTCAGCCACTCCTGGATTAAGGTCGCGCATCCTCTGAATCCGTTTGGGGAGAAACGATATTTGTGGTACAAGGCGGAGAAGACATGGCGAGACATGACGGACGCCGAACGCAAGAGCGATCTCATCACCGAAATAGACGTCCTCTTTGGGTCCGATCAGCCATGGTACGGCTTCGAGAGGGTGCAGCAGGCCACGTACGACGGCGGAGGACCGCGAGAGCCTGTATGGCTGACGTACCGTAAAGGCGTCAAGCGTAAGTCTGCAATCTTGCATTCAGCTGCATTCCCAGTTGACGTGCGATGTCAAATAGCACCGCCTCGCGCCCCTCCACTGCACTTCTCGCGCGACGGCAAGTTCAAAATTATGCAAATTGCGGATCTTCATTACTCCGTCAGCGTTGGGACGTGTAGAGACACCATCCTTTCTCCCTGCACCGAGTCAGACAACCTCACAACGACCCTCCTGTCGCGCGTGCTCGATATCGAGAAGCCAGACTTCGTAGTCTTTACGGGCGATCAACTTAACGGCCAGATGTCTAGCTGGGACGAGCGATCCGTCCTCGCGAAGTTCGCCAAGGCTGTGGTTGACCGCCAGATCCCATGGGCTGCCATATTCGGCAATCACGACGACGAGGACGGGATGAGCAGAGAGGCGCAGCTAAGGTATCTGCAGGGACTCCCGTACAGCCTTGTCGAGCGCGGTCCGAAGGATGTTCATGGAGTGGGCAACTACGTGTTGAAAGTCAAGAGCGCAGACCCGTACGTGCGTCGTTGCGAAAAGCGCGACTCAGGCGAGCTAACGACCTTTGAAGATCCATGTCCCATCTCCTCACCCTGTACTTCCTCGATTCCGGCGCATACAGCAGCGGTGTCCAGGACTGGTGGGGGATTTTCCATGCCTCGGACTATGACTATCTCCGGCAAGACCAGATCGACTGGTTCCTCCAAGAATCCTGTGCGTCTTGTTACGAAATGCTGCTCAGCGTGACGCTCATGTCCACCTCTCTAGCTTCCATTGACGCCATTGAGCGTCCATTCACCCCTGACGGAGCGAAGGATCTCGGAAGCGTATGGAAGCGCCAAGCTGCCGATCAGGTCTTGCCAAACTCGAAGCGCCTCGCGAAGCCGAATGCGATGATGTTTTTCCATATACCCATGTAAGCTGCACAAGGAGACGACTCTTGTATGCTGCCGCTGACGGTCTCACCTGCAGGCAAGAGAGCGGTGCAGCTGCTGACGTGGACCCAGTCACTGGCCAGCCCTTGGATGTTGGAAACGTGCTCGAAGAGAGCGGCGCCTCCAAGAAGTCGGCAGGGTTCTTCCACAAGGGCCTGCTCCAGGCATTCGAGAGCGACCATCGGGCAGGCAGGCGCGCGACTGAAGTCAAAGTCGTCGCCAATGGGCATCAGCACAGTATGTTACCGCTGTATCGTTGCACACGTGCGTCGAGCTAACATGAGCGCTCCTAGATTCGGACAACTGCAAGCGCGTCAAGGGCGTGTGGCTCTGCTTTGGGGGTGGAGGGTGAGTACTCTTCGTTTGGTTGGAGCACCTATCGGCACTAGCACTAAATCCTGCCGTGTCTTGGCAGCTCGTACTCCGGGTATGGGCAGATCGGCTTCGACCGGAGATTCCGGATCTACGATATATCCGACTATGGAGAGACTATCCGGACGTACAAGCGTACGGAGCATGATGATGTCCTCGATGATATGATTCTCGTGGGTCGCGGCGCGCCTCCTCCGTATGAAGGTGTCGTTTGAACGGACCTGTCTGGAGTGACGGACGGTTGGATGGATTGTAAGATATGCGCGCAGATTGGCTGAATTCTCAGTAGGCAGGTACAGTTTGTATGAATGACATAATTCGCAGAGCCGCACAAGAGTACCTGATGGCTATCGGTTCGGAACTGTCTGGGTCCAGCGGCTCTTCTACCAGTCGTCCTAGATGGAGTCGGAGATTAAGCAAGTGTGCGGGTTCCTTGTCCCTATGACGCGATGCATGCTGAAATCCTGACGCTCAACAGCTCATCCCACGGATCATAGAGCGCTAGCATGACCAGGCTTAGCCGTGACAGTCGCCTCGATGTCATTCATGCTACCTTTGTGGACGTGTCGGGGAACTGCGCTGTAAGGTCGCACTCCCGATAGGCCCACCTATCGCTCTGACGGCTATCATGGGACATATCGCATCCTCCTTCGATTTGCGCTGCCAACCATAGACGCGTCGTCAGACGCTCCTAGTCAAGATTCTCTTCACCTCACTTCGTTGTTGTACCATCCCGTGGGCTGAAGTAGGAGATTTGCCAGTATCTGACGTCACCTATCGTGTACGCAGTGAGGCTTTCACTCCCACGGTAATGGTGCATCCTGGCCGACTTTGACATCCTTGTGTCCTTCCCTGCCAGTGAGCGTCGAGTACCTGTAGAGTGCTGACGAGCAAGATCAGTATATCAGCACGCCTGTATGGGTGAGAATGTCATTTTCATAACAGTTGAGGGGGCGTTGCTCAATCTTTCTCCTTACAATTGGACTTCAGGCACATAACGTAGACGTAATGAATGCTGGTACGACGGAGCGCACCCGACTCTAGTACAAAGACACCAGGATAGCGGACTAGCATGTGTCAGCCACGGTAACGCCCAGTCTAGCCGATACGGGGGCACTTGCGGTCAAAGGTCCGCATATATAGCTGATCATCGAATGACGCTTCGAGAAGGGCTACCCTGGTTGCCGCTTTGAGTATATCGCAATTCCTCGTATGCTCACGGGGTTCCCCAGATGATTTTATACTTCCAGCAGAAGTGCGGCGTGGGTGCAAACAAGGATGGTCGGGCTTCTCTCCTTCAAATACCACCAGTTGAGTGCAGCTGCTGCTCGCCTCCCCTAGAGATGGTCCCCAACATCATGCCCGTGTGGCTTTGGCACGCTACCATAGGAATCATCTTACTTGCGACAGCCGTTCGCTCGCGACGCAAAAGAAACATACACCTCCCTCCTGGCCCCACGCCTTTCCCCATCATTGGCAACATCCTCAATTTTCCTCGAGAACACCTCGGCCGTGAGTTTGCGGGCCTCACCAAGACATTCGGTGCTCATCTGCGTTCGTAATTCGAATACATGACATCATCACTGATGAGAGGCTCTCCGGGCAGGCGACGTTGTCCACCTCAGCATGTTGGGACAGTCTACCATCGTTTTGGGATCCCAAAAGGCGGCTTATGCCTTACTAGACAAGAGATCAGCCAACTATTCCCATCGCCCAGTATCTGTTATGGTACCCCTGTGCGTTCAGCAAGATCTTCTCCCGACGCCTACTGATCTATCGCTCAGAGTTGGGTATGAATGGCTGTTTGCCCTGATGAATGATGGACAGCGTTGGCGCCAGCACCGGCGCGCAGTGCACCCTACTTTGACGCCGGACATCGTGCGGGAATATCAGCCGATTCAGTCGAAGGTTGCGCGTCGTTTCGTGCGAAGCATATTGCGCTCTCCCCAAGATTTGGCTCTGCATATTCGTTTGTAAGCCCATCTCCTAATGCAGTTGCAAAACTGTCGGTTTAGTCTAACCTCTCTCCCACTAGTACGTTTGCTGCCATCGTCATGGAGGTGATTTACGGTATTGAGATCCGCGAGGCGCACGATAAGTACTTCAAGATGGTGGAACGGATGGCCGAAGTCGGAGAAGCCATCGTGATGCCTGGGAGATTTCCTGTGGAGGCCTTTCCTGCACTGCGTTGTCTACCGTCATGGTTTCCAGGTGGTGGTTTCAAGAAATTTGCAGCCGATGCCAAACGGAATATATCGTACATCATAGATCATCTCTTTGAGACTGCTAAGACGGCGATGGTGAGTGCAAGATCTAAGCAGCATCGATGTCTTCACTGACAGGCATCGCCCACCAGAGGGAAGGTGATACGAGTGGCTCTGGTGTTAGCCGCATCCTTGGAGCCTCGGAGGACGAGGATGCACAGCTGGAGGGAATGTGTAAAGAAGTAGCCGGGACGCTGTACGTCGGTACGTGTTATACACTGGTCGCTGCGATTGACGTGAGGTATCACCGATTGACATCAAACAAAGCTGGGGCCGATACGGTGAATCTTTGTGTCGTGGTTATCCCTTGCCTAGCGAGACTCACGCATCTGCCAGACTAACGCCACAATGGAAGCATTTTTACTTGCCATGGCACTCTATCCTCAGGCACAGGAAAAGGCACAAGCGGAATTGGACGCGGTCGTTGGTACCGAACGGCTCCCGGAATTCTCGGATCGTCCATCGCTTCCATACATCAATGCACTGGTTCAAGAGTTGCTTAGGTGGCATCCTGTTACCCCGATAGGTGTTCCCCACCGGGTTGTCGCCGACGACGAATACAATGGCTACGTTATCCCCGGTGGCGCTACTATATTTGTCAATGTCTGGTACGCTGAAACCTGCCTAAGCGAAGTACCTCTGGATTGATGTGCTACGAAGGGCTATCCTACGCGATCCCGATGTTTACCCAGATCCTGAGGACTTCAAACCTGAGCGCTTCTTGAACTCTCGTGGAGAATTTGACGTCGGCGAACGAGACCCAGCTGAAATTTTATTCGGATTCGGTCGAAGGTAAGACTCACCACAACAACCTACCACTGCGCTATTCATGGATTGAGTTTAGAGTATGTCCCGGTCGACACTTTGCCCAGGCGACGCTCTTCATTCTATGCGCCTGTGTCCTCGCGGCATTCAAGATTGAGCTGCCCGTTGACGAACACGGGGCTCCCAAGGAGATAAAGCGAGAGGCAACCGATGCAAACGTCATCTCGTTAGTAGTGTCTCGATCTTGCAGCCTTTCGTTCATTGAAATGCATTTGGACAGACACCCGAAGGTGCACCGATATACGATGCAGCCCCGCTCGTCGAAACTCCAACAATACCTTGGACTGGCGCAAGATGATTGAGGATAGCGCCCGAATATCTGCTCCAGGGTAAATACAGCCCCATGCCAATTGGTGTATAGATGCCTTTGCAGAGTATGCTCTCGCAACCGTTCAGCACTACTCCTGAGTTGGATATGTATGCAGTTGAATGCGAATTCTAGCGGCTTCGGCTTCCTTCTCAGAAGCTGCGAGGTGGTGCTGGAGCGGTGCTCTCTTGACAGTTGAGCGCCCGTAGCCGATATGAGCCTGGTTTGGTTGGACATCGCTGTGCGAGAACGGAGGAATACACTGGATGCATTGGCAGGGGCAGGTTCAAGAGGACTATGGGTATATGTTTACAGAGGAAGCTATTGCAGAGGTGAACTACGCTGGACAATTGGGAGGGCGCCTCAAACAGAGAACTCCATCATACTTCATTAGCTCCCGATTTATGTCGGCAGCAGAAGTCCTTTCATGGAACCAGTCGCTTATTGCCGGTGATCGTCCCAGTATAAGTATAGCATGTGTCGCAACAGTACAAGAGCGGCCTCTGCGTCTCTGCCCTATCACCATGTCTCTCAGTGAATTTTGGACGTGGTTTCCGCTCTCGCTTTCGGTGTTAGCCGTGCTATTGATTGAGCGACTTCTCGCGCGCCGAGGCTCTATCAATCTTCCTCCCGGCCCCTTCCCACTGCCTATTATAGGCAATGTACTCGATGCGCCTCGCAAAGACTTTGGCAGCGAATGCTCAGCCCTGGTAAAGAAATATGGTGTGTCACAATAGTGCAGTAACGATGCGTTATGCTTATTATAGTCCACAGGAGAAGTGGTTCATCTGACCGTGCTGGGACACTCGATGGTCATCATAGGGTCATTCAAGGCAGTAACGGACCTATTAGACAAGCGATCCGCCAACTATTCTGACCGTCCGACCTCAGTCATGGCACAACTGTGAGTCGTGTCAGAAGTTCTTAGAAATCAACGAGCTCAAAAATCATCGCAGCGTTGGCTTTCACTGGATGTTCGTCTTAATGAATTACGGAGCCGAGTGGCGTCAACATCGACGCGCATTCCATCAGGTCATGAACCCGGACGTCGTATCTGATTGGCAGCCTGTACAGCTGAAGGCGACGCGCAATTTGCTGCGCAGTCTCCTTTGTTCGCCAGACCAACTGGCGTCACATCTCCAATTGTGCGTCATCCTAAGGCTAATCCCGCCATCAAATGATACTAATATACTTCTTCCTATCTTCAGCTCCTTCGCTGCGACGGTGATGCGCGTCGTTTACGGAATCGAGCTCAGGGAGAGGAACGATGAATATTTCAAGATGATCAGGCGACTGAGTGACATTGGAGAAGACATTACGGTACCCGGACGATACCCTGTTGATGCTATTCCTATACTGCGTTTCCTCCCTTCTTGGTTTCCAGGAGGACATTTCAAGCGCTACGCTGCGAGGGCGAGACGCGATATCCTGTCCATCAGGAATCAGCTCTTTCAGTCTGCCAAAACTGCCATAGTGAGCTTGAAGTAGTCGCAACGCACATATCATAGACTCACGCGCCCACAGGAGCGCGGAAGTATCAAAGACTGTATCATAACACGCTTGTGGAAGGGTGAAGGTGACGATGCTATGGAAGAGGTGTGCAGAAGCCTTGGTGCGACAACATATGCTGGTGTGTTGCTCTGCAATTTCGTGACTAGCAACATCGCCGCTCACGAATGATGTCTAGCTGGGGCTGACACTGTGAGTTAGCTGGAGGTGACTGCAACTGATTCCATCTTCTGAACTGCCTTGATTTACAGGTGCACGCTTCTGCTCAGGCATTCTTCCTGGCTATGGCACGTCACCCAGAGGTACAGAGGAAGGCGCAATCAGAATTGGACACTATCATTGGGCCAGCTCGTCTTCCCGAGTTCTCGGACCTAAAATCCCTCCCTTACATCAGCGCGGTTATGAAGGAACTTCTCCGCTGGCACATTATCACACCAATAGGACTACCGCATCGGACAGTAGCGGACGACGAGTACAACGGATACTTGATCCCAGGGGGAACAATTGTGTTAGTCAATGTTTGGTACGTCGCTTACTAACTTTTCCCAGCACATCAGGGCATTTATCTCCATCTCCTTTTTAGGGGAATCTCACGAGAGCCCACAGTCTACCCGGACCCAGAGGACTTCATACCAGAGCGCTTCCTTGACTCTAATGGGAAGCTTGATGCTAGAGGAAAGGATCCCAGTGACTACGCGTTCGGGTTCGGTCGAAGGTTGGTCTTAGCTCTCTGTGGCCTGGATACTATTCAACGCATATTCGACAGAATTTGTCCCGGTCAATATTTCGCCGAAGCGTCTCTTACGATCATGGTTGCCTCAGTCCTTAGTACTTTCCACATTCGACCTCCTACAGATGAATATGGGGCATCTATCAAAGTCGAGCACGAGGTAACAATGGATCGTATTGTATCGTAAGTCACTCGAGATTGTTCAATTTTCTGAGCACCGTGAAGGCATGCTGAGCTCATACGCTACCTATCAGACATGCAAGATTATATAAATATTCGATCAGCCCACGTTCGGCCCGAGCGGAGCAGTTAATACAGGAAGAGTCAGGCAATGCATAACTGCGAGGAGATGACGAATTTGGAACCAGTATCGGACTACCTGCGTAGTCACTTTCAATGGGCAGGTCATATGTCGATGTTCAGGAGTTTGTTCCAGTGCCCTTCTCTCGTCGTTGATTCCGAGCGAGTATGCTACCAAATGCAAGAAGTGCAAATTCAGCGGACGTCCCATATTACCGTGGCTCGTGCACGTCCGTGCCGCCTGATGGGTAGGAAGAGGATATCTCTCGCAATGCAACACCACCGCTCCAATTCGCCAATCTGCGCAGTTCGTACGGTTTGCGCGACACTGATCCACTTCATAGACTCCAGTCTCGATGTTCAACTCGGAAATACCTAGACCGTGGATATGGGGGAAACAATCACGCGCACTGGGACTGAACAATCGACGCCAGGCAGGTTTTTGGTGGACGCGTTGCACATACTGCAGTACCTCCCCTCGTGGTTTCCAGGAATGGGCTTCAAGGCGAAGGCCGCTGCGTGGAAGGAGTAGGAAGCGTCTCACAGAGACAAGATGTTCGACGCAGGCGTTGAAACACTGGTAGGCGGTCATGCGCTCGCACCTTATATGTACTTTTCAGATCATGTTTGAACACGGGGTGGCGAGAAGGCGCCGCCGATGATTCGCTGCTTAGCAGTGTCCTTGGAGGGTCGGAGCACCCAAAGTGCATAGCACCAGCGGATATCGAGGAGCTTTGCAAAGGCGTAGCGGCTACTGCGTACACTGGTAAGTGATCCATGACTGCGTCGCGATCCGGTGCTAATATCTGGTGAGCAGCTGCCACGGACACGGTCAGTACATCGACGCGCTCCGACGAACGCGCCGTACTCACAACGTCCGTTCACATCGTAGACCAACGCTGCGGTACAGGGCCTCTTCTTGATCATGACTATGTTCCCAGACGTTCAGGAGAGGGCGCAAGCGGAGTTGGATTCCATCGTCGGGAACGAGAAATAAACTACTTTTGCAGATCGTTCATCGCTCCCCTATGTGAATGCCGTTCTGAAGGAGGATATGCGCTGGCAAGCCATCACGCCGATATGGGTCGGACATCGCTCTGTTGCCGACGTGTACGCAGGCCTTTTGATTTCAGGTGACTCCCTATTGATACCGAATATATGGTATGTCGTCGGAGTGGTCATTCTGGCAGTTGGCGTAGGACCTTCTGAACGTTGTTTATCAGGGCTATGTGTCCGGACGAAGCAGACTACCCTGGCCCAAGACGCTTCTATCCCGAACATTGGCTAAGAGATGGCATACTAAACCCGGATGTAAGAGATCCGCTGAACTTCGCGTTGGAATTTGGAAGGAGGTACGCCAATTGTGTGAGCGCCCTCATAGCACGTGTTGCAGGACTCTCGCAGGATCTGTCCAGGTCTCCACTTTGCAGACGCGGGGTTGTTCATTATCTTTGCATCCGTCCTTCACGTAGTTCGCATCGGACCTCCCGTGAATGACGACGGCGCGTGCGTCGTGCCCCTGAAGCTGGATGTGGAACCGCGCAACTTGACAGCGTAAGTCCGACTAGTGTTCAGTATGGCAGATAGGTCAATCTCAACCTAGGAGTAAACCTTATACAGACGACTGCAGCCGTTCTCATGCCTCATAACAACCTCGGTCGGTCTCAGTGGCGAATATGGTTCGAGCTGCTTCTGCAGACAGTGAATCTTCCTTGTGAGATTTACGCGGGGCTGTGACACATACCGATGCAATACAGTACTTCTTGAGTGCATAGAGCACGACGGAGACCACAAGCCTATAGTAACTGACAGCAATTGTACTGCTTGCAGAGCGCGCGGGGAGGACAGTCGTCGCTTCGGAGCGCTGATCAGGCAGTGCCGAACTCCGCCGAGATTAGCGATAACCCAGAGCTAACGCCGGTCAACGTCACCGCCAGCGAACCTCAGGCTTCAGCACTACTATCCATCGGATCAGAACACACTCATTTCCTCAGTCGTAGTGTCCACTGGTACGTTTCTGACTCCTTCAATTTTCGAATATGCTCATGCAATCATATCATCCTACTCTTTTCGTTGGTCTCTAGTTCGACCAGATGTCGATCATCCTCAGGAACCTGCACTGGCGCTGCCAGCGTCGGAATCCATTATGACCGCCTTTACAGTTGTTTGACAATGGAACCTATTGACAGCTTCTCATTCGTGGTCTGTTCCTGCCAAGGACCATCATGAGATTAGCCTCCTGACACTTAGGGCCTATCAAGAGCACTCCAGCCTCTGATCGGCCCGCCGAGGCTTCCTATTTCATACTGACCCCTCACCGTGTAACATCATAGAGATGCGAATAGTGAAAAAATAAGCATTCACTAGTGCTGCATTATTAGGGGCCCGATATACCGCGAGTCATTGCCGAAACAACCCTCTGGCGGCCCCAAGTACAGACCTAAATCAGTAGCTTCAATCGCGGAGATACCTTAGAGTCAGACTTCTTGGGTAGGCTTCAGCGCAACTCATTCAACGTCGTGTCGTCGAAAATGTTTGCTAAATTTTATCTCCTCTTTCAGGCGTCCTTGCTGCCCAGGTGCACACCCAGTCATGTCTTGGTACCTGCTAATCACTCACCGCACAAGAATGCGTGACTGAGACAACCTCTAGGCTACTGAAGACGCCGTCATCAGCAGACGCGATTGACGTTTCTGTGAGCTTTTCAATGACATGATTATTGGTTCCGCGTCCAAATACCGTTCAAGGACATTGATTCTCATGTTCGCTCATGGCGCGACAGCACTTGTCAACTTGGAGGCACAGTTGTGGTCCCAGTTCCTGTTTCCTGCGGTTGAGGCCACAAATACCTGGGCGCTCACATGTCCTTCGGCGAACCGTACAATCTTTGGGAGGAGTGTTTCGTTGTCTTGCGTATGTAAATTTCCTGGGACACCGGCTGGTCCAGCGGTATAAAGCTAGGCTCACCACAGCCCAACCCGGCCAGGATAAAGTCCCCAGACAAACAGTCCTATCATTCTTACACACTCCGATATGCTCTTCGCCACTCTGACCACCCTTGCTCTCGCCCTTGTCGGCGCCGCCAATGCTAAACCCACCATCGCCAAACATGCCGGGCTTGGCTCCCCCAAGGCCAGCGGTGTCAGCGTCGCCGGCACCTTCCCGGTCTCCGACCTCGACGCTGCCCAAGCGAGAGTCAAGGCGGACACCACCCTCAACACGAACGGCGGTCTCCGCATCGACGTCACCGCCGCGGACTTCCCCGCGGACCTCCTCCTCTGCGAGTCCGCCAACTGCGCGAACTGCGTCGAGTTCGACCTGAGCGTGCTCCCGCACGAGACGTGCCTCACCGCCAACTTCGACTTCGTCTCCGTCGTGATCTCCCAGCCGAGCAACTCCGGCTTGGACTTCGGCGTGTTCGTCGGCCCGCCCGGTTGCGCCTCGTTCGGACAAATCCCCGTCGTGAACGAGTGCTTCAACGTCAACGGCGGGCCGTTCACCGAGCTCGTCCTCAGCCCCTGAGCGCACTTCTAGCCGAACAGGTATGCTTTCGCTTTCCGCTCCTGCAATCATCGACTGAGCATCCCTTCATAAACAGTTCCATAGGACTCGCACAAACGTGCTGGAAATCTCTGTCTATGAAAGGGACAAGTTATGCAAGGGATCCGACAGTGGCTTTGTTTCCGTAGCATTTGCTCAATGACTCGTGATTCGCTCTAGAGTCGTACTTTGTGATCGCTATTGGCTTCTCTGGATTATATGTGACGTATTGCGAAATATAGTGGCCGCTTACAGTTTAGCATGAGGAAGACATGTCTCGCAGGAATTAGCCCCATCGGAAGACTTGAAGGTAGCTGCTCCAAGGTGGCACACAAGCTGGCGATACAGCCTCCAAATGGCGGTGTTCAAGATTTATCGGAAGGTTGTTCTTTCATCTCATGATGATGCCAACGGAGCAAAAAGGTTTCTCTCATGTCAGTCCTGGCCGCACGCACCTGCCCAGCGGAGGTTTGCGTTCCTGAAGGGTGACAGAATTCAGACTGTAGCGGGCGTGAATGAACTGCTTACAATGGTATACTGTGGGTAAGAAAACCACGTACTGTACGACAACGTCCGGCAGACTACAACAGCGGTTGTAGCTCGAAGGCAGTTCAGTTCAGCGCAACGGCTCTGCCAGGCCCCGCGTTGTGGCACTTGCAATAACAATGTGACAGATCCCCGCCGTGTGGCTATTCAAGATAGTCGGGCCGAACAACTTGTCTGTGTACTGTTCGCGGGGGGAGCGAGGACCACACAGTCAGTATAGATGAATGTATCCATGATCCAAAGAGCGCGGCGCTCAACAGTCGGACTCGGATGTCGCGTGTACTAAATTCAAAGATTGAGGTTGTGTAAAACGCTGCGGACTACTATTATGAGCGGAACTGGCGACTGTTGTCAGCGCAGGCAAAGAGAGAAGTGAAGATAGATGTATACCATGGTAAATTGTTTCTTCCAGGCCTTTCATGATCGCGAAAGGGCATATTCTCGTAGGTCAAGTCCTGAGCGAAGGAGCCTGGCATTCCCGGGCCTCCGAGCGACGCGCGAGGTCTGACCGGGACGGTGCGCCACGTGACTTGACACGCCTGTATTTTCGCGACGGTTGCCGTGTGGCCCGGTGCCACAGCCTCGCGTCTTGTCCCAATATTCCCCCTTCCGCGCCTCCAATATTCCTGATTTCTCGCACAATCGGGAGCACTATACGACTCTTTTCGATGGCTGAGTCTGCTATGTTGAGTGCGCTTCCGACACCCGATCACAAGCGGCGGAAGTCGGAGGCCGAAGCGGGGCACGTCAAGGCGGAGCGAGCTAAAGGCGTTGCAGCGGACAAAGCGAAAGCCAACTACGTACGTGCGTGTATTCGGGAGCGGGTGCGCGTTCAATGACATTCGCGTGCACGTCTCAGCTTTCAGGACAGCTACGTCTTCGGCTACAGTACGCGAAGCTGAAGGTGGAACACGGATGGGTACGTGAAACGACCTCTACATCTCACCTGCGGGGTATAGTGACATGATCACAAGCAACGGCAAACCCTGAGCGAGGTGGAGAACCTTTACTTTAGACATACCCACCTCACGCGTCCGTATCCTGTCATTTCCCCTGGGGGCCGTCGGAACGGCCGTACGCTGTCCTCCAATAGCTTCTCCACGGCGGCAACCCAGCAAGAGAACGTCCCCTCCACTTCGACATCTCAGAATGGGAATGGCTCAGTGCCCAGTCCGAGTGTACCAGCAAGTGCTGGGTCGAATGTGGCACCAAGACTGAACGGGACCTTGAGCGGCACATGTACGTCCTCTCGTCCTCCTAGCTCGTTGCCTGTTCTCCTGATGATGGGCTTCGAAGCATCATCCCTCAGTGCAGATCCATCTATAACTCTCTCTGTGCCGAGCACGCCGACTGCCCATACCAACCGTACAACACCTCTCGCCCCCCATGTGGGTTTTGGAAACTCCATGACTCGATATCCGATATCACGCTCCGACTCTACCGCGACCGTCATCATGGAGTCAACACCTAGCCTCTACCCAGCTTCCCATGCAATACCGAACGCAAGGCGGAACACAGGCCACGCGCCTATGCCGTCCCAGCTCTCCGCCGCGTCTAGTTCCTCCACCCTCCAAGCCACGCCGTCGTCCCAAACACTCGCTTCCAACAACTCCTTTCACGAGCCGTTCGACCCCATGCAGCCCACCGAGCACGTCGACTCGCAGCTCGCAGCGCTCCGGTCGATGATCACCGCATCATCATCCCACCCGATCCCGTTACCCGCGCCCAGTTCCGGTACTCCAACCGGCTCGCCAATGCCCCCGACAGCGGGGAGCCCGGGCGTGGGCGGTGGCCTCACATACGACGCGTTCTGGTCCGCGCACGGCACGGCGACGTCATATCGCACTCTGCTTGCTGGACATGGACAGCCTACGCGCCCTTCGAGCGCCGCGCCGCTGCAGGCGCATGCAAGTGCACCTGCGATCATGGCAAGCCAATCGGCGAACGGTGCGTCCGTAGTTGGAGATGCTACGCCGGGTTGTGGAAAGCTATGACGGCGTCATACTGTGTGCTCGTAGTGTATGTTGTACCCAGTGGTGTCCTGCTGAGTGTACATAAGCCCTTCCTCCGTGCTATGCCTGCGTATGATCTGTATTGATGGTGCTCGTCGAGTGCATGCCTCCGATAGTAAGGAGGCCGCTTGCACATGTGCTACAGGGCATCTCGTCACAATCTGCTATGTACAGACGGGTTTGGACAATAATGGTTCTCGAGTGGGGCACATCATTTAGGATTCGAAAGCCAGGTAATGTGACTGAAAAAGAAAAAAACCCGCTGTGCATTCATTCCAGGGCCCAACCGGGAATTGAACCCGGGACCTCGCGCATACAGAGGGACCCGAAGCGCGAATCATACGACTAGACCATTGGGCCGGCGGAGGAGCGCGCCTATTTGTATACTGGTCCTGTATGTCGTTAGAGAGGTATACTTGTCCTGGATGACGCAGGCCGTATTGACCTCCATCTCTGACATCGACATGGTGAGTTGCAGAGCTATCGACTTTCACATTCGATCACGACGACTCTTCTGTCTCTAGTACGGCGACATTGAGGACCTCGTTCTTTCAGGGAGGCTCTTCGCCCCGCCCTCCCGCTCGAACTCTCCCGTTCGCTCCCGGTCCCCTTCTCCCGGCCCCGAACCATGGCATCCTGAGGCGGACGACTTCGAATACGACTCGGACGCCGAGCGGCGCGCAGAGATTGAGGCGCACATCGCATCGCAGCAGCAGGGCGAGTCCATCGGCATGGGCCCGGGACGCACGGGTGTGAAGGGCGTGATCCGCGACAAGCGTGAGGCGGAGAGTCTTGCGCGCGCGAAGCGCGCCGAGGAGGTGCGGGAGCTCAACCGCGCGATGGAGAAGGCGAGCTTGGGCGGAAAGACGTGGGCGGAGGAGGAGAAGGAGCGGCTGGTAGCACTGAGACGCCTGGAGGGGCCGTCGTCGAGGGGTGCGAGGAGTGGACGGTACGGACACCTGCGCGAGGTGGGCGTGAGGAGCTACGTGCAGGCCGTGGAGGAGGATAGGGATGTTTGGGTGGTCGTGCACATCTATGATCCGGTGCGTGCTCTTTCCCCTTGTCTTCCTCTCGCCACCCATATCCTGTTCTCCATCTGGCCCACATCTCGCAATATCATAACAAATTTGCTGACATGGGGTATGGGCCCAGTCATTAGACAGATGTGCGACAGTGGATGAGGCGTTGTCTCGTCTCGCGCGGACATATCCATACACCAAGTTCCTTCGCGCGCGTGCAGGCGCGATCGGGTTCGCGTCGAGCGCGGCTTCTAAGCCTGATCTCCTTAAAACCTCCTTGGCTTCCACACGTTTTCCATCCAGTGGAGTAGTTGTCGGCCGTCGAATACAGGAAAAGGATGAGTTCTTTGACGATGACGGAGATGAGCAAGGTGGCGCCGATGATGACGAGGAAGACGAGGGCGAGGACGGACAGTGGGAGGACGATGAGGTCGATACTGACGTCCTACCGACACTCTTGGTATATCGCGGTGGCGAGCTCATGCATTCATGGGTGCGCGTGGACTGGGAGGCGAAACAGGGTATTGAGGAGCTTCTGAAGCGGTACGTTGACAGCCTATCTTACTCAAAATCGCCAGCTTCACTCACTGCATCCCTGTAGACACGACATCTTGACTTCTCCTCGGCACCACGGTGGCACCGATGGAAACCTCAATCTATCCGACGACGAATTCAGCGACGATGGCGAAGAGCTCGTTTTTGGCAACAGCGATGACGAGCGGTAGCTTATACCCTACATTTCTTGAATACTGTGTCACCTGCAACTGGTTGTAGCGTATGTATATGGTACTGACGGACGTTTGGATAGACTTGGCTTTCGTCGTCTGGCATCCGATGTCGTTGCGTGACACAGCCGTGGTGTCTTGGGCCTAAGTGCCATGCGGCGCTCAACTCGTTCGTTCCGCCGCTATGTTGACGACATCGCGAGGTCATGCATTGGCGAGTATCAACGGCTTTAACAGGACGGGAAGGTCAACCATTACGGTCATCGAGCGCATACACTACGCTGATTCCTACTGAACGGAGGTAGCCGGGCTAAAGATATGCTTCGTTGGGTCAGACCACTTCGATCGATGGGAGGAAGGGCCGCATCAGAGGTAGGTCAGGACGATCAATTTGACCCTATTGGTCAGTCGAGCCGATTCATATTTGGTCTTCCAAACACAACCACGAAGTTCTGCTGACGACGACGGACCGCAAATCCCAGTAGACAATGCAGGGCATCCTCTAGAGGAACTCGGTTGATAGCATGTCTTCGCTAGCACAGGTCGACGACAGCTCACCTTAAAGGCTGCTTCGAAGACACAACCGCTCACTCTACTTCACAGATACCCCCAGTCACCATGGTCTTCCTCCGGTGTCTGCCCAGACTCCTCGAGGGCGTTGCGCACAAAGGACAACGGAGCGCTCCCTTGGGACTGAAATTAGTAGTATCAGCAGGATTGGTACCGGTTACAGTATTTTTGTGATCTACGGCCCGTCACGTCGCTCTGGCTTACGCGGCACTCATCTAACACCTGCCCCGGTTCACCTCTCACCGTTCAACGTTCAACAATCCTAAACTTGTCTACATTATACTGACATCAGCTCTTTTACGAACTCGGACCAGAGACAAAGGACCCGGAACGCATTTCCAATAGTCGGCGAGCTAGTACGTGGTAACAGGATGGGGAGCCTCCGTGGGCCTTCATCCAACCTAAACATTCTTCCACGATGGCCTGGATGATATGTCGTTCCACCACCTTATCAGGAAGTGAGATGACTTTGGTGTCTGGCATTACTATTGACATGTCTGACCTTGTGATGCTAGGATAATACCCAGACTCGAGGTAGGAGAACCCCGCTTCTTTCAGCAGGGTACCGTAGAAGAGATGGAAGATGTCAATCAGCGAAAATTCCTGCAAATTCGTGAGGATTGCCGGATCGAACGTGGTGGTCAGTTCACTTACGTCACCCGCGATATACTTTTGTCCGGATAAAATCGTCTCGTAGCCCTCAAGCTTGTTCTCCAAGATCATCTGATAGTGCTCTACTATCGTCGTGTTGATCTCGTTCGGAATGCCCTTGATCCTAAGAGACTGATAGTAAGACGCTATGACAACTTACTGTCCAATGGAGCGCTTACCTCTTGAAGAAAGTCTCGTGCACAAGACCAGATGCCCCGCGCTCAAAACTGGTCACCTCGACACTCGCCGCCTGCTCGAAACGTGCTATCTTTTGAATGTCCGTGGGGTCCGGTATGAGTTTCCCGACCCCCCCGAATTTGCGTGCGATGTAATAGCAGATCGCACGGGATTCATAGAGGACGAAGCCGTCGTCATCGATATACGGGACTTGGCCGAACGGCTGCTTCGCCTTGTACTCCTGATTTTTGTGCTCCCCCTTCGATAGGTCCACATTGATTAGCTCATACGGCACATTCAACTCCTCTAAGACGCAGCGGACGGTCTTGGTGCAAGTGATAGCCGCATAGCCGTAGAGCCTGAGGACCATAGCGAACGTTCAGTGGTGGCGGTAAGAGGAGTAGCTGAAATAGTCCGAATGCCGAGATGCGTTATGCCTCCCGCTATGTGACTCTGACTCGTTTATATCTAACACACTGATTATTGTACGTCACCCAGGTGCGTGCGTTTGCTGTACGAACTCAAGAGGCCGGTACTTCCGGTGCTTCCATGGGACACATGAACCGAGAGGAAAGGAAATTCGATTACGCCCTCGCTGGTGTACACTACATATGTCAGTCAAACTCTCGCAGGCGAAGTCATCTGATAACAGTAAACAGAAGGGGAAGGGGGATCGTACGAGCTTGTCTCATTGACTCGTCCTGTCGCCCGAGCTAGGTCCGATCAAGGGAAGAGAAGACGCTTTACATGAATTCCTGCGTGTAAACCCTGCACCTTCACCTGATACACAGGCGTCCAGGTTTGCCGATAGCTCTGCCTCACGCGCTTTTATGCGCAAGCCTTGATGACCTGAAGTCATTAGAGACTAGTTTGATTAGCACGGGTGTCACCTCTATGTGCCTCCCTCCTTGTCATCTTATTCACGAAACTTGCGGGCAACGCTGCTACATGTACTTGAAAACCAGCATGGTCTGATCTGTTCTGGTCAAGTAGGGGCACAACGTCAAACTTCCATTTCATGTCCACTGAGCCGCTGTCACATTATAATGGCATTCACGATACCAACCGGAGAATGACATTGAGATGCTTCCGTGTCTCGCACTGGCGTTCGCCGTGGGGACATCGAGGGTACTGGCCACCCGTGATGTCCGAAGATGATTTCGCGAATCCCACAGCGGGAGTGGATGACTCTTGAACAGACAGCAAAAAACCACCAGGGGCAGACTGTCCGTCAGGGATACGCCAGATGATTGGAGCGGTTCATCGAAGTAGGATTGCGACGACGCGTGATCTAGTACAAATGGTCACAGCCACTAGCTTCCAGCCTCGAGCGGGCTGTCAATCATCAGTTGGCTTTGAATTTCTAGCCAAAATAGTAGTCGTGCAAGACTCACAAGGTTCTGTTGGCCTGTTGACGTGTACGGCGCGGTTGACTTGGGGAGGGGTCGTCCACGATCGTGTGCCTATAGAGGCACTTTGGGTATGGGCTAGGGGCTCGTCGGCGGAGAACAGCATTGTGTGCTCAGGGAAACGACGCAAGACTCGTTCCAACTCCGAACATAGCTCCCAATGAGCTTCGTCGGCCAAAATGCTGATGTAGTCTCCATAGGACGTGGAGTAAAAGCTGACGGTTACTTCCCGCAAGCTAGCTGGATGAAACGCCTTCAGTAGCTTCACTGCAAATACGACGTCCTTGGTCTGCAATGTCATCTTTATCACTAGGCATTTGACGCGAGTCCAACTGGAAGCTTCGGAGGTTGCCCGCAGTTGCGCTGTGGTGTACCCGATGACTGATGAGCGAGTGTACGTAGAGAGTGATGCGGGAGTACCCACCATAGGGATTGGCTGTCCCGATTGTCGGTGCGAGAACTAGGCTCTCCAAGGTCGGCTTAGCTAGCGCTAACAATAACGCAGCTGCTGATGCGTCAACACCCCACTCCACCTACAAGCAAACAAGTCAAATTCTGGCGGGATCACGTCATCAGGGATAATACCTACGGAAAGCTTCCTCAGCTGCAGGTGCCTCGACAAGCGTTCAAGTTGGCCAGGATGCAGATCAACGACCTTCTTGATTTCAACTCTGCTGCATGTAACGACCTCGAGCTTTCTGAATGCTGAGATGATCCGAGAGAACGACAGCAATGTCGGGAATGCCAAATTATGAATGGACAGGCTTCGTACACCATTTGCGATCAACTGACAAGAGCGGAGAGTGGAAGTGTGGAACGTCGTCTTGAGTGGCTCTGCATCCTCGGTGAAGAAGGTACATGCTATGAGGTTGGACAGCACATAGAGCAAGGAGGAAATGGGTTGGGCGTATGGCGATGGACCGGACGAGTGGCCGCAGATGAGGCCTTCCAAGTAGAAAGTCGCACAGTGCGAAGACATCGTCCCGACTCTTGAGGTCAAAGTGGCCGAAGATATGGCACAGACTTCGAGGACGAAGTTGACGACAGGTAAGAGAAAGGTTGAACAACGCGGTGGCATCGTCAACAGAATGGTCAACGACCCTCTCGATCACTTCCCAAGGAAGCGCGAGGGGCATAGCAAAAGATGACACAGGCAAAATAAGAGTAGAAGGTCGAAGGAGCCTCGCTTCAAGTGGGTTCTGTCAGGAGTGGAATGGGGAGCTGTGAGGGCCCCACCTGAGTTTGGGCTTTGATATACCACGTACAAGAATATCAAGTTGAGATCACGAAACGCGTGGACACCCTATTTTTTGACCAAATGGAGTGATAGTCAACGAAGGTCGGAATTCTGGCAGCCACATATCCCAGAAGCTCACCTTTGCCACCTTCGTCAACTTTATCCGACGTGAGCCACATCTTGTGCCTGTTGCGAACTGATTAGTATTGTTCTCAAGTAGGCTTCCCGGCGTCCTGATTGCGTTACGCCACCCAGCTTGTCTAGATGGAAATAAAAATACTCCTGACTAATCAGCGCATCCACCATCATGTCCCCATGACTCCACCTGTCCATGGTGTTATCCAGACTGTTCTGTATCCGGTCAGAACATTGATCATACACATTTCTCGATCTGAGGCGGATCTCACCCTTTGTATCGCGCGAGAGAGTGTGGTTGACGTACGAGTAACCCGCATGCTAATGGGAGACGGGTAGGGAGGACGCGAACATAATGCCTAGTCGCCACTGGTACATCAAAATGACAACTGGTGGATCCATAGGCTACGGCAAGCACGCACCTCGTGCAGTTGAAATAGCGCAAACTCGGACGCGCGGCCGTTATCAATCTACGACATGAGTACACCTCCACAAATCCCCAACAATTGAGACCCGTTCCCTCAGCGAGAGGCGCAGGGTAGAGCATGTGTACGCGTCGCACATTCCGCAGCAAAGAGTCTCAATACCAATTCCATTGGCGGTACGCCGAAAGGTTCGCGAAGCTGTTGGAGGGCGGTCCGTCGGCCGTTGACAGGGCCGCAAAAGATAGCCTGGTAATGCATCAATGAGCGCGAGAGGGGACATATATATGAGCCAATGAGGAGGCAAAATAGTCTTGCATCTCCCTCGTCCATTAGCTGAAGTCCTGAAGCATGCTACGTGAACTGCTTGCAGCGGCCGCTCTTGTGCCGCTCGCGCTCGCAGCCGGCCCTGCGCCGGGGCAGATTAAGAACCTTGTCATGTTTGACGACTCCTATACCGACATCGTGAATAATCTGCCTCATGCTCCCTCACAGGCGCAGTACTAACCTATTAGCACGCAGGACGGGCATGAAGACGGCGGTACAGTATGGCCCGTCTTCGCCGCCCAAGACGGTAACTTCGCGCTCTTCCCATTCGCGAAGGTCGGCGCAACGTGCTCCAACACCCTAACGTTCCGCCCGTTCCCGTCTCTATTCGAGTCCCAACTCCCGACCTACTTCAGCGAGAAGTCGAACGGATCTCTCACGAAGCTGAGGCCAGAGGACACGATCTACACGCTCTGGATTGGGACGAACGACGTCGGAGCGAATGCGCTCCTCACGGGGAGCCAGGCTCCTGGGGTCACGCTCGTGGACACGGTGACGTGCGCGGTGAACTGGGTGAAGACGCTATACAACAGCGGCGCGCGAAACTTCATATTTCAGAATGTGAGTCACGGGGTACGACTTGGACGCGCAGTGGCACTCACCTGCGCCACACTGAGCGCGGCAGATGATCCCTCTAGAGACCACCCCGCTCTATGCGCCTGACTCGTACCCAATCTCTACTGGGACAGTCAGCGCAACACAACGGAGTGGAGTGTGTTTATGAGGGAACTCACCACAGCCGGTAACGCAATCGCCCGCCTGGAGCTTCAGCTCATTGCACCCACCCTGCACGGCGCGCACATTGGTGAGCCTCTCGTTCGCCCGTCCTAGTGCATCGTCACTTCGCAAGAAGAACGGCTCGCCATATCTTGCGGGGCTACACAACAGGGCTCTTCGACTCGCATGCGCTCCTCGCGGACATGTACGCGCGGCCAGGGCTCTATTTGAACGGCTCCGCGCCGCTCAACGTCACCGGCGCGGCCCACGCATGCGTCTACCAGTTCAACGAGAGCCAGCTTGACCCCGGGGTTTGCAAAGACGTGCCGGATCGAGATAGCTACCTCTGGCAAGTCGCCTCGTCACTTATCGCGGGAGGACGAGATGCTGATGCCTAGGACGGCGCCAAATAGGCGGGACGAATTTCACCCAGGCGTACAGGCGAACCGTGTCGTAGGGAAGGTGATCTCGGATGTGGTTCTTAGGCGGTCAGAGCAGTGGATGACTTGGCTGTCGTGAGGGTCGCGGAAGCAGGATGGGGGAGGCATACGTTGAGAATCTGTGGCATCTATCAAAAGTACTCAGAACATCCAGACATACCTGTATCTTCTCCACCAGATGTGATAGCCATCCTCCTCGTGACGCTTACTGGGGTCACAGCCCAGAGGTTGTCAAGCCTGTACTATGCCCTTTCTGCGCGCGATTGTCCTTCATCGCCGACATGCAATCTCCAGTACTTTGGTCAAGGACATATGGGTTCTCCGTCAACAGCAGGTCCGGGACTAGAGACAAATGTATTATGTGACAGCGTCAGAAACGTACATGACTGATAGATGAATATGGTGTCCCTCCAACACGGGCCGCCCCCGACAACTAGTCTGGTCGGTACGATCTTGAGATGGAGGAAGTCTGTCTCCCCCGCAATGGGTTCAAGACCCTCCCAAGAGCGTGCGCCGAGTATGAGTCGAGCCCGTAAAGAGAGGATCCCAAATATCAGCCCACGAGGTGCAACTTTCGGAGGAGCCGGAAAACTGCTTCTGCGCTGGTTTATATACCCCCAGCCTCAGGCGTCTATTACAAGCGCCTGCTGAATGCGGGCGACCATTGTAAGCGCTTGTTATTAGATGCCATTGTGCGATCAGTCTTGGTCTATCCTGCTACACACGGTTCTATGGAGGGTCCACAAAAAGCCCTAGCCTTTTGCTGCCTTGGGGTGTAATAGAAGAGTGACGTCGCACAGGTGAACACGGCAACGGTTGACATCCAGATGAATGCGTACTCGGCCGTACTCGTCAAGGCTATGTTCCCTGCTAGGATGTGAGTTCATTCCTAGTATGCATTGCGTTCGATGCTTACATCTATCATTTTTCGTTAAGGAGCTCTTGTTAGTTGATCTAAATAGTCCATTTTCCGCATGGGTCGCTTCTCTTGCCCAGGGTATCAACTTCCTCGTCCTGGAGTCATCCAGGCGACGTTGGGTCGCCTGGTGAGTATGTCAAGAGCACACGCACGTCCAGACAGCTGAAACTATATCTTAGGTTGTGGAAGGAAGTTTGGCCCTGCCCCCCTCCTGGCGAAGGCGCATCTACCACGTGTTCCGATAATTTCGTCTATGAGGGGACATATAGGGCACCCATACCGAGAGTTTTGTTCCTTGACGGTGCTAACCTTTCCTTGTTGCCAATTGCCCAGCCCGTCCGCTCCAGATACATTGTTGTTCGGGGCCTTCTGAACATAAGGCCCGTCTGCTTATGCGTCTGGTAGCGCCTCGCGAAAGTCCATCTCAAGCTCCTGGTCCAACATACAATTAGGAGGCCTGCTGAGCTGGCAGAGTATCACATCCGTGTGATGTCGCTTCGCATGTGTTCCGTGACAGGCGTGTCCCGGGCGACCTGGGGCGAATCCTCGGCCATATGACCCACGCGCGCCTGCAAGATCTGCGATGGCCAAGGTCATGCGCGCTGCCCGTAGTCACCGGCCTCCTGGTCACGGCCTTGACGCGGTCCGCACAATCGCGACGGCAGTAGAAGGAAGCATGTCCATCAGACCATCCAAGGTGTTCCTTGCATTTTCTTGCTGTCCTGCGGCTGTCCGTCTTTGGCGCGCACGCTGAAAGGAGGGATCAGGTGATGGCCATGGGGGACATTTGAGACTCGCGTTGGTCAGAAGGAGAAAAGTAGGATCCTGAAGGCTTATATAGAAGTGGGACGAGAATGAAGAACGCTGTAAGCCTTCTCTTGACCATCGGCTGCCCTCCCAATGCTTCGTCAAGTGCTCGCTGCCATCGCCCTTGCGACAAGTCTTGTAGTGTCCGCGCTTGCTGCTGGCCCATCTCCTGGCCAGATCAAGAACCTCGTCACCTTCGGAGACTCCTATACCGACATTGTGAGTGGCTGCGTGTTTGTTGCTTGAGTATACGTGGGATCCACTTGAAACGCACGCACGCTCCAGGACGCGCATGCCGATGGAGGAATCATGTGGCCTGTCTTCGCGGCGCAAGACGGCGACTTCTCCCTCTTCCCGTTCGCAAAATCTGGAGCGACCTGCTCGAACAACCTCACCTTCCGCCCCTTCCCGTCGGTGTTCGAGTCTCAGCTCCCGACCTACTTCTCTGAAAAGGCCAATGGGTCGCTCGCGGCGCTGAAGATGGAGGACACCATTTACACCCTCTGGATTGGGACGAACGACGTCGGGGCGAATGCGCTCCTGACAGGTAGCGACCCGGGAGTGACTATCGTGGATACAGTGACATGCGCTGTGAACTGGGTGAAGACGCTGTATGACAGCGGCGCGAGAAATTTCATCTTCCAGAACGTAAATTCACGCCGTATAGTGCCAGCTGAGATGCATGCGCTCACCTGCATGTATGCCCTAAAAGATGATTCCACTAGAGACCGCCCCCCTGTACTCCGCGGACTCGTATCCCAACAGGTACTGGACCGCGCAGCGCAACACGACCGAATGGAGCGTCTTCATGAAAGAGCTCACCACTTCTGGCAACGCGATTGCCCGTCTACAGCTCCAGGCCCTCGCCCCCACCTTGCACGGCGCGCACGTCGGTAAGCCCACGCCTAAGCCCTTGAAGAGTTTGAACCCTCACCATAAATGTATATATGCGCCTCTCCAGGCCTCTTCGACTCCCACTCACTCTTCGCCGACATATTCGCGCGCCCCCAGCTCTACCTGAACGGCACCGCTCCCCTCAACGTCACTGGAGCCGTACATGCGTGCGTCTTCCGGCTAAGTGAGAGCACGTCCGACCCCGGCGTGTGCACCGACGCGACTGGAACGGACCAGGACAGCTTCCTGTGGTGAATCCTTTGTTCTCGTGCTCCGTACGAGAGTGGGTACTGACATATCGATCCTGAAATGTAGGTACGACGAGCTGCACCCGTCAGTGCAGGCGGAGCGGGTGGTTGCGAAAGCGATCTCGGATGTGATTCATCGGCGGTCGGAGAAGTGGATTACTTGGCTGTCGTGAGGGATGAGCAACCCGGTGAGGATGGGATATGTTGTTTAAAACACACAGCTCACAAGTTCTACTTGTCTGATGCGTTGTACTTTCTACAAGCTTGGATTGCACTCACAAAAGAGAAGAGCACGCACCGTAGATGTCAGAGCCGACCACTGACCTTTACCGTTCCACACGGCTCCAACCCATCAAAATCGTGCTTCATGCCTGCTGCTTCTGCAATGTCCCCAAAGTACCTCACACTACCGCACGTTCGTGAAGCACAGAACAAATGCATTGAATACAAGGCTGAATCACGTACAGCGGTAGAAGTCTGTCCCTTCTATTCCGGTCGGTACAGACTTGAGATGGGGGTCGACATCTCGCCACTAGATAGGTTATTGTCCCCCAAGCAGCGTGCGTCTGGTGTATGCGTGAAGTTAATGGGCATGTGTTCGGCGACAGAACCTATACATCAGGATCGCCCTCGACGTCAAGAGTACCTGAATCACAGTGACGAGAAGAGAATGTGTTAACTGTCCTGGACCAGCGCAGAAGGGACGGTCTCGCTGAAAATCGCTCGGATGTTCCCCGAGAGAAACGTCCCTGGATACTGTACTGCGTACACCGTGTAGAATTACATAATGTGGGAAGTGCTGACCGATTGTGTCAGTCCTTGCCCAAGAGATATAACGCGAGGACATTGACTAAGCCGTATGCCTCACGAAGGCTCCTTGTCATTAGAGAGGTTCAGCAACGCCGTGATCCCGTCCGTTCGTGGCGCGGTGGCGCGGATTTTTGATGTGACTGAATCTGGTCACGCCGTTACATACCCATCTCAGCAGGATTTTGGCGGGGGAGTCGAGCGATGGACGTCACGTGGAGCTCGGCGCTGACGGTGGGGCCTCGAGTTTTGGTGTTTCTGAGCCTCTTTATTACTTACTAGGTGATCGATTCAACCGCATCGGGATGGCAAGTGGGACATCCGAGCTGACGCTCCAAGATATCTCGCTGACGGGGGAATGTAACCACAAGTGCCAGAACGGCGCGCACCTTCGGGCGAAGCTGGGTATATAAGGGAAGATGTGGAGGTCCATGGCAGCTCACCACAGCTGCCTTCAGGACATCGACCGCTCACCCGAATTCACCAGCACTCACCCAACCCGCCACCATGGTTGTCAAGATCTACGGTTCCCCCATCGCCGTCTGCACCAAGCGCGTCCTGGTTGTCGCCGAGGAGCTCAAAGTCCCCTACGAACTCATCTGCGTCGACTACAAGAAAGGGGAGCTCAAGTCTCCGGAGTACCTCGCGCACCACCCCTTCGGCCAGATTCCCTACATCGAGGACGGCGGCTTCGAGCTCTTCGAGTCCCGCGCAATCTGCCGCTACCTCGCGCTCAAATACGGAGGCGTCGGGAAGCTGGTACCCGCGCAAAGCGACATCGAGGCCTCCGCCAAGTTCGAGCAGGCTGTGAACGTGGAGAACAACGACTTTGAGCCTTCGGCGTTGGTGATCGGGATCGAGTCTGTCTACAAACCGTGAGTCGTCCAAACGACGTGGAGGGTTGCAGATTCGGTACTGATGATGATGTTCCAGGTTACAGGGGCTGCAGACGGACACAGCGGCCATCGAGGAAAAGAGGGTTGTGCTTGAAGGCAAGATGGACGGGTACGAAGCTTTGCTCTCCAAGACAAAGTTCCTGGCCGGAGAAGTGAGTGAGAACAAATCATGCATCAGAGATTGTGCTCACATCTTGTGTTGTCCTTTCTAGGAGATCTCGTTGGCCGACCTCTTCCATCTCCCATTGGGGTCTCTTCTTAAGGTCCCAGGTATCGATTGTCTGGAGTCTTCCAGGTGGCCCAACGTTGCCAGGCGAGTTGACCTGATCACGCGAGTGGTGTGATTGCTGAAACGTGATTGCTGAAACGCGACTTCAGGTGGTGGAAGGAGATCTCTTCCCGTCCTACCTGGGAGAAGGTCGACGTGCCGGTCAAGATATGAGGTGCTTCTGAACGGGAGGATGGAGTGAACTGTTATATATAGCGAAGAAACAACTCGATGGAGTCCGAGTCTGATGCAGTTGATGCGCGGGGACATGAGGGTTGTCACATCAGCGATCGCATCGAGGAAGTATAACGAGACGTGCTCACATCCATCTCAAGCTCCCAGCCCAGCATTGAGTGAAAGCCACCTCGTCAGGCAGTCCCAGCTGAGCATCACATCCGCGTGACGTCGCCTGACATGTGGCCCGTGACACACGCGTCCCGGGCGACCTGGGGCGAATCTTCGGCCATATGACCCACGCGCGCGCATGCACGATATGCGATGACGCAGGTCATGCGTGCCAGCCGTAGTCCCCGGCATCCACTTTATGGCCTTAACGCGGTCGCAGAATCGCAGCGGGGGTGGAAGGAAGCGCGTCCATCGGACCATTCAGGAAGTTGTTTGCATCTTCTTGGTGTTCTGCGGGTGCCCGTCGAGGGCGCACACGTTGAAGATAGGAATCAGGTGATGGCTGTTTGGGGCCTTCGATGCTCTTGTTCGTCATATAGAGAAAAAATTAGAAGCGCGGGGTGTATATATGAGGGTGGAACGCCGTAGGCCATCTGTTGTCTGTCGGCTGTCCTCAAAAATGCTTCGCCAAGTGCTCGCCGCCTCCGTCTTTGCGAGGTGTGCTCTGCTCTCCGCGTTTGCTATCGGTCCATCGCCCGGCCAGATCAGGAACCTCGTCACCTTCGGCGACTCCTACACCGACATCGTGAGTATGTGCGAAGTACCATAGCCAGTCCATATGAAGCTTACATCAAACGTGTTCGCCGAATCATAGGACGCGCACGCAGATGGTGGGATTATGTGGCCCGTCTTCGCTGCACAGGACGGCAACTTCGATCTCTTCCCATTCGCGAAGTCAGGTGCAACGTGCTCCAACAATCTGACTTCCCGCTCGTTCCCGTCCGTGTTTGAGTCGCAGCTCCCATCATACTTCGCCGCAAAGGCGAATGGGTCTCTCGCGCAGTTGAAGCCGGAAGACACCGTCTACACGCTGTGGATTGGGACGAACGACGTCGGGGTTGGAGAGTTGTTGACGGGAGGCCAGACGCCGGGCGTGACAGTGGTGGACACAGTGACGTGCGCGGTGAATTGGGTGAAGACGATGTACGACAGCGGTGCACGGAATTTCATCTTCCAAAACGTGAGTTCATCGCCTTATATGTCTATACGAAGAGCATGCACTCACTCGCCTTCGCGGATCCCTGATTAGATGATCCCGCTCGAGACTACCCCGCTGTACTCGGCGAACTCGTGGCCAAGTCGGTACTGGACCGCGCAGCGCAACACGACCGAATGGAGCATCTTCATGAAGGAGCTCACAACTTCTGGCAACGCGATCGCCAAACTCCAGCTCCAGGCCCTCGCACCCACTCTGCACGGTGCGCATATCGGTAAACCTCCTCCTACGGACTGAGGGTCGTTGAGATGCTCACCATGTGTACATATACGCGCCTCTCCAGGCCTCTTCGATTCACACTCGCTCTTCGCAGACATGTTCGCTCGCCCGCAACTCTACCTGAATGGCACTGCGCCACTCAACGTCACTGGCGCCGTGCACGCATGCGTCTTCCAGCTGAATGAGAGCACGTCCGACCCCGGGGTGTGCACCGACGCCACTGGGACGGACCAGGACAGCTTCCTCTGGTGAGTCATGTTTTTCGTGCGCCATGCGAGTTGAAGACTGAAGTAGAGATGGTGAAACGTAGGTTCGACGAGCTGCACCCGTCAGTGCAGGCGGAGCGGGTAGTGGCGAAGGCGATCTCGGATGTAACCCATCGGCGGTCGGAGAATTGGATTACCTGGCTTTCGTGAGTGGTGTGGCGTATGATATTTCTTGTCAAGTATGAAACAGACTACAATGTCTGCTTGTTTGAAAGGTATTGCATTCTGGGATATGAAGTGCACGTACCGTCGGAAGGGAATTAAGTGCAAAATGCGACATGCTCGAGATACATTATTGATCAAAAATTGCGGGTCCTGTTTACAGAAGCGATCATGAACCGCGAGTCCTCAGCGAGCCCAGGGATGGCCCGTCGAGTTTGCCGTGCATGACCGTTCGCCATCATGCGCGTCTCCGTACAGCCATGTTTCCGTTGCCCTCAGTCCCTTCGCCCCGCCTGACGTTTGAAAACACGCCGATGCCACGAAAAACGCGCGCATCAGGAGCGCGAGAATGTCTACGTGCCATTCCACGGATCCTAGTGCACCGTACTGCGTGGCAGTTCCAGTTCGACTCTCGGAGGCTATAAGACGCCGTTACCCATCCTTCCGCCGCCACAGCGCATAATTCATTTGGGTTTCGATTACTCTCCGATCCGACAGGGGGTTGCTATGAAAGCCAACGACGGCCCTTGTCCTTATTCCGATGTCTCCTGTAACGTTTCGATAGAGCATAGATTCAGCAACAGTCTAGTTTAGCCGTCAGGCATTTGATAGCTTACGCACAAAGATACCCTGCTATATTGGGTCCTCAGAACATCGCCGAGTATCGTGTCTTTGTTTGCTTGCACTACGCCCCAAAGTGGTGTTTCGGGGCTTAAGCCGGCTCACGGTCGCAACGCAAAGAGACGGCATGGAGCCACAGATCAGATTGTAAAAGAGATCAGGCGTGTGCAACCAGCTTGAAGACATGCCTACAATCCGCCTGATAGGAGTGCTTGTCGCTGCAGAACTGCAGAACCGTGACGATACATTCAGTAACATTGAACAAAGAGAAGTTAGCGGGGACTCCACTTTGGGCGCCTAGGGACGAGCAAGCCGGTTGTTCCCGCGCACGGACCTCGCAGTAGTCGGTATAAATTTTGGCAGCGGGCACGACTGCCACTTCCATACAGTCACCTCGGTCTCTGAAGCTGGCGTTTCTTTCCTGTAGGACGTCCTTGCCAAGGGCCTCTGGGGCTTTCGACCGAGAAAAGTGATCTCACAGGAGTCTTTGGCTGGGCATACCGCTGGCTGTTCTTGTTTTCCTACTGGTCGCGCGGTTAATCAGCCTTCGGCACATTTCCTCGAAGATGGTAGGACACCTTGTATCTAGGGGCCTCGATGTTGTACGTAGTGCGTACTCGAATGCACGTTGATCTTCACACTAGTGTGCGACGTACCTGCTCGCATCATCCTCGCCGCAGTGCTTATCCTCCCGTAATGGATGTCTGTCTATTGATGGACCATGTTCACGCTCTTGAGCTCGATTACACTATCGACATTGGACTGTAAATAGCAGAGATGCGCGGTTTTCGCTGCTCAGCTCCCGAATGGTCGGAACCTCGAATTTGTACGTGATCCCGTCTCCATCAATGTTCGAACGTCGCAACAAGGCTCCCGTCAGAATCTTCTATGCATACATACGAAAACGGTGATATAATCTGAGGAAGCTTCCGTACGAAGTCGGTGACGAACAGACGGCTCGTCGGTGGTCCCTCTCACACTCGGGCTGATGCAGGAACTTCCGCAGCATCAAGCTACGCAAGACCGGCCAGACGAGATGTGCGTGAAACTCGGCTACGCCCGAAAGCATGCAGAAATTGTGGCCATAGTAATTATCCTCCGATGGAGACCGCGTTGATTGGTGAGCGCATCAACCTCTCCCTCCCTTGCGCTCGCTGTCTTACACACACATGGACACCGTCGTTTATTTAGTCGTTCCGTGTCAGGCACGAACCGAGATATTGCAGATCGGAGCCAACGCGCATTCCGTGACGCTGTCAGTTCGGGCAACGTCCCTTGGAGATTCCGAATCTCCAATGGACATCACCGTAGAGACTAGGCTCTGATGTCGGAAGCATGGACGTGAGTCCTTCCCAGATTCTTCGCATCTATTCGCTGTTCCGTCTCAAAAGGATCACACGCGAGCGGCCTCTGAGCAGTTATGAGGTCTTCTTCCGTTTGCAGCCGCCACCCGTGTATGGTCTATTGAGGTACAGGCACCGGAGAGCTGCGATGGTCCATCGACCTTCTAGCATGTGGTCTTCTTCAGCGACAGTCATCCTATCAATTGACCGAACAGACGGGGCCCTTATTCCGAACCGGTATGTCTCATTCAGCGGTGCCTACCCTGCACGGAGACACCACTCCTTTCACAAGTAGTTCAGTTCCTACGGTCATCGACTCTTAGTTTCGATGAGACTCTGTTCAACTGCCCACTGTCACCGTGCCTTTCCCCATCACCCCTGTCCCGCGAAGCTCTGCTGAGAATAAGCATCAATTCAGGCCAGCGCGCAACCCTGAGCATAGAAACCATTCGCATTCGGAGGTGGGCGTGGTGAGTGTTGATGACTATGACGGCAAACTACGGTCTTACGTTCACGACGTTCAAGTTGTCCCCTACCGACTTCCTTCCACCACCATAGGCGCCCTCTGGGGTGGCTTGCCAGGCTGCGTTGTTCGCTCAAATTTCGACAACGGTGGACGTATCTGAGAGGCAGTGCCGTAACGCATCAAACTACCAACGTGGCCTCTTCCATATGCGGTTATTGCGGAGGACAGTATATTCGGGGCTGATTTGTTTTGCCCCCTCGTTCTCAGTGTCATGGAATGCTCTGACCGTTCAGTGGTCGCATCGGGGGTGTGATACGTGGAGCTCAACCGATCCTTCTAAGGCCATATCCGATGACAGCTAAAATGAGGGCTTTCACAGCTTAGAAAGGAGACGAGCAGGCAGCTCGGAGAACATCGAACGGAGTCGACAACGGTACAAAAGCTCATCCAGCTGCTGATCCGCTGTATGACGCGTTGAGCCTATTCGGTTTACGTCTCAGAGACGGTTCTGTGCCGCGCCGGGAGGCCCAACGCTCAGACCCGGTACCGGTTTCAGGATCAACCGTGAGCTCTTGCGCGCAATTCGTGCTCGTGTCTCACCCAGAGGATCCGCCGCCATCGAATATCCCTCTCCAGCTCGGAAAGTGAGCAGGTTGTGCCTTCGATCCCTCACGTACTCCCGAGAAGGATGCGATACCAATGTGACCTTACTGCATCCTCTTCGTGCCCGTCGTCAATTCCTCAGGCTCCACACGGTCTATGTGAAGCATGCACAGCGAGCCACTGCATCCACCCTACCTCGTACGTAAAGCCCGCTGACGTCCCTGCTTATACAGGCACCTGTCGTCCCGTTGACTTCGTGCGCCAAGGGTTCCGTCGAGATGCGTGCCCATCGAAGTCCTTCTGCGACGCCCTCCATTACGCCCTCGCGTTTCAGCCTGCAGATCTCCTCCCACGGCTCTGATGGGGAGCATGCGCCATGACAAAATGCCGCCACGTCCGCATCGCCAACCGGCGCATGTTGTGGTTAGAGTTTCCTGATTCCGGCTCGCATCAGCCGGGTCAGGTCCCGCATCATGCATCAGATGCAGATTGCGCCTTTGGATCGCGTCCTGCGGGCGCGCCCGCTCGGTGCGCTCTTGACTTCCACGGCATCCTGCACGCACGCGCGGCGCGATCACCTCACCCTCGTCCCATCCTTTCCCGTCTCCTTGACAGCACATCAGCAAGCCACGTTAATAGCCCCGGCGAGTTACGTGCACTCGCATTCGCGATGAATTTTGTGGCGTTAGCTTGGAAAACCTCCGTACATGATGTGTCAACGCGCCTTGTTCCTCTTTCAACTCAACGATGCTCGGATTGTCTCACAATGCTCCGACCTATCTGAGTTCATCTGGAGTCCTGCGCAGTCCAGTGCTGGTTGGGGAGAGTAATTCACCAGTGTAGCGCCGTTCTTTGTCCATGGAGAGCTTCCCATTCGAGTAACGTCTCGTGCATGCTAAGTAAGTACTGCCACTACCTCAGTTCAACTGATGTCACTTGCCAGAGAAAACTCGTCACGAACACCTTATCGTACCAACCGAGGTTCATCCTGAAGGATTTTGGTCGGAACTTCTTTGCCGTCACATCGCGTAAAGCCTGCAGGATGCTCTGAAATAGAGTTGGGATGTGAGCCCGTTCTGAGCCCCCAAGTTCCCCGTGACGCAGTAAAGGAAACGCTTTTTACGTAGTAACGATGTGCGGAATGATCGCAGACTCAAGTGCCTTCTCACCGCCGAAACGTTAACTTCCTTGCAGTGTCTGGAGTCTAATCGAGTTACTCAATCAGCGAGGTCGCCGTCCGTTCGCACCTATTACTACATACCTACCCAACAGGGGCGATCCTCCGCCTCCAATCCCGTCCAAGAATACTCTGTTCCTGGAAGCCTATAGCGTCTTGCTTATCATGGGCCGTGGCAAGTGGCCTCCCCATTCCGCGCACACGTCCAAGGCACCGGTGTTGGGAGATCTTTACATAACACGGCGCCGCGCACGTAAGTCATGCAGCAGCACCTCCTCGCCCGCTGATGGGAGAGCTCCACTGGACAGAACGGATCCGCACTCTGGAGCCCCACGCTCGACTGCGGCGGGACCGCAGCGATGCTTGCATACTCGTCCACTAGCAGGATGCACCCCTCGTTGGGTGTGCAAGTGTCGGCTGACATGTGCGAAAACGTCGCATATTACATATAGCTTCCACCTACTTGCCGACGGCCCTCAGCTATCGTGATACCGTCCAGAACATGGCGACGCCGATCTGGTTTGACGCAGAGCCCATGCACAATCCTCGCAGATAGGAGGCAGAACAACGGGCGCGCGTGCGGCCTCAAGCCGGCGGATGCGCCACGCCTCCCACGTCGAACACACAAGGTTCCTCGCATCGGATGCTCCGCCCGTCTGCCCTCGGTGGATCTCAGTATCCTCGAGATGCACAAGTACATGTCGACGAACGACAGACCGCGCGCGACCCCTCCGATGAGGAGTGCGTTCTCGCGCCGTAATCGCACATCTGCGATCAATAGTACCGCTCAGAATTGGCTGGATCTCGGAGCCGCCCGTATCTCGTACCTCCGTATTTTCAGTCACGTCCCCCACGATGCCGAGCGTCCGTTACTGGTTCGTCACGTCTCATAACAGCCTCGCGAATGCAGTGACTGACCCTCGCCAGCAGTGTGCTTGCACTGCGAGTATATGTCTTCAAAGAAGCCGTTGTTCTCCTAGAGCCTAGCTATGTAACAACAATGCAGCAAGTCGCTATATCACCGCGTGAAGCGCCAGATTACAGAGGTTGGGGAACACGGAGAGGATGAGCACATTACCGCCACATTCCCAGCGTGTTCCCACCACATTCCGCAGGTTTAGAGGATGTCATGGTATTAACTGCCTTCCCCTCACATTCCGACCATGTTCCCCACATATTACTTAGACATTCCGCACCCTGCGTAACATGGGATCAAATGGGATATACAATTTTGTATCTTATTATTCATATCCATTTTTGGTGCCCAGCTTGGCGCCTAGTATTCGTCCCGATATTGGCAGCCAGATTGAATTAGATCGAAATGAATATATATTCAAATGGCGACTCTCCTACGCTACATCCGGACTTCTCTATATATCATACAGACCGGCCCAATCAACCCTAACCCAATCACATCATACCCGTAGCCGCCAGCACAGCGATACTGGCTTACAATTGGACATCAGACACAGCTGAGATGGCACGCGCAATACATGCATATATGCACTCACCATGTCGATATTTGAGTTCTGCTTAGAAAGGATTAGCAGTACACTGTAGCGTTGAAACTGGGTACTCACAGTCTTAATCAAGGACAATCGATAAACGCGGGACAACCTACTAGATGCGGCAGCCATCAGACTTTGGGACTTCACACGCAACACTAGAGACGTACTATTGCCCTGATCAGCAGATGTATTTATGAGAGAACACCTGCATGTTAACACATCAGCTGCCATCCGAGAGTCAATGGTCAGGACGTACCAAGGGGAAGATAGGCATACGGAGGGAATGCAAGAAGTACGAAGTCAAGATGTGGACGCGATGGCAGGTTGATATGGGACCATACGACGACGTCATCGCGGACGGATAAGTAATTTTGGGCAGGCAAGTCCCCCTTATAATAGAAATCTGCACAAGCGGTTGGGGATGTTGAGGGAATCTGGAGAGAATGTGCATGTTCCCACCAGATTCCCATCAAAGGGGGATTTACTGGGGAATCCGTGGGTGATATGCGCGGAATACGCAAATTCCCAGCATGTTCCCCGCCACCGTAATATGGCGCTTCACGCAGTGTATCAAGTAGCCTAAGGCGGGCCACCGCCGGAGTGTCATGATATAATCCATCAATGCCTCCCATCTCAGCGACTCTAGCGCACAAAGGAGACATAGCACAAGTCGCGCGTACTCCACCATTTCAGAGAGGCTTACTCATAAACATCATCGCGAATTTGGGACTCGCAGAATGCAATTGAGAGCACCCTCAGGTGTACGACAATGGTGTTGAATAAAAATGACAACCCGCTTCACGACATGTGCGGGCTGGGACATCTCGCGAGGCTCATAGAGTTGTCCGGCCGGTGAGCGCAAGTGTTAGTTGCTCTCGCGAGGCTGCTGTTACTGAGCAAGCTCCTAAGTACTATTGGACAAGGGGTTGCGCGCGACGACCACCACTAGTGCGACTGCGCGCCCGGGGCCGGATGTGACGAACCAGTGACGGATGCCCGGCGTCTTGGGGGACGTGACTGAAAATACGGAGGTACGAGATACGGGCGGCTCCGAGATCCAGCCAATTCTGAGCGGTACTAATATACGCTCGTTTGGAATTCGAGGAATGACATCACGTCCATCGCCACGGCAACGAGTGTGTTTCCCCGCATTTGTCGCACACACGATGAGCAGGTCGAAGCCGAGCCCCTCGATACATATGTCCCGGCATGACGTTCGCGCCCTCGGGTTGATGTCCTGGCGAGGGCAAATGCGGTTGAACAGGAGAATTATTGGGCGTTATAGCGAAGGTGTATGACACATCGCCTTCCGTTCAGGCTGCAGCGGTGTTTCCCGAATCTAAATCCCCTAGCGAACTGCTGACTGCATGGTTCCCAAGTGTAGGCGACTCTGAGTCATACGCGCCGGCAAGAGGAGGTCGAAAAGGCCCAGGCTCCGCCGCAAAAGCCCGGCACACTGCGCGGGGATCGCTGATGGCCCTTCATGTTGTCGCATCCGGCGCAGCAGCCGGGTCAGGTCCGTCTGAGCGTTCATTATAGCATGCCTCTTTGGGGCGATGTGTGTGTGTGTGCGCAGGGGACGCGCGGGAGCGCGCTGGCGAGCGTGACAGGCGCAATCACTCGCGAGGCTGGACCGCGCGAGCCCGGGGCGTGATCCTGTGCAATTGGGCGGTGGAGCCAAGGTTATGAACGGCGAGGGTGGGTTCGGAACGTGCCGCGCTATCGAGTTGGGGATACATAGTGCCCGTCTGCCACGCGCACGGCCGGACGGGCAGCGCAAGTGTATAGGACGTGTCAGGTAGTGCACAGTGGCGGAGATAGCTGATGGGACGCCCCGAGCTCAGCATGGGAACGGCCCCGCTGAAAGGAGAGGTGGTGATCTAACCGCGAAGCGCCATCGCCATAGAGAGGTCGATCGCCTCCACGGCGCAATTGACTGAAGCCCTGTACGAGGCGTCATGAACGGCGAAAGACGCCTTGGACAGAATGCGAGAGGTCCGGGCCAGGATGGAGATGAAAGGATGCCCACCCGCGGGGAGCTGCATAGGGCAGCGCGCGCGCCATCTCGGTCTGAGGACAAGATCAAGAAGCGGAGGACGAGCTGGAAGCCGAGGCACGGTGTCCGCTGCAAGCAAGTGCGATGCCCCGCTCGCAAGCCCCGCAGTCCTGGATGAGAACGAGAAGGACGGAGCACGTTCTTCGAACGGTGGAGAGGTACCTGCGAACGGTGGAGAGGTACCTGCGAACGGTGGAGAGGTACCTGCGACTGCGAAGGCAGCGCGTGATAGGCCGTGCGGCCGCATGTAGCCATATGCGGCTCATCAACCCTGCATGCGCCCGCCTTCTCGAACGTCCTGCTTCTGCGTCTTCCACTTTCACGGCGCCCGGCGTCTGCCGTCTCGCGCTGACGCCTCCGCCCGGCTCTTTTTGCCTCCCATGGAAGGGAAGGATCGCGAGCCGCCGCCGTCGCATGACGAGGGCAACCGGGAGGCTTGGGTCCTGGCTCGCGTGAAGATGCGGCCAGAGCCCTGGTCCTGGTCCTCGGCGCACTGGTCCCGTGCTGCGTCGCGGGGTGGTCCTCGCCGGACGCGCGCCAAAGGACGTGTTGCTCGTACTGGTCGTCCAGGACGTTGGGAGGGTGGCTCGCAGCGGGGACGTAATATTGGTGTGATGCGAGTCCGTGCTGGTCATTGCACCCCATCAAGGCGTTTAGGCGTTCGAGGGCACGGGCAACAGCGGAAGGAAGGGGGGTGCAGTGTCCCGCGTGCAGGCGCGCCGGATGGCTTGATGCATTTAGTGCGCTTCCCGGACAGGCTTGGACCGTGCTGAAGGCGAGAGACGCGTCCTGACGTCGGCGGCGAGGCCGGATCGAGGGCACTGCCGTTCCAGCTGGAGGGAAGGGGCCAGATAGATTGGCAGTTCCCATACCGGCGTGCCGTCACAGCGACGATCCTGCTCAGGAACGTCCCCCGGGCGTCGTATAGAGGACGACACCAAGAACGGTCTCGGAGCCTGCGAAGAGGCGATTCATGAGCCTGCTGACAAGCCAAATGAAACAGCGCATCAGGCCAAGGCGCGGATTCGGATTCGGATTCGGATTCGGATTCGGGTGAGACGGGAGCGGCACGCAAACCGCGGAGGCCCAGCCAGCTGCGACCGGTGCGTGGTCCAGACGTGCGTGCGCCTTGCGGTGCGACGTACGGGGCACTGCATCCGCCCAGCGTCGCAGAACGAACCGCGCTCGTCGCGACCGGCGAGGACGCCATCGCGTCAGAGCACAGACTCGCAGTCCGCGCACGTCCAAGGGCATGCATGACATACGCTGCGCCCCACACATGGCGTAAAATGCCCCCCTCGACCCGTCTTCTGTCCGGGGCTCATGGCCTCTGATGGTATCGTCGAGGACTCGCCCGCTCACACGCGGACGCAGGAGGTCGTCCCGGAGCACCTGATGGTTATCGCAGCATACGCGTCAACTGACGTCGACGGAAGACTCGGAGGCGCGCACTCGGACACGAATATTGACAGGAACGATTGTGTCCACGATGAGTGCCGTCTTCCGGCCGCGGACTTGCGTCGACGGGCACCGGCAGACGCACTAGCTGCCTTCCTCTTCCTGTGCGGCCGTACGGCGGATGGCCGCGAGTGTGTTTGCTATCCACCGACGACACCCCTCGACCGGTGGGAGATGGACGAGAGCTAAAGTGAAGGGCCTGAGTGCGGCAGGGCAGGAGCGCAAGCGGAAGCAACGTACCGGGGCAGCAAACGCCGCTGGGTCGTCTCTCGTATGATCCCCGACAGATGTCGCCGTTCTACAGGCCTACCCCGGAGGGGGCAGCTCAGCCCATCTGGTCGCGCGCTGCTGACTTGCGGGAGAGATGCGAGTCCAATCGACGACCGTGTGACGTCGACGGACGGCAGTTTGACGCACGCCGAGGTAGCCCGCCCCGCGGATGTCATCGACGACAGCTAGTGCTGGGATAGCGGGCAGTCGAGAGACGCGCCGACCGCGTTCGAGGCCGCGCGCCGAGCAAGTTGGGTGGATGGTGAACAACTTCTGAGTCCGCGGTGTCAAGGGTCCCGTTGAGCCCTGAGACATCGGAGCGACCGGACTCTGGACACCTTGACCTTGCACCGATTCCTCGGCGGCAGGTCGTGCACTGTGACTAATTCATACTATCACGGAACTCCCCCGCCGCTCACCCTCATACAAAGCCCGACATTGTGGATACGCGATGGACATACTTTGCGCTACAGGCCCGGCGAAGTGTACGCTGAGACGACAACGCGCAGGAGGCTTTTGTTCGTCGCTCCCCGCTCCAGTCACCGCTTCTTCTAGCAGCTATGACAGCAGAGCCGCGGTCGTTGTCTGACTCGTATGTAGTTCTCTCGGTCTTCGTGCTGACGCTCTTCGGTATTTTCGTTTTCGGGTCTCCAAAACGGAAGTATCCTCCTGGTCCTCCGGCAAAGCCCCTGGTTGGCAACATCCTCGACGTCTCTCCTCAGGGGGCATGGATCAAGTTCACTAGGTACAAAGAAGTATACGGTCCGTAGTATCACTGCTAAAGTATGACGTCGCGCTCAAACGCCTGCCCAGGTGACTTGGTTTTCTTTCATGGGCTTGGAAACAACATTCTCGTTCTCAATTCCATGAAAGCCATAAACGACCTTCTGGAAAAGAAGGGCAGTATCTACTCGGACCGACCCTCTTTCACGGTCGTCGGAGAACTCATGGGCCTCGGTCAGGTGGGCTACGAGTCGCGATAAGCACACCAGACAGTACAATTGTATCTGACGATCATGTGACAGAGCATGCCACTTCTTCCCGCTCGAGAAGAATGGCGTGCACATCGGAAGCTTGCCTACACTGCACTCAATGCAACCGCTGTGAAACGATACCACACCATCCAGGAGGACCTCGCAGCGATCCTCAGCAAGCAGATACTCGATACCCCGCAGGACTTCTTCAGCCACGTCAGACTGTAGGCCTGTGTTTTTTCCGTGCTTAGCGTTTCCTGACGACGTATGTCTGCAGAACTGCTGGTCGTATCATCCTCTCAGTGACATACGGCTTGTCGGTCAGCACTGCCGACAGCGAGGTAAACTCTGGCTGTTCGTCGACTTCTTGCACCATGTTAACGATAAACGAAGTACATCTCGCATGCTGAAGACACTATGCATATGATCAGCAAGGCGACAGTCCCGGGGGCCTTTCTCGCCGACCTTCTTCCATGGAGTGCGCGTTCAAGCGTCCTACTCTGTAAAGCAAGGTACTAACAGGATGCGCTCACAGTGAAGCATCTCCCGTCCTGGGTGCCGTTCCAGCAGGAAGCGAAGCAGGGGCGCGAGATGATCGAAAGACTGGTTACCAAGCCGTTCGAACATGTCAAGCGTGAGATGGTCTGTAGATATTCTCCCTTGGCGTTGGCGAGTTCGCTCACCAATTCAACAGGCCGCAGGTACCGCACCTCAATCGTTAACCCAGGATTTATTGTCAATGGACGCTGCCGACCGGACGACCTCGGAGCATCAGATCAAGTGGACCACAGGGGCACTCTACGGAGGTACGTCGCATCGCCCCTCACCCTACGTGATGTAGATTGATTGGCATCTCCGTAGCTGGAGGAGAGACGGTACGCACTTCACCTCACCTCCGAAGATTTTAGGTCTGAAAACGGCGTAGACGTACTCTACCGTATTGACTTGTCTGATGGCAATGGCTTTACATCCGGATAAGCTCCGAAAGGCTCAGGCGGAGCTCGACGAAATCGTGGGGACGGAGCGCATGCCGAAGATCTCTGACAAAGTTAACCTTCCGTATGTGAACGCTGTCATCAAGGAGACGATGCGATGGCATCCAGCACTTCCACTGAGTACGCCGTCACTGCCCCTTGATATGTGCCTCCTCTAAAGTCATGTATGTACGGTCATCGCATAGGCATCGCTCGCTGCACCTCAGACGATGACGTCTACGAAGGCTATGACATACCTAAAGGGACAATCGTCATGCCTAACGTTTGGTGGGTTGTAACACGCACTGCAAGCCGTTCCATGCTCACTCTAGGGTTACGTTAGGTCGATCGCATTTGCTAAGATAGGTCCTTATGACCCGTCCGAGTTCGTTCCGGAACGTTTCCTTGAGACGACAGGGGCAGCTCCAATCGACCCGATGACTTCGTGGGCTTTCGGCTTTGCCCGTCGGTGAGCTTCTTCGCCCTGACATGCGTCCCAAGCATCTCTTGAACATGGTTTATACCCAGGATATGTCCGGGAAAAGCCTTGGGCGAGAACTCAGTGTTTATCCTGATTGCCACACTATTGGCAATGTTCGATATCGCACCACCGGATGACGCAGAGCTCAAGGTCGCATTCTCGAAGGGCCTTGTGAGGTGAACTGCCGGGTATAACTTATAATTCCTGACATTGGAGAGCTGACTTATGTTATAGCTACCCTCAGCCATTCAAGTGCAAGCTCACGCCTCGGTCAGCATCGAAGGCCGCCCAGATAGTGTGGAGGGCAAGTCAGTCAGTAGTATAGACAATGCTCCACCTCTTCTGAGTCGCAGTGAGCCACCTGCATAACAGCAGCTTTCATGCCGCCTCAATTGCTTGATGCTGTCGTAGGTTCATGTGTACTATACGGTGACGGTGTCTCGTGGCCAGCCCAATGGAGACACTGACCGCGTCACCAGTGACCGCTGCTAGCCGTAATTGTTGTCGCCTCAGTCACAAGAACTGAAGCTACGTCCGCCCTACGCACCTTTGTACTCTCCCTCATGCAGTCTGATTGATTTCTTCCGTCGTCCTAGTCCTGTCGTTGACGCCAGTGAATTGCGCTGCCGCTCCAACCTTCAAGGGTGTAAATGCTTCTACCGCTGCTGAAAGCGGATACTTGGTCGCTTACGCATGGGGAGTTGTTGTCACATAAGGATCACCCTGCGATTCTGGGTAGATATTGGCTCGGATATACGATTGTCTGAGCGCGCCCTACTCATGGTCACTTCGGGCATCTCTCAAGGAGTCGACGATCCTTGATGCCCTGGGCACCTGACCGCCCGTTTCTGGAGCTGTGGTACACACAGAGTATGATCAATATCGTAATCTCAAGCGTACATATAGCGTCTCCAAAACGGGGACAGAGTTCATCGGCGGAATCGTCGCTACCCGCTTCATGGACGCCGGAGAATATACCCTTCTGATTGATACAGTCCTCATGGGTGAGGCTACAGTATGACTACAGACGATAGGATGGTGAAAGAAGAAGCGAGAGTGAGAAAACAATGCGAACGATTCTATGTACGAAGATGACGTGTAGACGGACGTACACGACGTGAGCATTGTCGACGTCTGCCCAAGTCACGATTCCGCTCATATTGATGTGGCCTCAGTGGATGGGGTGGGCAGAGGTTCAGTGAGTACGTGTGGTTACTCAGAAGATCATTGGTCTTTCGGTCTAGAGTACTAACATCCTCACTCACTACACATTCTGCAATGCAGACGGTGGCATTCCTCCGGGGTTTTCGATTGATGTCCATGAGCCCATTGACATCACGAGCTTGATCACAGCAGTGCTAGTCGTTGGCGTTGTGAGGTACATTGTATAGACAGTCACCACAGCTCCCAAGGCATCCGCCCTGTGCCCGCCTCGTCCTCCGCCCCGACCAAGTCGATTAGGACAGCAGATCGTGAGAAGACGTCATCGGGGCCGTGCGCGCAATGATCTGTGACCCAATGCTTCCACATACCTATGAGAAGACCGTCCTGCCTCGCCTGCTGCTCTCGTACCAGTCTGTCTTTGTGCGGCTTGATTGGGATGTAGTTGGAGTCTATCGTCGGCCCTTCGAATTTCTTCTTCGGCACATACGGCTCTGACAACTCCACAGCGACGCGGGCACGCATCAGCTCAGAGGGAGCCCCCAGCTCGCCCCAGCGGAAGCTGATCCTCAGCGTGCGCACGGTGTCCTGTGTGGGACCGTGAAGCTCAAAGACAGCCCACTTCGGATTCGTCGACAGCTGCTGGAATCGGTTGGAGACTTCGATGCATGGAAGATCTTCGAGAATGGGCAGATCCCCCAGATGCAGGTCGCCGATGTACACAGGCGCCAGCGGCCCTCCTTTGGCATGCGCAATCTTGTAACAGACGGAGAAACGCTCGACTTCGCGAAAATGGTTGCTCGAGAGATCTGTAGGGGTAACATGGATGCGAACGATAATGCGCTCGAGGAACTCGTCTCCGGCACGAGTCAGGTAGAATTCGAGAGCGGGGATGTACTTCTGGTGGGCGCGGGCGAGGGCAAAGCCATGACGAGCCAAGAGTGGGATGCACCAGTATTCCGGGGTAATCTGAAAGAACGCGAAGTGGGACCGGAGGGGACCACTGACGCTATCGAGGATGCCCAAGCCGTCGATCCGGACGTTGCGCGGGCGGCCCAAGACACGAACATCCTCGACTGCAATGTGCCGTGAACAATGCTGGAGTACGTCTATGGAAAGCGCGAACATCCGGTAGAACGTGTCCTGAGATCGGCCGCCCTCTGCGGTTGCACCCACCATGAGTGGGTCGTCTTCTGGCTCCTTCCCTTGTTCACGTCGCAAGGGTAGAGCGATGAAGTGGGCGCTGGAGGTATCGGCGCATTCCAGGATAGCCAGCATGTCGAAGTCGAGGTTGCGAACCGAATCTGGGGGCAAAAATGGTTTGATAGCTTTGGCAGAGATGATAGGAAGGCGAGTTCGGATGTCGAAGGAAAGGTGGTACTCGGGCCGACCTGCGGTGCTCGATTTAAGTCCAAGCTGCTTCATGAACCAACTGTGGACAACCCCTTCGACGTTGGCAGAGCAGGCAAAGTCTTTGGGAGAGCCAGCGAGAAGCCCATACATGTCAACGAACCAGTCCCTGTTCCCAAGCACCCTACGAACCGCCCAGCCGCCACGAACGGGGACAGGATCCGGTTCAAGCCCCTCACCAAACCGCCAACATGGCCCCCACGCGAACAGGCTCTGGTCGTACGGCGTGTGCTTCAGAATCTCCTCCTGTAGCCGGATAAACGCGTTTCGGCCCTCGCCATAGACCGTCGGCATGTTCACACCGAAGATCCCCATAAGCGAGTACGCCTCGTCTTCGATCCGCGTCGTCTCACGCTTCGACGCCCACCACATGCGCTTCGCAATCCCTACCGCATCCACCGGCTTCTGGTGCGTCAACACCTCCACATCGATCCCAGTGATCTCCTCCAGGACGTGTGCCAGCGTCAGCTTCGTCCCCAACACCCTCCAGTTCGGTCCAGAAAGGAACACGTTGTAGCGTGGCGCAATGAGCTCCTGCAACGTCCAGCCGCGCGTGTGCAGTCGGCTCTTCCGGAAGTAGGACTCTGGGGCCTCGGGAATGTCGTCGTCGGGCACGTCCGCAAGGTAAGAATAGCAGATGGTGGACAGCTCGTACCACTCGTACATGGAGTTGATTGCCTCGGAGAGCTCTGCGCTGCTTGCCTTGTCGATGCAGCAGGAGTCGAGCCATAGGAGGGTGAAGCCGTCGAGGCGAGCGGTGAGGCAGGATCGCCGAACCTTCACGGAGAGTCTGGGATCTCGGAGGACTGTACGACCGTTGTTGAGCAGAGCGTCCATATCTGGGATGATGGGTGGGTCCCCAAACTTGAAGTTGTGCGAGTCGGAGTCGGCCTGGGACGTGTCCGAATCGGGCATAGGCTCAGTGGAGCTGGTTGGCGTAGACGTGGAAAAGGGGACGTCGTCCATAGAGGGGTTGTCGTCTGCCAAGTCGGGATCCTTCGCGCTCTCCTCGAAAGTCGTGTTCTCTAACCTGTCTCCGGACGCGGTACTGTCCGTGCCATGGTTGAACTGACATCCTCCTTCCTCAGATTTTGAGTCGTCTAGAGCTGCCTGGGCTGTGAGCTCCGGTTCGTTGCCCGACATCTCCGAGGTAGTCATCGAGTTGTACACGGGATCGGGTTGGGCCTCAGTCCCATCGTCATCAGACGAACGGGATGGGTCATTCGCAAAGATGTCCTTGTAGTGCTTGTGGACCTCCAGGACGTCTTGGTAGGTCTGTTCGCCGATCGGGTCCCACGTATGCGAGACGATTGCATAGCGTATCTTGCGAGGGTCGTGAACGAACACAAAGAGACCAGTTCGCGTGTCCAGTAGACGCATAATCTTAGATGAGGGGAAGCATGTGGAGTTAGATCCTCAGGTCGAGTACAAAGTTTGTCGACACTTACGTACCTTCGTTCAGGTTTACAAACACCCCCAGTCTGATAGAAGAAAGAATTGCATTCACTTTAACAGGAATAGTGGGACAGGGATGCAACGCAAACGTACTCAGGTTGGTGACACGGTGGATTGGGGTGTGGGACGGTGAAGCAACCGTCTATTTATTGCTGCGGCGGCCGCAAAGCGCCTCGGGGAGGTGTTACCTCGTGTCTGCAGCACTCGTCAGTACGTGGGTCCGTCACATTGCTTCGTGAGGGCGTCCTAAACAAGTTCAGGTAGGCAGTGCTTACTCGTACCAGTGTCCGATCGGACCAACTCGCGCGCGATGCTGCCGCGATAAGTCACGGGCGTTAGATAGATGACAAGGATTGTCGTAAACCCGCGCGGAGTCTGGTCGATCCGTGGTCCAAGCGTGTCTTGTGTCCTAGTATTTCACAGCCTCAAGTCAAATGCACGGACGTCGACATAGCCTCACAAACTGCCATCAGGGCCCTCGAAAGGTCTTGCATTCATACCGGTGTAGCCGTGTTTTCTTCGCCGCCGTCGACTAGGCTTGGTATGCCCTGTAAGGATTGCCGATGTAGAGAGCCAATGCGGGATGACGGCATTCTGACCGCCTCGAGGTGAAGCCGGTTCTGGAAACGTCGTCTGTACCTGTGCCAGTCTTCAGATATTTGAGCATGTGTGCGGACCGTTGTAACGATGAGCCGAACCCAAATCAGCTGTGCTAGCTCTTTGTGTGAAAGGCATTGCGTGTGCCGTTGAACTGGCGGGATCACCCTGTTTTGTCCCACAATAACGTGATTGCTGTTCAAAGGGCTCGGCCGTCGCCGAACAACGCGTTTCGACTGTCAGTGGAAAGCCTCACCGAGTAAATACCCCCAAGCACTGAAGAGAGAGCTCACCTTGTCGAGCCTTCAATCCATTTAGCTCTCAATCTGATGCGAACGACAGCCGGCGTACATAGGGCAACCAAAGAAATTAAGTACGAGGGCAGGCACTCCGGCAGATCTCTTGCCTACAAGAAACGACCACTCCGGCAAGACACGGGGGAAGCGATCGAAGTCAGTATTGCACCTATCCATGAAGCTACTCGAATGACTACGGCTCAAAAAGCAGTCATGTATCGATCACCCATCGCCCATTCCGATCATCCGTTATCGACTCATTGGTATTTTACGGACTCGGCTCTCCCTGCATATCGTGAAAAACGTTGAAAGCCGACCCGCAACACATGATTATCGAATCTCACTCACAGTACATCTTCCCTCGCCGATGGCAAAGGAGATCGACAACTTGTTTGCTTCGTGGAGGCCTATCAGCTCACGCTCCATCCGTTGTCCAAAGAGCGCCTTGCACTGTTCGTCGGTGCTGCCTGAAACCGCGCAGGTGATCGCCACGCGCTGTAAATCGGGGAACCCCGCGCGACGCGACTCGATTTCATTGAGCTTGCCAATGTCCCAGAGCTCCACTGTTTGTATGTCCGCCAATATTTCGGTATCCGGTTTCCATTCTAGTTGAATCTGCAGCTCGCTGAGTGCTGGCATGCCAGCTCCGGAGAAGATGCTGCCGAACATTCGGAACGACGAAGGACGCCGCTTCTCAGGGTATTCCTTTGCTTTCGACAACGCAAAACGAAGGCAGAGACGGGAGAGCTTCTTACACGAGGAGAGTGCCTCTCCAAGTCTGAGCCACATGGTGGGGGGCGACTGTTCCTCGTCATAGTGATCGTCTTCAAGTGGATGAAATACGTGAGAATATAGCACACATAATGACCGGATACGCTACTCACCTTGGCTCTCGCGTAGCCCCAGCTGGATGACATCCTCAAGGTCAACGTCAACCTCTTCAAGGTATTTGCACCGGTCGCGTATGAAACGCCACGCGCTCTCTGCAAGATCCGGCGTGGCCCAATCGCTTTTCTGCAGCGACAAGGAACGCAATGTACGGACATCCAGGAACTTCCCGTATTTTCCCAGAGACAATTGAAAGGCCCCGCGCATGGTGAGATACTCAACGTTGACTTGCAGCTGGCACCGCTTGCTCGGCGAGTGCATCATGTCGGCGGCGGCGTCAGCGGTGCCGCCACATTCCTCCATCACCAATTCCCGCACAGAGCTCAAGAGCAGTGAGGTAAACAGGGAGGGTATTAGGGATGCATCGCCTACGGCCCAGATCTCGCTGAGCTCGAAGTAATCGAGCTTTCGAGTCAGCAGCGTGGCTTCCATAGCCCGAGTGGCGTCGGGGAGCACCAGTCTCAAGCCGTGCAACGTCAAGCGTTTCAGGTTCGGTAGATGGGAAAGGATCGATGCGAGCACATCACAGTCGAGCTGTGGGCAATCGACACAGGCGCTGCCGAAGCTGTCCCATTGAGCCTGGGTGATGTCCGGATTTTCTGCGCCTTCCTGCGCCAACCACGAGCCGTACGTCTCCCTGCGTATGATGACGGACCTTCGTAGTGGTCGCGAGAGGACAAGGGACTGGATGTGGCGGGTGATGCAAGCTACGTCACTTCGTAGGAACGTGGCGAAGCCGGCAAAGGTGGTTTTCCTGCGGACGACGATAGACGCAAAGAGGTAGGGCCGAACCACTTCGTTCCAACTCTTGCATGCTCGTGAGCACGACGACAATGCCTTCTGGGCTTCCTCTTGACGGAGAATAGCCAATACCTCACGAAAGATCTCAAGTGGCGCGTTGCCGAGTACGCCAGTTGAGGTTGAGGACCTGTCCGGCGGCACGGGATCCACGGAACTCCCGAGATCGGTCTTGCTATCCACTAAATGACAGCTCAACCCTTCGGTGGGCGGGAGAGACATGGCAATACGACTCACTTTCTGTGGCGAGACCAGAAGGGCTTCTTGGTTCGTACGAAGAGAGGGTGTATGTCAGGGTTGATGTGGATAGAGCGGCGGTACGGGAAGACATGTATATGTAGCACCGCCTTATGTGGTCAGTACTGGACGGTCGATGCGTGCCGAGCGCTGGCCACCCAGCTTCAGCGAGTTTTATTATTGTTCAGGTGCATTCATGACAGAACTAGCGGGAAATCACAAGATAGCCTTGCTTGGACACTCCTACCCGATTATCTGTGTGTATTGTCAGATCACAAAACCGGTGGAGAAACGAACGACTCACCAGTTGCGGTCGAGTACGGGTTCTGAGAAACACAGACGATGGACAGAAGAAAGCTTGAACCGCGAAAATCTATACCGCTCATAATGACGCCATAGAAACTCTACAACCGCGATGCGACGCCTGCAATACCAATATAGAGACCAGCGTTATGTTTTTACTCGTTGTGGCGAAGGAGAAGAAGTGTGTATCCAGGTGTCATGTTATAGTATACGAGGACGGGAATAGGGAAGGAAAGCATAGCAGCAGAGCGTGAAACACGTAAGAAATCCATCCGATCCGCGGATGGACGACAGCAGTCAAAAGGGTGAGGGCGAAGTTCGACGAACGAAGGTAAACCGCAGCAGTCTAGCAGGCAAGGCCTCACGGGTTCCACATCCTCTCCTTGACGAACGCCAGCAGCTCCGCGTCCGACTTCCGCCGCAGATCCGCCGAGCGGTCGACCCCGGCCTTCTGCGCCGCGCGGATGACGGCTAGCGCGATGTCCGCCGAGATCTCGCGGATGCGCTCGATGCGCGGGTAGAGGAGGTCGTCCGCGCGCTCGTCGGGCGTGAGCGACTCCGCGAGCCCGAGCGAGGACGCCTCCACCATCGAGTCCGTCACCGCCGACGCGCGCGACAGGATCGCGCCGAGGCCGAGCCCGGGGAAGATGTACATGTTGTTGCCTGTGGGATGGGTGGCGTCGGTCAGCACCAAGCACCGATAACGCAGCGTGCGGAAGCAGAAGGTATAAAGGAACCGCAGATCGCGGTATGACTGTCTCGAAGGTAACCAAGACAGAGATCATACAGGCTCCGTTGCGACGGAAACAATCTCTTCCTCGCGGGAAGTGACCAAGTAGACGTCCCGCACTGGTCACCAGCAGCGAACTGCGAGAAAGGAATGTACGTACCCTGTCCGGGGTACAGCGTGCGGCCGTTGTAATCCTGCTCCGGGAAGGGCGAGCCAGAGGCGAAGAGGACGTTGCCTTTCGACCACTCGACCGCCTCGTGAAACTCGCACTCGGAGAGGCGCACGGGGTTCGAGAGCGGGAAGATGATCGGGCGCGGGTTAAGCGCGGACATGGCCTCGATGACAGATTGGTTGAACGCGCCCTGTTTGTCGGAGTGACCGTCAGACGAGAACGAATACAGCACGCTTGAAGGTAAGACTCGAGCCGTAGATGGAGCACGAGCGTACCTTGGTGGTAGAGAGACCCATGAGGGCCGTGGGCTTGATGAACTTGATGATCTCGGTGAGGTTCGTGAGGGCGGGGCCGTTGTAGTCCTTGCGCGAGAAGTCTAGAGAGACTTGTAAGTACATGCTGTAGCTGAACGAGAATTGGGGATAGACGTACACTTCTTGTGCTCAGCCATAGGACCACGGCCGTCGAAGACGAGGCCCTGCGAGTCAACAAGGTAGATGCGCGAGCGCGCCTCCTCCTTCGACAGACCCTGGAGCATGAAGAAGCTCTGCAGCTGCATCGCGACACCCACGCCAGCCGAACCCGCACCCAAGAACAGGATGCGGTGGTCCGAGAGCGGACGGCCGGACGCCGCGCTCGAGAGCTTCGCGGCGTTGATGAAGCCCGAGAGCACGACCGCCCCCGTGCCCTGGATGTCGTCGTTGAACAGCGGGTAGCGGTCGCGGAAGCGGTCAAGGTACGCGAACGCCTTGTCCGTCGCGAAGTCCTCGAACTGGATAAGCAGCTTCGGGAACGCCTTCGCCATCTCGCCCATGAACTCGTCCATAAACTCGTCCATGACCGCCATCGGCACGCGCTTCTGCCGGAGGCCCAGGTAGAGCGGGTCGTCGAGGTAGCGCTGCGTGTCCGTGCCGAGGTCGAGGCAGATGGGGATCGTGGACTCGGGGCGGATGCCCGCGCCGGCGACGTAGAGCGAGAGCTTGCCGATCGAGATGGGCATGCCGTTTACGCCGAGGTCGCCGAGCCCGAGGATGCGCGAGCCGTCGGTGACGACGGAGATGCGTGCCTCGTTCTTGCGCGGCCAGTTGCGCAGGATCTGGCCGATCCTGCCCTTGTCTTTGATGGAGATGAACTAGGATCACGCGCGCGTTGAGCATGGAGGAGCACACGTCAGAGAGGGGAAGAGACGTACGAGGCCCTCGGGACGACGGTAGATGTGAGAGTACTGAATGCATGCATCGCCAACTGTGGGCGTGTAAATCAAAGGGGTGAATTCCTATAACAGGCCAAACCGGCCACAGCGTCAGCATCTACCTACTGACAGAAAGAGCGCATAACCCCAGACGATCGCGACCAATAGTAGCGCTGCGCAGGAAGACCAAAAGCCTAACGATCGCGAAGAACGCGCACGGACGCGAGGACGCCACGTAACAAGTACAGGACTCACCGCCATGTTTGTCAAGCACAGGCGATAGAACATGTTGGGGTCCGCATCCTTGAGCTGGCTCAAGTAGATGTACTTTTCGATGTTTTTGTCCTTGGAGCGGAGCTGCGCGAGGCAGCGCTGGGCGTGGACCGCGTCGTCGAGCATAGGCGGGGTGAGGCCATGGGCGAGCTTCGCCGGCGCTTGTGAGGAGAAAGCGTTGAGTATTGCAGTGACGGGGTATGCAAGGGAAAAGGTTTGTATCAGGAAGGTGGAAGGATACGCGCGAAGACGCGACCGCGAGGCAAGTGCCAAGGCCGACAGCCAAGCGCGGGAGCAGCGCAAGAAGGCAGGTAGAAAACGAAGCGAAGCGAAGGCGAAGATACTCACGAGCAGACGTGACCTTGAGCTTCTGGACGCCGTTGGACCAGACGGGAGTGAGGACTATCGTCATTTTTGCGAGCGAATGGGTGTCGACGCAGACAGGTGGGATGGGATTAGGCAAGCGTCAGCGAGCAGTCAAGTGGTAACTGAAAACAAGGCGAGAGGTATCAGAGAGCAGGGGTATTATATACGTATACAAATAGGGTTCCAGGTGCAGCAATGGTCTAAGAGGGAGGTGAGACAGGAGAGAAATGGGACGAGAGAGATATGGTGAAAGCACGTTTGGGGAAAAGAAGCTTGCGGGCAAGGCACCCCGGGATTTTATAGACCAGACGCCCCAGCAACAGACTCAGAGATAGATTCGTCTGGACCCCAATTACAGAGCCTGCCTAATCATCAAGCTTGAATGACCGCGGCCAGCGAGTAGGATTTGGTATCCTTGGACACCAGACCGCTGGCGCTGCTCAGCCCGACGGATCCAGATCAGCAGCTGGTACCCTCCTGGGCCCCGCTGTTTGATGTGCAAAGCTCCGTGAGCGATTGAAATCAACGAACGAGGCGTGTTGTTGTTGGCCGCCGTCCGCGTCGAACATGCTCAGCGGACGAAGTAACACATCAACGGGATGCACCTGCCCAAAAATATCCGGCTCCGTCGTGACAGGCACAGGCTCCCCGGAGGCAAAATACTGCGCGTTCGTCTGTTCCGAATTTTCCCTCTACCCCCCGGGCACCCGCCCACGACCGTGTGTCCGTACAGTGTCAGCATATCATACATCTCGCGCATGTACTGGCGCAATCGCCACGACGGCAGTCTCTGGGGAAGCGGAGAAGCACTAGAATCACAACGCAGCCGCTCACCTTGTTTGGCTTGCTTTCGGACGGCTGTCTTGACTGCGTTCATCTCTTGCGATGGACCGAGGTGGGGTACTCTATGACGTTTATACTAGCTGGCCCAAGAATATTTAGAACTCTTGGGGTTCAGCAAAATTAGTAGGATAGTCTAAGAGAAGTAGAAGTCTTGGGTCGGAGCCAGCGTGTGCTTGGGGATGAGGAAAAATGGGGAAAGTCGGATGACTGCGGAAGAGGTGTTGTTGAACAGTCTATTGAGTCAATTTGTAGAACGGAGCATGACTCGAGCCGCACGCGAATGTGCCTCCCCACATCGTATGATATTGGGGGTGTTTCATTCTTCGCGGAAGGGGAGCGCCTAAGTATGCTAATAGGATGAGGAGACACGGAAGGCCGCGTTGGGCCGATGCTCTTGGTAATGGGACGAGTCGTACGCGATGGAAAGTTTACCTCCCAGCGAGCGACTCATCTACGTACAGAGCGGTACGACCGCGGGCAGGGGACACTTGAAGGCCAGAGAGGCAATATGGGGAATTCGAATGGCTGATTGAGGAGACTTGAAGGGCCCATTGGGACGCGGACGAGACATCAAGCGACCGAAGGCAGTTCCGAGGTCTTGTTCCGACACGGCGTGATGCTTGCACTCTGACACTACCATCGACAGACCCTCGACGTATCTTGGCCCCCTCTCGACATGTCCTGACCGCCCTCGACAGCTTCCTCCGGGGGATCCGATCGCGTCTCAAATAGAAACACATACCTGTGCTGATGCCGAGACGGGACCAAAACAATCACACACGCGCAGCCTGGACGTCGAACGTTGACCGAGCCTTCACCCATAGTGGTCCCACCCATCAGGTCCTCCTACACATCTTCTGCTCCACACCCACCCGTGTCCTCATAAGAAGTTCGGTGAACGGCGACCTCCTGTAGTGAAAGGGCAATGCGAGTTCGCCTTGCTTCGCCCGCGGTGACGTCGATAGGGACGACCAAGACAATGGCGTTGACGCAATAAGCTTCCTCGAGCAACATTCCTGCGTGTGTAGGCTTTCAAGACTAGGCATGACACATGGCGGAGGGGTACAATCAACGGTGGGCTCGTGGACGCACATGACGAAACTTTAACTTGCCACCAGCCGCAGCCTAAAGGGGAAATATAGGCGCCAGAGGGTTTTCAGAGCTCCTTTCAGTCGTTCACCCCACCCAGTCGCAATGTGAACCGCTGGGATCCCCCTGTGAAGTTGCGGCGTCGGCACTGAGAATACAAATTCCTTGTTGATGCTCGCAGTCCAACACCTCATCATGCCTGCGGCCCTTCCCTTATCCTTGACAGAAAACGGGTGTCTCCCGGTACGGACAGGTAAACTGCCACCCTTGTCGTTACAGTGGAGCACAGGGGACTCCGGATAGTGCGAAAGAGATGCGTATCTGTATGAGCGGCCGCGGCGGACACACTGACGAGATCAACATCGACCTGGAGGACCTCAGCGCGAGGGAGCTATCCGAGAGACGACGTAAGTGGCAGACTTTGCTACTGTGGCTATTGTGTGCTCACTCAGTCAGCTGGGGAAGCGCATCGAAAGCGAGGACTACGCTCGCCATCAGCGTACAGGAGGCCGAATGGTAATCGGCGTGATCTGCTGTCCGGGGTGGCGTCCAGATTTGACGGCAGCACTAGGAGCATCGCAGTGCTTGCATCAACGTCGGGCTGGCGTCGACGGCGCCAGACTACAATAAGGTGCGACCTGCGATATTCGAGGCTATGTTAATCCTCGTGCAACTCAATACAGGATGTGATTCACTGAGGCCCATGACACGGCTTCGACTGCAGACATCGACGGAGCCGCGTGGGCAGCCATTGTAGTCCTACGCATCTAGGTCGCGCCCGTCGCTTCTCATGACAGCTATCGCCCCCAGACCCATCTAATCGAAAATCCATCTTCAAGCGAATGCACACCGCCTGCATGGAATGAAGCGCAGGTTGCGCCCACAAAGTAATGCCGTGCGACCCACATACTGGACAGTCTCACGGCAGGCAGGCGGTATTGGTGAGTCGCCCTCAGCTGACAAGCATAAGTAGGCAGGTCGTCTTGCTTTCCACTTCCCCATTGACTGCCTCTCCGATAGACTTCGGTGAGTTTGGGCGTTGTCTTCCCTGGTCCGCTCGATCACTTAAACTGTTGCAGGTGCCCGCTTAATCTTTTTCGGGGGACACATCTGACGGAAAAAAGGTACGTGAGCGCCGACGTGCTACACATAGCATAGATATATAACTCGCGTAATACTACGATTCCCAGACCATGCGTCTCCTCGACACGCGGACAGGTCTCTTCGTCTTCGCCCACGATCCTCGCCAGATACGCTATGCGATTGTCTCGCATACATGGGACCCGAACGGAGAGCAGTCCTATCAAGTCGTACTGGAGATCCACAAGCGCTACAAGCATATCTTTGCGCAGACCCCACCCCACACATCCGATGATGCCACAATCGAAGTGCAGCCTGATCCCATCTACGACTCCATGGCGGCATCGGGGAGCCCCGACGACAGCCCTGCGGGTGCTGGCAAAATGGCTCCCCCCGAGAGTTCGAAGAATTCTGCATCCGCAGACGATACCAGGAGCCCAGCGTCCGAAGACAGTGCGGAGAGCCCCGATTCTGAGGGGGACGCGAAGAGCCGAGTGTCCGATGGCGCAGAGAGCGCAAAGAGTCCTGACTCCGGATACGGCACTCACACTGAAGAGTGGTATCCCTGCTCCACCCCACGAGCTCTGTCAATGGTCGGCGGCGTACCTATGGGCGACCTTCCTCCTTGGGAAGAGCAGCGGTGTATCGGCGTCTCCAGCCGCTTCCGGTACCCCTCGACAAACCCAAAGTGGGCTGTCTTTGAGCTCCATGGTCCCACGCAGAAAACGGTGCGTACACTGCGGATCAGTTTCCGCCGGGGCGAGCGCGGAGACCCCTCTGAGATCATGCGCGCCCGGGTCGCCTTGGAGCTGTCGGAGCCGCACATGTCGACGAAGATATCGGAGGGCCCGTCGATCCCCTCTGACTACACCCCAGTGGAGCCCGACAAGGATAGGGTATTGCGCGAGCACCAGGGGACGAAGGACACGCTGATGCTGTATATGTGGAGGCACTGGTCCACAAGCACGTGCGTACATGCGCCCGAAGGCCCGGTCTTCGAACGATCTGCTGCGTTGGTTAACATGCTCGGGGAGGAAAGCAATGAGTCGCGGTGCAACCCTTGGCAATTGTGGTGATTTCTATACCTCCAGCAACCTTGCCCAATGGCACGTGCCAGCGTCAGGATAATCTTGGTGTACAGTAAGTACGGACTCCGAGCGTGTTCGGACGACAAGGCGCCCGACGCGCATCGCTTCTATCAATGTACGTTCTTAGCCTCCGATAGCACGAATAATTGGTATGCGAGCAGACATATACATATTAGATGCCTATGTTCCAAAGATGATAGGTACTAGAGGAGCTTGCCGACACCTCCACGCCTCATTTGAGATATACTTACTGTGACTGAAGTCCGCGAGAGTCATGCGCGGCGCCTTGTAGACTCATTTGCAGAGCACCAGGTCTCAGCGGAGGTCTGCCAGCCCAAACAAGTCGGAGAGCTAGATTGTGGTTGCACTGTCACACCATCTCTTCGTTCCGAAGCTCCCGGAGAGGAGTCCAGAGCGAGACTCTGCAAGCTTGCATGGGGATCATGAGTTACGCGCCAACGGCATATACACAAGAACCCTTCGTTCTTGCTGCTGACTCGGAACACGGATGGGAATCTACCAGCTATCTGGAGGCTTATCGGGAGGAAATCGAAGATGCTTGTCCGAACATCAGGCCAGTCAGAACATTGAAATTACGGTAGTATACTCACTATTCAGAACGAATGAGCATTAATGAGCCTGATGGGATGGCCCAAGACTCTCTCCGTGGACAATAGCCGCGGACGCTTGCCACTTCCAAGGCTTCGCAGACCACCTCACAGTGGTTGGGGATCATGGATAGGTATGTTGCATAGCCGCGCGTGGGCCAAGCCGGCAGGAAGCGGAAGGAAGACCGAGTGGTTGACTCAACGCCAGAACCCTGGTCTGCGGGGAAAGACGGGTCGTGCATGCGTGACTGGTTGATAAGAGCAGGCGCTGGCGTCGACGTGCAGAGCTAGTCAGGTGAGGGTGAGTATGGTATACGAGGGTGCTAGGAGCCACAGCATGAACCGGAGCTCGCACGAGGGTGTGATGTTCAGCAGATGACTCCGGGCCCGCACGAGATCTTAGCTCACGTCCAACGGCGCGGGTGTTCATGTCAGATGAGTAGGGAATCCCTCTGGCAAGGATGCAGACAAAGAAAGCGGCACCCGTAAGGTCTCCGAACTCCGGTGCCTATGGGGTTTTACTGTAATACTGTAAGTTCCTCAGCAATAAGCTGAGCACGTACGTTCACTGTGCCGCTTCAAGTGTAGATTGAGTTGTCTCAAATAGCCGACTACCCTTTGGGCCATACTACTCGTAATTACCTACCACACCCTCCCATTTGTTAGAAGCGTCCATACTATTGTTCGGCCCACATCGTCAGCTCCATCCAGTGTCGGTCAAGTCTCGAAGGGACGGAACAAGCTCTGTTTTGTCATGAAAAGCCTGGGGCTGACCTTGAAAGATAGCTCAGTGGAAGAGGGGCAAAAGAAGGGCAGGGCAACGTACGCATACGGAGCTTCGGGACAAGGCCGTCGAAGCCTGTGATTTGATAGAGTTGCCATTGAGGCAGGTTGCGCGGCACACAGCCGGGCCGCAGCGACATGTCCCACTTGGAGACTGGCACCACGACGCAAACCCGACTTCGTCCCTGATTTGTCCTTTTAGCTCCGACGCGACTGAGACTGCGCAGTATCTTGACTGCACTTGCTTTGACAAGGGAACCCTTGAGACCTCCCACGTCCTGTCAGTGGTATATCAGTGGAAGCTGTTTGCCAGTGGTAGACGCACTGCCGGTTTGCTCGGGATCCAAGTGCGCAGTACCTGCTTTACTACCGCACGTCGTGTGTTCCCTAACGAATGAAGGGGCACGATGATCCATCTAGCCCATACGCGGCTGTCGCTACTTGTCTCGTCTCCCTTGACCGCTATGCCCGGAGATGGCCCAGCATCGCCCCTCGGAGAGTGCTGATCCATTCCGGCGGCAGGCAGAACCGCCAATATCGGTCGTAAATGGCATGGTGTCCTCAAATCTAGACGAGGCGACGAAACGGCCGGCGTCGAGATGGAGTCTAAGAAAGAACAGGACCGAGGCGTTTGCACCGCCGGGATATGACGCGAGATGTGCTTATCCGCCCGCCCCGGCGACAAATTCCCATGACACTCCCAGCTACCCCGCATTCGACTCGTTGTCATTCACTTCGTATGCAGCAGGCAGACGATTGGATGCTGAGACAGCAACACCCGCCTGCGCAGCACGCACGTCGCACGCCGGCCGGTAAGTGGCTCCTGTTACGCTTCGATAGGGACAGGGTTATCGGCGAGAGCGGTGTCTCACGTACACGCTCACCTCACCCAGCGGCCCCCCCCCTGTCTAATTGTGTCCACAGCTCCGCCTGCCCAACCTTTCTTCTCTCCAATTCACCTCCTCTCTTATAACCCTCATGTCTCTGTAAGCCCCTCCTCTCCCGCTGCTAAACAAATCCGTCTTGGCACCTCGCAAGCACACGCGCGCGTCTCGTCTTGGTCATTCCCGTCTTATACACAGGAGATTCTCAGCGTGCACTGATTAGCACATCCCGAGAATGTCGACGTCGACGACTCCAAGCCCTCCAACGGGCCCCGCGACCCAGAGCCCCGGCTTCTCCTCCATCTTCCAGTCCCCCGGCGGCCCCCCGCTCATCCTCGTGTGCATCGCCGCGGGCCTCCTCCTCGGCGCCTTCATCGGCGTGCTCCTCATGCGCCGCATGCGGCCTCGCGTCGTCGTGCAGCGCATGAACGGCGCGGACTTCCTCCGAGGACTCAACCCGAACTTCGGCGAGAAACCCACACTGCTGGACATCCACCTATTGCCTGCGAGCGAGGAGGGCACATCGTATGGGGACGGGAAGGGTAAAGTCGGAGGCGAGCGAGGAGCGTGGGGGCATGTGTCGGTGAGTATCCTGTCCTACTCTCTCGCCATATGTTGGGGTATTCCCACTGCTCGGCCTCGGACGGGTTGTAAGGTACTGCAATGTATGGTGATCACTGTACTCATGATTTCCCTTGTCAGCCATTCGCCGCACGCTACCTCTCCTCCTCCGATGGCCAGCCGAAGTCGTCCACAGCACCCCCGTCCTCGCCTCCATCCTTTACCCGCGGGGAAGGAGTTCTGTCCCGCATCATCACCCAGTTCTACTGGGCAAACCCGCGCTGGCGTCCCCGCCCACACGAGCACAGTCCCACGTCCCCAAATCCACACCCCGACGCGCGCCGCGTGCAGCTCGCGGTGACGATCTCGATGCCGTCGCCCCAGCGGCCTGCGTGCCACCCCCGCCGCCCCTCGCCTTCGGGGACGCCGCGGCCGTCGACGTCGAGCGACCCGCTAAAGAACGGTTCCACCGCCTCCTCCGACGCTCACGCCCACGCTTCCGACGACGCGAACCCGGTGCCAGACTGCTGCATCGGCACCGTCGTCGTCTCGTATCGTCCCGACCCCAACGGCTCCCCGGCCGCCGCCCCTCCTGCCGCCTCTCCTGCCGCCGCCGCCGCGACCTGAGGCCTACTTCCGAGGACTCGTGCACTCGTATCTGATTTCTCACTTTCTTCTCCGCACATCATGAACGGACGCCACCCGTGGGAGTGCGACGCCTGCATTCGTGCATGGTGAGGCTCGCAGCCCGCCAGAACACATAGCGATCGTGCCGCGCGCAGCAGCTTCGACGGCTCTCATGCGATCCCGGCAGCAGTGCGTGTACAGCGCGTCCAGTCAGTATCTCACGCGGAACATGGCGCAGCTCTCCCAGGGCAGCCAGTGCCGCGGCGTTCCTGCGTCATCATCCAGGATTAGGAGCAGGCACTGTGTGTGTATGCCGAGACGTGGATGGGACGGGAGCGAGATAGACTGATGGATGGATGGCGGATGGATGGATAGGCACCACAGCGTGGGTGTTGGACAGCTTACTGTTGTACAATATACGTGTGCTGTGGCTGTCCCGCAGAGACTCTGCATTACGACCCTGGATCCTCCTGTACGTACTCACCGTGGATTCAACGAAGACAGTGAATGAACTACATATACGTGATACTCGCCCATTGATCGCGGACAGGCATTGTGGCCAGACAAAGGCATTCCGCCGGCTGATTTCACACGCACACAGATTGAGGTTCGGAATGCAGCGATCATGATATTAGGCTTTGATGTTACAGACGATGTACGGAAGTAGTCGGATACCTTCGGGTAGACGGCAGAGCGTCTCAGTGAGCCGTCACGAGCTCACCTCCGCATGATGCAGGAGGAAGGCCTGGGAGGGCGTCATGATAACCCGAATATATAGATAGCGACATATGACGATGCGAGCAAAGAAGGTGAAGCAGATGGAAAGCGGAGCGAGCAGTGTGATTCATGGCGACAGCTGAAACGGAGAAGAAAGAACGGCGACCCATGGTGCGTACGTGCGGATTTGTACACCCTGCGGTAAACTTGGTAGTAGCATTTTGAATTCGTGTAAGCTGATGCAAGAGATCAACAAGGACATGTAAAGTGAGACACCAATGAAGGCGACACCGAAGCCGGCCACGCACCTTACACCGTCGCGACAGCAGAGCCTATGTGCCCCTGCGTGCGGATGTACATCAGGCATTCTTGACCAAAGCACAACTGGACTACTCCCTATTAGCGCGCTTGTGCGTCGCATGTCTCTCTTGATACACGACTTGGGGTGGTGTCCTTAACACAACATACCATAGGAGAATAAAGGAACAAGAACTGGGATACCTTGGAAGCGCATCACTGGCAAGCCTCGACATACCTAACGACCGACAATTAGTCGGTCTCGTCGTCGCTGACGAAGATAACCATCTCGCGCGCGGTCTCGGGCCACCGGAACGGCGCTACAGCAGAGGATCCAAGCGGAGGCGACCGCCGCTTTTGTGGTACGAGAGAAGCGGGGTTAGGGATTGGCATAGGGGTAGCAATGGGTGTTGGAGTGGTCGACGGCGTTTGCGAGTGCGGCACTGGGGTAGGAGTGACGGAGGATGTCGTTGGCATGCTCGACATCACCGACGTCGATATTGATTCGGGCGCTGCGAAGCCCGAGGTGAACTCGCGCTTCAATTCTTCTGCGGCACTGTAGAAGAAATGACCGAGCGGAAAGTTTCAGCGGCACGAATATTGTGACTTCCTGGCAATCTCTGCTACACCATCAGAACTCGTTTGAGTGGAGACTTACTTGGTGGTAACCCTCAGCCGTTTCATAAGACTGCTCTTCTCTGACTGATCCTTCGTCTTCATAATTTGTTTCATGAGGTCAGAGGAATGCGCAACAAGCCTGTAGTACTGCGATTGCTTGGCTTCCTTTTGGGCCTCCGTGAGGGGTACAAGGGAAGACGTCGCAGGCATCTGCTTGGTAGCCGGCTTCGGGATGGGCACTGGGGCCACAATTGGGATAGCGTTCCGCCGAGACAGAGGGATACGCGAAGGAAGTTGAACGGACGCGAGCATTGTGGTGGACGACGCTGCTGACGGATGTGGTGCCGCTGTAGATGCTGATGACAGAGCAGAAACGTTCTGGATGGATTCCGCAATGAACGACGCTGCTAGTTCGTCTAGCGAAACAGCGGCTGACTCTGTCTTCACCACGACGTCAGCCGCGCCCGAACCCAAGCTCAGATCAGAATCACTTCCCGAGGCCGACGCGATCGTCACCTCGACCCCACTAACGTGCGGCGGGTCGACGGGGGTCGAAGGCTCCGGGGACTCGGAGCTGCCGCTGCTCGACACCAGGGAAGGGCGCGAGCTCAGAGCATGCTCGCGTAGGGTGAGCTCCGCCTTGGCCTGCGCGAGATCCTTCTCGAGCTTGCGGCGACTTCCTCGTGCCACTTGTGCAGCTCGGACAGCCTCGTCTTCCACAGCAGGTGCTGATGCAGGTGTAGGAGGAGCGGGCGAAGGCGAAGTGGGCGTAAATGTAGATGGAGAAGGCGCAGGAGGATGTATGGGCGCTGGAACCTCCTCAGTATTCGGGGATGGTCGTGGAGGCGATGACCGTGTCGTTGCTGACACGGGCAGCGCAGGCGGCTCTTTGACAGGGCTCGACATCTCCATATCCATGTTCACGTCCCCGTCCTCCTCTACGTCCTCTTCACCCATATCCATATCCTCCTCTGCGTCCGCTTCGTTCCCAACCTCTACTGACGCGACGTCCTCTTGACGATCGTCCGCTGCAGACGCCGCGGAGACGATAAGCTCAGGAGATGCCCTCCTACCCTCGTCGTCTGAGTCGAGCTCCATCTCCTCCTCCACCTCCGTTAAGGCGGCCGGAGCAGGAGGATTGGTGGAGAGCCGCTCGAGGGCCGGGCGAAGAGCAGTGGTGAAGGCCATGATAGCTTCGATGTCCGGGCCAGCCATATGAGACGAGACTGAAGAGGGAGCTGGCGGATGATGAGGTGGGGGCTCATGAGTCTGAGTTGGCGGGAGTGCTTCAGGAGGCGGAGGGGGCGCGGAGACGGGCACTGGGGCACGAGCAGGCGTAGTGGGTTCAGTGAGCCGTTGCTCGAGCTGCACCTTGTTCTTCCCCTTATTCTTCTTTTTCTTCTTCTCCGCCATCGCCATCGCCGTCGCCGCCACCATGGTCTCTATGACCTCGCCCTCCTCGATCTCACCATCTTCAATCTCCCTGTCCCTCTCCTTGCCCCTAACGTTCGCAGCCATTAGGTCCTTCTTCGTCCCGATGTACCGATACGCCCTGATGTGCTCCTTCCCCTCCCCACGAAGACGCATGCTCGTGAACGCTGCCTCGGCTAGCGCGGGAGTGCCCCATTCGACGAGCGCCTTGCCCGCCCTCGCGTCAACAGAGATGCGCAGCGCATTCCCGAAGCGCTTCGCCCAGCCCCTGACAAAATTCTGAGTGCGGAACTTCTTGGGGATCTGGCCGAGGACGAGCGTGTTTGCGGGGATGGGCGGAGCGACCCTGAGCGGGGGCGGAGGGTCGAGGTGCGATTGCGTGAGGTCGTAGTGGCCGTGCTTGACTTTGTCGTCGGGGATGCCGATAAGGCGTTTTTGCTTCTCTAGGGGCTGCGCGAGTGGTTTCACAGGGAGTTCGAACCTCCCTTTAGGAACCTGCGGATGAGATGCGGGTGCCCCCCCGTGAGCGTGGCGAGTATCCGAAGAGACTGAATGTCCTGGTGTTGAAACATAATTTGACGGAGAGCCTTTGGTTAAGGCAAGTAGAGATGCGGAGAGAGCCTCTAGCTGACGCAGCTGTTCACCAAGGTTGTAGGTACCCTCTACTGACGGTGGCGAAGGCGCGCCGGATCTCCGTTCAAGGTGGGTTACGAACGAAGCGGCGGAAACGTCAGGAGAGGACGTTCCGGCCGTAAGATGTGGGGAAGCCGGACGTGGAAATGGTGGTGGGTAGACCAGGGGCTCCGCCGCTGGCTGCATCGGAGAGGCGTAGGTTGGAAACCAGGGGGTAGCCTGCAGTGGCAGACTCGACTGCCGGTCGGCTGCGTTCCACAGGGGACCATCGGTCGGACGGTATTCGTCGTTCGGGGATACAGGAAGCCCGGTCATGAGCTGGTACGGATCCATGGGCATGTAGTATGCATCGTAGGGTAGATGTACGCTGGACGCCATCGCAGAGAAGTCATCCGGGTGGGAGAGGTAGGGTGCGTGTACACCGGTATTGCCGTGTGGTTGCTTGTTCGAGCTTACCGTAGACGATGAGGGTTGGACACGTTCGCGCTGGATAGCTTGCTTCTCTTTACGTTGCTTCTTCTTCTGCTTGCCGGTTGGGTTCTCGGGAAGGCGGTGAGGTTGTGCAACTTTGCTCAAATCCCGCATCTCTGCCCACTTGCGCTTCTGTCCTAACAGAGGTGATACAGGGGTGGCTGGTTCTGTTGCAGACAATGACTTCGTGACGACCCAAGCTAGCAAACGACCGCGACATACCTGCAGTCACCGGAACAGGGGTGGGAGCCTTAACCGGAAAATACGATATCGACGGTGTGTATGATGCGTGATCTCCGTATAGAGGGGAGTCCTGAGACGAGCTCGACGACGAGTCGGTAAATCTGGAGGCCAAAAGTGAATTCAACGCAACGTGCCGCGGGTGGCTGTTAACATACAAGCCTAGCTCGCGTTCAACAAATGCCGCATCCTCTTCGTCAGAGACGACAATAGGTTCCGCATAAGAACCAACACCATAGGTTGCCATTGTATGTCGGAGGACGACGGGGCGAGAGTGAGGCGCGAGGCGAAGCGTGCGCTAGCTGATCACCGGGTCACAAGCAGTGAAGATACGGAGCACTGATGGCGCACAGTGCGGGAGGTCACGAACGCCAGCAAAGACGTCGGCAGATGTAGACAACGTCGAGGACGACGATGAGCAAGCGCACATCACCGTCTCGCCTTTTGACGCCTACCACTCCGCCGTTTCGGCGTTTCCCGAGTCAAGCCGCGGGCGGCGTCGACCCGGTCCCGGAGCAACGAAAGAAGTAGCACTTCCTTTGCAGAATTCTAACCCTGCAGCATCCTTTCCGATGACTCACGAGTGCTGCAGTAGGAACAAAAGCCGCCGCAAGGTGTGCAGTCGATCCCAAATAAGCTTAGCGAACAAGAATATTGTGCAGCATCTCGGCTTGGATAGATGTAGCAAGGAATGTATCCTCCCTATGTTCTACCGTAGCGGGAAGAAACCCAGCAGCACCCAATATCTAGATATATCGTCATTTATAGCAGGGTATCAGCCACCTTCTTCCAAATAGCAGCTGGATCGCTGACGCTGCAGACATAGTCAATCCCTGCCCAGGCAGATCGAACAAACAAAGGAAATGACTCACATGTCAGCAGTTAGAGCAAGGTTCACATCGGCAGGGTGGTTCTGCCACTCTGTCAAGAACCCAGTGAGTAGCACAGCCAGATCCTATACTGCAATCACGTACCCTCAGGCTCATTCTTGTTGTCGATGCCAAAGCCCAGGCGCCACGTGATACCTTGGACGGAGTTCGTGAGGAAGTCCGGCGGTGCGAGCGAGTTGTTCTTGAGGTGTGTCGTCTTCCGAGTCGATCGTAGAGAAGTCCGTCAACTGGCCCCCGACCGTGCCGCAGTACTGCTGAGGGACGTCGCGCTTGCCCCCGTACACGACCGTCTTCGCGCCCTCCTCCTTCGCCAACGTGACCTGCGCGTGCCGCACCCCGTTCACTTTTCAGCCAACTCACTCACGCGCAATGAACAGCAAAGACACTCACGGAGAAGAGCGAGCACGAGCTCGCGCACCGCCCATTGCCCACGACCGCCACTTTGCTCTTATCAAACAGCCCGGATTCTTCACGCTGGACTTCAGTTCGTCTAGCTGGTCATCCACCGCGTCTCTTCCTTTGGACTGGTTGCGTGTAGATCGAGTCTGTTCCCCTAAGATGAGGCAGGCCGCGAGCGCATAAAGGAAGCCTTCTGCGAGGGTGCTCGCCTTGCTCTCAATCGCCCTATAGAGAGACCCGTCCCCGATGTAGCTCGCGGCTCGACGGAAGCAAGGTACATCATGGCAATGGACTATTCGCCAGGAGTAGCGCGCAAGGACGCACGTCTGACGCGGCTAGACCTCTCGATGTATCGATCAACTCGTAGAGTACATCAGATATATCGCCATCTGTCCCCCAACTTCAGAAGGCGTGTTCAATTCTTGTCGCTCGCTCATTTCCTCGTGCGCCTACCGGGCGTCTGCCTACCTGGATTCAAGGTCAGATCAAGCGCCTGTACTAGCACAGCGAGCAGAGGTGTGCAGGCAGCGGGTGCAACACGACCGCATCAGGGTCGCGAGCTGGGACTGAGGAGCGACGCGAAAGCTTAACAATTCGAAAGATAGAGAGCTCCATGACTCGAGACGCGGAGTCGTCCCGCAAGGCTTACAGTGGCAACCCCAGGTGGCCAGTGAACCGTGTCGTGCCGGATCTGGTTCCGATTTGGGCGCATTGTGTACAATTATTCTCGGTCAACAAGTCTATAACGATCTGCCGACGTCTCCATCCACTTTCTGGACAGATTTTCTGGGTATAACAAACCTAGCATAGGACGGAAACGTCGATCTCGCTGCACCCGCTGCCTGCGCACCTCTGCTCGCTGTGCTAGTACAGGCGCTTGATCTGACCTTGAATCCAGGTCAGCAGGCGCCCAGTAGGCGCGCGAGGAAATGAGCGAGCGACAAGAATTGAACACGCCTAGAGCGGTGGTGGGAGCGAGCGAGCCTGGCCCATCAATGCATCGCGTGGACCTGAAGCAGGCATTTGATCGCTTGCCGGCCTGCACGACCTCCATACTTAGCTTTTCCCAGAGGCTAGCTTCAAGCATGCTTTACCACTCAGCCAGGAAGTGCGCATCAATAACATAGGTGTTCCCTCTCCAAGCGGCCTCCCTGAGGAATCGGCACAAGGGCGTCGTTGAGGACCCTAAGATCACATCGAGACGGTCCATCGGGTCTGCCTGATTATCCGAAAGTGAACACTCGTCCCTTGTTACATGCCATACACAACTACTAGAAACTGGTGAAATTCCGAAACCCCTTGAATACCACTTCGCCGTCTACCAATGCATATAGATCCTCGAAACAAGCTTGTACCACCTTCGACTCTATAGATGAAAGATCATCTTCTACAACTGTGCGGCCCCTCGGTTTGAGGGACCCCTCTTCGTGTTGATGAATTTTCAGATACGTGAGTCGACTGGGGCTTGGCGACTTGAAAGCTCGCCACTCAAGGACGTCTCTGAATTGTCGCATTCTCTTGGCCACGTACTCCTCAAAGTCATCCAGGTTCGGCGACTCCAGCAGCGGTCGAAGGGAGCCTTTGGGTACTTCCACCCACATTACGAGTTCTCGTAGAGACGGACACACTGGTCCGCGCGAGCCCGTCCCGTCGGAATTGCCCTCTCCCGGCCCCTTCAGCAAGTAGAGAGTCTCCCAAAGACCTGCTTCTTTTACGTCGATCTCTACCCGGAGGAGGTGCGGGAAGGCCTCGAAGAGCGCTGGCTGTTCTGAATACCATCCGTCGATGATGCTCAGAATCAGGTGTGTGACGTTGACAGACAACATCGGTATTTTGGGACGGAACAGCGGCCTCACAATCGTCTCCACTCTTGAGTGCCTGACGAACGTCTCCGCTCGAAAGCGTTCCGAGAGACTGTGAGCACTGCCGTCCTGCGTGTAGCATCGCATGGTGAATTTCCAGCCGATCTCTAACTTGACTAGAGAGATCCCGGAGAGCAGGGAATGGACAGCCTCGAGACTGCGTTGGTCGGGATCTAGCCAAACGCGGTGATCGGGTCCCGGGTCATGGCCCCACGGGCACGGGTGATCGGTGCACGGGCCATCGCTCAGGTGAATGCGACAAGTAGGAGGTAGGATCAGACCTACGAGGGGACCGGAAGCAAAGGCGCGTTCTTCGACGATGAGAAGATCGCAGAGGGAGCGGAGGTGTATGGGTTCGCGGTGTTCCCCGATCGCGGTGTCGCGCGTTGGTTGTGGCGTTGGGAGCACTTGTATCAGCCTGAGTACCTCCAATGTCTCCCTACATTTCCCGAGCGCCTTGTGCAGACGGGTGACTGAGGGTAAGCGTATGTCGGTTTTATGGGGGCGAGGGTTGTGCAGAGTGACGTGTGTTAAGGTTCCGCAGGCGATGAGCGGGAAGAGAGCTCCTGGTATTCGGAGGTGACGGAGGCGCGGGAGACTCCCATTCGGCAATGCCTTGCAGGCGACCCGCGATCCCCATTCATTCAGCCACGTACGGGGAGGGTAGTCTATGAATTCGTGATAGTCCGTGATTGGACATAGGATATAGAGCCCTTCGAGGCAGGACATTCCTCCTCGGAGAGTCTCCCACAGGTTATGTAGTTGATTGGCGCTGTGGATTTTGATGTCCAAGACGGCGATCCTGGAGATGTGGGGGAGTAGATGAAAGCGAAGCGCTTTGGGGAAGTAGCATATAGTCATACGGACGTCGCGGGGAACAGAGCGTTCCAGGAGAGTGTCCATGTAGGAATATCGAAGGGGGACTACATGATCAGGCCCAGCGAGAGTGAACGATGTACAGGCAATTGCGTCCGCCCATAGCGCCGGAGTCTGCAGCGCGGTGGAGCGCCACCTGCGGCAAACATGAGCCATGCGCAGACTCGACCGATCCTTCCACGCTTTCCGGAAAATGGTTGACAGAAGTTCGAACGGAAGCCGATGGATGGGAAGGACGGCGTTGTGAACCGAGTGCAGTGCGAGCGCAAAGCGACGGTACTCTTCTGCCCTGGCCAACGTTCGCTCTCGCACAGCTGAAGCGCAGAGTCCGGCGAGATCGGCGAGATCTGCTGCGGGTAGAATGGATGCGAATTCCGAGAAGGGGAGATCCGAAGTCTTCGTGCTCATCGCGACTGGACAAGAGCGCTGTTAGCGATGAGTTGGGGACTGGCATGCACACCTACACGATGGGTCGAGTTCAAGAGATGATTGCAGCATGTCAAGCCAACGTGTACGGATGTCAGTGCGGCTGAGACATATGCTCCGTTACGTAACATATTACCAGCTGGCATTCATATCGCGATGCAGACAGAGTCATAAGCCAACTCGTTGCGGGAGGGCAAGCGTAATATGACTTTCTACGTGCCGTGACTTGATCGCGAGGCAAAAGCAACAGCGTATCCTCGAACTCGGCCCAATTTCCTCACAGCCCAATCTCCACCACTGTCTGCAATACTTGCACCACCTCGTGATGCCCGAACATAGGCTCTCTCGCCAGTATTCCACAAATCCCGCACATTTTGAGAGTATGAGAAGAGCGCAAAACGTACCGCAACCGACTTTTCCATGCGCATCCATCAGCGAGCTGACGTTCTCCGTTATGGACGCATTCGTCCAGCTTGTCGCGTCTCGTCGTTCGAACTGGTTGCGTGTAGATCGAGGGGCCGACATCCTAGAGCGGGGGTGAGGTGCAGTCGAATCTGAAAGCGGTCGTGTCAACGGGGTGGCTCGAGAGATGTAGACCACGTGTATTTTGCAGTTGCCCTTGCACTCCACAATCCAGGATACATACAAAGTTACAAACATCCGGAGGAGAGCAATTAGACGCTAGTACCGCTCAGCGTGAGCACCCCCGTCTTCCCGTCGTCGAGCAGGTAGAACTGCACGACGCTCGCGCTCCCCGGCTGTGGGTCCGTCGGGACGAGCGTGGGCGGGAGCGCGACATCGAGCTGCGGCGCCGAGTCGAGCATGACGTTCATCGGGTACCGCTGCTGTGTCGCGGTGTCGGGCATCAGGGCTTGGCGGAACTTGTTCGCTGGGTCGCCCGCGGCGACGGCGGCGGCGGGGGAGGCTGCGCCCTCGCGTCCGCCGTCTGATGATGGGCGCGGCGGAGGAGGGTGTAAGTTGTCAGTTGGGCAGATGTATCGGTCAGGGTGCTGGTCCATCGCGTCTGCAAGCTTATCTGCCAGTGAACACTAGTCCCTTGTAACATACCGTATACCACTACGAGTAACTGGTGAAATACCGAAACCCTTTGAACACCACTTCGCCGTCTACCAACGCGTACAGATCCTCGAGACAGGCATCTACTACCTTCGACTCCATAGACGAAAGATCATCTTCTGCAACTTTGCGCCTGGTCGGGTTCAAGGACCACATCTCGTATTCATGAATTTCCAGATACGTCAGTCGACTGGGGCTTGGCGACTCGGAAGCTCGCGATTCAAGGACGTCTCTGAATTGTCGCAACCTCTTAACCACATACCCCTCGAGGGCTTCGAAGTTCCGCGGCTCTAGTAGCGTTCGAAGGGAGCCTTCGAGTACTTCCACCCGCGTCACGAGTTCTCGAAGAGACGGACACATTGGTGCGCGCGAATCCGTCCCGCTGGAACTGCCCCCTCCCGGCCTCTTCAGCAAACAGAGAGTCTCCCAAGGATCTGTTTTCATGTCGATCTCTACCCGCAGGAGGTGCGGGAAGGCCTCGAAGAGCGCCATCTGGTCCGGAAAACATGGGTGGATTTCCACGATTAGGTGTGTGATGTTCATGTACATCGGTACTGTGGGACCGAAGAGCGGCATGACAAGTCTGTCCACTCGCGAGAGCTTCATGAGAGTCTCCGCGCACAAGCGTTCCGAAGGGCTATGAGCACTGCCGTCCTGTGTGTAGCACCGCATTGTGAACTGCTGGAAGCCAAATATCAACTTGACTAGAGAGACCGCAGAGAGCAAAGAATGGATGGTCTCGAGACTCCGGTCTTCGGGATCTAGCCAGGGGCAGTGATCGAGTGCCACCCTAGGGGTACACTCGCACGGGTCATTGGCGCACGGGCTATCGCTCAAGTGAATGCGACAAGTAGGAGGTAGGATCAAACCGACGAGGGGACCGGAAGCGAACGTGCTCCCATCAACGATGAGAAGATGGCGAAGGGCAGGGAGATGCATGGATCCGCAGTGCTGCCAATTTGGCTGCGGCGTCGGCAGCACTTGTATCATCCTGAGTACCTCCAATGTCTCCCTACATTTCCCGAGCGCCTCGTACAGACGGGTGGCTGAGGGCAAGATGAACTCGGGGTTATCTTGGCAAGGATTGTGCAGAGTGACGTGCGTCAAGGTCCCGCAGGCAATGAGCGGGAAGAGGACTGCTGGTAATCGGAGGTCACGGAGGCGCGGGAGGCTCCCGTTCGGTAATGCCTGGCAGGCGACCTGCGATCCCCATTTATTGAGCCACGAACGGGGGTATTCGACTCGATAGTTCGCGGCTACACATCGGATATACAGCTCTTCGAGGCAGGACATTCCTGCGCGGAAAGTGTCCCACAGGTTATGTAGTTGCTCGGCGCTGTGGACTTGGATATCCAAGACGGCGATCCTGAAGACGTGAGGTTGTAGATGAAAGCGAAGCGCTTCGGGGAAGTGGGATATAGTCATGTAGACATCGTGAGGGGCAGAGCGTTCGAGGAGGGAGTCCATGTAGGAATATCGCAGGGGGACTACGTGATCAGGCCCGGCAAGACAGAAATCCTCACAGGCAGTTGCGCCCGCCCATAGCTCCGGAGTCCGGAGGGCAATGGAGCGCCACCTGCGGCAAACATGTGTCATGTGCAGGCTCGAGCGATCCTGCCACGCTTCGCAGAGAATGGCCGACAGGAGTTCGAACGGAAGCCGATGGATAGGAAGTACGGCGTTATGGATCGAGTGCAGCGCGAGCGCAAAACGACGGTACTTTTCCGCCTTGGCCAACGTTTGCTCTCGCACAGCTGAAGCGCAGAGTCCTGCGAGATCGGCGAGGTCTGCTGCGGGTAGAATGTATGCGAAATCCGAGAAGGGAGTCTTCGTGCTCATCGCGACTGAACAAGAAGAGTGCTGTTAGCGATGAGTTGGGTGCTGGCATGCACACCTACATGATGGATCGAGTTCAAGAGACGATTGCAGCGTGTCCGGATGTCAGTGGAAGGCCATGCAGCCGAGACATATGCACCGTTACGTAACGAATCCCCAGCCGGCACCCAACTCGCGACGCAAATAGAGTCATAAACCACTTCGTTGCGGGAGGTTGAGCGTGTTCTGACTTTCCGCGCGCGATGACTTGATCGTAACCGTGAAACCCGCCGCTGTTGTTCGTCGCTTGTCCAGATGAAGGGTTTCAAGAGAAGACATCAAGTCTAGGAGTGGCATTTAGGTCGTGGGTCGGGAATAATACTGTAATGACGAAGTGCTCGGAGACGGGTATCTTGGGGACTGTTTGCAGATTCTGACAGAGAGGGGGGGGATGTCGCACGGCTCTTCGTAAGGTCGATGCGGGGCAAAGGCAACGGCAGACCCTCGAACTCGGCCCGCTTTCCTCCAGTTCAATTTTCACCACTCTCTGAAATATTCGCACCATTTCGTTATGCCTGACCGTAGTATATACAGGACGTCATGATCAGTATTCCAAAAATCCCGCACATGTTGAGAGTATGAGAAGAGCGCAACACGTACCGCACCGACTTTTCAGCTGTCTTCGCCTCCCGTTGTCGAGCAAGCGCGTCCAACCGCTAGCTCAGGTTCTCCGCGCTGGCCTTGAGTTCGTCGAGCTTGTCATCTCCAGATTCTCGTCTTCTGAACTGATTGTGTGTGGGTCGAGGGGCCGATATTCTAGAGCGGGGCCTGGAAAGAGGTGGATTAATTTGAAAGCCTTGATCATCGTCCCCAGTGAAAACCCCGCCCGGTATGGCTTGCAACGATTGCTGGCTATTGCCATCTTTTCGGAGCGATTTGGATGACAGCTCGGCGTCTACAGCGGCTCGTTTCATACTTACATCGATTGGCTCGTTTTTTATATACGATGGGCTGTTTTAGGTTGATGTATAACATAGAACGGGTATTCGACGTATATATTGTTGCATCTGGCACGTCCATTGCATATCTGTATGTCGACCAACGATGACCCGACCATAGTATCCATTCTCACCTAGTCTTCGATCTCGTCCCCGGCTCCTTCATCCATGACGCCATCGGTGTCCGCGACGCTCTATTCAAGGTGGGCGATAGCTGCCATCCCTTCTGTGCCCTTTCTTACTTTCCCCCACCATCTCGTCTTGTCCTTCGATGTCAACGCTTGACAATGCACGATCTGTCACAGTGTGACAGCACGCGTGTCATGGTCGTCTACACGCGTGTTCCTGCATCCATCTCCACCTCCACCGCCAGCTGCGATGCCCGCGACAGAGCCAGAGCCCGTCACGCCCGAGCTCATGCTCGCCTTCTACCGGCGACTGTACCCCTTCAAGTCTCTCTTCACCTGGCTCAACCACGAGCATGCCCCCACCAAGCTCTTCACCCACCGCGAGTTCGCGTTCACGCTCCAGGGCGACGTCTACCTCCGCTACAACTCCTTCGCCACATCCGACGACCTCAAGAAGCAGGTCTGCGCATACAACCCCACCCGCTTCGAGATCGGCCCTGTCTACTCTGCACGCGTACGTCCCCGCCCTCCTTCCCGCCCGTCGTGCACGTCTCACAACTAACCCCGCCCACAGCCCCGGGACAAGAAGACAGTCCGGCCGGCTGCATTTTCTCCCCAGCTCCGCGAACTCGTCTTTGACATCGACATGTCCGACTACGACCCCGTCCGGACCTGCTGCGCCGCCGCCGACATCTGCCGCCGCTGCTGGCAGTTCATCGCCGCCGCCGTCCGCGTCCTCGACCGTGCCCTCCGTGATCAGTTTGGCTACACCCACCTCCTCTGGGTCTATTCCGGGCGCCGCGGTATCCATTTATGGATCAGCGATAGGCAGGCACTCGAGCTCACCGACGAGCAGAGAAGGGCACTCATCGGGTGGCTGACGGTCATCCAGGGCGGGAAGGAGATGCACAAGAAGGTGAATGTGCGGGTGGGCGGAAAGGCGTTGCCCCCGAGTCTTGGGTGAGTACTGGTCGTTATGGGCTAGGTGCGAAGCGTCTCAGTGTGTCACAGCCAGGCGTACAAGATGCTCGAGCCCGTGTTCCACGAGCTGATCCTGGACGACCAGGACCTGTTCGCGTCCGAAGAGCGCTGGGAGGCCCTCCTCCACCTCGTCCCCGACGCTGTCCGAGAGAAGCTCAAAAACGCATGGGAGCGCGACCCGCACAGGGCGTCGGCGGACAAGTGGCAGAACGTCCTCGACGAGCTCGACGCGTGGAAGCCGCCGGCCCGCCATGCAGCCGTACGTCCCATCCCTGTCCCCTTGTCCTATCGCGTGCGCTGAGCATCGTTCAGTCCCAAACGCAGACACCCGCCGCGATCAAGGAGGACATCGTGCTGCAGTACACGTATCCGCGGCTCGACGCGGAGGTGTCGAAGCATCGCAACCATCTGCTCAAGGCGCCGTTCTGCGTGCACCCGAAGACGGGCCGCGTCTGCGTACCCGTCGACCCGCGCACGATCGACCGGTTCGACCCCGGGCGCGTGCCCACGGTGCACCAGCTCCTGCGCGAGCTCGACGCCGCCGCACCGCCCGCACCGTCTGGCGGTGGCGAGACTGGGGAGGGCGTGGGAGGGGACAAGGTGACGGCGGCGGGGGAGCACCACGCGGACTGGGAGCGGACGTCGCTGAAGCCGTACGTGGAGCTGCTGGACCGGCACGCGCGGGGGCTGATGGAGGAGACGCGGCGGGCGAAGCAGAAGATGGGTAAGTGCTCAGACCTTTTACGATGGGACGTTGAGTTGTGTAGTACATGCGTGTGGCTGACGATCGGCCGTTGCAGACTTGTCGTGGTGAGGGCACCATCGGCGCGGCTCGACTCGGTTGAGGGAGGCCGGGGCAGGGCTCTGCGTGTATCATGCTATGATGTGCTTTGTGTATGTATCGCTACTCTCGGATTTGTGTGTCTCACTGGTACGTGGGTCGCGGTTCGCTTTCGCGTCACCAAGCTAGTGTAGCCTGCTGAGGAGCGTTCTGGTCGTGGCATGCACTCTCGAGCATCAAGCGTTGTGCCCTGCCCGGGGGGAACGGACTATCCTGCAGATGACGTCTCCTCCGCCGCCGCTGGAGAGTATGGTTGAGTCCTGACGTCCTTCGTCGGATGGCCGGGCACTGGAGGCATTCAGCGCTTCTCCGATGCATGCGGGCACGTCCACGGCTTCCCGCCCTTACGAGTCTCCCTGGCCTCATGCCCTCGAACTCCCTCCCAGTCTTTGCCTCCTGACTCGGTTTCCAGCTTCTGGAGATCGTGTAACAGCGTGCTGAATGATATATCTTCCGAACACGATGCTAGGCACCGGTCGAAATGTTCATGTGCGGCAAGACGAGCCCCCAGATAGATTTGTGCATACATGCACAACATACGTAGTCGTCGAACGTCGTGCTCTTGACGTGCCCCAGGACGACAAACACAAGGCTTGGCGGCATTGCCCCTCCCTGGAGGCCACGCGCGTCGGCAGCGACGTGATCTGCTACAATCTGATGCCGAGGCTAGCCCGATGATGCCTCTCGCGTCCGTGTCTACAACTTTCGCGTTCCCCGGCCCCATTGTTCCTCTCTGCCGCGCCCATCGTAGCATCATCTTACTGGCCACAGTGCCCGCCCGACGATGTGCGACCCGAAATGTCTCTCCGTAAGTACTTTCCTCTCCAACCGCCCGGAGAAGCTCTCAGCGGAGTCCGTATCACGCACGAACGCGACCACATGCCCCGTGGGGAGTATAAGGGCACAGCGTCCGAACTTCTCGACGGGTATTTGGTTCTCGTAAGGCGTCCTCGCCGTTGGTCAGGCACTAGGATTGCGCCCGAACCGGCAAGCCTTGGCTTGTGTATGGATACAGCATGATACAGCGATCCGTCCCGCCATCATCCCGCGGGCGACCGTCCGGACGACGACGTCTCCATCAGTACTGTGAGTACTGTGCGTACCATATAAAAGAGAGCTGATGGTGGAACGCGGGTGACGTCTGCTTCTGCTTCCTGTTCCCTGCTTCCCGCTTCCTCGCGGCCCTGTTCACTGGCAACAGCATTCGTTTTGTGCCAGCCCTACGATGATTGCGGGTCGCTTCCTCACCCTCCTCCCCGCCGTCCTCGCGTCGGTCAGGTTGGGCAGCGCGGACGTCACAAGCGGTCTTCCTCGGGACGTTACTAGCGGCCTGCCTCGCGATGTCGAAGAGCGCGCGGCGGACCCCTGCGCGACGATCGGCGGCAAGACCTGGGCGGCACCTGCGGACGTGCGCGCGTGCTACCAGTCGTTCCCCGTGAACGAGACCGAGAAGGCGAACGTGAGTGCTCCTCCCGTTAATCCTCAGCCTTCCGCGCGGGGAGTCTGCGAGTGATCCACCCGCATCCGTCCTCGCGCCCCTCATGATCCCCAGAATCTCGCACGGCGGAGCGTGGCGGATTTGTGCGTGACGGTCGGCTGACCCACCCACCTCTCCCATTGCCTGTGCCCTGTGCACGTATGGAATAGATCATCGAGGTCGTGAACAAGACGCTCGCGTTCCACACCTCGGTCAACTACGAAAAGCTCGCGCCCCCGCCGTTCACGCTCGACGTGCACGAGGACCTGCTTCGGGACCTCGCGCGCATCCAGCATCAGAAGTACGCGAGCGACTACGACCTGCACATCGACCTCTCTCGGACGCTCAAGCGGCTCGACGACGGCCACTGCGTGTATATCAACTACTGTTACGATTGTGAGTCGCCGCTTGCCACCTCTCTCTGCTTCCATCCTCTCTTCTCGTGTTTTCGCTGCCTTCAACTTTGAATGCGCGGAGGGACGGGCGCTGACGAGCAACTCGGGCACGCAGCGCTCTTTGTGAACTACCTTCCCACTCCTTTGGTCCTCCTGACCGACGACGCCGGCCACCAGTCCGTGCACATTGCGCCCGAGGCGTTCACGGTCGCCACCGCCGAGTTCGCGGACGAGGTGCAGACCTGGCAGGACGCTCTGCCCGGCGCACTCAAGGGCCAGCTTGCTTCGGTGAGTCTTCCTCGTTCCTCGCCTTGCTCTTGCGCGTCGCGGGGAGACTGATTGTGCGCACCCGCATGGAATAGCTCTCTGGCGCGAAGGTCCTCGCGATCAATGGCCAGGACCCGTGGATCGCCGTCGACGCGAACGCGGCCATCGCGGGGTCCTTCCAGGGTCTCGGCACCCGCCAGAACGGGTGCGTGTGCCCGTCATTCAAAGCTGGTTGTGGGTCCAACTGCTGAGAGCAATTTGCAGGTACTTCGCTAGCTACAACGCTGGCGCCGGCGGGTGGACGTACAGTCTGGGCCAGTTCGCGCAGCAGTCCCTCCCACTGAGCGACTCCGTCAGGCTCACGATCCAGCGCGTGAACAGCACGAAGATCGAGACCGTCTCCGTACGCTGCCCTACCTCCGTATTCTAACATGTTTAGGAGCTCATGCGGTGCACATAGCTCCCCTACCGCTCGCGCTTCGGCACGACCGGCACCAACTTCACCGACTCGGCCTCGTACCGCGCTAACAACTGCGTCGCCGGAGACTCCACGAATGGCGTCGACTATTATGCCGAGCCCTCCTCCACCACGCCCGTCAGGCGCGAGGACGCGCCTTCGACTGCTGCGGTAAACCCGGCGAACAAGTTCCGCCAGGCTCCAATGCCCGACACCGCGACGCAGCGGCGGTACCCGATGAACGTCATGCTCGACTCGGCACCGCAGCTCGACATCGCGCTCCCGCCCACGCTCGTCCCGACGGACCCGCAGCCGGGGAGCGCGAGCGTCGTGCAGTTCTACCTGCTCGACGACGGGAAGACGGGGGTGCTCGCGCTGGGCAGCTTCTCTGGGGACTCGTTCGAGAACTTGGAGACGAACCTGTTGACGGGCCTGCAGGGCCTGAAAGCGAAGGGCGCGACGCAGCTGATCGTGGACGTGTCGAATAACGGGGGCGGGTACATCTGCATCGCGCACGTACGTGTGTATTCTCCTTAGCGAAGTCGGGCGGTGCTAACCGCGGGCGATCCTTTCCAGTGGCTCCACCGAATCATCGCCGGCCCCAAGTCCACGACGGTGCCTCAGGCTGGGCTCGACACGCAGACGCGCGACGGCCCTCTGGCGCAGCTGATTGTGAAGGCGATCGCCGCTGACCCGTCGCTCGACCCGGACGAGTTCCTGCTCTACAACCCCGTCGCGTGGACGTTCGCAAACAACACGAAGATGCCCGCAGGCTACGACTGGCTGCAGCCCCCGGTGAAGAAGACGGTGAACGGCGTCGCGGACGCGTTCTCGCAGCGGCTGGGGCAGGAGTGCCAGCCGTTTGACGTGGACGCACCGGCGGAGGCGCTGTTTGATACGAGGAAGGTGGTGATCGTGGGCAATGGGCGGTGCGCGAGCTCGTGCTCGCTCTTCTCCGTGAGTGTTGTTCTTTGCTGTTCATTGCGCGTGAGTGAGTTGGCTGAAAAGTGAACGGGGTGCGGCACGCGCAGATCACGTTGGCGAAGGAGGAGGGCGCGAAGACGGTGGTGTACGGGGGCAAGCGCGACGTCCCTCAGCAGTACTGCGGCACGGTCGGGGGCCAGTCGACTGACTTCTCGACGATCGACTCGGAGGTCAAGACGACACACCTGAAAAACAACTCGCTCGCGCCGCCTGACTTCCTCACGAACTCCGTCCAGGGTATCACGTGGCGCCTGGGCTTTGGCATCGACAACAAGAACGAGCCTGAGGGTACGTGATTGCATTATAGTATCTGGCCGTGCTACTCACTAGTTCGTCACAGAGTGGCAGAACCACCCTGCCGATGTGAACCTGGCTTTGACTGCTGACATGTGAGTCATTTCTTTTTTTCGGTCAACTTGCATGGACAGGTATTAACTGTGTTTACAGCGTCAGTAACCCAGCTGCTATTTGGAAGAAGGTGGCTGAGACCGTGCTGTAAAAGACGATATCTCTCTGGGTATCGGGTGCTACTGGTTCCTTCCTGCTACGGTAAAACATGGGGACGATACATTCCTTACCGCATAAATCCATGCTTAGATGCTGCGCAACCCTTGTTTGCGAGGGCCATCCGGGATCGATCACACCCTCGAGGGCGGTTCCGATTCTGAACTAGGCAGCACGGGTTACACATCTGAGAGCGTGCAGCAGTCTTCAGAGACCGCTGCAACCGGTTCCCTTGGGCAGAAGCGTCCTATCCCTTGAAAGAACCGCTTGCACTACATACTTGCAACTAGCCTGCAAAGGCAGGCTATGCAGACGTCGAATAAGGTGGTGAAGGCCGTTTTAGACATGCATGCATGCATGGGTCTCTAAACGGTGCAATTATCAGCGTCTACTTGCCCCCCTCCAGTACCTGTATGATATGTTTGAAGCTAACCGCTAGGGCAACATGATCTACGTCATGAACAAGGCCGCGTTCCACCTCTCCCCCACTCTAGGATATCGGCCCCTCGTGAGCCCTGCTGCAGGCTTCATGTCTCTGAAAGGTGCCACACGCTTGGTAAATTGATCAGTACCCAAACCAAGGCTTAGGCCAAGCAGTGAGTCCTGTTCTACACCGGTCAAGTGGGAAGGATACACCGATGTGACCTGGCAGACATGAACGATTCCATAACCTATGCGTCGGCTTTGGGCAGCGGATGTACCAGACCGAAGTGAGGCTCTCCACGAATCTCCTTGGAGAACCTGCACACCATGCTCGCCCGCTCTGAGAGATGGAGTATATCATTATGTACCTTGTCCTCATCAAGCCGTGTTCCACATTGGGGATGGGTCTCAGGTATAGGGCGATTGAGAGCGAGGCGAATACACTCGCAGAAGGCTTCCTTTTTGCACTCGCGGCCGGCCTCATCTTAGGGGAACAGTATTGATCTACACGCGACCATTCGAAATGATGAGACGCGGTGGATGACCAGCTCTACGGCTACAAGTCCGGCGCGAAGGACCTGAGCTCGCGGTTGGGCGTGCTCGCCCGAGTTAGCGCCAATATTGCAGAGAATGGTGGAGATTGGGCTGAGAAGAAAGTGGGCCGAGTTTGAGGGTACGCCGTTGCCTTTGCCCCGCATCGAACTCACGAAGAGCCTTGCGACATCGCCGACGCCCACCTCTCCGTCAGAATCTGCAAACGGTCCTCAAGACAGTACTTACCCCGTCTCCAAGCGCTTCGTCATGACAGTAGTATTCCTGACGCATGCCACTACCTAGGCTTTGGATCTAATCATAGCCCACCTGCCCATCTACTCATACTTGTAAGCTTCGGGACCTGGGTCTTAAGTATCTCCGTACTCCTACGACTAAACTGGCGACCATGGATGACGGTGGCGTGCACCGATGTCATCTGTTGAACTCCTTCATCTGGACACGTGACGAACGCCAGCGGCGGGTTTCGCGGTCGCCGCGATCAATCATCAAGTAGGGGTGCTCAATTCTTGTCGGTCGCTCAGTTGCTCGCGCGCCTATTGGGCGCCTGCCTAGCTGCATTCAAGGTCAGCTCAAGCGTCTGCAGGCAGCAGGTGCAACACGACCGCATGATGCCCCCGAGCTGGGACTAGAGAGCGACGCGAGGATGTGACAATTCAGAAGCTATAAAGTTGCTTGTCTCGAGATATGGAGTCGCCTCACAAGGTTTGAGTCCAGTTGCAGCGGCACCCTCACCTGAACCATATATATGTCGTGCTGATTCTGTTTCCGACTTGGGCGCATTGTGTATAATAAGTCCAGGTCAACGAGTTTATAAGCTCTCCCGACGTCACCATTCACTTGCTGGGCTGATTTCCCGGGCCTAACAAACCTAGCATGAGACGATCTTTTCGATCTCTTTGCGCCCGCTGCCGCCTGCGTGTCTCTGCCGCTCGCTGTGCTGCAGACGCTTGAGCTGACCTTGAATGCAGCTAGGCAGGCGCCCAATAGGCGCGCGAGCAACTGAGCTTTATTATTATTATTATTATTATTTTCTTGTCTTATACCAAACATAGCTACAGGGTACGGTAGGTATGTAAGTAAGCGTGTTATCCGAGATTGTTTGACATTTCCACCCAGCGCGTCACTTAAGACTTGCACCAGCGTGCTCGGACCACGACCGAAGTCAGCGTGTGGAGTAAGGACCCGCACCTACCCACTCACACCATATCTGCCAACGGCGACCCGGAGTCGCCGTCCCCATCCGTAACAAGAGTGGTCGCCGTCGAGGAGGAGGACGACGACGGAGGGGGGGGGAATGAAGTGACGCCAAACTATCCGCCTGGCTAGTTCAGTGACAGTGGAGGGGGTAAGACCGGGATAGTCGCCCATCCGGTCGTAGGAGCTTCGG